AACCAAAACACCACTCTATAGCCACAAATAATGCTCAGAACAGCACCTAACTTTATCAACAGTACATATAGAGTCCAAGCCATAGCACTAGCCACCAAACATCTTTTTAACCTTGCCTGGTTTCTTTAGCAAAGAAACCAAACACAACTCACCTACTCTCTTCCAGCAGCGGCTTGTTTATAGCAAGACCTTGGACCAGTCCATTATGGACTACAGTGGGGTGACGCAGCCCAAGGAAGAACATTTATGATCATTTCTTCATGGAAATGCAATCAGATTAAGACGCTAAGGCAGACAAACTTCTGCGTCTGCAGTGCAAAAGGATTCATACGGTGATTATTACTTTAAGGAAATGATAAAGTAATGATCATAAATGCCACTAACATGGTATTTCATTTACAACACTGAAGACAGTGTTAGGATCTTAATGTGATTAGAGGACACTTGTGCCATCTGCAAATAAGATTATAGACAACTTTTTAAAACAACAAAAGAACAAGGGCCCAAGGATTGAGCCTTGAGGAACACCACAGATGAGAAAAAATGGAGACCTTACTCCACTGTAAGAAAACGAACTGTTGTCTTAAGTAAATCAGAGAAGTGGAAATTTTTTAACTCCAAGATGTGAAAACTTCTTTGGTGATGAACTTTGTCAAACGCCTTAGATAAGTCTAAAAAATACCAACAGTGCTTTCTATCGCGCACACACAGGTTCAGTTTGCGTGGTAGCTTAGCTCACAACAGAGGTTGAACCAAGTCTTTCTGCCTCTGCACCCATTTGGCTCATCCATGGCTGTCCATGAAATTTCTTGGCTCAACATCACCTGGGATCAGTGGATCTGGCCTCAATCAGCAAGCTCCTTCTATGGTGCTCCAAGTCAGCGGTCTGAGTCCTCAACATCTGCACCCACCCCAAACACACACACACACTCTCATGCCTGTTCTTTTCCAGTCCTGCTCCAACAAAGGGCGTGGCTTACTTTGCAGTATAAGGGGCATGGTCAACTTAATCGCAGCTGTCTCTCATCATCTTCATCTTTGATTCATCAGCAGATATTCAGAACAAGTCCACAAAGGTCAAAGCAAATAGAATCCAAATTTAAATACATTTACAACTAATCACACTCACCCTGGATTTTTATTCAAAACATGCAATAAAACTAAACTGTATAATATAGCTAGACTGAACTGAATATAATACATGCAAACATTATGTTTAAGTAAACAAAACGCTGCTTAAAGACATATTCTGTATTTTTGGAGTGAGGCTACATGAGTTACAGGTCACCAGTATTAGCAGCAATGGATGCCGCTCAGTTCTGTTCCTTTCATGAGTTTTCTTTAAAAAGGGTCAAGTCTACCACATACATAAGCTACTTTTACATTTTGGATTAAGTGTGCGCACTACTTGGGAACATTTTAGCACTTGAGTTTGCACATTGAAAAGCATATTCATTTTTGCACTGTTTGTGGAGGAAACACACACACATAGACCATGATGTACGAGTCATTGATATGTTGTGAATTTTGCTGTTTTTGCATCTCAGTTTTGCATCATATAAAACACTAAATTCCCACAATTACCTAGCAGATATAGTTATGGCTGTAGAGTTATTTTCAGCTCTTAATGACTTTGGAGATGTCCATAAGGCTTCTCTGGTTTTCTGATTTAACTTGGTATCCAAGAAAGTCAGAAATGAACTGCAACATCTAGTACATCAGTGCACTCTAAATGATGGAAGTTGCAGCCTCATGTGAACCTCTTGTGCAATTTTATTTCCCAAAGATTCAGATGTACTGTTGTTACATTATCTTGCTCATGATAGCAAGCAGTTTCCTTGGTTTAAGTTTTCTTTTTCATTTGGTGCATTAAATCGCAGATGTCTGCAACAGAGCACATGTCATCATTGCAATCAGAATCACACATTTTTCATATTTTGGTCTCTTGGAAGCCCATTAAACCAAACAATTGGTCGGTACACTGTAGGCAGAAGAGCACGTCTTTGTTGCCTTCACGAAGAGTGCAAAATTAAACTGGCTTGAAAATTTTTTTGGTTTAATGTACACTTAAACATGGATAGGTGCTAACAAAATTAGCCAAAATACGAGACAGAGCTAGCCAAAAATAGAAGTATACATTGTGTTCAGTGAGTTACTAGTGACAAATAACCCATCCCTTGAAATATAAATGCTGAATGGTGATGTCTGACTAAATTGACAACTTAATCGACTAAAAATGCTCCAAAAACTTGTCAGGCTTAGCAAATCCATTACTTACTCTTTCACACGCAGCTGACAAAAGGTTACTCAAAATATCTGTTTTCTTCATCAACAAAGCCTTTCATCCTATTATCAGGGAAAGCTTTTTATAGCCCTGGCTCCCACAAACTGAATGCCACCAATGACTCTATGAAAGTAGAGAAGACAGCTCCCACAGCAGATGCACATGTCTAATTTGAGAGACTCCTGTGCAGTCAACTGTTCATGGATTTACAGAGGTCAAAACATGAACCCAACCCTGGGATTATGGTGGCTCTACTGTCAGCCCAGCGTCTGTGTTCTGCATCAGATCTCACCTGGAGACCATCATACAGTGAGCTCTTCTGCTAATGTACACCGTGTGTAAATGGAAACAGACAACAGCCTCTGACAGCCACAAACCCTCCTCTGCTGGCTCCAGTCCCAAAGTGAAGGTGAAAGAGAAGACAGGCAGGCTGCAGACTGTTTGAATTCCTTCTGCACCTGTCCTCCTTTTAAGTTAAATCAGTATGACGTGGCAATAAAAGCATCACCAAGGAGCCCCAAATCAACTGAGTAATGTTAAGCTGAGTCCTCACGCATGACCTTTTATTTAAGATTCTCAGCTTTTGAGTTTTTGCCCACGGTCTATAACAGCCTGGGCTCACGAGACAGCCTCTTGTCCGTGTCCACAGTACAGTACACATGGATCAATGGATATACAGTATATACTCCAATACTGTGGAGGATCTTCACATATGACCGCTGATAACAGCTGGAGCCACTGCTGGTCCGCTGAAGATTAGATGTTAACGAGAAATAGAACAGTGGATTAAAGGGATATTCCGGAGTAAAATTAATCAAACACACCATAACACTGAGTTAGACACCCCTTGAGAGATGAATGTTGCAGACTGCTTGCTTCTCTAGTTATACCAATTTTAGTAACGACAGCACAAAAGCAATACACAGCAGTCTGAGGAGCCATTGACAAACCTCAACCAAAACGCCACTCTATAGCCACAAATAATGCTCAGAACAGCACCTAACTTCATCAACTGTACATATAGGGTCCCAGCCACAGTACTAGCCACCAAACATCTTTTTTATCTTAGCTTGGTTTCTTTAGCAAAGAGACTAAATAGAACTTACCCACTCTCTTTTGGCAGCCACTTGTTTGTAGGAAGATCTCAGGTCAGTCCATTACGGACTACAGCGGGGTGACGCAGCTCAAGGAAGAACATTTATGATAATTTCTTTATCATTTCCTTGAAGTAATAATCATCATATTAATCATTTTGCACTACAGACACAGTAGTTCTTCTGCCTTAGCGTCTCAGTCTGATTGCATTTCCATGAAGAAATGATCAGAAATGTTCTTCCTTGAGCTGCGTCACCCCCCTGTAGTCTGTAATGGACTGGCCCAAGGTCTCCCTACAAACAAGCGTCTGCTGGAAGAGAGTAGGTGAGTTGTATTTAGCCTCTCTGCTAAAGAAATCAGGCAAAGCTCAAAAGATGTTTGGTGGCTAGTGCTATGCATGGGACCCTACATGTACTGTTGATGAAGTTAGGTGCTGTTCTGAGCATTATTTGTGGCTGTAGAGTGGTGTTTTGGTTTATGGTTGTGCTTGGCTCCTCTTACCGCTGTACATTGCTATCATGCGGTCGTTAATAAAGTTGGTATAACCAGAGAAGTAAGCAGTCGGCAACATTCATCTCTCTCAGTGTCTAACTCGGTGTTTAACGCCAGACTATCCCTTTAACTATTATTATATTCATGTGTAAAGCTCAAACACTGACCTCTAAAGGACACCATCAAAGGGCTGTATCCTTGGTTGAGAGAGGCTAAGGGTGTAACAGCCTATAAATTATTTAAACAATGGTCCTGTATAGAAAACATCAATCTAGATCGTCATATTTAGCGTGCACTTTGTATTGAAAATCTTTGATTGCTATGCAGTTTCTGCTTCACTCAAAGACCATTTCGCCTCCAAACACCAAAGCCGGTAATAAATGACTGATCAATACAATTCAGACTAAATGAACCAGAAAGAGAAACAAAAACACTTAAACTATCAGACTCCTGTGTGTACAAACTCTACACTTTTGATATTTAGATGAAGATTTCTACCTGTCAAATCTAGCCAGTAGAGTTTATATGCAAAACAATTCATTTTCAACTGATCTTGTCTTGTGTTTATAACATGTTGCAAGAAAAATAACAGATTATAAAGACAGACAGGCAGACAAACAGACCATATTCCAAGCATCATTTCACAATTCCTGGCTTGCTTAAGTAATTATCCTCCTCATTATTAGCCCTGAAACCTTTCATTAGAGGCTAGTTTACTGCCGCTGGTTTGGGTTTCATTCTCAGTCCAACAACGTGCACCACAGGACTCTTGGCAGAAGACTGACAGTTTATTGTGTTTATTTGCTGCTGCCTTGTTCCAACAGTACTGTTCCCACCAAATGACCCAGAGAAGAGGAGGATACACAGCAGAGGTCAAATAAACCACTCATGCTGAGCGTGAGTCCACATAGACTCACTGCTTCAGCTGTTTTTAGCTGTAACTGGCTCTTCAACACAGAAACAACAGAGCAGGTTACTTCTCTGGAGAAACTAGATAAAATATCAACTAAAGGTCTTCGTGACACACAAACCAAGGCTTGTTACTATGACGCTGTGTCCCCCATCACCCCTGCCAACATCAAACAAACCCAGAGTTAGTTCACAGCTCCCTTAACAACAGTAGAGTGGATCTACAGTCACTGTGCTGGAGGTAAAATCAGGGCCTGGGTGGATTTTAGAGAGACATGTAAAAAAGGGATTTCCCACAACTCTGCATGTATGATCCCCCCCTGGAGCTCTGCTGAAGGACTTGGATATGTGAATGAGATCAGGTAAGAGCAGTGACCGGGCTTTAATCATTGCTGGAGAGGTGCTGAAAGGTTGTGTAATGAACTGTAACCCTAACCCTAACACACACACACACATGTTTTCTGTTAAAATGTGGTTGATAATCCTGCTTTTCCAGGAGACTGAGACTAAATGGCCTGAATCAGCTCCAGAGATGTGTGCCCTCTGTTTTCCTTTAAAATGTGTTGGGTTGTTAGAATGGCCTTGTTAAAAGTGATGAGTGTAAAACTGTTGGCAGTCCTGTCCCACGGAAGAAGGACTCATCCACTATTATCTGTCATATCCTATATGTGGTACAGACAGCACCAATGGTGTAAGAGTTACGTGTAAACACAACTGTCATTGTCTAAATCTGACGAAACTTTTGCAGAAAGTTGAGTGACAACAACTCTGTGGGGCAAGAAAAAAAATGAGTTGTGGACAAACACAGAATGTAAATTTTTCTCCCCTTCGAAAAGCACTCTGTTTGACACGCAAACAATCAGCCGGTCGGCCATGTTGGAATCTGACGTCGCAACAACACGCAATCTGATTGGTCAGAAGGGGACACTCAGTATGCGAAACTTCAGAAAAATCGACCATGATCTGAAAAAAATAAATGCAGGATGGGAAAAAGTCGCTGATGTGAACGATTGTATTGACAGGATACGGGTTCAAAAAAAAATATTGACGTCTGAAATAATCGCACGACAAAAACGGTCCATGTGTAAGGACCTTAGGAAAAACAATGGCAAATAGACATAACACAAATGAATAAAGAATCTTCATCAAGTTGACAATACATGAGTAGCATTTAAAATGTGCTTTAAAACAACAATATAGCTTTTACGCATATCTTTGCCAAATACCACATCGGTTGTGTAGTTGTGTCATCATATTAGGCTGGGATGTGGTTGTGTCTCTTCACTTGGAGTAGGTTTTCTCACAGCTTTGTCAAAGTTTGGAAGATAGGATTATTATGTTTGCAGTGTTCTCCAATATCATGTGTTTCTATAATTTGCACCTTGTTTAGTTTTAAGGCAATCTAGTATTGATTTTATTTAGTTTAATTTATTTATTTATTTAGCTTAAGGATTTGTTTTTGCAAAATCAGTCAAGGTACAGGATTCCTGCAAAAAAAACCCTGCATGCATCTAGATGAAAATGATCAAAACAACCACTTTAAACACTAATTCACAACCAAAACCAGACCTGTATTTGATGTCTGCATGGTATATACTGAGCACAACATGCATTGCATATTGTAAATGTCCTCCAGTCAGACATCCAGTCCTCGGTCATTAGGCATCGTTTACCCCAGCATGGTAAAACCCTCTTCAATTAAAATGGTTTAAACTGCCCTCAGAATTATGTGGTGTGTGGCATTCATTTTTTAGACTAGTTTCACAATCATATTAAAGACAGTAATTCACACGCAGTCCTGCAGCTTGACTATATTGCTTGCAGACTCATCTAGGGCTCACAATGAGTCTCTCTAAGCCACAGTTATAATGGACTATTCACCACAAAACTGCAAAGCTCTTAAAAGCTGCTCAAAGTGCAGAATTTTTACCAGTTTGTTATTCAATTCTTCACTGAAAGGACAACTGGACTTGTTTGAGGTTCTTGAAGATGTTTGGCTTTCACTGTTCAAAGATTTTGTAGTGAATAGACTTCCTTGAAAACACTGTATCTCCCCCAGTTTGCCAAGTTTTGTTGATTGAGATGCTTTCAGAGTTCTTATAACAGAAGACAGAATTTGTCCTTCAATGACCACAAAAAGGGATGATGTGAAAGAAATACTAAAGACTTTATAGTTACAAACCTATCTTGTGCATGCATAGGATTCTGGAGGGATACCATTGACTGTTCTCTCCACCCAGACCCCCAAAAAGCCAAGACGTTTATTTGTTTTTCATCAAGGCTCCTCGTTCCTACAGAACTGACTTGGACACTTTATTGCTGCAGGCGCTAAAGCTTCTCCAGAGACTCATGGTAAAACAAAAAACCTCAATAAAAGCACCTTTCATCTTTTCTTATGCATCTCTTTATGTAAAAGTGCTACAGATTTACTATGAATGTCCTCCTATGTGTGCTGAGTAAAGAACATTCGAGCCAGACCATGTGGTTGACACATTACATGAACATATTGAACCCAGTGTAAATCCTGGTTCCACTTAGTGTATACGAACAATAGAGCCAAAAGTTTTCAGGAATGTTTCATGTCCATAATGTTAAATTCAGTGCAGATTCTGGGGAGCAACTTTGATGTGTTTTCTTTCTGTGAGACGTCTCTTCTGAAAATGTAGAAAAGAGAAGGAACAGCCCTTTTTTTTATCATGTCATCATCTGAGATTTAATCATCTATGACAAGTCCTATAAAACTGTTAATTCGTTGGCTTTAAACCAAACAGTACAAAAGGACTCACGAAATGTACTCTATAAGTTGTGAGTCATGTAGTCTAACTGGCTTGACACCAACTGTGATTGTGTGTGTATATATGTGTGTGTATGTTCTGACTTTGCAGATGAACAAGAGTGGATAAATGAGGGAGTGTGGAGCAGCAGATGAAAACATGTACGCTCACATTGATCAGAGGAGGAACTCTCAGTCCAAACCCTTCCATGAGAGCACAGAGTTCACTTTGCTTCCACAAAGGCCGCGGTCCTCTGGAAACACACGGCTCTCCTCCAAATCAGAGTTCCTGGGTCTGCAAGGTGACTGCATGATATCTGTCAAATCACATGAGACGGCATATTATTATTTCATGCCATACCAATTTTATTGATTATAAGAGTTGTTAGATTACATTTTCTACTTTTGCACGATATTTATTTACTATTGATGTCTCTGAATGTCTCATTTGTGAAACAGCTTAAAGGGATATTCCGGAGTAAAATTAATTTAGGGTCAAACACAGCAGAACACTGAGTTAGACACCCCCTCAAGAGATGAATGTTGCCGACTGCTTGTTTCTCTAGTTATACCAACCTTGGAAGACCTCAGACGAGTCCATCACCAACTGCAGCGAGGTGACGCAGCTCAAGGAAGAACATTTATGATCATTACTTTATCATTTCCTTGAAGTAATGATCACCATGTAAATCATCAATTGCACTGCAGACGTGGTAGTTCTTCTACATTAGCGTCTCGGTCTGATTGTATTTCCACGAAGAAATGATCATAAATGTTCTTCCTTGAGCTGCGTCACCCCACTGCAAACGGTGATGGACTCGTCCGAGGTCTCGCCACAAACAAGCGACTGCAATGCCATTGTTGTTGAAATGCAATGACTGTTGCTTTAATTATTACAGTAACTAAGACATGAGGTTCTACCCCTGTATTTTCATTGATAACTATTTCAGTGACCCTATTTGAAATATCCATTATGTTTCAGAAGAAAACATTAAAATGTGCATTCATTGATATTGTGGGAAAGAAATGCTGGTATCTGGGAAACTAGGCAGGGCTTTGTTATATCATGAACAATATACATGTAAAAGATATCTATGGCTCTACTATAGGGTGACCATACTCTGAATCCCTTAAAAGAGGACACGACTACACAGGGGTTGAGTCTCTCAAAGTTAATCTTGAGAGTTCTTCGGGTCAGATCGAGTGTCTTTTATGTGCTCCTAACTCAGTAAGTCTACGTGACACAAATTCAAAACTTCCATACAAAACCTCAGACATTTGAAGGATTTTATAAACTTCCTTGGACAGAGCCGGACAGCCCCCCAAAAAGAGGACATGTTCGGGTAAAAAAGGACATATGGTCACCCTAATCTATGAACCCAAAAATTGCACTGTTGTTCCAAGTCATGTAGCCCACTCATGGACAAGTGAAAATTTTACATGTCATCTTTACATGCTCATTTTGTTAGCATCCACACACCTGCTGTATTCAGGTCTGGTGATATCTTGATATGCAGAAATTAAAATGGTAATTTAACCATCCTGTCACAGTGCGGGGGTTCTGCTGTCCCCTCCAGCAGAGGCCCAGCAGCAGCAACAGCAGCAGCAGCAGCAGCAGCAGGACTGCAAACAGGGTGACACCACAGAGTCGAGGAGGAGGAGGAGAAAGTCTTACACTGCCGAACAGTCCAACAGGAAGGCTGGGCAGCAGAGGAAAACCAGCATCCAGGACCAGGACTGAGCACAGACCAGAGATGACCCCAGGTGGAGGTGGAGCTCTCTGCATATGCCCTCAAAGAGATCCAGTCAGTGAAACAGCAGGTGAAAAAGACAGACATGGTCTTTTGTTCATATCTCAGTGGAGTAGCTCCTTTTACCACACAAGCATTGGTATTTTGCTCATTTGTTCTTGTCATAAATACAGGAGACAAAACAGATCAGATCAGACTCCAGGTTATTTTTTCTCACAGTCTCTCAGGGCACTGGTAGATTTCTAACAGGCCAGCACTTTAAAACCATTAGATGTCACTGGTATAATCAACACAACCAAATCCAGATTTGACTTTGGATTAAGAGCAACAACAATGTCATCTCTATTGTCTTACTGTATCTGGAACCAATATGTTCCCTTTCCTTTCATAATAAGGACTAAAGCTGCTGTTTACGCACTCTCCTTACCACTTAAAAGGCCTTTCTAAGCAACACACAAACATGACAGCTTCCATCTGCCTGCAAATCCACATAATCATGTCCAGACAACGCGAATTCTTCTCCTTCTTCTGGCTTCAAGCAGTAACAGCTGGGCTTGTTTTCTGATGACTCAAAAAAAACAAAAAAACAATCCAATTTATCGCCAATCGACATGAAAGTTTTTCTATTTTGCATTCTTTTCTCTATTATTTGGATTAAGGGCAGTGTGTGTTCCTGCTGCAGTTTGGGGAACTGCCTTTTGGATATCCTCTTGAGATAAGCAGACACAGTTGTTCAGATATTGTTAAGATCCATCTTTTTTCCTTTCTCTTTTTTGGCATGTTGTAAATGACATCTGCATCATGAATGTGAGCCGGTCGAATCTCTGACCGTAGTTCAAAATTCTCCCCAGACACTCCCACAACCCCCAGCATAGAAAGACGGGCTCTACATGCACAGCCCGGCGCCACAAAGGTTTCGGAGCTTCATCTGTATCTGCCTTCTTCGCTCATGGATGATGAGGAGCAGGATGCACAGACAGCAGAGATGAGGTATGAGTTGTCAGAGGTGGTGCTTGGGTGTGGAGGCTGTTGCGAATCATAAAAGAAGCCATCTGCTCCACTTTCACGAAATGCTCATTGAAAATCTTTCACGTCACATCTGGGGTTTTTACCCGTCTTTCCAGAAACTGGAACACTGCTCCAAATTCGGTCTCAGAGGTGATGTCAGAAGGAGGGTGGGGGGACAAAAATATTTTCCCAAGCAATTAGAACAACTGCAGAGCATGTAAAAGCATGCCCACTGGGTCTACATCAGATCTGTTTTATCCATGGAGTCATTCTGTGCAACAGAAAGCCAAAGAGGATGAGGTTTACAAAATTTCTAAGAAAAGGGGTCCTGCAAAACCTCAATAAAAAGGTGAATGGCAACTCAGGGATTTTTACAGAAAAGGGCAACCTCATAAACCTGGGAGAGGTACCACTTGATTTAAGAGATTGGCCCTGCAAAATGAAAAGGTATCCACACAAAACATCTATATTCATTTCACAACACATGCACACAGTTTGAGGAAAACAAGCTGCACACCACAGCGCTACAAAATACTACAGAACTACTACCACATAAAGACGGCGAGACAGACAAATACCACACCAAAACCATAAACACAACACTGAATATAACCAAACACCACAACAAAACCAATTAACACAACATGACAACATGTGATTATATAACCAAAGACGGGCTTTACACCATAATTATTACACAGCAAAGTACCACAATATATTACAGGACAACCAGAAAGCCCAATTAGCACAACACAAACAAGCAACTTAAAAAATATTACGTCTGACTGCGTTGACATGTTAATGTGTCAATCAGAGTTCAGTTAAGGTCAAAAAACATTTTTTAAGTTCATTTTTCATTTTTTTTTTATTTAAATAAGCATGACAATCAGATCAATGCAAAGAAATTAAGTAGTTACTTCTACCCTTTTTGCACACCCTAATTAAGTGTGAAATCGTTCATTGTGCTGCATGTTATGTTTATGCACGACTGCATATTTCTTCATCTGTAACAGTGTTAAACTTAGAATAAACTTTTACCAAATAAGTACTCTGATGTTGCGTTCACACCAAACGCAAATAAAATCATCTACTTACTTCACGCATATCTGGACGTGCAAATATCGTGCGTTGATATGTTTGTATCACGTCTGCAGAGAGTCCAAACCAAAGACTGTATATAGAATGGACAACGTGATCTCGCTTGTCTCCGTACGAATTTGAAGCCAAAATGCGCCCTGTATTTCCAAGAATTTCTCCATCTCCTGAAACCGGCATTTACACAGTGATGACGCTTTGCTCAAACAATGTAGCCCCCAGATATCCTACATAACCATCTTATGCCCATAGATTGTCAGCTTAGTTAAAAACACTCCCTCTCATCGTGACCGAGGCTTGTGAAAACACAAAATAAGTTTCACTTCTCGTCTTGTGTTAAATATCAACATAATTGTGTAATTTGCATGTATGATCTACTCTATTCTTGGGTATAGTGTGCTAAATTTGAACCCTTAGCATTGCATCATTCATGTCGCCGAGTAGAACACACGTCTTATCGCATCTTTGCGAGTTATTCACTCACACAAATGGTTTTACTTTCGTTTGGTGTGAACGCAACACCAAGCTGTTCCTACTTCTAAGTCGTGGTTTCAGAGCACACTAATGTTGCAGTGCATTATTTATGTGAATAATAAACCTAAAGGTCAAGACCATAAAATGCATTTTGTTGCATTCGATTTCCAAATTGATAACCAAGTATGAATTGCTCGGCCCTGCCCCTGAGCAGAGTTTGATTTGGAAGTTCCCTTTACACTGTAAGTTCTCTGTGTGTGTGGCTTTGAGACCAATGAAAACTTAGTCTTCATATGCTTTAGATAAAAGGCTACCTCCTTATTGCATTTATTAGTGCAAATAAACCCTCTCCTGTGGCAACAGCTTTTTTTTTCCATGATCTGCATGATTTTCACTTGATCTTCATTAGGAGAACCACACTGTAAACACAAGAACAGTACAAATACAAAAACACATGCAGAGTTAAAAAAAAACCAAATGCAACAATAGCAAGATACTGAAAATGACATAACATGCTGCAAAAAGTCAAAACATCTGCATAAACTGCTTGCACAATTCGGAAACACACAAACAGAAACACACAAACAGCAAATCTGACAGCGGAACTGCTCTAGGCCTCAAGGGGGGCTCAGTGAAGCGGCTTTTAGCAGCACCACCCCATTGTATCTACAGCTGTATAAAGCTGAGGTCTCCGAGGGGACTTGACTTTCACTGTATGTTTCTGTGCTCCTTGCAGGACTACAGCAGAGGACACAAACAATGAGAATCCTATAATCCCCTCTCACCCTTCACACACAAGTCAGGATGAAACTAACATAAGATCTCAGCTCCACATCACGTCTTCTGGAAACATCACACAGAAGGACTCAGAGCAGAGCTGAGGTGCAAAGTGTTGAGGACAGCAGAGCTTCTAGGAGATAACAGATAGGGCCGACGTGACCTGACGAACCTTAGGAGAGAAAACAGCAATGGGAAACCAGGCCTAGATTGATAAGGTCTGCAGCTGTGCACTGATGGAGGCCCCACTCATGACTTGAAAAAAAACAGGGTCACACTGGGGAGAGAAATAAGAGCATGTATGTCCTGCCAAGCAACTGGAGAAAAAGCAGAGGTTTCTAGATGTCTGTAGATGACAGGCATGAAAGAAAGACAAAGCTGACTTTAAACGGCACAGGTGTTTGAAAGAGAAGCCAGATGGGAACTATTTACTTTATGACTACTGTACAAGAATAAGTTTGTGACATGACAAGATCTACAAGGATTCTTGCTGCTTGACAAAGAGATGTGTTTGTTTGAAAAATAAAAGGGCTGAAGACATGAAGTGACAAAAATCACCTTTTTAAAAAACACTCAATTTAAATATTGTGGCCCCATAAAGCTGTAAGACCCCTTTTCCTTATTACAAAGCTTATGAGAAACAATTTTCAGATTTTTAGAACAATCAAGAATGATTCAAAGCTGAATTGATAAAAGAGTCATTTGCTTTTGTGGTTTAAAAAAAAATCAACAACTATAATAGGAAGTATAAAACAACGTAAATTTGGGTGCAATAAGTAATTCTAGGTAACACTTTACTTGATGCTTATCTCCATAACGCACTGTAAATACATTTATAATGCGTTATAATCACGTTATAGCCCTGTATAACTATAGTTATAAACACTCATAAATGATCATAATGCTTTATAGCAATAATCATAACACATTATAAAGCATTTTATTATGACTTACAAGGTCAGGTATTATAATATGTTATAACTGTTAACAACTCACTGACAATGCCCACATAGATAATATGTTATACATATATTTATGATGTGTTATAATTGGCTTTATAACAATAAGAATAACCTATTATAATACCTGACCTTGTAAGTCATGATAAAATGCTTTATAATGTTGTTATGATTATTGTTATAAAGCATTATGATCATTTATGAGTGTTTATAATGATAGTTATACAAGTTTATAAGCAAATTATAACACATCATAAATATATGTATAATGTATTATCTATGTGGGCATTGTCAGTGAGTTGTTAACAGTTATAACACATTATAATACCTGACCTTGTAAGTCATGATAAAATGCTTTAATGTGTTATGATTATTGCTATAAAGTATTATGATCATTTATGAGTGTTTATAACAACAGTTATACAGTGCTATAATGTGATTATAATGCATTATACATATATTTATTATGTGTTATAGAGATAGGTGTCAAGTGAAGTGTTACCGTCTGATCAAAACTTTATTTTGTTATAACACTAACATATTGTGATTATTTTTCTGTTATAGGCATTTCATTTAATAAAAAAAAATAATATAAAATTAATTGACTAAAGTTAAAATGATTTACATGCAAATTAAACAATCATACCAAAAGACATTTCTCATTTCTTGCTGAGTAAAGCTTTACAGAGCAGAAGCCTGTCAATTCTGGGGTGACTGTAAAGCAGCTACACCATCTTAACTCTGAGCCCTCCGTGGGACACGACACCTCTAGGCCAATACATTTGACACACTCAGACTTCCTGTGAGGTTTGCTGCTGCTTATCCTTCACAGTGTGTCATGTCTGCATAGTGTCTCCTCGCTGGCCGTCTCTCGGTACAGAGGTAGCAGACCATACACCACACACTGTGCTCCGGAGAGATCTGGACTCCACTGCTGCTTCGAAAAGGCCTCAGAGCGCAGGAGCCTGTGAACACAGTGGAGGACAGATGTCTTTGTTTCACTCATCATAAGATCAAATGCAAAGCTGTATTCACACATGCACTGTGTAAAAGATAAACTGCCATATCTCTGTTTTACTGTAATGAGACAAAATAAACAAAAAGAATTCATCATGCTTTATTTGCGTCTCATTTGAAAGTTTTTTTGCTCTTAATAAGACAGGTTGAAAGTGAGACTGATGACCCCATATACACCACAAAAAAAAAATTGCTTCTTTAATGGATTCCTGCCTACCCCACCTTTAAGTTTTCTATAAGGGGTGGGATTTATGACCTATACTGTAGCCCGTCACCAGGGGGTGCTGTTCTCACAGAGGCTTGACCCAGTGAGGAGACAGAAGCAGTCCTTTCTATTTACAGTCTATGATATCAAACATTAGATTCTGTAGATCGACATACATTTCAGTCAAGTTCTTCTATTTTGTATTTTTATCTACAACATCATTATACTGTTGAAATATCACAAAGAGGAATACCGAGGATAAAGTATGCAGCAGCACTGATGGAGAGGATTATGAGGAAAATAGTGCCCAGACCCAGATCTCCCATGGCACAGGCATTCGGACATGCACAAGGACTCTCCACCCAGATCTGCAGGGGCTCCTCTGTGCTCAGAATCAGGTCCTGGATGTAGGACGTAGACTGATTTGGGTTGCAGTGGTAATGCACCACTGTGAGTGGCTGCTGCTCATGAGCTGGACAGAAGAAGACGCACTCTTAGTTCATCACACAACACAGAAGAAAAAGCAGTGACTTGATATATACACAATATTTGGTCTATCACTCACAAAAGTAGGAGACAGACAGTGTCCTTAGGGTGTCGTTGTAGTGGAATTCATTCCCCTCGTGTCTTCCATAGCTGAAGTAGCGGCTAATAAATCTGTTGAGCTTGTGATACCTTTTCATAGGGTGAAATATCATATGACAAAAACAGAGGTTTTCTTCCTAATTTTAAGACCAGTAAAACATACAAATCAGCAATAAAAGTAATCATTAGTAAACAAAAGCAGGTTTATGAATGCTCAAGGGAACAATAGAGGCATCAAAAGGTACAAACTTAATTACAAACTTGTTGGATTGTGATGATTTGCAAATACTTGAAATCATTTCCTTCAGTATCATGCAAAACTGAAGTTGAAATATGTGTTTGTTTTTGAAAATTATGTCAATTTTAGGTTTCATGCAAAAACGATTAAAAAAAAAAGTTGGGACAGGGATGAGAAAATATTTGAAAAGTTATGTAATACTATGAGAACCACCAGAGGGAACATCTTCCAACTTGAAAGGTAATTTGAAACTGCCAGTCTGTCCATCTGTGCCTTTCTCAGGGAGGAACTTTCATATTTAAGCACAACAAAACTCTGCGTCTAACAACAGCAATCAAGAACAGCAGCGTAGAAGAGTCCAGGTGTCAAACTGGCCTCCCCAAAGTCCCAACTTGTCACCCATTAAAAACTAGTGGTGTATTGCGACACAAAGAAACCTGATGGAGGAAAGCGCTAACTGTTGAGCAGCTGAAATCCTAAATCAAGACTGGGACAAAAGTTTACTTTACAACCCCAGAAACTGGTCTCCTTGGTTCCCAATCAGTCACAGAACAATGGTAAACCTGCTCCTGTGATGCATGTTGCTGGTATGAAATTCAAAATGTGGATGTATATCTTATAAAAAAGTAAAATTTTTTAGTTCCAACATATATGTCATCTTTACACTATTCTCGATTATGTATAGGTTTTACATATTAGGTCTCAACCATCAAATTCTTTGTTTTATCAATATTCTACACGACATAGGAACTCTTTTTGGGCCCTGCCTGAAAACAAAACAAAAATGTCTGACTGATAGAAACTCATTTTGGATTAAAAAGCTGAAAAAACACAACATAACAGTACAACAACCCAGTTATATCATATACATTTTAGCTCCAGGTTTCGTCCTCTTTACCTGGCAACGAGGCATGCAGCAACGTTGGTGCAGTCGGCTCCTGTCAGCTCCTCTGGCTGAGAAAAAGGTTGGCAGGGACTGAAGGACAGGAGGAGCTCCACATCGGCTGGCAGGTTCTCTGTGGACACAGGTCTCAAACGCCCCAGGAAACCGTCTGCATCTCCCATAGCTTTCAGGTTAATCACACCGCTGCCATCTTTCATGATGCATTTACAGTTGTTGACTTTGAAGCAGCCTGATTTCTTAGCCGATTGTGGATGTGAGGAGGGGGACGAAGAGAGCAAACAAAAACAAGAGAGTGAGAGAGTGAAGAAGGCAGTTCGGAGGCTCATTGTGACAGTCTGCACCACCGCAGGGGGAAAAGTGACAAGTTGTGTGTAGTGGGGGTAACTGCAGAGCAGCTGACAGCATGGTGATGGTAGGAAAGTAATTAGAATAAAGGTGATTGCCATTCCGGGCATTCCTGAGGCCCACCGTGCTCAGATCAACATCTTTCCAAACACAGCAAAACACAGGCGTGCAACCCTAAGAAGCCTGCAGGACAGAGGGACTGTGGATCATCTAGACTAACTGTGATCATTTTACCTGAGGTACTGAGGTGCTTTATAAGGCCGCTGGTCTTTAAGGTAAAGCCTAAGTAGAATTATGTTGAACATGCAGTCTTTGTCATAGGAAACAGGGGTGACTTCAATGGCTATAACAAAATGTAATGCATGGCATGTAAACTTAGGGAAAAGGTTGGTTTTTGCCATTTTTAGTTTTGTGTGATGTTCAATGAGGGGATTATAGTCCTACAAAAATCCTAATAAATCTCAACTGCGTTCAAACAACCGCAGAAATGGCTAGAAAGAAGCAACTGAGTAAAGAAACAAAAGTACAGATTCATACACTGAGGAAAGAAGGATACACAGAAAGAGAAATTGCAAAACGCCTAAAGGTGTTTAACAAAGGAGTCCACTACACTCTGAAGAGACTAGAGGAACCTGGAAGTTATGATGATAGAAAAAGACCTGGACGAAAGAGAGTTACTACAAAAGCAGAGGATAAACATAGCATTGTCACCAGTAAGAGAGATGGGCGAAAGACGGCACCAAAAATAAGGGAGGAAATCAACATGACAAGGTCAAAACCCATATCTCTGACAACTGTGAAAAGACGTTTGAGAAAAGCTGGTCTGAAGGGTTGTGTATCTGCAAAAAAACACTACTTCGTCCACAGAATAAGAAAAAGAGATATGAGTGGGCAAAAGCTCACAAAAATTGGACTTATGATGACTAGAAATAAGTTTGCACTGTTTGGTTCAAAACGCAGAGTCTATGTCTGCAGACAAACTGGTGAACGTCTGAAAGCACCATGTGTTACACCAACAATTCAGCATGGAGGTGGTAGTTCCATGGTATGGGGATGTTTTGCAGGTGATGGAGTAGGAGATTTGTTTGAAGTAAAGGGTATCATGAAGAAGGAACAGTACCACTCCATCCTCCAGCACCATGCTGTTCCATCTGGACTCAGACTTGTGGGTCATAAGTTTATTTTGCCATCACAGAAAGAGAGGCCATCACAGAAAAAGCAAAGACCCATCCACCAGCCTGCATCAAATTACAACTTTTAAGGTTGGAATCATTGAACTGTTTCTCGAATGGGTTAAGATCACCGTCATATTGGGACTAAAAAATGTGTGGAAATGTGCTGCCCTCCTGTGGTCGCATCACTTCATTAGCTGCAGACAAGCACACAAGCTTTTAAATGCTACCATTGAAGCATAACTATGATGGTCTTCAAAATAATGTTTTTAGTGATAACAGTTTTGTGCAAGACCAGTTTCCCAAACTCTGTGCTTGTTTAGATAATTTTACACCGAGGATGTGGACTGAGATACTGACAATGACATGCTTATAATAGAGAGGGTTCAATTTGACCAGTGCATTATGTCAACAGACTTTGAACATCAATAGGGTGAAATCTTTTTTACATGCAAATTCCACATCCTGATTTACACAGCTGAGGGAAATGCCTCTGCCCTGCTGAGCACAATAACCATGTCACATGTCCTGATCTAAAGCTATCCCTTAAAACAGATTGATGACAACTCTGAACAGTAACTGTTTGGCACCATGAGTGACCTGCCCTTGAAATGTTCAGAAAAATTATACTGATAAAATCAGTCAGTAGCCAAATTATTCTGGCAAACAAGTGAGTTATTGGTGTCTAATTTAAAGGAACAACAAAACACATCAAGTCTGGTCTTCACGGTGCAGACACTGCATGCGCATTATTTTTTATAATTTTGAATGGTAGGACAATATCCCACAACAGCCTGGAGAACCAGGTATTTATATATTGGTATTGATCATATTTGCTTTTAAGTGGAATTAAGTCAGAAGAATAACAAAGACACATTTCTGGTGTTTTACTGATTTTATTTTATCAATAGAAAAAGCCTCTAAGCTTTGACAGCAAATTTGCGGATGGAGTAGAGGAGGTCTTTCCTCTGCTGCTTCTTGGTGCGCAGGCTCTCTTCATGTTTGTTGAGCCGGCGGCGCAGAGCTCTGGTCTTCTTGGGTCTCAGATCCAGGGGCTTGTACTTCTTGCCCTAAATGATATTTAAATTTCAGTACATCTTCAAAACTGACAAGAGTGGAAAACATGAAAAACTTGACTATATTTATATTTTTTTACTGCAACAAGGGTTTAGTATTTTCAGTTCAGTTGTTTTCCCAAGAGCATATTGCAAGGAAATGTCGCCATTGTTTTAACATGTTCAAAGCTGGGAATAAACACTTGTTTAAGTGAGAGGCCAGCTCAGGCAGACATGCAAGAGAAGGTGAAAATACCACACCGCCATTGCCATGTTCATTATGTTTAAACAGACTGCAAATTATCAACTCAAGACATCACTCTGAAAGGGCTTTGACTTCAAGCACAGCAGGTTTATCAAGCTCCAGGCTTTATTAAACCATCACCAGGTCTTTTAGACATCCATAAAGAGGTACAAATGTTACTAAAGTGGTAATGCTGAGCTTAGCAAACAGTCACATCCAAATAATGCCTTGAGATTCATAATCTTGCAGCCCGGGTAAACATAGCCATGGTTAAGTTGGAACATTCCGGTATTCAGAGTCTCAGTCTTTTGGTAAGCGTTGTGAATGCATCAGCAAAACATCAGCTCACAGGTATCATCTTAGACAAGAGCACCAGGTCCCGAGCAGTTAAGGCTTTGTGTACAGTTAGTAAAAATTATAAAAATGGTGCCAAATTTCTCTTACCTTGTAGAATTTCCTCAAGTTCTCCTTCTGTGTCTGGTTGATTACAGTCAGGACTCGGGCGATGGATTTGCGGACAACACGGCTGTAATGAACAAAGTGAAACTATGGGTCAGTTTGCTGTTCATAGTGGGAAACAAAGGCTCTTCAATTCTTTCTTTAGGGGAATTTTACACCTATTACAATTTGTCTGCTCTGTGTCATGTACAAAAGGTGTAAAGGTGGGACAGAGTAGCTCTACCTTTTGACCCTCCCCAGGTAGCAACAAAAGCCGACTGGGTAGAGGTAGGTGGTGAACACATCAGTGGAACCAGTTCTACCTACTTGATCAGATATATAAAACAAAACATGCAAAATATGGTGCTGTCACTGATGCCACAGGAAAAGGCCGCTGTGCCAAAGCATCAAACTAGACTTTCAAAAGGCGAGACATATATCCTCGAGGAGTGACAAGCCCGAAACATCTGCAGAGATGGGGGTTCAATTCATAGGTCTACACAGTCACTCCATCCCTGTAATGGGGAAAATAGGTTTGTTCCACCTTTCAACCCTGGCTGTTTGCAGCGCTTTCAAGTGGTACTAAGATTTATATTCAAGTATACTTTAATTCCAATACAGCACTAAGAATGATTGTGACTTATTCTGTGGGTAAATCTAGAGCTCAACTCGGCTTACAGCAATGGTAGCTGGAGCAAGTTGGATGGTAGAGGCTGAAGATGTTATTGTAGCTATAAAAAGTTCTGTTATCTTCACAAATACAAGTATCAGATTGGGACAGAGACAGATACTTTTTTCAGAAGTTGGATCAAAATGGCAACCAAAATAAATGTGATAAGGTCACCCTTTTGTCTGTCTGACATTTTTAATACTAATGTATGTTAGCTGACTACTTCTTACTTTTCCTTCATTCTTTACAGCTTTTGCCCATTACAACGATCAGTAAACTGGTGTGATTTCACTCTGCAGCCATTAGTCATATTGATGGTTTGCACTTTGAGACAAAATTTACAACCTTCAAGACCTGAAGCTCATCTGACAAAGGACTCAGGAGTGAAACTTTGTTAAAGGGAAGTCACTTTTTTTGGATGAACTGTACAGGTGATACAGGGTGTCAGACAAATTAAAGACAAAAACCATGTCAGCAGAGTCCAGCTCTGGATTGGCATTTGAAAAATTTGCATAATGTCAAAACTACATAATCTCAGTGTTGCACACTAGCTCTCTCCCTCTTTCTGTTGGTACCCAGTGTGTAAATCAAGTAATCATGGTCATATGAACACACTGCCATCAAACTTTGTCAATTTATTCCTTGGCTTTTAGCTCAGCATGAGAGTTGTGCGATCTGTCCTTTTATGTCTTTTATGATCCGTTTATCACTTTTATTTCTTTTAAGCTTTTGTGTTTTTATATTATTTTAAACGTTTTTTTTTACCTGCTTTTATCTATTTCATCTTGATGTTTTCTGTAGTGTTTATTCTTTTAATTCTATCCTGCAGCACTTCAGTAAACTTGAATGTTTTTTTTTTAAATGTGCTATATAAATAAAGTTGATTGGATTGGATTTATATTCCTTGACTGTGATATTTCTTTGCCTTTAAGATGTAGCCCTTTGAGATCTCTTGATGTAAATGGCACTACAAATAAAATGTATTAAATATTTTTATTTTTAAACGTGTAATAAAAGCAGAAGGATTTTTTGGGGCCGATAATTATCACCAGAGGTCTTTTAGACATCTATTAGGAGGTAGAAATGTTACTTAAGTGGTAATGCTGAGCTCAGCCAACAGTCACATCCAAATAATGCCTTGAGATTCATAATCTTGCAGCCCGGGTAAACACAGTCATGGTTTAGTTGGAACATTCAGGTATTCAGAGTCTCAGTCTTTTGGTAAGCGTTGTGAATGCATCAGCAAAACATCAGCTCACATGTATCATCTTAGACAAGAGCACCAGGTCCCAAGCAGTTAAGGCTTCGTGTTCTGTTAGTACAAATGGTACCAAATTTCTCTTTCCTTGTAGAACTTCCTTAAGTTCTCCTCCTGTGTCTGGTTGATTACAGTCAGGACTCGGGCGATTCCTTGGCTTTTAGCTCAGCATGAGAGTTGTGTGAACTCTGTCCTTTTATGATCCGTTTATCACTTTTATGCTGTTGTGTTTTTATTTCATTTTAAACGTTTATTACCTGCTTTTACCTATTTCATCTTGATGTTTTCTATAGTGTTTGTTCTTTTAATTCTATTGTGCAGCACTGATCATCTCAGTAATATTCCACTGCGTTTAAAAAGCGTTTAAGGGATAAGTCGGGGGACTTTTTAGATGGCAGAACATTTATTCTCCACATTTTATTTCAGAAAATATCGGCGAAAATCGGCGAGTTTTGACCGATTACCGATTAGTCTCAAACGGGCTAAAATTGGCTGATTTAATCGGCTCGCCGACAAATCGGTAATCGATACTTTCTTTAAGCATTATTACCCCCTTTGTACAAGACAACCTCAAAGCAGCACGATCACGACCAGATCCAACCTTGTTCATTATCTGACAGGACAGGTTTCCCCCCGATGCTCATCATTATCGAGTACGTACATCTTTGAGAGCTTGGAGGCAGCTCCTCCTGTAACCTTGGCCACACGGAGTTGGGAAAGTTCGTTTTTGAGGTCGTCCAGCTGCTTCAGCAACTCCTCCTTCTTCTTACCCCGCAGATCTCGTGCCTTGATCTTGGCCTGGACCATGACAAAATAAATGATTGTTAATAAGACACCTTATGACATCCACACCTCTGATTCCAGACAGCGCTGCTAGTCCACATGTTAGTCAAGCTAGCGGTGCTCTATAACAGGCAAACAGTCAACGCTATCTCATGAATTCAAACTGTATTTAAAATCCAACATATCTAACCTGATAATTTAAAGCACCGGAGTTTCTAAACGCAAACACGCGAGCTTTTCCAATACAGCAGCATTCAGTACGAGCAGGCCGTGAACCGATTCATCAGCCATGTTGTCATTTCAACACGACTAGGTTTACAGCTTAGCAGAGACGGACCGACAAAAATTAAATATTATTCCATTAATAAGGCAGCTACCTCAACAACGCATACTCGAACTACTACAATACAACCTTATGTATACAGAGAGACCGAGTAGTATGAGTAAATGTCAGTTAAGACAGGTTAAAACTCAAAGTTAAAGCACGAGTATCGGCTCCTCACCATCTTCACTCTCGCTGCCCTGTTGGAAAGGCCGGACGCACCGCGTGCTCACGACAAGAAGCTTCCGGTTGGTTTCTTCTTCGTTGGTTCAGATTTTACTTGTACAATGTCGAGATAGCGCCTCTAGTGGATGAACCGTCAAACAGGAAGAAAAAGCGGGATGTCAGAGAAGATGACTTGTCATGATTTACAGTTTTAACCCTGAAGTAGGGGGTTGAAAGAGTATCACGTTTTTAAGAGAATAATTTATTTAAGAATAAAGAGGAGATTAAAGAGGCGAGGGGAAGCTGAGCAAAAAATGAATTGATTTAAGCAGGCCCTTTATTTCTGGGAGTACACAGGAGTACAGCTTACCCGGTGCTAGATGTGGCATCTAAGTTTGTTGTAGTAGTCAACCCCAAACATTTCCAAACGACATTTTTACGGTGGCCGAGAACCGCCACTGCTGCAACGAGTTAGTTACCTTCTCTTGCATGTCTGCCTGAAGTTACTGATGCAAAAAAAAAAAAAAAAAAAAGAAAGAAAGAAAGAAAGAAAGAAACTAAAGCCTACTGCAAACAAAAAAAAAAGAAACGATGCAGATACATAAAAAAAAAAAAAAAAGCTGCATTGGAAGTTAATGACCCCCCCCCCCAAAAAAAAACAAACAAAAAAAAACAAACAAAAAACATACAAACAAACAAAAAAAGTTGCTCACTGGGAGAATAAAAGAATGCAAAAATAAAAAGAATGCCACAACAGAGGTTACCGATACAAAAAAAAGAAAGAAACCGAAGCCCGCTGCAAATAAAAAAAGAAACGATGCAGATAAAATTTAAAAAAGTGGGAAGTTAACGACACAAAAAAAAAAGAAAGAAAGATTTACCTACTGCAAAAATAAAAGGATGAAAATAAAAAAAGCCACAACAGAATTGAGCTGCCGGGAACCAATAATGACGATGCACTGGTGTTTTACGATCTGGGCAAAGAAGACGATGGCGACAAGAAATGCAAAGAAGTAAGTGGAAAGGTTATTGTTTACTTTCGCTTCGTGTGCTTTTCAATGTGTTATTTGGTCAGGCCACGTTGCGCCTGAGTCAATGTGAAGTTGAACTGGAGGATGCCAATGTTCAACTACAGTTGAACTGTAGTGTTAGCTTCAGTTCAGTTATTTTTTGCATCTTCAACTTTCTTTTTTTTAAATATATATCCGCACCATTTCTTTTTTTATTTGCAACGGGCTCAGCTTCCTTTTTTTTGCATCAATTACTTCTGTTGTGACTTTTTTTAAAAATTTGCAGCAGTGGTGGTTCTCGGCCACTGTACATTTTTGATAGAAAACGCTTAATTGATTGGACACAAATGTTTCCCATCACATTATTTCAAGATGAGGAGCCAGTGAACATGATTTTAAAATTTTTGATTTATTATGAGGGACAATGAAACTTTTATACTTGCAGTAACTGTTAAATTATAACAAGCAAAGAAAAAAAAATCTGTAGTGATTGTACAGAGGTGTTTCAGCAGAACTAAGCAGGTCAAAAAGTGCATTCATTATTATTTTTTTGTTTCTCACAGAGACAGTAAATCACCCAGAAGATTCCTGGCAACTTCATCAATCTGCTACCTGTCATTAGTGACACACAGAACATGAAAAAAATCTGCATTATGATGAACAAATGATGTATTCAGCAGGTACAAATACAAATGAAAGAAAGAGACAACAATCACTTCCCTAATGCAGTTTTTATGCATACATCAAATACATATGCATCCCGATGCGTGCATATTACTGGAATACAAACAAAGTCAGAATTCTCTGGTCTTTAGAAATATAATAAACTGTATGTGTAAAAGAACTGATCTGAAACTGATTTAGAAATTCAATAACGCCATTTGACAGCAGACAGATTCCCTGGGTTTCCCACAGATGTTTAAGTAAACTTCTCTCTGTATGTTGCGACTGTCATCACACTGAGGAGGAAGGGCGGTGGGACAAATAAATGACAAGTGGAAGCAATGAAACATGGATGGTCAATGAAGATGATGATAAATACTGTAAAGTGGTCACATCAAACCGTTTACGTCCACTGATTTATAAAGTTCTCAAAGCATACAGTATGTACATACTTAACATATAAATAGACATGTGGAATGTACTTTCATTTACATTAGCAAAGGCAGGTAAAGGTAGAGCATGTCCTCCAGTCATCATTTACAGAGAATTCACTTGTTTTTCACATTGTTGTTATCGTAATCCTAACGGACAAGTACAGCCTAGACTATACTATAATATGGGCATTAAAAGAACTGAAACAGTCTGTGTGTGGGGGGCCTTTTATGTTTTTCCAGTATGAAGCAAATCAGAAAAGTGACACTTTTTAAACCATAAAATGAGCCTCTAACGCAGCATCCTCTCCGCTTTGAATGACCAATGAAAAAAGGTCCAATGGTCAAACCTCTCTGGCTTACAAGTGTTTTTTCTTCTTTTTTTGGGAGCCATAGGACTGCTGTGAGGTTCAATTCATGGTAATAATAACAGTCAAGTCCTACATCATAAGAGATTGATCCTTTTACTTAATGAACCATCAAACCACAGCCAAGCATGTTTAGTATCCAGGGACACAAAAACCTCAGCAAATTGTGGTTTTATGAGATTTGTCCACCAGATAGCACTGACAGGATGATTTTTTTAGGGTGTTAAATTCAGCAGGTACCGTGGTCCCAGTTTGTTAGTAACCACATTTGAGAGGTCTTTGGCAAAGGTGTGATTAAATGCTCTTAAATAAATAATGGTTGATAAAATATACAACTTGTAAAAGCTTTGAAGCTCAGATTATTTTACGATGAAACCTGGATGATATGTAAAGAAATGGGATAAACATGTAGCGGTGACAAAAATGTCAGTGCTCTCATTTTGAAGAATAATCTGAAATTTGGGGTCAATGTTGGAGAGAAATTGATTGTTAGAGAAGCTTAATTACTTGATTGTATCTTTTGACCAACCAAGCAATTACACATGCATATTTCTTTATCTGACTCCAGAAGGTGGAAGATGATATTGTCATGGCAAATTCAGAAAAAGGGCTTTAAAATCTTTAACAAGACAAAACAAATTTGACCCTCAAGCACAACTGTATGGTTTTTATGTCCATTCGGGAGATATTTTATAACCAACTTTTACTGATATTGACACAAAATGAACTCTTATGTCCTGTGCTATCCCATTGGTTCAAAATTAAAGATCAACAAAGCTAATAGGTCCTTCATCATTCGAAGACTGTAACTCCAAGACCGTCACAGCAAGTCACATGATCGTGAGGAGAAAAGAGGCAGTTCCTCAATGAATTTTTAAGTCAGTGTTATTTCTGACAGATGTTATTGTTTCTTGACGTGATTAAAAAAACATTGCATCCGTATCTTAGGCCCAAGGAGAAACTGATACTTTAGACAGTTAAAACTCCAAAATGAATGATGTGTTTTTTTTACTATCTATAGCATGTGGTCAAAAGTCCACCAACCTTTACTATCAAAGAAAAAACTGTTTCAATCGGACACCCACAACTTCTAAGAATAGACCATTGTCCTTACATCCCATTATGTGCAGCCCTTCTCTGTCCCCAGAGAGCAGAAAACAACAACCCTCTCATACAGAGTCGGAGTAAACTGCGGAGGTCTGTGTAGAGTTTAAAGCTAGAGTCCTGCTCAGTGATGGGAGCCAAAGAGGAAGGGTCCAGGATTCCTGGACTTGGTCCTTTAGTTCATTTCTCTCCATCACTTCAGCTCTTTCTGCTCCTCATCAACTCCAGTGGGGGGAAGCGCCTGAGACTGAGGGCCGGATAGTACCCTTTGGTGAAGGTTTGGATCCAAACCAGGACATCTAGCACGTGAAACATACAAGTCACAAGGGTTAGTTTACAAAAGAAAAAAAAAATAGCTCAAACAAACATTAAATTTTTAAGAAACCTTAAGACTAGAAGGAGAAAACATTCATATTTTTCCATGATCTCTAAACCAGCATATCGTCAACCTATTAAAATAATGACCAAAGTCATTTTTTGATGAAAATGAGTTTTAGGCCTAAATCATCTCTTGATAATGCTGGCCATCTCTCGTGAAATCGCCTAAATCCACATATGGTGTTTTATTTTGAAATACCGGATGACATGCGCGGTTGTCATCCTGTCTAGTAGAATCTTCTCTGCGTGAATTGACGTGTATTGGAAGCGTAGAGCAGCAAAAACAGACTCTGTATCAGAAGAGTATGGAGCAAGGCACTGCTAAAGATACGCACAGAGCTGATACGCGTCCTGTATGCGATATTTCATCGATTTGAATGGCAACTTATTTGCTGCGTGATATGCGACGCTGCCGTTACACGCTCAATACAGATCCTGTATGTTTTAGCCTTTATGGAGTAAATCACTGGGCTTGCATGTAAGAACCCCCTCTGGGTAGTTTCATAAAGCGAAGAGTTGTGTATGTAACTACGGTTGACCACCAGGTGGTGCTTCAAACACAGGATAACTTACACCAACAGAGTCACAAGGAATCTCAAAACAAACCTCATTTCTGTCATGAAGAAGAGCTTAGAAGGAGGACCACACTTAGAAGATGAGGGGGTGTGGGGTGGGGGGTATTGACCCTGTAAAGATTAGCTAAAGTGCTGGTTGACGCCAATGAGGCTGCAGCACAAACTGCCTCCAGGGCAGTTGGACGCAAAATCCAATTGGTGGATAATGTCCACAACCCAATGGGACAACTGTTGTTTGCAGGGTCTCTGTAGGTTTCAGCAAGTCAAATTTAAGACTTTTTAAAGACCATAATAAATACAATTTAAGACCCATTTAACATCCAAACTGGCAAAAAAGTACAAAAGAAATGAGGGGAAATCAGAATATTTTACATTACTTCAAATAAATAATAATTCCTATCTCAAAGTTTTTGATTTAAGTTGTTATAATCTTCTTAATTGACAATTTGCACAAACAATATTAAGTTATAGATTTAAGTGTACAAAATTAAAAAAATAATAATAATAAAAATAACAGACTGAAGAGGATATTACATTATTTTTGTTTTAAAACACTGTGATATAAACCACTGTCCCTAGACAAACACAACACTTTGGAAAGAACTATCAACTTCCAGAAGATATTATATTCAGACGTTCTTTATGAAACACCAACCTTGTACTCAAGAGTCTGTTTCAACATGTCCTCTTCCTCACGAGTGAAGTTTAGCAGCACAGAAACAGCTCGTATCAGCTGGAACGCCTGAAGGGGGGAAACACATAAATTCAGAAACAGAGTCAAGCTGTCATTCTGTCATTCAGAGTTACTTCTGCTACTTAAATCTACTCAAGAAAAATATTCAAAACAACCACGAAGGACTCACCTCAGCCTCCCTGGATGACATAAACTTGAGAACTACGTGTTTGAGATACTCAAAGTTGATTTCCCGTGAGTCGTTGAGGTCTGATGTGTTGGTCACTGTGGTGTTGGAGGTTGGGGGGCTTGGTGATGATGCTGGTGGTGGGTCTGGAAAAAGCCTCTCTTGTTTTTCTGCTTTGCTTTCTGGTAACTTCTCCTTCCCCTCTGCTTCTGGCTCAGGCTTCAGTTTCTAAAGAGCGATAAAACACAAAGACTTACTCAGAGATTACTAAGACATTAACCCCTGTTTAATGTAGTACAATCAAAAGCTTCCTCCTGTTGGTTGGGTGGTGCATCTATAAACAAAACTCCACGAGAAACAGGCAAAATGTGACGTGTCTTCATTTTGTTGTTTTCGTAAAGCCAAGCTGAGTGTCACTGTGCCTCACCAGTTCCTTTTGCAGTGTCCTCTTCAGCTCTGCAAGTCTCTGTTGGAGCTGCTTGATGGTCTATAATCAAAACAACAGCAATGATTTATTCATGTTCCGTGAGTGTGTGTCCACCCCGTGTCTATGTTAGGGGACTAACATGGATATTCGATAAAAACCCCAGAGATAAAAGAAAGTTGTAGTCTAAAGATCACTGACCCTGTTCTTGTCACTCAGCTGCTGCTCCAGCTCTTTGTTGACCCTCTGAAGGTGATCCAGATCGTCCACAGTCACACTGCCATTCTGGTCCTCCTCACACACTACAGGTGTGTTCAGCTGCTCGGTGAGAGTTTCCACCTCGACCTCCAGGTATGAGATCTAGATAGAAAACATTAAACCACACAATCCAGTTACCCTAACAAAGTTATTTATATTCATATTTCTTCTTTACACACTGCAGGAGACAATCAGAGACTTAAAATGGCTGATGTTTGCGCACACAAATAGAATGAATGTAGATTAATTGACAAGATCAAGCAGAGCTGTATGAAATACTGATAATTAAAAAGCAGAAAACCTTTAAGCTTGTGAGAAGGTAATTGTGTTTCTCTGTGGATATCCTGATACTACTTTTGCTTCAAGTATATAACAGCATGGTTTTTGTCTCATAAATCACTGCCCCTGCTTTGTTGTCAACGGACGATGAAGCAAGTATACTGGAAAGCCTGATGCCACCGAAGCAATCTGAACTAGACCTGATCCAGCAATTGAATCCAATCCTATCCACTTTATTCATACAGAACATTCAAAAAACAATCAAGTTTAGCAAAGTGCTGGCTAAAACAGTGTAAGTTAAAACACACAGAAGATAATGCCAGAGAATAAAATAGAAGAATTATCATAAAAACAACATATAAACGCTTTAAAAACAAGTAAAAATAGAAGTAAAATAAATAAAAACACTGTAAGAGCAAATTAAAAAACTCCAATAAAAGAACAGACAGACAGAGGCCACACAACGCTAATGCTGGGTTAAAAGCCAAGGAGTAAAAATGGGTTTTCAGACAGGATTTAAAATGGCCTTAATAGTGGGAATAATCGAACATGAGGGGGCAGCTTATTCTATAGTTTGGAGGCCACTGCGGGGAAGGCACAACCGCCCCTGGTTTTTCAGCCTGGACTTAGGGACCACGAGAAGCTGCTGTCCCATAGACCTCAAAGACCTTGTGGGAGTGTAGCTTTGCAGGAGGTTAGATATGTATTATGGTGCAACTCCATTTAAAGACACCTTGAGGAGACCAACTGTTTCATAAGAGGTCTGTTTTTATGCAGGCCAAGAACTAACAAAGCATTAAAAGACGTTAAAAGACCTCTCTTTCTGTAACAGCTTGAGCATAAAAAAACAACCAAAATTCAAAACCAGAAGCGTCAAAAAAATATCATTAATGCACTTCTTACATACAGCCTATGTTATGTGTAATGGACCGGCCAGTAAGTCCTCAAATATGCCAGGCAAAACCATGATCATCATAATTAATGGTTGTCCAGCTACATGTTCTACATAAAAGCGCGTTTGTAGGCATGTATGTGTCTGTTCCTGGCTTTGAAGGTAGATACGTACTCGTGCCTGGCAGCTGTCTAGCTGCTGTGTCTGATTCAACAGCTCCTCCCTCAGGCTGCTGAGCTGGGAGTCTTTGTCCTGCTCCATCTGCTCCAGCTGGGCCCGCTGCTGCTCCAACTCCTCCTGCAGCTGCACGAGAGATTCCTGCCGGCGCTGCACCTCTGCAACACACGAGAACAACATTCGATAGATCAGAGGCAAAAAACAGCAGAGTACAGGGCGAACAAAATCAAATCCACGTTGCAAAATTTGTGTTAATTGGAAGAAAGTCCATTGAAACATTTAATGTTGTGAATTTTTCCTACAATTTTTGATATGCGGAATCTTTTCTGCAATGCTCGCCAAAAAGATGATGACAGCTTAATCCGTGCACATGGCTGCTGACTGGAGAATTATACTACTGCTGTGTCAAACATGGTGATGCCTGCTGGTCATTTAGACTTCAAATCAGGGACATGGTTTTAATACCCCTCTAAAAAACATCCAAAACTCCTCTAAGTGAGTTTCCAGCGACTAGTCTACATATGTATTTCTCTTAACATACAGTAGCTCATTTAACTTTTTCTCTTTTTACTTTTTATTTATCAACGTCTTTTATATTTCAATATAAAATCATTGTTGAGTAAAAAAAAAACTCCTTTAAGAGGAGGACCGCATCTAATTTAAAATAAAATAGTACAACAATTTTAGTCCGATATTGAACTTTATGCAGCGTATACCATATGTTTATAAGCTTAAAGTGTGTGTGTGTTCATGTGTGTGTCTATGTACCATCCTGGAGGTTTTTGATGTTTTCCTCTCTCATTGTTAGCGTCTCAGTGACAGTGGACAGCTCCTGCTGCGATGTCTGAAGCGATGAGGTCAGCTGTCCAACCTGGCGACAAGAATAGACACACACTTGTAAATCACACAGTGCATGCTTTCAGGATGTGTCTGATGAACAATCTTTGCTGAGGGAATATGTGGGCTTAATACGGGCCATCTCATTTTAGAGGGTTACTCAGGTTTTTTTTTTCTCTACTTACAGATAGAAATGAAGAATCTGTAAATGTACAACCAGACTTTGGTATGGAGTGGTATAATTTCAATTTACAGTAACTTTTCATTATTAAAAAATATCAACCAATCATGTATCAGCAGACCACGCAGACAAAATTAGTCAATAGTACATGTAATGCAATCTGCTAAAGTGACATCTTGGCTCCAAATGTCAGTAATCCAACAACTATTTATAAACTACAAGTAGCTGCTTGCAAGTCTAGCTCGCTATCTAGAAATATTTAACTTTAGTGAGCAATCAGAATCTAGATTTCCTGATATCCTTGAATGCATCAGGAGTGATCAATCCAACCTACATTCATCAAACATTTCATACTTGTTTTCTTTTCCTCTTGCGAAACAGAGCCTTTACAGTTTCACTTTATACAAATGTGCATCATAATGTTATTTTAAACGAATAAAAAGTAAGAGTTCATGTGGTAAGGCCTCTATGTAGCTAACCTAACAGAGACTCAACTAAGACAGATGAAGAGGCACTGCAGAAGCCAAACCATGTTTATTTCACATCATACCCAGAGGGCTGAATTTCCCTTTACTTTTGATCTGATCCCACGGCTGCTTCTCAAGTAGCTTGTTACTAACTGGACTATAAATAATGCAGAGCAAGGAACCAAGTATCTACGATGAAAGCTGCTTATCACTAAATGCCGTCTACATGTTTAAAGGCAGAAGTAACCCATCATTCACATCTTAAATCTCACATCAGCACACAATAGCCACTGGGTTGTGAGGTTACATTGACATCCACTGTGTACAGACCTGGGTTTGCAGCTCTTCCTTCTGTCGTCTGGTGTCTTCTAGAGCTTTAGCAATTTCTGTGCTCACAGTTTGCCGGCTGACCAGCTCTGCCTGAAGAAACATTCGACAAGAAAGACACAAAAATTAGGATGTGCAGGAATTTTGTATTCTTGTAAGTAATATTTGCAAGCAAGTGATAAAATGCATTCATTTTTATTTCACCACTTCCTATTTTACTGATTCCCCAATTTGCAAAACGGCTTAATACACAATCAACTAGGGCTGAGCGATACGGCCTCAAATCAATATCACCATATATTGAGCAGTTCACCTTGATAATGATAAATACCTGCGCACATCCAAAACCAACTTTTATCTATTGATTTTTTGAAACTGAACATATTGACATGGGCAAAATTACGTCAGTTATAGTTGTAAAATTTGATAACGGTAAATTTTTGGTTTATAGTCCAGCCCTACAATCAACATTTTGGTTTTATCTGCAGACAAAACAAAGGTGTTGGTGCTTTCAAAAAAGATCTTCCCTGTAAGCCATCTTGTCCTCAAAAGCACATTTAAGTGCCTCTAACTCTTACACAAAGTTGATGCCACAAAAAGGAAAAAAAAAATGCTTTTTGTGGAGAACACCTTTTCTCTGTTTTTGTAGTATTAACACTTCAATATCTACAGTGGATCGGACTCTGGTTAAACACCCAATAATGATGGATGTCCATGACAAAAAAAGTCAGACTCTTGCTGTTGTCATTTACATTTTAGGTCAATTTAAACAGAATTATGCAAACAGTGATCTCATAACAGCTGCCTGCAGGAGGTCCCGTTTCATGAGGTATGAACAATAAACACAGAATATGAACTCTGAGTTTCAAAAGTCAATTATTACATTATGTTAATTTGTGGAAATTTACCCTGCAATGCTCCAGCTCTTCTGTCTGCTGCCTCAGATTGGAGTTCGCCTCGTCTGCCTGTTTGTTGAGATCCTCCTTGGAATCAGGTACAGGGGGAGAATAGTGTTAGTCTTACAGTATGCTTTATTGACTCACTATACCTTGTTTTTAAGAGTAAAAACAAAAACTCTGAAGACTGAGAATACTAAAAACAAAACATACCAGCCGGTCCTGTAGCGTCTCTCTCTCTGTTTGTAAAGATGCAATGCTTTCCTCCAGTTGTCTGGCCTTCTCCTCACTCTGCTGCTTTAACAAACACACCTGCTGATCGAAAAAGGCTTTCTCTGCGCTCAACTCTCCTGCCTAAACAAAAACAAACAAAAAAACACTTACACAACTTCACTGCAAATTATAAGCATACTCAAATCAGTTTCAATTCAATTTTACCCAGATAAAAGGTAAAAATATTGGCCCATTGAGGACCCGACAGGCCATATACAATAAAAGGATTTACATAACAAGACGTGTTCCATTCAAAGATTACTGACAAGGGTTTGCAATAGGATTTTGCAGCTTTTGAACTCAATAAATTCCACAAAAAGTTGTCTCATTTATTGATCTTGAAAGATATTTTGTTTTTGGGAATTATAAATGTGGTGTCCTTCAGGCTAAAAGAAAAAGTGCCATTCAGATTGTTATCAGCACAAAGTTCAAAAGCCAGCATCTGTGATGGCGTGGGTAACCTGCACATTTGTGGAGGCTTATAGTAAGTTGTGTAGTTTTGGGATACTCACGAGTTTGTCCACGTGTTGTTGTTTCTCTGCGATCTGCTCCTCTGCGCTCTTAAGCCTCTCGTTGCGTTCTACAATTTGCTGCTCCAGATTGGCAATCTAAAACACAATATAAAACGATTGGTTGCAGAGCCTTGAGCATCACTTTAAAAAGTATTCGAAAATGTATTTTTTTTATTGAAGTAAAGAAACAGAAGAAGATTGATTTTGCTCAGCAAGAGTGCCCAGAACTCATATACTCATAAGCATATTGTTCAGAGGGACAAAACAATCATCAAATTATCATGCTGGTGAAGTTCGCTTGTATGCTTTTTTCTTCGTTTGTTTTTTTAAACTTTATTTTCTTACTTGTGTGTCTGTCCGCTCTCTGTAAGCTCTCGAGGAGTCGTCTTTGTGTCGCAGGAGGGTCTGCAGCTCAGTGACGGTGCAGCTCATTTTTGAGACCTAAATCAGACAGAGGAGACAAAGCTGGAGGGGAATTCTGCAACCGGAGTTTTAAAAAAATTTTGGACACTTTGTTTGCCTCGGCCTGTGGTGCATCTATCGTCGTGGCAACCTGGCCAACAGGTGAGATCAATTCACTAATAAGGGACTGCTCTGACATCACTGCATCATTGAATCACTTTTAGAGCAAATTGATTAACGATAAAAAGCTGACTGTCAATCAAAATCCTTATCATAGAGATGCTTTAAACTTTACAGCAGGCCCTTGTACAATAATTGTCTAGTATACATGTTTCATTTTTATATCTTACTCATTTGATCATTCTGGAATTCTAATTTCTTGAGTGAAACTTCCTAAAAGGATCGATAAAAGTCTATCTAATTTAATCTAATCCAATAATCCTGCAGGACACAGATGAGGATTTAGTTTACCTGTGCTTCCAGAGAGCCGACAGTATCAGCGTGATTTGTCCGAACTGCCAGCAGCTCTGCTCTGGTCTCTTCCAGACTTTGCTCAAGGTTGGACTTCTGAAAAAAAAAAGAAACAAACTGCATTGATTAACAGCTGGTTGGGTTTCTTTAACTTTCCACTTATGTGTCCTAATTCCCCCCCCCTTAGACAGGGATTAAGCATGATCTCACAGAAACACATGTAAGCTTAATATACTATCATTCAGTGCATATGCAAACCAAGTAAGACCATGTAGTGATTTTATACCGTGATTCACCCAAAAGATCTCTGAGATGCCCTGGAATCCAACATACGATGTGATGTAAGCTAAAATTCCAGCCCAGATCATCACCTTTTCCCCAACCTAACCCAGATGTAACAATTCAACAAAGCCAAGAAACAATCACAGATTTGTTGGTCCGAGCTTAGTTAGAAAACGAAGGGCTAAAAACTTTGTATCAAAGCACAAGGTAACCCAATTCAATACACAGCTTTGATGGGCAATTCAAAGATAAATCAAAGGTTAGAAAAGAGACGGTTGAGCTGATATTGCATCAGTTCAAGCCTCAAAGTTTCAAACAGCCAAAATCCAAGCACATCAGACCTTCAGTGGGGTTTAAAACAAAGATTAAGCTAAAACACAACATGCTAGTTTTTCATCAATCACAACTCTGTGTGATGCAGGGAAGAACAAGTTTTGTAAACAGTTAAATATAGACCAAAAACAGTGGAAAACTAGACTGTACGCCAATATGTTTGCATCAGATTGAACTAAATATTACAGGTTTGCCTCAAACACCAGCAACAGATGTACTTCTGAATTTATACCATCCTTCTTCCCTTCCATCTCAATGAATCACCCACCTCTTGCAGGAGTTCCTGTAGATGTTCATCCTGACTCAGGTTACCCTGCAGCCGTCTCTCCAGAGACGCCACTTTCTTCTGAAGGTCCGCCAATAAGCGCTCCTTGTCCTCCTCCATAACGGCAGCCTGATGAAAAGAGAGGATATGAGAAAAGCTTCCAGCAACTTTGAAATGCAGATTCCAGTTTTAAATCTGATACCACATAAAATGATACCAGGGCCTGTGCTTTAGTTTGATTGATGGGTGTTGTTTGTCAAAAAAGGCTGGTCTTTGTGTAAAATACTGCCAGGAAAAAAGACATAATGATCAAGTCCTGGGCCTCCAAATCTCAGTGAAAGGAATATCAGCTCTCTTTCCATTTTCAAATCCCAAATCAAAACAGATTTATTTAGACTAGCATGTTAACTCTGATCAGATTAATCATTTAAACTGAGCTTTTAAGTCATATTTTGATTTATTGATTTTGACCTTGAGCTCTTTAAAAGGTGTCCATGAATAAAATGTATTATTAATATCATTATGACGAGGAAAAGTAAATAAATTGTGGCAATTAAAAGAATGATTTTTTCTTGAAGACCTTAAAGAGCAACCTTAACCAAGGAGCAGGAGAGATTGGCAATTTTTGTGATGGAGGAGGTGGTAACTACGTTCTTGCAACTCTCTTTGGACTGGGAACTCTAAAATTACCTATGTGGATTATTTTCAAGTTGATATGTCTTTTTGGTCTTTGTTACATATTGCCTTTGTTCCCTATGTGTAACATGAAATTAAAAACTGTAAAACACAGAAAAGATATCTCCCAAAATATGACATACTTTCATTATCAGTAAATCAAATTCTTTGTTGAACTGCATCTGGACTTGTTTGAGGTTCTTGAGGATGTTTCGTCTTTCTTTCAACATAAAGAACATTGTCATTATTATTATTACCTTTTGTTGTTGCAACTTCAAAGCATCGTGTTCAGTCTGTAATTCCTGGAGGGATCTCTCTAAAGTCGACACCATACTCTGGGACTGAAAAACAAACACTCTGTAAACTTCCTTGTTGACAAAAAAATAAGGTTTTATCGATGACTTTTTAAATAGCAGCTTATTTAAATTGTGTCATGGACTGACCTTCTGGAAGTCTTCAGAGACCTGCTGAATGACTGACTGTAACTCCCGGCATTGTCCCTCCAGCTCACTGACCCTCTTGTCCGCCTCCTCTCTCAGTAGCAGTAGTTCTTCACTGTAAAAGTCAGAGAAATACACAGTTTGTTTTCTGTTTCCTTTTAAAAACAATTTAGACTTTGACTTTTTCATGTTGTGGTTTAGTCTCACAAATTTAGCCGTTTTTTGTTCTCTTCTTACCGCTCTATTTCGAACTCAGAGTTCAGCCTACTGCTCTCCTCGTGCTGCTGCTGCAGGGATCGGAGTTTCCCACGAGCCTCGGACAGCCCTCGCTTTGCTGACTGAACCTCAGCCTCCTTCTGCTGGAGCTCCTGCTCCCGCTGGCTCAGCTGTTCCTCCTTCTTCAACAACTGATGGGGACGGAAAAAAAAGATATCAGTCACAGTGAAGGAAATACCGCATGTTTTAACAAGCACTGTGCAGACACATGAAAAAAACCTCATTGAAAAAACAGCGTGGAGAGAAATTCTCTTCTCATAAACCATGTTAAGCCAAAGTTCTTTTCTAGTGAATATCCAGTTTTAATTAATCTGCTAATAAGAGAAAGGAGAAGGCAAACTAAATCACTATTCCAAGGATTGCTGTATTTCTAACCCCCCCTGCTCCACATGTACGCACCATGTGTTTAACTTTAGCAAGCTCCTGCTGCTGAAAGCCCTCCAACTCATCCAGGTCATCCCTTTTCTGGAAGAGTGCTAAGCTTTGCTCCATCATCTCTTCGAGCCGGGCTGACAGGGCAGCCTTCTCCTGAACAAACACAACAGTTTCATCAGTTTGATTTGAGCAATGCACCGCTCATTTTTAAGGGATATGTGCATATTTCAAGATGCCAGATTCAAACAGACGCCGCTTTTTTCCCCTGTGATGGCACCTGAGGCAATAAAGGATTGTCGCAGGTGTATTTTTGTACCACACTCTACATCCTCTTTTACATTTGCACTCCTGGAAAGTTATAGAAAATTTTGAGAGCTTTCGAGAGAGTCTAGTTTATGCATATGCAGACATCTTGACTGTTTTTGTCTAGGAAATATTTCTCCTTCTTCATCCTCGATGTTTTGAATCATCCTTCCTGTTGTGTACCTCTTCCAGTTTCTCACTAGCTGCATGATAAAACATCTTCAACCTGTTCAAGTTCATTTTCCTGAACATTTCTTAGTGCATTCTTACAGTGGTTAATTTCAACTTCTTACAGAAATTCCTAGAAAGTCGGGATGAAAATCTCAGCTGATTGCATACCTAGAAAATGTCAGTTTCTCAGACTTTGGTGAGTGTGTGAATACAGCTATAGGAATCCACACAGACTTGCTTTTTGGTGTGTCAGTTTGTCTTCATCTGAACATCAAATTTATTTCTGCATCTTTGGATTTGTACTTCTTTCCAGATGTCATTGTCTGCTGTTCTCAATAATTTCTTTATTTGTTAGCCAAATGCCAGTTTAGTTGCAACTCAGCTGAAAATGATCACACCTCCTCTACTTACTCTCTTACTCATCCACTTCTGCTGCGTTATGGGTGGTACTGATGATTTTTGAACTTAATATACACATTGAAATCATATAGAACACAAAATGCAAAAGCTTTCTTTGGAGGTTTACTCCTAAGTTGACGGCTTTGTTAAAGGTTGTGGCGTCATGAAGCTAGCGGGGCATACTCAGCAAAGCGTATCACAAGAGCAACACATATCTGTGGCTTACAGTAGAGATCAGGGGATTATTTTCTCAACGGTTCACAATCTGTGAGCAGTTTCTGAAATTCGTGCTGAAATCACGCGCCGACTTTACAATCCTGCAGTCTTTTACTCCATGAACTGGCCATACTTAAGTTTGTTTAAAAAAGAAGAGAGGATCCGCTGTTGTTATATGATCTGTTGCTATATAGCTGTGCCTCTGCGCCTTCTTTCTCTACATTTGGTGCCAGTAAAAGTATCACATTATTTCTCAAGTTATTTCAAGTTAAGTTTAAGTGAAGTTCTCAAGTTATTTCTTAAACAGAAAATTTTATCCTTAAAATTTTACAGCTCCAAACGGAATTTTTTTCTACTTCCTGTTTCCACCCTTCTTAAGTGTAAATCACCCATGGTCATTTGATTCGTCCCTACTCGCTATCACTTGGCTTGTCACATAGAATACAGTACAGCACAAGTCAGAGCACCCCCTTTTAAAATTTTAAAAGTAAAGTTTTACTCAATATCTAGATGAGCAAAAGTACAATTTCCAAAGTTTTGACAAAGCTGAGTTTAAAATAATATTTTATTCACCATAAGATGAAATCTTTTTTTTTTTAACACAAAACCTCACGTCCCTCTGCCTTCAGTGCACTAATCAGCTGTTTGAGTGTGCGGGCTTCAAAAAAGACAAAAACACAACTAACACTTAACAATGAGTTATTCTGACAAGCACAAAGACAAGCTGTAAATAACTAAAGAGTGGAAGTAGTAGACTGACCAAATGGCCTGAAAGACAACGGGACAGGTGTGTAAACTGTGAGCCCCTGAACCCAGAGAAGTCCTGTTGTACTGTGCGGGACTCAGTATCAACAGAACTTCAGGACCTTTCTGAATCAGAGGATACCAGCAGCTCACATACAGCTGCAGTACACATCACTCACCATGCAAGCTTCCCTGTCGCACTGACTGTACTCTGGCTTTCTTTGATTAGCAGAAGTTGAATCAGAAATCAAGAAAAGGAAAATGGAAGTGTGTCCTACAATTATGTTTTTCGCTCTCTAAGCTATTTTCACTACAGTATAACTTTTAAAAACGGAGCTTCATAGAAAAAAGAGGACTTGAGCACAAAACAGTCTTACTGTAACTACATGTCAACATCGCGAGCAGGGGGCAGAAAAATTTGTGTTCTGTGTAATAAATTTATAAAGTTTGTCCACAGCTCCATAAGTTTTGCTGGCGGAGGCGGGATTTATGACCTATACAGCAGCCCGTCACCAGAGGGTGCTGTTCTCGGAGTGGCTTCACACAGCGAGGAGGCAGACTCTGTCCATCTTATATACAGTCTATGGGTAGAGATGGTAGAGATGACTAGGGGTGGGAATCACTATCGGCCTCGCGATACGATATTATCACGATACTTTGGCCAAGATACCATTTTATTGCAATATTTTACATTTTGCAATACAGTGAGTATTGCGATACAATATATTGCGATCTATACCATTTTTTCAACTGTTTAGCGAATTTAGCATTTGTCTTTCCTTTATGTTTGTCTTATTTACGCAGTATTTTATTTTCATGAAGCACATCTTGCAAACCTTTTACATATTTGTAAATATATGTATAAATATTTGTAAATTTGTACTAACTTTCTCCTGCTCTACGATGCCACCTCAACTAAACCTCACTGGACAAACAGTTAATTTTTTCCCCCATTATCATAGATTTGACTTCATATTAGCAATTAATTTGAAAAATCGATACTTGGTAAATGAGACGATATGATATATCACCACACAAAATATCGCAATACTACGCTGTATCCATTTTTTTCTCCCACCTCTATAGATGACCCTGTCTGTAGCAGCTGATTGCCTATACTATGTGTCGGTTCACTATCATGCCAACGATGTAAGGCGTAAATGCACTTAATGATTCATGAACTGTTTCTTAAGTTCATGACCCTCTATTGACTCTCTCAACATTTCCATTTGTTTTATATTATTCCATGTCTTTATAACATGTTTATTACACATTATCAAAAGTAATGAAAAAGTAATAAGGGGACTTGCCTTTTCCATAGCAGCAGTTTTTTCCATCCATTCCTGCAAATAAAGGTTAGAATTAGATAACAATGGAGGCCAAACAACAGAACTGTGTAATTAGAGAAACAAAAAGTCTTTTACCTGATCCTTCTTCTCCAGAGCTAAAGCCATCCCCTCTGCGAGCTTAGCCCTGCTGACCTGATGAGATTCATTCTGGTCTTGTAGTTTCTTTATTGATACTGGGCAGAGAAAGTGACAGAGAGAGAAAAAGAGAAAGGGAAAGATGGAAACCACACAGAGAGGTTTGTATGCATCCGAAGAGAGGGGAAAAAATTAAATGGCACATACTTGAACCGTTAGTAGCTGTGGAAAGTTAGAAGCTAATTAAGAGGTGTGTTCATCCCAGAGGCAAAGAGAGGCAGAGACAAGCAATGCATGGCGACTGACAAAAACTTGAAGAGATAGTGAAAGCTTAGCACTGCGAGGTTGGAAGTGAGTAAGGAAAGATAATCCACCCTTTAAAGCATATCCAGCTGCACTGTATATAACAACTCATGACCAGAAGTGTGGAAAAGAACCAAGAAAAAAAGGTGATTTAACTCCTTATAGTCTGGGTGCTGCATCAGACAAAAAAACAAACAAAAACAAACTCAATTATTGGGTCTACGTTTACATCGTCTAATGTTTACATTTTAAGGCGTCTTCATTATCTCGGGGGGGCGATTTGTTTATTTTGGGTCTTGCATACCTGCAAAAACACTCAGGACTGTAAACTAGTTCGCTGTAGTATTTAGTATATATCTACATTTGTTGTACCGTTGAGTTAAAATAGTTTTAATATTTTTGTATTATATGTATATGTATATATACTTATGTATAAAAGTGTATCTTATTCTTTGTTATTTACTTCGTATGTTAATAAAATGTTGAACTAATCTCTAGTTTCTTTAGTTTTTAGTTCAGATGCTTTAAAACTGGCAGTTTTAAAAAAATTGTGATAATAATCGAGATCAGACGATACGACAAAATATTTCGTGATCATTTTTTTTTGCCAAATCGCCCAGGCCTAGTTCAGCCCATAACATCCTAGAGTTTCATTCAGTCATTTTGAAAGTACTGGACAGACAGTTTGACTGATGACACAATCCTCACAAAAGCAAAGACAGTTCAATCCTAGGAGCTAGATAAACCCGTTTTTCCCCTGACTGCTCACCCGTCCAGAATGCACCACAGCCTTTAGTCATGTTCATATTTAAGTAAAGGGTGTGGATCTAATCCTAATCTTCCACACAGGTATCGGTTTGAAATACAAAGGTGTCTGCTTGTACTGTCACCGCACATTGATGGAAACTGAAGAAGCAAATCAAGAAAAAACAGGAACACCAGCAACACCACAGACAATATACAGAACACACTAACTAAATGTCCTGAATAGAAACTAGAGTACAATATCTGAGGGTGGATTTTTAGAGTGAAAGGAAAAAGCATTCAGCGCTTTCAAAGCAGATCTCTTAAGCCCATAAATTTAGCAACTGGGATTAGAAAAATGATCTTAATAGGAAAGAGTGATGGCCGGCCAGGTGATAGTTACTAGAGTTGACAGACAGATGAGAGAAAGGAAGCTAATTGGGAGGAGAGTAAAGGTACGTACAATCCTGATGCTTTTCTAATGCAATTTCAAGCTTGTCCTTGGTCTTCTGCATAATTCGTAGCTGCTCAGCGTAGTCTAGTGTCGGGGACGTAGGTTGACAGTATGATAGGATGAGGTATTAACAGTACATACGCACAAACAAACAAACAACCACACAACCAGACGAACGAAACACAAACGAACAAATGAAGGAGGAACGGGCAGATGACGGAAAAGAGAGGTGGAAGAGAAGGTGAACAAAGGAGAGGGAGAAAGCAAAAGGAAAAACATGATTGAGAAATAATGGAAGGTAAAACTATTCAATGATTTTCTTTTCTGAGAAAACCATACTGGTTTGAAGTCTACGGGATAAATGTGCCACCTTTAACCTGTAATGGGAGTATAAAGTCAGGCAAACCACCAAAAGGAAACCAGAGTGTTTTTCATACTCTATGTAGGAAAAGAAAAATGTAAAAACTAATGATATATTAAGATTTTGTACCAGTCATTACAGACCTGGCCTGATGAGCATGTACAGGATGGCATTTAGACTTTATTTCAATCACCCTGCTCAATAATTTAACACTGCATTTTTCAACAGGTACATACTAGTCAGGTTTATACTGCATGTCAGAAGTGAGACTCCTCAATCGTTTCAAGCTACTCATCCAAATATGATCAGATCTTGCTCAATAACAATCAGAACAGAAGTTTACAAACTGATTGTGGTCACATTTACCTCTTTCAATTACAGAAACAAATCCTTACACTTGTTTCATTAAAGACACTGAGCTTTGACTAGAGTTCAAGGTTCAGAAGGGTGCGATCAATCTACCAGGATAAGTAACATGAGCACTGATGAGAATTTCAAAATGAATGCATTACAATATTTTGACTTGTGATAAGCTGCAATCATTCATATCGAATTTTACTTTGGGGATCAATAAAGTTCTTCTTATCTTATGATTCCCCTGCAGAATACTTCTTCTTAGGTAAAAACACAGAAGTATGTTTAAAAATTCAACTGAACTTAACTGGGTGCAGATAACAAAGACAGAGAGGTGACTGCACAATTACACAGACTAACAGACTAACAGAATGCGAACTGCCTTACACTACATACATACTGAATTCAGCATTGACGTGTACCAGCTTTGAAACCAGTTTTTAAAAGGGGTCTAGTTTCACTTAGCAAATACTGCTTTGTTTGAGCTGCTGTTGGCAACTCGACTGTTCGACTGTTATGTCTAGTATTTAGAAAAGGAAGTTTTGTTCCTTATTACGAGTGTAGTGTTTTCCTTATGGTTTGTTTAGATGGCTTAGTCCTCTTCAGGTGTTAAATTCTATGTATACAAAGTCCTGAAGAGATAACTAAGTGCTCCTATTAATTTTGTATGCTACTGTAAAATGGTGACAGTTATATAGAGGCATTATAGGCAGATAAGGACATTGAGTTATCTAGAAAACTATGTTTTATGAATGATTTAAATTGTTTTCCATCCTACAGTCATAATAACAAAACGTCAAAGAAGTGGGGGAAAGTTTCACTGAAATCATTTTTCTAAGTTACTTGGATGAAAAAACATGAGAATAGACTTTGAACAGTTTGTACCCAAAGTCAATTTTTCTGTAATTGCTATTTCTTTCATGTATTTTGAATGAATATCTCAGAAATATTATATCAGAAAAATTTTCATGGCAAAAAAAGGACTTCTAAAATAAATAATGGCTAAATATTTCTGTACCAGTCTTGAAGTTATCAAACTGGGCAAAAATCAGTCCAAGACAAGATGTCATTAGACTTCTATTTCTCACTTTTATTTCAAAACTTTGGGAAAGTTTTTCTTTTTTCCTTAAATAGTTCATAAATGGAGTTTGGTCATATATTCTGTAACATCTTAAACACAAAACCACCAATATCCTGTCAATGCAACAAATACATTCATCATAATTTACTTAGAGAAATTTGTATGTTGGCACTTTTAAATGATAAAATACAATTTGATTAATCAACTGTTATGATTGATCTCTTATAGACTTGTGCATTATTGGTTAAAGTGTCCAAATTTCTCTGGTACTGTGTGCTGCTCTCCCCCGGGAGCTACGGTCTACATCACTTTAGTCGCTTTAACTTGTCGCCTGACATGTCATACCTGATAGCTTTGCCTCCAGCTTCCGTATCTGGTCGTTCCTCCTGAGCAGCTGGGCTGGCAGGTCGTCCCTGGAGCTGCTGCCATCAGATGCCTGAAGACACACACACACACACACACACACACACACACACACACACACACACACACACACACACACACACACACACACACACACACACACACACACACACACACACACACAGAAAAAGGTAGCACGAGGGAATCAAATCTCCTCCAAATGTTGCTTTTTCACACTCAAAAACTGACTAGCTCCAGCTCCATCAGACCCCAAACGTAATAGGAAGTCTGGATAATGATATTTTATGACTATTTTATAACTCTTGGTTGAAGATATCCAAAGATATAGGCCCAAAAAAGTTTATGCTTGATATTTGAAATCACACCACGTTCATCTATTTCATGAATCAGATGCTGGAGGAAGAAAACCATTTAAAATGAATGCAGAAAGTGAAAGTGCTAGAAAAACTAAACATTCATGGCACCAGAAACACAATGTTGCATATCAGCTGGCAGTATTGCTACTCAGAGACTTCACTAAATTATTTAGTCGAGTGCAACTGAGACAGCACTACAGCCTCAGGAGCTTGGCTTTCCCTGTGAGCGATTGCAAGACTACTCTGTTAGCTTCACCGAACATGGCTTTACTATGGATATTGATTTGCTTTAAAAGCTAGGACAAAGCATTACTCTGGGAAAAAGGTTGATAAAAGATTGATATTCAAGAAAACAATCACAACCATTCCACTGCGTGCTACCTGTGAAGGAGCCAGCAGTCACTACGAGATAGGATGACAAAACAGAGGCAGAGAGGTGTGTTCAAGGCATTAACAAGGAGTCATGTTGCACTGGTCAGTCCATAGACTGGATAGCTCAGTAATCGTCCTATATTGTATGCAAAAGATACAGCAGAGGCTGACAAACCTTTCAACCTCATTTTATAGTTCAGTCATTTGCAACCAAGCCCTGTTTCCTTTAGGTGCTTGAGTGGTGTTCAGTTTATAATTCAGCCACAGTTACAAAAAAAGTCACTTCATCATTAATAAATGGAATAAAGGGAAAAACACTGAGTTCCACAACAACTAAATGGAATACTTTATGCAATTATTGTCTGCTTAAATAAAAACCTAATATTTTCTATGCATGACACATTCTGGAAATACTGATATTTAATGACTTTATTATCGACAGATTTAATCTCATGTTCCTACTTTCAAATTTAACCATGAACACTTGAATTTTCATTCTGACCTTAGACTCTACAACCCAAATATCTTTAATTCCAAATCTTACCATGCTGTTATTTATTGTTCTGTCCTCTACAGATAAGTAGAAATATGTTATACTGCCAATATTTATACACTTGCACACAGGCATGTGCCACATGGGGGATTACTAATGAAGCTAAGGAAGAGCAAAACTGTTCTCGTTCTGTGTACAAAGAACCACATTTAAAGATTTACACTATTAGGCTGGCTGTGATTTCATGAAGTACTTACAAAGTCATCCCCTGAGTCGGCCCCTACTGAGGTGATGGATTCCTTGCTGATTGTGCGTGGTATACGAACACCACTACGGGGTGCTGTAGCCGCCTCCTCAGCGATCTTCTTCTTCAATTTAGCAAACATGTCTTTCCTTTTAGAGTTTCTTGATGAGTACAGTGTGCAGTTTCTGGAGAGACAGTAAACTAGTACAATACATGGAGCTTATAACTCCTTGTTTTGATGGCTGAAACAGAGCTGCGTCCTTGTGCAGTGACACTCAGAACAGGTTTGAAGTGGTAGTTCCATCCCGTTACATCTGGAAAAGCAGAGCAGAAAGATATTAAGATGCATAGTTGACAACAGTGGTCATAATTTATCATAAGCCACCATGCTGTTTTGATACTTCCATGACAGAATAAAATGCTAGCTTATTTAGATGTTGCTGGTTTCTTTATTCTGTATCAGTTTGTACTGTACACTGCTTAACTTCCTGGTATTTTGCCAATCACACATGACCTGTCTGAGATGCAGTGTCTAAGCCAGCACACCTTTTAGGTGGTACTGTATGAAAAAATCAATATCATGATCAAACATTTGTTACTCTTACAGTTATTGGAATTTGTCCATAATGTACTCATAATGCATATAAATCTTCGTGAGTGTGTCCATGCAGTCTTGTTTATGTACCAATTCACGGTCACTTTCACGTTCAGTCTTTCAATTCTGCAAACCTCTTTGACAAACATATGGCTTTTTGTCACTGCTCACTGCTCACATAACAAAAGTAGCACCCTTTTTAAAATTAGCTGACAGGATTTATTATATTATTTTTCAGGATTGTATTGGTTCTTTTGTAATAAACACATGTGAGTACTTCAGTTCTCTAGTTCAAAAATTCTGTGAGTTACAGGTGCTTAAGAGTTTCAACCAACCTTGGTCTCCCCGACTTTAATAATGACAAGAGCAGTTTTTCATTTTTCTCCTGTGCACCTGCCCATTGAATCACATGTGTGAAGTACTGTTGTTTGATTTAATTTACCACTTAAAGAAAACAAACTACAGCAATGCAAAGAAAAGTGGTTTTGACTGGGCGAATAGCTAATCACAGTCAGATACAATGGTATTATCGACTGAGGGACATCACAGTCAAAGGCATTGTGGTGGGAGGAAAAGTGAAACTGCCTACCCTCAGCCCAGCCTCAATAGAGGAAGGGGCCCTTGTTATGTCTGAAATGAAAAGATACTTTCAGTTTGAATATTTGTCTAACTTAAAATTGTTTAAAGTTTCGCTAAACAGGGAGATAAATGGCCGAAATCCTTGACTCCTCAGCTGTAAAAATGTTTTCTCTCCCTCTCTCTCTCAGAGGCCCCTCTTAACCCTACTAATTACACAAAATGGTTTGGTCCACCCCTGCACAAGTAGACAGGATTAATCTGACGACTGTCAACCATGCCAAATAAGTCATGCTGCAGCCCAACCCAAAGAAAGCAAGATCAAGATATCAAAAATCACACACCTCATAGTAAAAGCAGTCCACCTTGGAGAAATATTCAGTTTTTTCAGAGTGAACCAGCCTGACATGTTTGATATTAATCTGTAGATTTCATGCAGGTGTCATGTTAACACTAATGCTACTGTTACTGTTGTAAAAATGTGGATTATTTGTTAAAATTATAGTTATTTAATGGTTTTTATAATGGAACATTTGTATAATGGAGGTATCAGAATAATCGTCAAAGGTCAGTCTAGGCTATGGAAATGGGACCCAATGTGATATCTTTGTATGGGGCCCAGAATTAGGAGGGGCCGCCCCAGAACAACTGATCATGAGATCAATAGTGTCTCTATACCACTGTAGACCATTGATAGGATGAAACAACACGTCCTCTAAGGAAGAGAGGTGTTTCCCAAAACAATGTGAGAGAGCTCAAGAGGTCACATGAATTCACAAGAACCATTTACTGTAGTTTACAATGAAAGATTCAGGTTAGTTAACATACTAGCTTTGAACTATAGATTCCTATTAGTAGCATACTTTACCCAAACACCATAAGCAGCTATCTACAAACGTTTACAGGCTCATGTTGCACACAGTCTCAAGCAAGAAAAGACACAACACGGATGGGTGCACTTCAGCAACTCAAGGGCATCTCCTATGCACAACCCTCTTCAGATCACCCCACAATTGTTTGATGTGATTCAGGTCTGGACTCTGGCCGGGCCGTTCCTAAGTCTCAATCTTATTTCGGTGAAGCCATTCTTTTGTTGATTTAGATGTGTGCTTTGGGTCATTGTCGTGCTGAAAGATGAAGTTCCTCTTCATCTTCAGCTTTCTAGCAGATGAAAGAAGGTTTTGTGCCAACACTGACTGGTACTTGGAACTGTTCATAATTCCCTCCATCCTGACTAAGGCACCAGTTCCAGCTGAAGAAAAACAGCCCCAAAGCATGATGCTGCCACGACCATGCTTCACTGTGGGTATGGTGTTCTTTTGGTGATGAGCAGTGTTGATTTTGCACCAAATATACCTTTTGCAATGATGCCCAAAAAGTTCAACTTTGGTTTCATCAGACCATAAGACATTTTCCCACCTGCGTTTGGGAGATTTCAGATGTCTTTCTGCAAAATTAAGCCGGGCTTTGATGTTTTTCTTTGTAAGATAAGGCTTCTGTCTCACCACCCTACCCCATAGCCCAGACATATGAAGACAGCGGGAGATTGTTGTCACATGTACTACACAGCCAGTACTTGCCAGAAATTCCTTCAGCTCCTTTAGTGTTGCTGTCGGCCTCTCGGTAGCCTCCCTGACCAGTTTTCTTGTCTTGTCTTATCATCAATTTTGGACGGATGTCCTGTTCTTGGTAATGTCACCATTGTGCCATATTTTCTCCACTTGATAATGATGGTCTTTACTGTGTTCCATGGTTAATTAATTCCTTGGAAATTTTTTTGTAGCCTTCACCTGACACTTAACATAATTGGTGACAGGTGTGTGCTGACTCCAATTTAACCTGAGTTTGAATGTTATTGGTTAAATCTGAACACAGCCACATCCTCAGTTATAAAAGGGTGTGCACACTTATGCAACCACATGATCTCAGTTCTTTATTTTTACTTCACCTCCCTGAAAGATTTCTGTTTGTTTTTCAATTGTGTTGTACAGGTTAAAGGTCACATTAAAGGTGGAAGAAGTTGTGAAATTATTCATCTTGATTTAATTTTTTTACATGATAAGAACCTGGCAGTTGAACAGGGGTGTGTAGACTTTTTATATCCACTGTATGTCAAAGCACTTTGTAAACTTCTGTTTTTTAAAAGTGCTATACAAATAAAGTTGTTATTATTATTATTATTATTATTATTGTACATCTTGTAGGGATTTTTATATTATTACAACCCTAATGATTTAGGATTTAGTGGTGGCCATAACGACTTCACAGTCATGCCACTCCTGGCCATCTTTCTGACCCTGCATAAAGCTAAATTAATCACTGACAGAATGAGTTAATAATATAGTTCATCAAAAGGACTTAATCAGCAGGATATTCTGTGGTAAAATCTGCTTTCTAGGCTGTGTCAGTGTGTACTCACCGACCAAACCTCATTGCTGACGACTCCGAGTTGACAAGTTAGTTCATGGACTGTTTCCAGATAAAAGCTCTGTCACTTATGTTATATTAGTATCAGTCCCATATAGATATGGACATCTACAAAATCAGATTTTATTTTAAACAGACAGCTAGCCAGCTAGCTCCTCTAGTCACAACAATGAGAGTTAACGATACCACCACTGGCTGATGTTAGCTGTCATTAGCTCGCTCGTTGATTTAAGTTGCCTTTCTGCTTACCGTATAAAATCAGACGGTGACTTTTTCGGGTGTCCTATTTCAGTAGAATCCCCGTTTTCGCTGTTTCAAAATGGATCTTGTTATGGCTGTTGATATGAACACACTGAGAGCTGTCTCGTCGGACAAGCTAGCTCCTGCTAGAGCTACTGTGAGCTACACGTAATCACCCCAACACAGATGACTGGCGACGTCACGGTCGCACAGCTGCTCATTGGCTACAAGAACTGAAGGGGCGGAGACTGGCCTGTGGCTTCAGCCAACAACATGCGCCCTCTAGGGGAACAAATAGCAAAAGCAGCAGTAGACCTGCAAATTTGATTACTTTTGGGTACTTGTCAGCTGGCCCAAGCCTCAATGTGGCCCTAAGCAAAATTAGATTTTGGGGCCCTCTTTTTCTGCCAATAATATTGATTTTTAATCATTCACACATCTTCAGAAATCTCTTTGATTAACATTTACGACATGCAAACATACCTTTCTCTTGGTGTTTTTTCTCTTCTTCCGCTTTCTTCTCTCTGCTCCTGAAGGATTTGTCCTTTTTTTGTGATATTGTTTTGGCCCGAAACTACCTGCGCTTTGGATGCTCAGTGCACATTGCACAGCAGGAAGTACATAACATATCGGCTAAATAAATAAGATAAATTACATTTTTGTTCATATCCTATAGTTCAAAAATGAATTAAAAAAAAAATTGAATTTGTTGGATCAATTGAATATTGTGAGTAACTGATTATGATGAAACTATTTACACATTTTTTGGATTTCTTTATTTAAAAACTGTTCAGAGACAAACACACAAGAATAATTACAAGAGCAGATTCCAAATCTGGCAACAGAAAACAGTTTTAGGTACCACAGGCTTAGCAATACTGAAAACAGATAAATGTTTGTACATTTAATCTCAGGTTTACATCATGTAGGATATCAATAACAAAAGATCCAAAGGTCAATCAGGTTTTTGTAAGAATAATGAATTCTTATCTTTTGTACTGTGCTCTATTTTACACTTAGATGTAATACATCACCGTAACAAAATAAAGTGGAACATTTTATGTGTTACTGCACATATATTTTTGGCTGCAGAGAAATCTTTAATCGTAAAGCAGAATGCTGATTAGGTCTGTTGGCATTAATGTCATTTTTATCTTGCCTAAAACATTCAATAGTATGGCAATAACAGACATTGGGCAAACTTCTTTTACTGTAGAAAAATCTGTGATTTTAGCTGCAGAATAATTGAATTGAATGTCTTTATGCAAATCATTATTGACAGTTGGCACCATAACTGCACTGTAAACAATCTAAATATACTATACAACTTCATATGGGTTCACAAGTGCTAATGCTGCTGTCATTCAGTTTCTGTGCAATGAACAAAGTGTTGCCGTTTTTTTCAGTTTTACAGGAAATAAGGAGTCGTTGTTCGGGGTGGAATGACCCTCTCCGAGTCAGGCACAGCTCTGAACAACTTTGGCTCTCTGGTATTTGCATCTTTGAAGACCATGATGGAGGCGATGTTGCCACAGCGATAGCAGTAGTTAGGAGCCGACCATACGGTGACCAGCTTCTCGTCGAACATGAACTTGTAGCCTTCATGGACGAGTTGATGCGCTCTGCAGATCAGCTTCAGGTTGTTGATGTGAACAAACTGTAACACAGATTATTATTAATATTACTTCAAAATGAATTTGGGGTAAAAAAAAAAAAAAGCCTTATGGATAAAACATCAGCCCATCACGTTTCAGTATCTGAATCGGGCATTTCCCACTCAACCACACAACCATTAACCAATATCGTTATGAAGCCACGCCTCCAAGATATGTAATGCTCATTGGAGTGAAGCAACATTTTACAGTTTGGTTGTTTCTTTGCACTTTACTCACTGCTGTTTATAATGATCGTTAAATTCAATAAATTCTTATTGTACCTCATTTGTGACCTTTGCCCCGAACAGCCAACCGGCTCCTCTAGGACTGATGGCCCAAGTGTCCACGTCTTCAGGGTCTGACCACACCAGATCACAGAAAGCGCCTTTGTGAGGGATCTCCTGGTTCCGCTCAATGGTTCGAATTTGATCTAGAGTTTTAATGTCTGGGGAGAGTCCTCCGTGGACACACAGGATTTGTTCGTCCATGAGCTGAAAGCCAAGAAATCAACACACACAAAGAGGAGTTAGGACATGTTGCAAATGCAGTGCTGTAGGAATTCACTAAGTTAAGCTACATTACCAGAACTATTGTCTTTTTATGTGGCACAAAAAAAAACTTTACCAGATCTGAACCAGATTATATTTCATTGATAAAACTAACCCAGTTTCCTTTATGTTTCCCTTCAGCTGCTCTGCATTAACTTTCATCCAATGAGATTTCTGACACACTCGTTGTTGTTTGCTGATAAGCTTACTTTGTACTTCGGAAACCCTAATGAGCAAACTCAACAGGATCATAAGTTCACCAAGAACAGCAGGATCTCAAGTCAATAAGAGGTAACAACTGAAGTGCACTCAGATGCCTTACACTAAAAACCCACAGACAGGTGATTAACAGGTTCTCAACACGCTACTCAGATTATAAGGATAATAAGGCTGAGCAGAGTCAGGCTGGTGCAATAAAGGTGTGAAGCAGGTGAAGAACAGAGCTGGCCTCTCTTGTCCTGAGTGGGGTTCACAGTGTTGTCAACCCAAGGAGCTTACTTGCCTTTCTAGTACAAATGTCCTTTACCTTAACACATTTAAAATTAACCTTCAACAGGAATCTAGTTGTCATGAGAACTTATAAATCAGGTAACTCATTACAGCCCATTCTCTGCGACAAAAATCCAACAGAAATATTGGCCGGTGTTCATCCTGTCCTTTTTCAGCAACAAACACAGACTAGTCCTGGCAAACAGAATCCAAAACAAGAGCTAGTCTATCATGTCCAGACAGTTTAGTCACTGGGATAAAACAATAGTGGAAAAAAATAAGATTAAAACAGGTGGACATTGCTTTTTTTACGTCTTCTACAGCAGCTCAGACAGTAATACTCTGTCATGACCTTGAGCATGTTTGACAGCATCTTGTTATGGCACCACAGTAACTTTAAACTGCTGTTCATGTGCAGTTTAGCTTCAGGATGACTCAACATGAGTGTTATGAGGAAATATCTGGACAAATAAAAACTCTCATACATTTTGAAATAATAACTACGACAATGTAACACTGATACTCACAGCTGCAACTGTTAACATGTCAAACACTTTGGTGCAGTAACGCCAAGCATTTGCATTCCCGTACTTGGTCTGGCACTCATCTGAAAGACAGAAACAGCATCTGTTATTTCAAGTAGGAGTGTGATGACTGTGTAGAAGGCGAGATTTGGGATAACACAGTTTGCAGTTAGCCAAATAAGAAAAATCACATAAATCAGCTCTTACCATAAAATCCATAAACTTGGGTGATTTGTCTGCTCTCGTGATTTCCACGCAGTAATGTAATGCGGTCAGGCCATTTGGCTTTCAGCACCAGCAGGTAGGTGAATGTCTCCAAACTGTAATACCCTCGGTCAACAAAATCACCCTGCACATGACAGGGGTTATTAATCAATACTGTGCAAAAAAACATTGATTCAATAGCATGGATTAAGACGTTGTTTAAAATTGATTCCACATACTAACCATAAATATGTAATTTGTGTCGGGAACCTGTCCTCCAGTTCGGAAGAGTTCACAAAGATCATAAAACTAAAACACAAAGAGATAAAAAATAAGTATGGATATAAATTTTCTTTTTGAGTATGACCAATGAATATTAAAAAGAAGACAAAGATCTCTCTCTGCTACCTGAATTGGCAATGACTGAGGACACAGTGTTTACCTGTCCATGAATGTCACCACATACTGTTACAGGAGTAGAAACGGGTTGAACGTTGGATTCCTCCAGCAGAAGGTCACACACATAGTCACATAATCTCTGTTTGTATGAAAACACAGCATAAACATAGGGTAAGGGTTCAGAAATCATTGATATGAGCATAGCTATTTGGTTCACATTTAACAACATGTTCAGAGTTAAGAGTTATGAGTATGTTATACTTCTTAGGGAAATGCCTCTTGGGCATCTTTTTGTTTTCATGGGCAGGTAGAACCCTAGTCTTTCAATGACAAAAGAGATTCTTCCACGGTACTGGTTCCTTAGAGCAGAGCAACTCTCTATATTTGTCCAGTGACGACCAAACTGGGTCTGCACAACAGGAGTTAAAGTATGTGGTTAGAGGCTATAGTTCTTAAGCATGTGGCTCAGGTTTAATTCCAACCTGCTACTCCTCCTGATTTCCTGCTCTACTATCAGCCACCCTATCCTCTCTGGATAAAGGCATAAAGGCTCTGAAAAAATAACTTGTCCTCAACCCTCTCCTTCTTCTGCCATGATACTAACAGTCATGAATGAAGAGAGAGCACTTTCATTGGATTATCAAAAAATGGGAAATCATGCCCCATGTATCCAGGGCACAGCCCATGGGTTAAATGTTTTCATATCAGTCGATAACGATATATCACGATATGAAACATAAAACATGAAATTTAACAGTGCTTATTGGAGGCATGTCTTTTGCAATACAATAAGCTACTGCATCTGTAAGGTCTTTGTGTCTTCCACGATTATTATCTAAAGCAGAGGGTGTTTTGAAAGTGTTTTACTCTTTCAATGGATTTTCAGGCACGTCTTTGCCCTCATTCAACCAGCAGATACTCAATGAGATTAAAAATGGATTTCAAGAGTGTCCTTACCAAGGTTAAAAACAGTACAGTGAGTGTTTACACGGTGTAAATGGTAGAGATCCATCACTGACTGACATTACTAATGAATCTGTAGACACTCTATCGGTGTACTTTGAGTAATGGAGACAAAGGCAGTGATTGTACTTGTGAAAGTGTTGTGTTTTAACAGTGATGCTCGCTCAGAAACATCTTTTGTGAAGACTGGCCATCAGCTGTCATCTCAGCCTCATAACAGTCAGCATCATCAGGTTACTATGATTACATAATTATTTCGTTTAAGGCTATGAGGGCACGCCGAAGCAGGGCAGTCTCATTTCTAATTCAGTAGCATGGTGTAATATAGTTGTGATTTTAGGTTGATGTTATTGTTGAGTAAATATTTTCTTTAAACGTGTTTGACTTCCGCGCTGAGGGATGAGGTCAGCGGGCTAACACTACAAGCTAGCAGAAGCTATCATTAGCTAATTACGTAGCTGCGACATAAAACACAGTAACCGTTACCACTCTGAGCTAAAGAAGGCAGTCTTAGATAAATTATTTTAGGGTCACATTTACCTTAAGGTCGTTTTCTGGGAGGTATTTACACTGCTTTGCGATCTCTGCATATTTATCCAAATCGAGAGGCGCCATTATTCTCTGTTCGTCATGCGCAAAACTTCCTGCAACACACTTCGACCGGTGGTGCATTCGCGTACTGCTCGGAAAATCAAATCTCATGAGTTCCCAGCCTCAGTGTGGCTAAGAATTTCATGGAAACAAATTGGATGTTTTTCATTTTGTGCAGCTCACTTGTACAATTACAACAAAGGGTTGAAAAAATAAAATCTACAGTTGGCACAAACGAGGCCCTCGGAATTCTACTCATGGCATCAAGGTGAGATTTGTTTGTGTACAGTATAATGGTGTTACCACCACACAAGCTTTACCTCGAAAATAAATGAAACGTTCAAATCTCTTGTACTTCATCTTATTCTTATTTTTTAACCATCGTGATACTTTCTAGCCCGCGCTTAAGGGGGATTCTTGCTACTTAGAAAAGAAATTAAAAATTCACACAAAAAGCTGCAGCTTTAGAAGGCCTGAATCCAAAAGCCATGCGAGAGATTGAAGCAAGAAAATCTTGGCCTCTTAATGACAATTTACGCCGGAAGTACTACCGTGATGTTTAGCCTACTATCAAGTTCTCCTGTTAAAAACCTTTATTGGTTTGAAGGAACAAAAGTTATATGATAACTTAAAGAATTTTCCCACTGATATGAACAGCTAAAATTGTTTTTAAAAAGAAAGAAAACCCCTGTAAAGTTTTGCATAGCATAAATTATTTTATTTTCAGTTACTTTTATGTTTCTGTTTGCTTGTTTTTCTTCACTATCTGCTTTATTTTATTGGCCTACTGTTTTTCCCCCTGTCTAAACATGCAATGTCGCTTTCCCATATTGTTAAGTATTTCTCACTAATATGTTATTTCAGTATTAAAATTACTGTATTGACCTGATTCTGCTATGTTTGGAATTGTAATTTTGTTAACACTAAAGCATAAAAAAATAAAAAGTTGGCCTGTTATATTGTGGGATTTTCTTTTTTTTTTTTTTTAGATGACACTGTCTCTACGTATTTATCTCATTATTTCAAGAAAAATCTGTAGGTTATAAAAATCATCTTTGACAAATTTCAAATCTATTTCGTGATGTTGGAGATCATTTTCTCCAGTGTCGTTGTCATATTGTCTCCTTCTCTAAGTTGTCTGTACTCAAGTTTTTGCAGTAAATATGTGAAACATACATGTGTCTTGTACTCAGTTACCTCACTAAATACAGTAATGTGTAACTTAAGTGTACTTTTTAAATGGCTGTACAGGTAGTGTATAGTGCTGTCTCGAGCATTTTTAGGTAGTGTCACCAAGATCTGCTTTTTTGCAGAGAGGGTTAAGTGTCATAAATAAAACACAACAAAGCCATTTGACTGTCTTGTTCATAAACAATTGTGTCAGGACTTTTAATTTTGATGACACAGACATTTTCATTGACATGAATACTTGCTTTTGAGGAATCAACTATTCATTTTGAGCAAGTGATGGCTTTTGCAGTTTATCCACCAGGTTTTGCAGTTTGTACTAATTGTTCTGAGAAATGCACTAACTGTTGTGCAAATGTTATAGTGATGCGAGAAATGCACCAAAGCACCTGAGAAAAACTGTAATTACGCAGAACAAAGGTAAAATGAAACATAATTGCGTTAAATTAGGGAAAAGAAACGGAAGACGCCAGCATGCATTAACTCTTTGTAACATCCTGGGGGCAGTAGCTCACAATCGGTTGAAACTTTCATACTCTCACCATCTGGTTTTTGTAGCCTACGTTGAAGAAAACGACAAAAAACGGAGACAAACTGATATTTGTATCTTTAGTTATCACTGAGAAATGCAGCTAACTCTGAAATGGATTAACGATGACACATTAAATCTTTCAACGTCAAGATGGACGAAAAAAAGCCACTACTTCCTGGGGTAACACTAAAAATAAAAGTTCCAATTACAGGCGCAGAATGCACTGTGCAATGTGCTTAACCATGTTGGAGCCAACAGACACGCATACATATATGTTAATGCCTAATGGGCTAATTTGTGACAGGATTGTACTCTGTCGAAATACTTTTGCAAATAAATAAGTAAAGAAAAACATTAAATAAATAAGTAGAATGACACGAGGATTTTGTCTTTTACAGCGAGCTTTGTTTCTCACTATTCATTTATTGAAGCCAAAAGGGGGAAAATGAATTATACCGTTTTGTAAAATCTTTGTTAGCAAAAAAATCAAGTCACACAGCTATTAGCACGAATATTTTCTAGAAAGGGACCACGGGGCCTTTATATAGGAATACATGCACCTCGACTGTTAGATGTTAATTCACAACAGTGGCATACCATCTTTTAAGGTAAGATACCGTTCAAAATGTGTTAACAACTTATGAATGGAAGTGGTTATGTTTTGACTATTTTCCGAGGAGCGGAGACGTTAAATAATTTACTAAATTTCATGTCTCAAAGGGTGTTTCAATAACTAGCCAATCGTAGAGAGGGAGAGGGCTCAGGGATCCCTCTTCCTATTGGATGATGCGTACGTCACTCACGGACGGCTCATGGTAGGTTGCCGAGCAGGTGAAGTGTTGACTGTGGTTCATAGGGCAACAAACAGCAGCGTACGCCGCCGGGGGACATCAATGGTGGAGTACGCGTCCATTCAGGGAAAGGTCTGAGAGAGACCGTTACTGGGGCTTACATGGAGAGCTGAAACTGAACATGAGGCTAACATCCTTAATGATGTACATATCTCCGGTTCTGACAGTTATTTTGTATGTATATATTGGATTTTCTGAAGCTGCACCTCGCATCATCCCTTACGATGCGTCGCCTATCTCCAGGAAGCCCGGCTCAGCCTCCGACACCTGGGAGACCTTCCACACCGACATGCCTCCTTCTTCACCCGAGAGCAGGTTCTCTCTCGGGCCTTTAGCTGGACTCACACCGGCGCCTGCTATTGTTTCTGCCGGCCCGTCCACCTCCACTACCACTAGCCCTATTTCTAAAACTGCAACCACCTTTCAGCCTCCGACAACGGACCCGACCACCATTAGAACCGGTGAAACCACTACCACTAATCCGGATACTGGATTAATTTCAAGCAGTAAAAATCAAATAACTGCGCCGATTTCAAGATCGACGAGCAAAAGATCCACCGATGCTCAGACATCACTGTTTACTCCTGAGAAAACGCTGCAGACCATGGTGTCCATGGTCTCCCAGCGCACAGCAAACGATGCCTGGGCTGCAGATCATATTGGTACATCTGTTACCTCAATAGAGAATAGCCAAGGTGAGTGTTTTCCACTTGAATACCTAAAAACAAAATCATTTGATATTGGCACGCTTTGGGAAATTGTGATGTTAAACCGTATAAAACATAATCTATTGAAAATTCAAAGGAGAAACTGTTGAATCGATTATTTTTTTAGACACATCCATGAAGAAAAAGCATCCATGTCTGAAAGAAGGAGCAGGGTAGTCTCACGGTTTTGACGCAGAGAGCGAGCGAATAAACCAGATTGCAACAATGGGCAGACCCCTCAAATTGCATGGTGTACCCCTGCGTACATCGGGAGATCACAAATCCTAATCTGATTTAGAGAATAAAAACAATTCTTTCACAACACATGAATAATGATATGTTCCTAAATTGTATTCTGCAGCCTCTTTTTATAAAAGGATGCCACTCTTACAGTTGGCTGGAAAAAAAGGGGGGGCTGTGAGGGGGTGTGAGGTTGATCCTCTTGTTGTTCAGTCAATTTATCCAATCCATCAGTGCACACAGCAGCCTTACAGACCACTGATCCCTTTGTGTTAGAGCGGGCATGTTAGATACTGACATGAAAATTACAAGAAGCTGCTAAAATAGCTGTTTCATCCCCTCCATTGTTGTTTTGCATGGCATCCACAGAACCAAAATGGCCAGGCAGGCTGGCAGGCCAAGCAAGCAAGCCATGAATGAGCAATGACGGTGGAGCCCCTCCTCACACACCTCACCCACATTTGCGCACACACATACACACCAGTATCCATGTGGATGTGTTGTTCTCCAACCTAGCACAGCAGCACAGGCTGAGGGATGTTATACAGAGTGTGTGTGTAATGGTTGGGGAAGCTTAAGGTGTGGGCAGGGACATAAAAGGGGGTTCCTCCTTGTTTTGAGGACATTGAGCCCTTTCATTCTCTTTTAACTATGTAGGCTGAAAATGAACGTTTTTATGATACCTCACAGAGATTTCAATTTTATCTTACATTTTTGTTCACCAAAACCTACCAATTTTAATTTTAGCAGGTATTTTCTTTTTCCTTTTTCTTCTGTTGTTGTTGCTCTTTGATGCCCTTGAGCTAGAACATAAATCAAGACTATTTCATTTCATATTCTGATTGATATTGGCTCTTCACACCAGGGGATCGGGAATGTTTTTTTTACATTGACCCTTTGTTCTCTGTGCTGTGTGGACTTCCTTACAGTCAGCATCACCCTCAGTGAAAGCAGAGGGATTAGAAAGATGATTAAACCGGCTCTTTTCAATGTGCCCACTTCACAATAAATAGCTTTTAATTTTGAGAGGCTTTGGAAGGACCAGGGCTCTGGTTGTATCCATGAACTGATTTCTCTTCAAGGATTTTGAAGGTTAGGGGTGATAAATCTGAGATGTCTAACCAGCGATGTTCACTTCTTGTCATCTTGAATCCTTGGTGCTGACACCTAAACTTGTCTCTTGAGATTTATGCGTTAATTTACAAACTCAGACAAGGTTCATGAATCAGTAATTCATCAGAGCAGAACTTACAACATTATGGAGTTTCTGGCTTTTAATTTTCCTTCAAGAAAACCAAGCATGATTGTTTCCAGCTTTGATGTCGTAAAGATTTTCAGCTCCTCTTTGTCACATGCGTCAGATTAAGGCGGCGTTTTTAGACTGTGGACTCAAGAAATATAAAGACGCTGTTAATAAAACTGGAATTTCCCTCATCATATAATAACCAAAAGACTGAACAAGACACTGGGTCAGAGATCTTTAACCTACACACCTACACAAGGATGCTGAAAATACATTCTGTGTTGCACTTCCTTCATTGATTATCATAGATTATTTTCAGTATTATCTGGTTTAGGCTGCGTGTAAAAAATCAAATTTCAAATTTTTATTCCTCAATGCTGACATAACTCCAGGTTTCTTTCTGTAACTGCATGAAAAGATTAAAAGTCATAACTCAAATACATAATTTAACACATTAACCCGATCTTGGATACAGAGGAATTGAGCTAAAATGGCGTCGTATTTACAGTTTTGGTTGATTCCATTTTGAATCATCGAGGATATTTGGTCCCAAGAGTCAAATAAAACCAAACCTGTGTCCTTGTGTAAGGTCGTACTCGAAAGCCCCGGCATTCCTTTCTAAAAGTTCACGTAAGAACCTCAGCGCTCGTCATTGTTGTAGCCTAAAGGCCCCTGACAAGATAATATCATCTCAACAACAAAGGGCGTCACCTGGGTTAACGTCTCACGTCAGTTCCTGATGCGCATTCTCTGGCGGGGCAGGAATCCTACAGACAGACAGACAGGAGGTGTGTTTTCACATGCTGTGGGCATCCTTTTCGTCAGGACTATTTGAAAACTGATACAGGGGTTTGACGCTCAGACAGAAATTAAAAGTGCAGCAGTTGTTTTTGTGCAGTGGCCGGGGACTCACACTGCTGTTGTTTTCTCCCCAGAAGCACAGACAGGTGAATTAGGCATGAGAAGAGTTTTGAGACGAGAGTTGTCCTGAACAGCCTGCCGCTGCCTGCGTCTGAATACCAGCCATGCTGTCACACCACTTTACAGCAGTCAGAGAGATACAGAAGAGGTGAACTCTTTCTGGCCTTTTCTCTCCGCTACACACAGGTCCAGTCCAATCTACATCAAACCTGTTGTGGGACCGTACAGTCCCCCACCGCAGCCCCTGTCCCGCACACCTAGCAGACGCCTGCTTTTAACAATGAATCACAGAGTGTGTGAAATAAAAAGCGGTCCATGGATCTCACGCATTCGCAAGCGTGATAGGGGCCGACACTTCTTCTTCAGTGGTCTTTACAGTAGCAAAGGGCCTGACAGTACGCTCCACAGGCTTGCATAACCACAGGACTTTCTTAGTTACATAAAAATCCAAGCAACAGTGGAAGAGGAGCATAATCTGAGCGGGACGCCATGGCGTTAAAATTCAGCTGTCTTTTCCTCTTTATCTTGATGCTAGCTGAGGCATTGAACTTCACCTGTGTGCATACCATGTATTTAAAACATTGATATTTCAATCTCACATCTTTTTATCTCGTCTTTTGTCTTTGTTCGCCTGCTGAGCATCAAATAGAGACATACTTGAGTCAGGCATTCAGTCGTCTCTTGCCACACCTAACCTGAGATCAGATGAATAATAGATCACCACGCTGTACTCTACAGGGTCATCCACATGTGGGTCATTACATCCTCTGTGTGCACTAGTTTGAACTGAATGAACGCCTTAATGCAGATTCCAGTTCATCAGGGTCACCTCCTCTAATGTAAACTCGCCTCATGAGGTTAATTCATTGCTTGCAAAACAACGCGGTAGTATAAAATATGTAGGATTCTCATTCTGGTCTTTTTGAAAGCACATATCGTACTAACTGGATACTTGGACCACTGCCTTCTCATTAAAAATTGGAAACAGCTCAGATCCTCTTATTAATCCTATTTCAATTTCAGTTATAATTTTTGGCTTCCACAAAATTAGAATAATCAAGATTAAACAATTAATTTGCCCCCTGCTGTGTTGCACTTGTTTCGTTCCCAAACAGGGCCGCTTCAACTCGCACTGACAGTGAGGAGGAGAGGGAGCCATGTCTAGGGCTGGACTCGCAATCTGATGTTCAGAGTATTGTCCTGGTGGTCTAATGCATCTAGGGGCCTCTAGGCTATGAACGTTTTTATATGTGAAAAAAAAACTCAAAATGCAACCAGCCCATTTGGAGGAAGCAGCAACCCATTTGTGCCGTTTTTTTATTGACACAGGACAGGCCAAATTATGTCTCTAAAAGGGGCTGCTCCATCTCTTCCCCTCTGTCTTCCTCTCCTCTAAGCGTATGATAGTTTCTGGCTGAAGGAGAACGCCATCAAGAGCTCATATTGATGCGAGGGTGAAGAAGTGGTGGGGGCTGAAAAAATGTGTGAAATGGGGATTGCTGTTTCTCCAACGTGATGTGCTACAGCAGTACAAACAACTGTGCAGCTACAGATGGAGAAAGGAGGGCTGTGTAGCAACTCCAGGCAGAGAAGGAAAGCAGGTGTGTGTTAGTAAAGCAGAGGGATAGAGTGAGCATGAGGTCTGAGGCGCTATAATGATAATGAACACCAACATGCTAATAATGGCTAGGATAAACACTAAGTGACACCAATCTGCTTCCTATTAAAGTATGGGTTCAAAAAGATGTGTTTGGAAAGTTTAAACACTAAAAAATGGATTTGATACAGATGTTGTTTGATCATTGAGTGGTTGTTTTTTTTTAGTATTTTTGCTTTAATTGAGTCACCCCAATCAGATTGACCCATGTTGACTCCAGTAAAGTCTTATTTCTACATTTAAACCAATATACAGTAGGTTAACATCATGACAGACTGAAACCTTACAAGCAAAGTCTCAATCGAAATTTTCTGCTTTTTTGTTCAACCTTTAATCAAGAGTCTCTTCCTCTCACAAAAATATACAATAGTTATTAAGAGGTAAAACCATTAGCCAAAGCAGAATCACTCCTGAAAATAAGTATAACTGTGAGATTTCTCATTGGAGAAATCAGAGCAATGATCCCATCGCATAGTTTTACTGTCCATTATTGTTTATATTCCTGGTTTTGTCACAGTAGATCACCATCGAATGGAATTTTCCTTCTGTATCGAAAAAGTCCCCCCATGGCTTTATCATAAAAAGGAAAAATGTAGTACATCCTTCTAGGGCTGGGTGATAAACCGAACATTTACAGATACCGAAATTTACGACATAACCAACGTCATTTTGCCCATGTCAATATATTCAGTGTCAAAAAAATGTGTGTAGTAGGCTATGGTCTCATGTCCCATTTTAAGATGTTGTCCTACGTTTGAGACGTGACTCCACCCGTAACAAAAAGGGAAAGACAGGTGAAGAGATGGAGGACGGTTAAAAAGTTGTAGCGGCTGGAGCGGCGGCTGAAGTAGACGAAGTTAAACTGGGATGGGGTGAGCAGCTTGTGGAGTAGTTATCGTCCATTTATCGTTAATGAGGTGAAATGCTCAATATATCATAATATTGATTTGATGCGATATCACCCACCCCTACATCCTGCACTGAGCATTTTCAGCCATCCTGAAATAAGACTCTGTGCTCATATTGTTAAAGTAGCTTTATTCAGATGTCTGCAGACAGTGCGGCACTGCAAGTTAACTTTGATTTACCATCAATTCATCAAGCTCTTTAATGGAATAAGTAAAATATTTGTGCTTTCACAGTTGCTTTGAAAAATGTCACTGAAAGACTTCTTAAAAATCTCTTCCTTCATAGGTCAAATAATTTAGATAAGCAAGTAAAGTTAGGTGTAAAAAGGGCTATGTTGATCCTGACTCATTAAGTTTTTTTTTCTCCCGTTGTTTCTCACCTTGTTGCCCATCCATGGATCCAGAGGGTCTCTGTAACTGCAGCAGTAACAGTGAGGGGATCTCTGATTCGGAAGAGTGCGACCAGAGCACCGGTCAGTGTTCGTGTTTTCCTGGCTACACGGGGCTACAGTGTGAGGACTGCGAGGAGGGATACTTCACAAACGGCACCAGCGGCTGCCTGCCCTGCGCCTGCGACTCCTACGGTGCAGTGAACCCTCTCTGTGACAGGTAAGGCTGCTCTTTCCTCCTCCTTCTGTTGGGTTTGCACCTGAAGTGACACACCCTGTAGTATCTGTGATAGAGGTGGTTTTTGTTTTCATAGACTAGATTGAAAAAGCTTGCAGCTGCTGGCTGGCAGAGACGTGTAATTTGTTCATTCAGTTCTCTTTGTATTTGGATGATATTGACATGTTTGAAACCTTAACTATTGTTGGCAAGAACCAATGAAAACATACTGACAGGTGGATTATCTCTAGCTGCTCTTTCCCTTCTTTGTGTGCCTGTCTTTACTGCGGGCACAGGAGGATCCTCTTACAACCACAAACTTTGCAATGAAACATCAAGAAAGTTTATCTCTGAGATAACTTTACTAGCTTTAAATGATCCTAATGCAACCCTTCAATCTTAATGTAGTCCACCTTATGCTTTCTTATTGTTTATTATGTGATATATTCCTACACTCCCCATCCTAGTAGCCACATTCTGTTCGAGACACTGAGGCAGTTATTCTTGCAACACTTCATAAAGTGAGTCATGTTAGATGATGGAGTTGTAAATAACTCTAAATCCACAGAGAACAATCACTGCTTAATCATGCAGTTTCCATCAGCTTTCTCAAAGGTTTAAGAGCCTCATAAGCTCATTATTTTGTAGTACAGCCTGACACTGAACAGTTTGGTTCAATCGCAGCCATTATGAAACTTTTTTTTTTTTATCCAGTAGTGAAAGCTGTCTTAATATGAAAGCTCTGATAAACCCACCAAACAATACCTGCCAATCATTATTAGCACTGTTAAACACAGCAGAGCGTTTGGCATCCATGGAGCCAGATGTTTTTCACAGGGGATGTAGGAGACCAAAACAGAGCTGGAGAACGACTGAATCTCCTCTTACGATGGTCTGGAGCTCAAAATCAAATCAGGCAACTGTTAATAAAGATTTTTTTGAAAGCAGTGTAACCTTTTGATGTCATTACCAGCTGATTCCGTATTTCTATTAGTTTATTAGCATTTAAATCATCTTTTAAAAACACTGAAAGGAAGTTTGATATAAAGCCTTCTTTCGCTTGAAATAGAGCAAAGGCAACAAATCAAATACTGAAACTAAAAAAATTTGACTCTTTTACAACAACAACAAAAATATGCTCACATTAAAATTCATGTCACCAAAACATTTTTTTAAAAGTCCATATATGGGCATGTTCACCATTTTGTTGCATCACCTCTTCTTTTAACATTAATATGCAAACTTATGCAAACTGAAGAGACCATTTGGAGTTTTGGAAAGTGATCTCTTGTCCTGTTCTCTGATGTAGAATTCCAGCTGCCTAACAGTTCAGGGTCCTCTTTGTCTTATTTTTGCCATGATGGGCCAAATTTCTCTTTGACAAGTCAGGACTGCAAACAGGCTACACACTGTTGCAAAGTGGTTTTGCTACATCTCGCTGAAATAGGCATGGTGTTCCCTGAAAAAAGACAGTACATACAGCTCAACAACCTGCATATTGTTCACCACGAATGGTGCCTTCTCAGATGTTTGAGCTACCAATTTCATCAGCACTTTTGCACCCCCATACCATGAGGAAGTTGACTTTTAAAAAAATGTATTTTTCAATTACTCTGCTGTAATTCTCAATAAGGGTAGAGTAATGATAATTAAATTCTGTTTTAATCAACACTTTGCACAACCTTCTAACATTTTTGGAATCTAAGTTGTAAGTATTGTGCTCATACCTTGTCCAACTGGCCCTGAGTGACAAAAAAAAAACCACGGTTCAGTGCCCTGCTGTTGAAAACAATGAGCGGATGTGGCCTGACCTTTCTGACGTGAAAAGTTCCGTCCTATCAGATGAAAACGAGATATCCACGATTGCCAGCAATGATAATAGAGTGACAGTCTTCTGAGAAGCTAGATAATACTCTTGTGAAATATTTTCAGCTGCAATCTGGCAAAATGCACATTTGTTGAGAAATGATTTCAAGTGGTTCTCTAGTATTTGCTTTGTGCTGAAGTTTAGATGGTGATTTTGGCTTTGATTGGTGTATCAGTAACTCACTCAGATGTTGGTCTTGACACAAGACACCAGGTGCGGTTGGTCTTGATTTGCATAAAAGGCACATGACTGGACTTGTTTGCATGCGAGTGCAGGATTGGCCAGACACCAGCCTTAAATGCCGTGCAACCACACAAGCACGGACTGCTCACTTTGCTGTGAGCAAATAAAGCCAACACGTTGGCCGTCAAGTGATAAAAGTTGACTAACCCACTCCAGCATTCAATGGAGCGTGGGAAAAACAAAGCAGCTAATTTAGTTGCTGTGAGCTTAAGTCTCAAATGTAATTTGTCAGACTGTCAAGATTAATCAGGAGAATAAGATCATTTGAGAAATGTTTTCTCTCCACTGCAGTTTTTTTTTGTATGAAATGTTGACATGTGCGTTTGCTTTTTTAGAGTGCCTTCTTGAGTTGCAAAATTACAACTGCAGAGATTGACTGCTATGAATTAGTGCGTGCTATCTTATAAACATTGAGATAAGCTGTTCTTGGGCTCAGATGTTCTGGATTATGTTACTCTGTGACCCTGCAGAATCATTTTCTCTCATCATTAAGTCAGGCCATTTTCCTGCAGACCTCCCTGAAGGCAGCGAAACGTTCAGATCCTGCTTACCCATCAAATTCAGAGCCAGAGAACAAACAGCAGACCTTCCACGCAGCTTCTTCACAAGTCACAAGAGCTACGACTTGGAAAGGAGGCTGCGTGTGTGGGTTAGGAACGTGGTAAAAATAGCGGCTGTACTTTCTGCCTCTAACCATGAAAAGGAATGCTGCTGCTTTTCAGCAGCGTGTGGAGGATTGGTGTTGTCATGCTCTGAAAAATACGTCACCGTTCGAGTTTACATAAGCCAAATCCTAAAAGGTGAAGTCCTTTGTGTAAAAAAATGTCTTTTTTATGTTTTGAAGCTGAAAATGTGTGTTTCATGCTCAATGGGATGTAGGTGAGGGCACATGCAGAAGGGTTATTTCAGGGCTTTCAGCTTTCTCACAGCAACACACCTAATACAGCCCTTCTCAGACAGTCTGAGCCTAGCCTGGTCGCTGCTAGCACTGCTAGTGTAGCCCACCCCCCCAGGGAGCTTATCACTGTGAGTTATACAGATTAGCCAGCTTTCCTACCCCCTGGCCTGCTGCTTTAGGTTTCTTTCCCATTAAGTAATGAGCAATCAAGCCTCAATAGAGCCTGTTAGGGCTTTAGTTGTGTCCTCAACAGTGACAGTGAAAACAGAGCAAATAATGGAGTGAGTTTCAGACATTCCTCAGAGCCTGTGAAATTCAGCAGAGCAGGTGTAACCATCATCATCCCGATAGCAAGATGCACACTAAGTAGACTGGGTCATCTAAGGTGTTGATGGCCTCGTGTTGGGTATTAAAGGCAATTCTGGAGCCTCATAGTCCAACATGTGATCCACAAAGAAGTCTGTGGTTCAAGATGAAAAGATTACTGTTAGGGGTGGAAGAATAAAACAATTCACAATTTTTAAATCAATGTTTTTTTTTTTTCAAATTTAAGAATAAAGGTCCTTACATAGAATAGAAGGTTGTGCGATTATTTCGGACGTCAATATTTTTTTACGAACCCGTATCCTGTCAATACAAGCGTTCACATCAGCGACGTTTTCCCATCCTGTGATATTGCAGCATTTTTTTTTTTCGTATCACAGTCAAATTTTCTAAAGTTTTGCAAACTGTGTGTCCACTTCTGACCAATCAGATTGCGTGTTGTTGCGACATCAGATTCACCGGTATATCCAACATGGCTGACCGGCTGATTGTTTACGTGTCGGAGAACAGAGTGCTTTTTGATAAAAGACACAAAGATTACAAAGATCATATGATGATGGTTTGTGTTCTTTAACAGTTTTCTAAACGTCTTTGTTTTAACTTTCATCTGTGCTAAGTAACTTTAGCTCGTAAGCTAACCTGTTCAGATACAACATACCATATGTATTTTCACTGTCTCAAACTCAATCGTGTTGCTGTCACAGCGCCATTAGGTCTCGGTTGTTACCTTACGTTTATGGATTATAGTTTCATGTGCTTATCTGGTACTGGCCCCGACTCAGTACATGCTATCATGACAGACAGCCATCTCAACACTAGTGTCTAATCAGAACTGAAAACAGTCAGTCTGCTGTTGTGTCAGTCTTCTTGCTTCCACCTGGGACGGGTCCTTCTTTCCCTCCAGAAAGTCGCAAAATCGCATCGCACTTGATGTGTATAGTCAGGCGCGTCAAAATTCCCAGTGTGTAAGGACCTTCAATCTTACAAACTGACTTACACGTGATGTGTAATTTTAATGTACATATGGTTGCTGGAATAGTCAGTAGACAATCGTAGTCATTCAACTGTTTTACTGGTGTTAAAAATGCAGACTAAAAATCAAGAAAATCGACAATATCGTAGAATCCAAAAATCATAGATAAATGTTTTATTTAAATAAAGGAATTGATTTCAATAACAATTAAATGAAAAATTACTCCAATCCTTCACCTCTACTCTACTCTTTATCCCACATAAAGTTCCAAAATAGATCACTGAGCCTCACCTTTCTGTACAAGCGAGTAAAACAGATAGAGGTAAATGATGTTCTTCTGCAGCCTAACCTAGTGACAGTGACGGTTGTAACAGAGTTAGCATTGGTGTAGGTGGAGGAGTTTTCAAGTTGGGGCAAAAGTGTAAAAATTTCCAGTGTTTAGAAGAAGCTAACCTAGAAAAATACAATAAAATGACAAATTAGAGATAACAAAGTCCAGAAGCTTCTTATCCTACAAGCAGAGAACAAGATTAAGCAGAGTGAGACAGGGATGGGAAAGAGCTCAGGCTTACTGCAGCAACGAGCTGCTGTAGTGTGGCTCAGCGTAAAAAAAAAACATGGCTTAGTTCCTGTTAGATCTAACAAGATTTTCTTTGATCATTGCAGCTGAAAATGTCAGATTTTGTGTATTGGTGTTTTTGGAGACATGTTACTTAAAGCGAGCATCCCTGATGGCATGTGGAACCAAGTATATGTCCTGTAACATGGGTGGCTTACTCATCTGAGTGGGCAGCATAAATGCTGGACAACATGTACAAGATTTGGAGCAGTAGACTGTATGCTGCCATCCAGATAATGATGTTTCCAGGGAGGAGCTTGCAGAAGGCAGCATGAAGATGCCAAACGTGTTACAAAAGCATGTAGAAGAGCCCACATGCTTTAAAATGGGATCACTGTGGTACACTGGGTAGCAGCCTTGAACAGCCTCCAGAGTGGACTTTCACTGCAGTTTATTAGATATTTTAGGCTCTCATAGTCTCAGACTTTGTTTGTGTCTCTGTGATTTCACACCATCAGTCTCATCTACAGCAGTTGTGATGTGAGGAGCACTTCTAGTGGACCTCTAGTAGGAGTAGATCAACTTCAATGTTATCTGACCTCCATCAAAGCTGATTTTATCCCCGAACAATCACACATAAATACAGTATTTCTCAGTCTGTTCCTCGTGATGGAGCAGCCCGACTGTTTCTCTGAGGCAGCATTACATAACCGCTGAACAATATATAGCTCAAAGCCAGACAGAGCTCTCTTGTAAAAGGCTTATTTTCTTTTGGTGAGAAAGCAGAGATTTGGGTTTGAGCATGGCTTTGGTGCATGACGTGATGCTGACTCTGCTTCATACCCACTAAGCACCATTAATAATCATCCCTGAAATTTTTGGACTCTGTTTTTATACAGCTGTGTATTTGTCTGGATAACTGTCCGAATATAGATGAGGTGACTTCACAGGGAGATATTTCCAGCAGCTAGGGTGGACTGTAATAGAACGTTTATTTTCAAACTTCACTGTAAATGTCAGCATCCTGCTTCACCTCCTGCAAATCAAAGAGCAAACAGTCTGCTCAGACATTCAGAAATATTCAAGAAGAAAAACCCTGTAGGAGTACTTAGAACATCAAAGTATGGTCACAAAACATGTGTTTTTGAGTGGAATGAGGGCCCTGTGATTACATATAATTCGGGTCTTAATGACTGATTGGTACAAAAAGTTTTAAAACTGCTTGAATAGATGACTTAATCCTGCATCAATGGGACTGGTCGTAACGGTTGCAACATAATCTGCAAGAGCAAATAAGCCAGATCAAAGTTCGTCTCGTAATGTCCTTGTTTTCGCCATTGTTGGTTCAGAGTGTTTATTCCAGCTGTTGATGACATAACAGAAATAATCTGAACAGAAATAACCCAACTTTACCCCGGCCAAACTTTTATTTATTTATTTATCTTAAAAAAAAAGAGTTTTGAATATAACTGAATGCCCCTTTGGGTCATCCTGACGTCTAAAGAAACAATTTAAGTACGGTCTATTTTATTTCTTAGTTTAAAGGCGCTGGAAGTTTACCAGCTTGAGTTTGAGTAAAAGGTTTGGCTGTTAAATGGTTGGCTGCACATTCCCCCTATTTCATGGGTACGTTAAATAGGGAAACAGCCATACATCACTACAAGCAGCAGCTGGCTTATTTCAGGGCTTTGGATCAATGATTAACCCATCCTTTACAGGAACTACTGATAATGACATGTACTCTGCTCTCTGTCGAGACGTTTAAAGTTCACCTCTGGCTATCAGTGTCCAGCAGGTGTTTGTGTACTTTGTGTGGCCCGTTGTATTGTGGGAATGCACTGTCAATCTGGACCAGCAAAAAAAATATATTGTCACCAAAAGATAAACTTTGATATACAGCCTTGGTAAATCCTAACTTGTCATGTGTGTCATCTTATTTTAGCGCGGTAGTGTGCTGAGATTTACTTATTTGCCCGACAAAGAGATTGCAGCTGAGTCTGCTCAGATATTTTTTGGTTTTAAGGTCAATCACAATCAAAAGAACTGTGAACAACTCGAACATCGGCTTAAGGTGATATATGTACAATTGTGGTCAATTTCGACAAATATTTGGTGGTTTCTTTTCCTGCAGTCTGTCTTAGCCAGTGTTTTCTTGAAACATGACATCAGGATGTAATGATATCAAAATCTCTGGATATGGCAGTATCCTGATAGAGAGTTGATGGTACAGCATTTATCACAATATTAAAAAAAAGAGAGAGAGAGAGAGATGAAGGAAACCTCAGGAAAAATGCCATTCATACAGCTTTGAGTCTCTCTTCAAGTCCAGCCATCTGTGGTGAGTGAGATGCACTCTGCTTGCTTGAGGCTAACTTTAGCTCTTGTCTCTTTGTGGAGAGCTGAATTGTGTTTGACGTAAGTAAAAGCCATGATGGGACGTTATATTTTGACGCCAGTTTGTTTACTTGAGACCTTAATTTTTAGACCACGAAAAAGAAAAAAAAGGGGGTCTTTAGTTATTAATTCAGAGATATGTTTTGATACTTTCAGTTCTCACACTGTTGTCGGGAAATGAGGCTGACGCTACTGTTGAAATCTCCTTTTTAGACCACAAAAAAACAAACAAAAAGAAACATTTGTCTGGTTATTTATCCAGAGATACATTTTGTGAAGTCTTCAGTTCGCACACTGTTGTCGGTGCCATTTTTTGTCGTGAATCATTTCAGTATGACCATTTTCCCTGTGGCTTCTTATATTATTACTCATATTTGCTGATCTTTGGGTCACTGCAGTCTGACATCGTCTGCATATTTGCCTTTGTCTGTCCATCACCTTTACTTCTTTCTCATTTCTTAGATGGGTGAAACCAAAATGCTTCCATACATCAGATTTAATTAAGCATGGAATTATCCACAATTTCAAATTTTTTGATCCCTTGCCACTAATTCTAGTGTCTGTCATTTTGGTTCTGCTACATCTGTGGCAGCAAACAGAGCTGAAAGGACAACAGGTACACATGGCACAATGGTCTCTGTAGTCCCTTCTTTCCTTGACATGTGCTCCAGTTTATTTCTTATGTCAGTGAAAATTGACTGAAACCCAATATAATTCCTTCAGTGTTAGCAGCACTTTTAGAGCAGGGTGACATGTGTGATCTTTGACACCACCGATGAGATTTCCTCTTCTTGACGTCATTATGCTGCTGTTGACACTCTTTCTACAAACTGTGTGATGTGAGATTGGACACATACTGTAACCCCATTTGTTGACCGAGGTCAAGCCAATATTTGATAAAACAACCGTTTTGAACCGCTTGTTTCTGTCACAACAGTCGTGTGTCGGTACGGTATTTGGGTCAGCTCCTGTGGGCTTTGTCTGTAAGGCATTTCTTGTGACAATACTGAATGAAAGTGCCTCAGTCTGTAATGAAATATTGATTGTGGGTGCAGATGTTTCCGCCTCTGCATCATGTGTCACTGTGCTGTGAATGCATCTCTGCCATCAGTGTATCTTTACTTTGCATCAATTATAGCCTGTTGGATAACACACCCTGAGTACAGTGTGTACAGCTTTTTTAATGTCAAGTAATTCATGTTATTTCAAGACCCAGTGCCCTGAGTATGTAGAACTTGAGTGTCCAGATGTTCAGGAAAAAATTAGACAAAAAAAAACAATCTTTAATTTCACATCTTGGCTTTGTTATCTTTGGCGTAGACGTCTGCTTTACAAACATGAACAGATGGCTTACTGAACAGGTAAAGGGAGCTCTAGGTTACGGTTTAAAACCAAATGGTTATTCAGCAGCATCTGTTTTTGACTAAAAGGGAAGCAGTGAACTGATTCTGAGCATCCTGCTGTCATCAGAGAGCGGCAGTGGACTGCAGGGCTGCAGGGTCGGAGCCACATGTCTGAGTCCTGACTGATGGCCACACTCGGGAGACCTGCAGTCAGTGCGTGACTCGACTGCCCCATCTGTCTGCGTGCGCAGAGTGTAGATAGTGGTACTTTTCTTTGACTGCAGCGCTATCACTCACAATGTTCCTTGTAAAAAGTATCTGTTAAGACTTTTTTTCTACCAACCCTAAAGAGAAGACATAAGAAGGCCTTTTAAATGTCAAATCTTGATACTTCTTTTTGACACGCTGTATTGCTCTATTTTGTATTTTTGCTAATTATTATCATTATTATTCCGTAATAAAAATCCAACAAGTCTTAGATGTATTCATACCTGGTGGTAACAAAGTACAAAGTGTGAACTGGACAGGCTGGGGTTGTCATAAATGTTGATACAGTCCTTGTTTAAAGACCAAGGTAAGTGTGATTTTTATGTGTGAGATTTCCTGAACTGTATCTAAATGCAAGGACTGGAGTTGGTACGCATTCATGCTAAGTGGCATGTTTGTGTTAATGTCAACAAAGGAAAGTAAAGAAGGGATATGAGCTGCCATCTGTGACATAATAAGACACCTGAGAAATGGTTGTAGTTAACTTTCAGACCTTTATATAGTATGTTTGTGATATTTTCATCACACTCCACTCTTTTAATCTGTTACATAATAGGAAACATCAAGTCATCGCTGAGTTCACCATGATTACATGATGAGGAATGTAACTCTTCATTTCACTTGTAAACATCCCGACGTGTCCACACGTGTTTTGAAGACTGAGGCTGGCAGAGTGCAGCATGACCCAGGAACAGTAGATCACAAGTCCTTCTGCTCCGCTGCTTAACACACCCTTCAGGATTTGGCTGCACACCCAAGCAATGCAACTAAACCTGCTTAGTGTGGCTCCCTTTTTATTTCTGCCAGCCTTTCACCTCCTGGTAATCCAACTGGTGTTCACCTCCCTGCTGCAGAGACGATGTTTATGACTGTCTGCTTTTATCCGACACGAGTCACAGCCGATGGACCTGTGTTACCGCTGCAGCCTCAGAATGGGGTTAAGCTTTGTCGCCCATGTAATACTGACCTAGTTAACATGCAGATCTGACGCAGAGCGGCTGGGGCGGCATCATGTAGAGCAGTGAATTCACACCAAAACAATAACATCCCCCTCCTCTTGGACAAGAGACGCAAATTAACATCAAGGATTACTGATCGCTGAGGGAGAAGGTTTTATCTCTTTACATCTGAGATTGTTTTCTGTCCTTTAACCTCCCCTCTACTGGGGCAACTGCAAACCTGGTTGGTTTGCAGGATGCATATTAGATGCTAAATTTCTGAATAAGTAATGATCTTGGTTTGAGCTGTTTGTTAGACTGGGCTACAGTAGAACATTAACCCCTTTCCTGGCATAGTTTGACTATGTTCGATTTCTTTCCTGCATGTCCAAACTAAATATTATCATATGTTATATCTCATACTTGATTTTGTTGGAAAACTCTTATTGTAGTCCCATTACAGTGCTACCGAAATCTGCTATCTCATTCATTAAATCTACAGAAATAGCAATTCCTATTACTAGCTTAAAAAAACATTGTTGCTGTGGCTCTTTAACTGTACAACAGTAGCATTATATCCGAAGCCATTAAAGCAGGACAACTCAAACTTTAGCAAAAAATCAACTCCTCATGTTGGTTGTCTTTTTTACATAGTTTCTGGACATGAGAAAGAATGGACCGAGAGACCGTAAGATCCATAAAACAATATATTTTCAATTAGGGGTGGGAATCACTAGTGGTTATACGATACGATATTATCATGATACTTGGGCCACAACACGACATTATTGCGATTTTTAACATTTTGCAATACAGTGAGTATTGCGATACAATGTATCGCGATTTATACCATTTTTCCACTGTTCAGCTAATTTAGCATTTGTCTTTCCTTTATGTTTGTCGTATTTACGCTGTAGTTTATTTTCATGTAGCACGTCTCGCAAACCTTATATATATTTGTTTTACTAACTTTCTCCCGCTCTTTGATGTCACCTCTGCCAAAGTTTCCCATTATCATAGATTTGACTTCATATTAGCAATTAATTCGAAAAATCGATACTTGGTAAATGAGACGATACAATACATCACCATACAAAATATCACAATACTATAGTATATCGTTTTTTTCTCCAACCCCTATTTACAATAAATTGGAGTGAACAGATATCAGACTTTTATTGTGACATTAATTCACAAAATTATATATATTTTTTTTTCTAAAACTTTGGCCTCACCAAAAATAAACTTTGTCTAGATCACCAAATTTCAGAGCTGAACGACCAGGGCAGTTTGAAAATATTGGTGTAACCTTTCTGTGCTCAAGCATTTTGTCTATATCGCCCCAACATAATGGCAGTGCAGCTTAATGTGCACAATGGTGCTTTTCTGAAAATGTTCCAGCATGTTCCAGAAAAGTAATCAACAAGGACAATGATAGTATCACTGTTATTGACTCTACATGAAACCATCATTCATGCCAGTTTTTGGACAGTGAAACTGGATTCAGCCGTGCCTGGCCGTGTGTTCAGCGTCTATTGTCTGGCACACGTGGTACTTTGTTTTCTTTTCCCACAAGCCGTGGATGGAGGTCAGCCCAAGTGGCATGTGCCGTTTGTATGATGAATCTAAATAGTGACAACACCCCGCCCATCTGGCACACACAGGCGGGCTGTCTGTTTTTGGAGCACACTAAGTGATAAAAGAGGGAGGCAAGTGCAGAGGTAACCATACAATACTTTCAACATCATAGTTGTTACGATTATTTCAGACATATCTTTGCATCTTTGTTTTGATTTATGATGGTTATAAATACAATTGAATAAAATATTTGTACTCAGGTCAGTCCTTTTTTTTTTTGGGAATAAAATAAAAATAAAAGGCATTTTTACACGTTTCTTTTAAAAGGACCACAAACTCCATCAAGACTTTCTTTTCAGACACCTAACAAGGACAAAAAGGGCAAGGGCCACTCCCCAAGGAAACTCTTTTCATCACATCACTGCTCCCCCTGTAATTAGACACAGCTTAAAATATGTAAATGAAATTTATCTAAAGTCCCTCCCACCCATGCAGGTTTCTTCCTGTTTAACTAAACCTCTTAACAGAGAATAGTGACATTGTCTTTGTTTTGTAACAAAAAACACATTCACCATAACGTTTCTTATCGCGGCACAAATGTAGAGACGAGTCAGTGTGTTAAATTTAGATGATTTGTAATGTAATGTAATTTAGTCTATTTGTAGTAGGGCTGTAATCAATCAAAGAAATTCTTGGTCGACTAAAACCCTGAAATTTTTGGCCCAAAATCGACTAATCGGCAAACCCCTCTGCAGCGGGGGACGACGCAGCTCTGCGTGTTCTGGGACAGGCTGTTACCTGTGAAATGGGGGTGCTTTGAAAACACCCCCATTAGCACTTGGTGCGTTCCTACTGATGAAATTAACCATAGACTGTAAATTGATGTGTCGTCCAATCAGAATTTTGGTCGACTCAGCACGTATTGACCAATAAGTCGGCCAGTTGACCAGGATTTTACAGCCCTAATTTGTAGTAATTTCTAGTATCCTGGTTGTATGATGTTATGCTGCATTAGAGTTACCTCGGAAGTCAGGTGTCGGAGCTGAAAATGACGTTACACCTTGTCCAAGCGCTAAAATAACTTTCATAGATGTAGCCATCTTGTTTCAGGCCTCCGATTTTGCTTTTTTCCAACTTGGTAACTGAAATGCTGGGAATTCGGGTGTGACGTCTGACTTCCGAGGTAACTTGAACACAGCATTATAGTCTTCATAGTCATAGGATGTGTTTGTTATTTCCATTTGTGTCATTATTCTTTTGTTATTTTTCTAACTGGATGTTTCCTTGTCTTGAAATATTAAGGTAGTTAAAGTTTATAACAGTAACTTTGTGTTTTGGTTTTTTTTAATAAGACAGTTAGCAAAGTATAAGAGGGAGTGAAAAGTGGTTATGTAAATCAAGTCATGTGTAAACACAGTGGTATATCTGTGTGATATTCTCATAGTCATGAGTTCTGTTCACTGAGTGAGGGGAGTTTTCGCTCAGTGTCTCTGTGACAGTTGGACATCATCACACTCACTTCATTGCATTAGGGTCATGATGCCGCATGTGAATAATTTTAGCTATTGTTTGTTAAGTGTGTGTGCATGTGTGTGTGTGTGTGTGTGTGTGTATTTGGCCAGAAGAATCAGGACTGTTGATCTCCCAGCCTCGTCCTCGGCAGCACCCACGCCCCACTGAGCATCCGTGTGCCGTGGGCCTCTTCATTTGCATTAAGTGCAGTTGTTTTAACAAAGCCCTGCTTGTATGAAGACCCACGCACACACTCAGAGGAAAGTGCTTCCAGTCACTCTTGATTTACTTCAATTGTTTTGAAGTTATTGTCTCCAGATTATGTTTCAGTCCATTGTCTGGGTCTGAGGGCCAATCAGGCTTGATTTAGTGCTTCACTTTCCTTGAGCATTACCTTGATTTGAGTGGGAGATCAGAGTAGCCTCACAAGAGTTTTCTCTGGGAATAAACACATCCGCTCATCACCACTCACTCTTTTCTTGTGTATACATGAGCACGCACCACCTATTTTTAACAGCCAGTCTCCGAGAGAGGGAGGGAGGTTCAGCTCCGATCTGGAAAAAAACACATAAAGAAATGAAAATAAGTCATGTGTTTGTTTTTGCCAAAGATTTCAATGCAATTCGATTTAACTTTACTAGAGCATTCTTGGGAGCAATCATGGCTTGTTGTGTAAAACGCAGGGCCAATAAAGGCCTTTCAGCTAAGCACTGAAGTGTATTGTATCTCAAGACCCTCTTATACATGATCACCTCGACAGTTTCAGGACATGATATTTTCTGAAAATGCCTTTCAAACATGTTATAAAGAGCAGGGGTCTATCAGAGTCAGATGGGCTTTGACTACTTAGACTTGCTTGTTTGGTTTTGTTCATGGGGTTAAAGTTGCCTTTATAGAGTATGAAGTAGAAGAAGAGGGAGAGGTCCTTCACAATGGTGACTGTTGGTAGGGGTGTCCCGATACAACTTTTTTACCTCCGATACGATACCGATATCGTAGCCTTCAATATTGGCCAATACTAATATTGATCCGATATTAGCACAAACTTGTACATGACAAGTTTTGCACTCGGCTGCGATGTCTTTTTCTGACTTTAATGAAAAGTACTGCCACATGGCCGATATCACTCCTACTCCTTGGTACTTTGTTAGTACCTTAGTACACACTGTTGTTGTGATCACATGGGCTCTACATGCTGGATCAGGGTGCTGCTAGATAGAGGTTCTGGAACGGAGTCTGGAATGGACTGCTTGTATCGGAGTGCTGATATCTGAGATTTTAGATGCAAGCAAACACAATCCGATATTTGATTTTTTTGTTGATATCAGACCAATATTCGATATCAATATCGTATCAGGACACCCCTAACTATTGGGATCGTGTTGTTAAACGAAAAAGTCTGGATTCAAATTGTGTGAGTAGATTCAGATAGTTGTTGATACATGCTGCCCCTCAGCACAGTTTCAGGAATAGGGATGTGCACATCCAGCTGAATAAACCGTGAAATGTCGTCCCTGTCACTAGTCAGTTTAACTCAGTAATATTATTTTTATAGTGAGAGGCCTGAAATGCCAATGGTATGTGTCAGCAGAGACTGCAACTCTGAAGTAATATTGTTTAGACTGTGGTGTAGCTCCAAGTGTGGGGAAGAAGAAGAAGAAGAAGAAGAAGAACTGTTATCAAGTGTTTAGAAATAGTCATAAAACATAAAAAGAAATATGTTACAAGTATCAAGATAAACATGCGCAAAGGAGCAGTTGTTGTAATAGATATAATCATAAATACACACTATAAAACAACAGTATGTCTTGATCATGTGTTGCAGGGAGCAGTTATTGTAATTGTCCAGATTATTGCAAAGTGTGGTTATTATGGGCCGTGCAGCAGTCTTTTCACAGCCATAGGGAAAAGTTCAACACTAAAAGGAGTTATGCTAGACATTAAAAATGGTCACATCAGACCCTAAAAATGCAATTAGATACTAAAAATGCAGTCTTTGTTGAGTACAACATGGCACCATCCGAAAGTATAAGGGTTGTAGAATTGCAGTGCTACAAATGCAGTCATGAATCTGCACATATACTTTACCTTAGGAAAGTTCTTGTTGTGGAAATCCTCGTTAATTTAAGTAGCCATAATCTTTTTTTTTTCAATCAACAAAACACAAGGGAGTTTGTTACATTTCAAGGTTGAATTTATCCTGCTGAAGGTAGAGTTATTAGAGATTAACTTTTCAATCCTTGGCTTGTCTAGTCTGCAAACTACAGTGTCTTTAGGTTACATAACTTCAACAAAAACCCACCAAAAGGTCATTTTTAAGTGAGTGTAATCATGGGGTACAAAAGAGCTTTGATGGACTATAAATTCATGATATAAGTGGAGTCAATTTGCAATATTCTATTTTGTCAGCTAAAAGCACACAAACTGATAAAGACAAAGCATCATGGTGAACATATGAAACAGGAGCCGCAGCTTCCCTCTGCACTTGGAGCTGAGTTGCAGAAAGCAGATGGATGACTGGGAGAATCTGCATGAAGTCTACTCTAGAGTGGAGATCAGCTGTCACGACAGCAATCCAAAAAACAAGCACACTAGTCGTCTTTCATATCCTGTGCTTGCTGTTGTGCCGTATCAAATTTCAAATGCTTTCGTGTTTGACAGTTCAATTTTGTTTTGTTTTGTTTTGTTGGTTTCAAGGTGACTAATTCTGTCCTCTGCTCTGCCCTCTTACAGCTCAGGGATATGTGTGTGCAAGACGGGAGTTTACGGACCCAAGTGTGATGAATGTCACCCAGGTTTCTTCCACTTCAGCAGCACGGGCTGTCGGCCCTGCCAGTGTCACAATCACACCAACTACTGCCATCCACAGTCCGGTGAGTCTGCTGAGGACACACTGATGCTCTTTGCTAATCACAAAAACGTGTCTGTTAGAGATTCATGGACTATCAGTGCCTACAAAAGCATTTTTGCTTATTTTGAAGTTCCTTAAATATCCCAACAAGCCTTGAGGTTTAATGGATAGAAATCCTGGTTTGGTTTGTACCTCAGCTTTGCAGTACAGTACAGAAAACAAACTAAAGACATAACATTTTCTTAATCTTTATTACAAAACTTAAAGGACCTCCCTTTTTATACATCCTCTGAGGCCCTCCCTTCTAATAAATCGTACAAAGTGAAGGTTCTGGCTTGTAGGCTTACTCAGATTTCTTTCTCAGATTTTAACTGAAACATGATTAAGAAATATATAAAAATTCATACAGATAGAATAGTGCTGTAACTTTCAAAATTAATATAGTTTTGAAAGAAGCCATAGACAGATACTGACACCTTTAGGATTATAGAGCCGTCCCTTGGGATGGGCAATATGAGCTAAAAAATCACGATAAGATTTGCCATTCTGGCGATAACGATAAAAGTCCCGATAAAAGATATTACAATTCCAATCTTTATTTTTGACTTATTTTGTCTTGAAAACACCAGTTGGAATTGTCCAGTAAGATACTTAACCACAAGTCGGAGTGGTAAGTTATTGAGAATACTAATGACATCAAGAAGTCTCAAATGTGAAAACATTTTCAACATTTGTTTAAAACTCTTATTGCACAGAGTGAACAGCAGCAGATCCACTGTTTGATGTCAGGCAAACCTGATTGCGCTCATCTAAACCCCACTCTTGAAGAAAACCCCTCATTTGGAGCCTCGTTCAGTCACGAGCTGCTCAGAAACGTCTTCTTCATTACCTTCGGCCATATTTGTTTGTTATTCTGCTCTGCGTGGGCTACAGCTGCGATTCGCTCGTGCTTACGCCATCAACTTGCATTTATTGTATTTATCATGAGATGGCAAACATTTATAATAGAGGATTTTTCTTACAATATATCATGAAAGATAATTTATTGCCCATCCCTAGCCGACCCCTTTTGTTGAATGTGAAGATTGGTTGGAATAGTGCTGCAGTGTCATGACACACTGACCACATTTGCTTCTTAAATATCATATATGAATTCAAATTTTTCAAACCTAAAACCACAAATGTAAATGACTTTACCAGCTTGTCAGTCAGGGACCAAAATACACAGATATCTGTTTACATGCAGAGATTCGTAACACAAAAACAGAAGACTTTTGTTTTTATTCTGACATAGGGCTGGGCGATAAAACGATAACGCTAAATATTTAAAATTAATTTCCCTTGATAACGATATAAAACATGGTCAATATGCTTTTCGATAGTCGGCATTCTGCTGTATTTTGGTAGACTATACGAATACCCAATGAAAAAGGGAGTTGCTCACCAATCGTGTGCTGAATTAAAACCAAGTAGCAAACAACTGCATCATAGCAGGCTGCAGCTACATGCAACTATAGCACTTTAACACATGAAGCTGACAGCACTGTTTGTGAGAAAAAAAGAAAATGAGTACTACCCCCGGCAGAAATGCAGAAGAAAGCTCAACAGATGATGACATCGGTGACAACACTGGCACAAAAACATTGTTGGTGTGGAGGTTGATTGTTTTTTTGAGGTCGGACATGAAGCAGAGTAATGTGCACTGCAAATCATGTCAGGTACATGTTCTCGCAAAGTCAGCGAATACCTCAAATCTTTTTCACCACCTGAAGCAGTGCCACACAGCAGAGCACGTGCAGTGTAAAAGGTTACAAACCCTGAGTGGAGCAAGAAGCCCATGGCGCCTGTGCAGCCGAAAGAGCCGACCATTCAGTCCACTTTCTCTACACCTTATGACAAAACGTCAAAGAGACACAAAGACCTCGCAGATGCAGTAGCTCATTGTATTGCAAAAGACATGCTACCAATAGGCACTGTTAAATTTCATTTAAGAGTAACAGCAAACATTTAAGACTGACAAGTAATTTTTTTTATATCATGATATATCGATACTGACTGATATGAAAAAAATATTTCATGATAAACTTTTTCCCGTATCACCCAGCCCTATTCTGACATCAAAGTGCACTTATCAACGGACTTATTTAGACATACGACTGCCACACCTGCAAGAAAAATACTGGGAATGTTTCTAACAAGAACCCTGAAATAAGGGTGATCCAAACATGATTTAATCATGGTGACTTCAAAAGTACAAGTTGTCTTCTCTCTGAGTAAGTCAGACAAAAAAAATGAGTACCCACAAAATATTTAACAACAGTTCCTCATGATGTCTTGTGGCACCAAAGAAGAGCATCTGAAAGGCTTTTTTTCTTCCCCTGACAATGTTTTTTTTATTCAGTGTATTCATCATTTCTGTCTTCATTGTAAGGGAGTAAAAGAAAAGCCTGCTCCTGGTAAATGCTGCTTTGCTCTGTGTGTAATGACACAGCTAAAACGAGTGAAAAGGTTCATCACAGCACTGAACAGAAAACTGGAGATTGAACTCTGTGGCTTTCAGGGGCAGTGGGAAATAAATTTCTGCGTAGGTTCACACTTCTATGTTATGCACAGAGGATAAGCGGCTGTGTTTGGTGAGAGAGTTTGGGAGTACACAAACTTTCTGCCTCTCTTAAGCAAATGTTAACTCAAGAACCACAGCTGAATGTGGACAACCACACGTCTAGTTTCAGTCTGATTTCTTGATCTCGTGTGAAGGAGGATTTTCGGCTCCTTTTCCCAGCAGTCGGATTTTAAAACAACCAGTGACAGGAAGGAGGAAAGGCTGAGGGAAGAGGGTTTTGGTGGGTTAGTTTTAGAAGCCATATGTCTTCCCATTATAATGCAGGGGCAGATGGAGAGCTGCAGCCTTGCCTGAGCTCAGCGTTCACACTGCTGTGGATTAACATAGCTCAGGTTTGACAGCTCCTTTTAAAGTCTGACCCTGGCCTCTCCCCGGGACTAGAACACATTGTGCAAATGCAAATTATACAGTATACCAAACTCTGTGGACCACAAATAAACATGACAGGGCCTCGTCACTTCTAACAGGACAGAGACAGACTGTCCCAGCAGAGTTTTCAGCTGAAATAACATCCACTGACTGAATGAAAAGAATGCAGAGAAAAAGGGGTTTTCTCAGTTTAAGATTCAAAAACGTTTCCTCATGAACAAAAGTTTTATGATTTGCCCTCTTTGAATTTTTCTCCTCCGTGCCTTACACGTGTTCAAACCTGCTCAAGTATGCATTACGTAAGGCCTCGGCTTACCAACCGTACTACAGATTCTTTATTTGACATATTTTTAAAGCTGTGACTAACTTTGTCCTTTTTAAGATCCTCACTCCGCTGTGTAAAGTATCACCAGTTAGTCTGGAGTTTTTAGTTTTCACAACATTCCTGTCAGAGCATCCACTGACTGTTTTAAGAGTAGTCATGTTGACTTTTTAGATCGAGGTTGGTTTGAAATACTCTCGTTAAGCCAGAAAAAGGAATGTTTTATACAGATGTGTGGAAGTTTTCAGAGAAGCCAGATACGTTGTCTGGAATAACCAAGCAGGTTTACAACATTAACGTGCTATGTCAAAGTGTGAAACTACAACGGAGTATAAGGGCCACATTAAGAAAAAATCTATTTAAGACCTCGAGTAAGAATAAAGTCAAAATAAAGTAATTACATACGAGAATAAAGTCGTACTGAAATCATTACTCGAGAATAAAGTCCTTATATTCTTACCTGTTGTTTAAGATAACAGTTGTTGAAATGAAAGCCATGGAGCATTTCATAAAAATGTACTTATATAGGTTTCTCAAACAAGAAGATAATTCGACTATAATCTCAAAGTCTTTAATTATTTTTTCTTAATGTGGCCATAATACTCTGTCGTATGAACCAGCAGGAAAATTAAAAAATATTTTGGTTTTTGACCTCCTCCCTCTTGTACGGACCTTTCTCAGGATTATTGGACTATTTTGATGATCTTACATGAACTAAAATATTAATTCCTAAAAAATGTTTTCCTAATTTTTATTTTTATTTTTTATAATCATTAATCTGACATTGTTTCATTATTTGCTCATGCTCACAGATTGGTGATCCTTATCCCATCTTAACTCCCCAGCTTTTTTATACCTTTTTTCACACATTCCTGTTACTAACCTGTTTAGTTGGAGGATATTCCACCAGGTGTATTTTTTTAAAGGTATTGCTGAAACCAAATTCAAAATGTGCATATTGTTTTTGTAAAGCTCTACACTTTGTCAGTTGTAATATGGGATTTGAACCCACGACCTCTGCGGAGACCGTGGTCCCCATAAATGGGGCGCGCTAACCCATTCGACTAGTAATGCGCTTTTAAAAAATAAGATATAGAATTTAAATGATGTTCCAAACCATCGACATTTTGTTTAAGTAACATATTAAACAGCCTCCTATCTTTTTAGAATTTTGATCATTAAAGAAAAAAACAACCTGTTTATTTTACCATGTTGATTAATGCTGCTTTAATCAAACACAAGAAATACAAACTTTAATAAAGGCTCATTTTACAAAATGAAAAAAATATGTCATAACTCACAAACAAAGCCATTATTTCTCATCACTGGTCCACAGTTTGTTTAAAAGAATCACTTTCCTTCAAGTGAAACTACTTAACAACCTAGAATTGAACCTGTTGAGGTGTTGAGGTCTGTTTGGGGGCTGATTTCATTCATAAACACACAGGTGAGGCATATAGCATGCTATGCAGCTTGTGGACAGGTTTGGTCATGTCTGCATGAGCTCAATCTGTGAACATGGAGGCAAAACAGCCCAACCATAAACAGTCCAATGGTGGTAAAACCTTCACAAGTATTTACAGTTATAATAAGCAATGACTTCACGGGTCAAAAAACAAAGTTGTTTTCGTTCCATGAAATAGACACTTAGATATTGCAAGGTAAAGTAAAAATATGACCCTCACTGAGCTAACTTTAAGTCAAAATGGGCTCTAGAAGGGATTGTATAGCTTTGCTCTGCCTATGACATGCAGCCCATAGTTAGATAGACAGAAAAACACACAGGCAGACATACGAACACAAGAACACTTTATTGACCTTCAAGGCTTTTAACCACCTCAAAAAACTCCCTTGAGGAAAATCAAAGTATTTACAACTTAGTTTTCTGCTCATGCAGTTGCTGCTTGCATACATCTGACATGTCTGAACTTGTCTGTGCTGCATGTTTGCAGTTAATTTACCATACTTCTTTCGCTTCCTCCTTGTCTTCAAGGTTTATTCACCACAGTGTTGCATAATTGTTGACCTTAGTTTTTAACCTCTCTGTGTCTGCTCATTTGATTTTGTGTTCTCAGAAACCGACATGTTGACAGAAATAGAAAAACTCAGCTAAAGCACAGATACCCACTGAAACTTCCTCAGTACTGTAGCTCAGTTACAGTAAGTTACAGTAAACCTCTGTTCAGGACTTGAACTTCATTTATAATGGTAAAAAAGTAAAAGTTAGGCCTGCTGCATTGATCCCTTTGTACTAAAAGAGCAGCTTGGTCTTTTTATTCTAGAATCATGTAAACAACCTTTTTTTTTCTACAAACTATCAAACAAATTATTTTGGTATCCATAATTTATTGCAGAATTCTAACAGTTGATTGTAATTGATCATATTTTTTATTGTGCAATTTAATATCTGTAATTTTTAAGTTTCACATTAAGTACATGAACTAATTAAAACAAAAAGTACTTACAAGTGTCTCCATTTGTGATGGAAATATTTGCCATGGACTGTACTCAAACATCTTGACTTTCAGTTTTGTTATTCTGATAAATGTCACGCGGCTACACCAGTGTGGTCTGAAACCATTGCTCAAAGTAAAATAGAGTGCATGCATGCTTCCTTTTTTTTTCTTTCAGAGGATAACACTGTTGTACATGTTGGAGACCTCTGCCTTAGATGTACAACAGCTCACACACTCCAAATCAGTGCTCTGACATTTTTTCTGATGTGCTTACCCACTGACATCAGTCTGATTAGTCGCTCCTGTCTGCTCAGCTCAGGCTAGAAGTACTCTGTGATATTTAAAGTCTTTGCAACACCTGAGCAGTCTATGAGTTTCTAAAAATGTAAAGTGCCATTCAAAAGTGCAGCGGCTTAACTACGGAGTGCCAGAACGGACAAAAAAAACACACGACTAAAAAAATTATCATGATAGTTTCTGACCGATAATTTCTGTTAACACTGACAGCCCATGTTTACCAGACTTATGTAGATTCAGATTTTGTAATGTTGATTTGTTTCTGAATGAGTTTGATCCAATTCAGTATTACTGTGAAAGAGACACATGAAAGAAACAGGAATCAGCTGATCCCAGCTAGCAAAATATCATGCTGATTGTTTTTTGCAGTTTGCAAGGCTTGATATGAGAACATCTTTTTTTAACTTAGCAAGCTGTAGTGAAAAAAAACAAACTGATTATCAAACAATGCTGCCATGACTAACCTGAGATGTGTAACATTGAAAGGCAGAGTTATGTAACTGACTTATCTCACATCTTATGTGCGGGTGAAATGCCCCTCTGATCATGTGACCTTTGTTCTCTTCTACAGGAGTGTGCCTGAACTGTGAGGGGAACACACAAGGATCAAACTGTGAGGAGTGTAGGCCTGGTTTCTACCGCAGCCCCTCTACCGCCCAGACCGAAGCCTGTGCACCATGTCCCTGCTCCAACAACACTTCCACCGGCACCTGTCAGACCGGTCAGTCCCTGCTGCTCACAAACACACACACACACACTTAAGTCCATGAGTGCTGTCGCCGTGTTTCACGAAGGAAATCATGTTGCTGTCTTGGACTTTGAGGTCCATGTCAAAAAACCAGAGTGCATGAGTACACAGAAATGAAACAGTCTGAGTATAAAGGTTTAAAGCTCAAGCACAAGGTCAACAGATCTAAGTGCAAGTAAGACAATTTTAGCAACAAGAAAGGATAGTGTCCATATTTTTTTTTTATCCAACTTGTTATTTCCATGAAAAAGTTTGTTGTGGTTAAAAATATCTTTTGTAGAGTGTCTTGGCGAAGACATGTGCCAGTAAGTTTCACAAGGTTTCAGACTGAAAATGAGCAGCTGTTCACAAACGTAATAAAAGATACATAAAAGATGTGCTGCTACATAGTTTTAATTGCAAGCGTGGTTTTGGCCTTCCCTACAATAAAAAAAAAACATGAATTATGGAAGTTTTTACCATGTAAAGGCTTTTAAACCTTATGGGAGTTGAACAAAAGGCTGGTCCAAAAAATTTGTTAACATCCGTTGTGTTTGGCTTCATGTGGACGGTAAAAGAAACACAGAGGCTATTACCTCAACTCGGGCATGGTAGTTGTTCTTTATATGTATCGATGGCAGGCTGCCAGTTTACTTCTGCGTGTTACAGTCAAGTTTAATTGTATGTTTACAAGGAAACCTTTCTCTGTTTCATAATTCTGCGGAACAAAGGCAAATAAATACCGTTTACAACTGTTGCTGTAGTTTGAGAAGACTCTGGATAAACTGGCATTGGTGTTTGATGTAACAAACCGGTTACACATAATCCTCACATGTTTTTGGATGATGTTTTTCTTTGGGGTTTGATGCAGCAAACTGATAGTGCATCATCCTCACATGTTCAGTATGCCTGACATGTGAGGATTCCTGTGGACAGAGGAGAAAAACCTCAGAGTGGACTAGACCTGGGAAATAAATGTTAAAAGAGTAAAAATATGGTCCCTAAATTGATAATCATTTTTTACTTTTTGAATTTTATATAAGTCAAAACACTAACTTACATCCTTTTTACAATAATTGTGCATATTTGTGATAAATAATCAAAATATAAAACCCAAAATAACAACTGAAAGCTGAAATATTTGAAAACTTAACCACAACCATGACAATAAAGCAGAACATCAACAGTCAGATGTGTCAGCCTTTAAGTTGTTTAGACTACTTTTAAAATCCTCCAATGAGACCTTTTGTCACATTTCAGCACATTATAAGAGCATCAGTATATTTTGTGAGTAAAATGTTCAGGGATTTATTTCCAGCTCCCTCTACGTTTTGGTAAGAAATAATGTTGAAGGGAAACCAAACGAAGGTGCGTTCAAATAGTCGACAGTCTTCCCCGTATGACCCCCCGCACCTCCTCCACCTCCAGGCCTCTGCTGCCCTACTTTTACCACACACCCAGGGGTCTCTTTTGGGTTGAGATCTGGGTTAAACTACAGTCAAAGGGGTATTCCTGCGCTATCTCAGTGCAGTGTGACATTTCATTTTAAATCTGGGCCATGAAGGATGCACTCGGTGAACGATAAACGGCTGAAAGGTGCAGAAAGAGCGCAGTGTTAGACAGGAGACAGTTTCCCAAACTAATAAACATAATACTGAACTACATGAACGTTCATTTATTCATGGTACTACATGCCTTTGGCACAGCACAGCAGACACCAGAATGTTTTAGAGCAGGTTGTATTTTTCTTTCTTTTTGTATTTATGGGACTTGTGTTTGCTGTCAACTCAAGTAACAACAAAATAACACGTGAAGTTAGAACAGTTTGTCTTCTTGGATACATTTTGGTTTATATAATATCAGAAACTAGTAAAATATACTTTCACAGTAATCATATGGTATATAATGGTAGAAATGTGAAAAAGCAGAAAAATGTCACAAGAAGAAATGTTGTTTTTGAGTTTTGGAATTGACATGATAAAGATATTTATCTGAGGAGGTACTACAACATTTCAGTAATGATGAAACATACTTTAAAGTATTCAATCATATCTGGTGATTTAGCGGTTGTGATGATCTGATAAATATTATTCAGTGCTGAATAGTTACTTTAGATGAAACGTGCAAATTGGTGCAAAGTTCCACCAAAACTCTGCTTTTGGTAGGTAACCGGACACAAAAATCCAGGCTTAGATTACAGAAGTTTTGGACTGATTAAGACAGAAATCCAAGGAGAAATCTGGTCTAGGACCTTGGTCTGAATTATTGTTAGGCCCAGATTATCTGGTAATATGAAGGATTTAGAGATAGAGTCTTAAACCTCTTGAATGAGTCCCTGACTCATCAGGACCGCCCTGTTAGGTTCAAACTTGTTTGATATTGAGGATTTAAAATCAGCAGGATTAACTCAGTACTTTCTGAGCGGGATGACAGCCAGTGAGGAAGAAGAAGCTGACAAGAACTTAACTCTGATAGCATTATGTTGTTGACGGCTGACTAATAAGACATTTAAAGTCTTACCTCTGTTTCTCACTGAAGTCGAGGGTAGGATGTGTTGAAGGTGACTACAGCATCTCATTGAAATGCATCACTCTCACTTTTTTTTACATCTGCTGCCCCTGGTTATCACGTGAGATCACATGAGATCTCACTAAAACTCTTGTAATGATGTCCTTATTATAGTCCCCCTACAGTGGGGTGTTACTGAAAATTCAACTTGGTTCATTGTGTATTACTGTCTACTTACATTCTTGGATACCTGGCATTGCCAACTGATGCAAAATCCCTCTGTTTTATACAGCGGGTGCAACAAATACTCTCAGAGCTGCCAAGCGTCACGCTTTGAGTGTGACAGTCACGCAATTTGACCCATTAAAATCACACCACACGCCACACTTGACATTTCTCACGCTTATATTTCCCCATTCAATACTCATTTATTTATATTTTTTCACGACAATAAACTTGGCTTGCCATAGTTCAAGTAACTCTGATTGACTGCCCGAGATAACCAATCCCAAATCATCCATCAGTACTTGCCTGAATCTAACCAACCACAGAAGGCACCACACAATATAAACCAATCAGAAGCAAGGCAAGGCAGGTCTTGGCATCTCTAACAATCTAGTCCCCAGCTAAATGATGGAGAGTTGGTTGAAATGCAATATTGACAAATAAATGTATTCTGTCAAAATTTTGGTTTCAATTTTCATTTCTAATTTCTGGTTAGTTAAGACTAGCGTTAGGAGGCCACAGTGCAGAGAGAGCAGCTTGCATGGAGATGAGAACATCAGTCTTAAGATATTAATCAATGTTAAAAAAGGCCAAATCATCATCATCTTAAGTCTCACTCTTGTCATTTCCTGAAACTTGGCAGCCCTGTATCGTCATATTCTGTGCTGTATGTATGTCTGACATCAAAAAGAAGATTCGTTTCATGTCTCTTGCTGCAACTTGACTATGAAAGCGTAAAAGTATGTCCAAAAAAGACTTGGAGTCTGATCATGTTACCTGGTTTATTCGCCGGGGTGAAGATGTATCCCAAGACCTTAATTACAGAGTGGCTAAGAGCCATGTTACGCCATGTTGTGCATATCTTTAGCCACTAATGGTTTCAGTTCACCTGGCTCCAACATCACACTACGACATGGTGGCTTAGATCACAGCTTATCCTCATCAAACGGCTGCTGAAGCCTTTCTGCAAAACTGCCTACTGAGGCTTCCTTTTAGCACTGCATCACTGCATTTACTTCACATGCTTAGTCCTCATTGTGTACTCTCACCTCGTTCTTCCTCTGTCTGGACCAATCATTGACAACATTGCAATGTCCCTATACCCCCCTCCCCTGCACTGCGGCCTGCATGGCAACAGCTGTATATAGATGCACTTACGCTGTCAGGTTATGTTTGCTTGTACCAGGGGCCTCGGCGGAGGTTGTAGAACGTGGGAGGAGAGAGGAAGGGACACAAACCAGGCTGAGCTGAGCTGGGACAGCATGAACACAGCTGGGCCATTTCAGCGCCAGTCAGGCAGCAACCGACGGAGGGGGATGGGCAGCATCACATCCTCCGTTTTAAACCGAGCAACCGTAGGAAGAGCTGTGTTCGTTCGCAAGGACACAATCATAAATATGCTCCAGATCAGGTCCACAGAGAGCTGCTCTTGTGTTAATAGCGTGTGTAGCTGCGGAGGATGTTTTGAGTCGAAACCCTGGAAGTGAAGCAGCCTTCATGTAGAGGTTGCCCGGGCAACAGCGACAAATGAGAAGATGCCGGTGCAGTATCAGGACTCCAGAGCAGAGGATAGATGCTGTCTAAATGTGCTGATGAGGCCTGTAGCGGTAAATGAATACCCTCCACACTGACATACAGTGAGGTGAAATGGAGCATTGCACCAGTTCAGAATGTGGGTCACACATGTTAAATCAGGCTTGTATGATTGTATCTGTACTCACTGCTGTATGATGGCTGGGTTCAGTCAGTGTATCCTGAAGTTTATCATATATTATAAATCATTTTCTAGTTCTGTTGCACTGTCTGATTTTCTCTCTCTTTAGTTGTGTGTGTGTATCTCAAAGCCGATCTGGTGTCAGGTGTTGCTAGGTCTTTTTATGTGTGTCACAGCAAAGTGGATGATGATGGCAGACTAAGAGGTCATGTCCTCTGGCCTTGTGCAGTGCAGCTCATCTATCCTCATGGTTATATAACCCAGCAGGCCGCCTGCCTTTGAACCTCCAGCAGAGGTTAAATCAAGCTTATCTGGAGCAGCCTGTTCAGTACTGGAATACAACGCAGTCATGTGACCACACTAGATAGAGACCAACATCTAGGCCAGTGGAAGGCAGTTATCTGTGTCTAAATCATTCAGCACTAGGGACTGTGCTGATGAGACGACCAGAGTCCACATACAGAGCATTAGTTTGTGCACAGAGCTGAAGAGGAAGATGGTAAACTGGAAAACTTCTCACATGCACAATGTAGATGGAAAAACTTTTTTGTTTTTTAAAAGGAAGAGCAGTCCTGCTGCCTTTATTCATAATGTGATATTTGACAAAGCCTATTGGTATTTTGACATGTAGGAGAGACCGGGGCTTGTTGTCGCACTTTTTACACTCTTATTACCTCCGCCAAGGAGGTTAAGTTTTGGGTGGTGTTGGTTTGTTTAACTTTACGGAGAAAGTTACAGACAGATTGACCTGAAATTTTCACCAGAGGTGCGTCTCAGCCCCAGGAGGATCCCATTAAATTTTAGTGGTGATCTGGACAAAATTCTGGATACTGTGATCCAGAACACACAAAAATAAGGGCATCGTTGGATTTTCAATGCTGAAAGATAACCAATGGGCGGCACAGTGGTGTAGATAGGAGAATCAGTGGTGTAGTGGTTTAGCACTGTCGCCTCACAACCAGAAGATCCTGCGTTCTAATTCAAGTCAGGGCATTTCTTGTTTAAGGGGGGACATGAGCTGCTTGGCTGAGGTCTGCGCTCTCTGAGTGCTTTTCTAGTTACCTCCACCAAGGAGCTTATGTTTTCGGTAGCGTTGGTTTGTTCGTTTGTTTGTCTGTTACCAACTTTACGGAGAAAGTAACCGACGGATTGACCTGAAATTTTCACCAGAGGTGCGTGTCAGCCCCAGGAGGATCCCATTACATTTTGGTGGTGATCCGGATCACCTTCTGGATCCAGGAATTTTTTGAAGGATTCTTTATCATTGTAAGATAGGGCAAATTTTTGAATTTTTGCATTTAACTCTATAAAAATGGCCAGGGTCTTTAGTAAAAAAATTACACAAAAGGATCTCAATGAGTTTTATGAGGTGTCAAAGGTTGATCCTGATCCAGACAAAATTCCGGATACTGTGATCCAGAACACACAAAAATAAGGGTGTCGTTGGAATTTTCAATGTGGAAAGATAACCAATGAAGATACATGGAAGTGTACGCTTACAAATATTGCATAATAAATCATGCATTTATGTATCTAATATGAGCTCTATTGTTTTAGGAACATTATGAACAGTGAACATACCAGTTTAAACACAAATAAAAGTTAATAAAAGACACGTAACAGTAAAAATTTTGGTGTGAATCACAATATAAGGGGGGACATGAGCTGCTTGGCGGAGGTCTGCGCTCTCCGAGTGCTTTTCTAGTATATTTCCTGGAATCAATAAATCATATATAAAATGTGTACCAAATGAAAGACCAAAGTCTCAGGTATATTTTTCGTATGTATGTCATTTTCATATCTTGTGTCAGTGCAGAGTTATAAGCAATCAAATGGAGAGTGTGAGCATGTGACATGTTGACCCACCATCGGGTAAGTTGTGATAAAGTCAAAATTTCAATATGAGAACTGCTGATAAGCGGACTCTGTTTATTTTAATCCATTTTAAACATGTGACAACTAACCCCAGAATGACTGAGACATGTTGCCCCAAACAACCATGTCTGCTAATAATAGCTCTAGCTCAAAGTTAGCTTAAAACAGAACAATGACTGAGGTATGACAGGATGCCATATATAAAGTTTTTTTTTTTTTTTTTACTGTGGGGTGTGTAAAATGGTTGATTGGCACTCATCTCAGCTCTCAGTGTGCGACCCCTGATCATGTAAAGGAACAAAACTAGTATTCCATTTTTTAGTTGTGCCCTCTGGTGGCAAAGGTTATTGCAATGTGACAACTTACCCGTGTGATAACAAGCCCTGGTCTCCCCTATCTGTATAGGAATTCAGGCTTTTGCAATATACCTATATTGATGTAGCCAATTTTTTAATGGAATATTAATGTGCAAAGAATATTGTGTTTAAGTAATTGGTTCATAGTAGGTGGCTGGTTTCCACCTGCCATTAAACAGAGGGAAGACTAAAAACTGTAACGAGTTAAAAGAAGCTCAGACACAGTTAAAACTGATGTGCCTCTTCAAGGAAGCTAATGGATTTACTTGATAACCATTATTTTAATTGTTTAAATTCATTTAAATTCATTCATTTAAATTCATTCATTCATCATTACCGAATTTCCCCCCGGGGATTAATAAAGTTCTCTATCTATCTATCTATTCAAGTGATGGGTACATCTTTCATAAAATGAAAGCATGTTTTTTTTTACAATGCAGGAAGTTGAAATGACGTAAACACAAGAAGGTAAAATGTCAAAATAAAAGCACCACAAACACAAACTGCGTCATTGACCCTAGCCTTTATTACAGAGTGTGACTGCTACTGACGACCGAGAAAAGACATGTACACAACCCACGCCATAAAAAAGTGACCTCGTCAGAGTGGGAGTTTTTTGTATGTCGCAAAATAGGCAGATGTTTATGAACAACATAAAATCAGACAGACAAAGGCAGCAAGTTTTGATTTAGTTACAAGTTTATTTTATGAATATCATTTTGAATATCATTAAAACTGGGTGAGAGTTTTGTAGGTGTTGTTTCACCTTCTCTTAATTATAAGTCACTTTTACTTCATTTTCTGATTCAAAAGGAGAAATTTGGCCCCAACCGCTCATTTTAGCAGCTGATCCTAGATAAAGTGATTGTTTTGAAGTGTTTGGTGGCAGAGAAAGGTTTATTTTGAGATATTGTTACTCATTGTTCTGTGTTTTTTTTATTGGTCGATAAGTCACCCATAAAAGAAGTTGAAAGTGCTGCAGAGGCCAGTGCACTGTAAGGTATACCTTTGTTCTGAACTGCTGTGGCATCATGTTACCGGGAACCGGAGGTTGCAGGAGAAAGCTGAGCCTGTTTAATGACATACATGTGTTACAGATGAAGAAGGATGTTCCTTATTAGGAACTGGAATTGATTCAAACTCCAGCTGGGCCTTGTGAAACTCCACTTATAGATCTTGTTAACATGTATCTTCAAAGAGCCGTAAAAATATATACTAGATAGAAAGAAGAAATGCTGCTATTTGAGATTGTACTATTGTACTACCATTTGATGCCATATTGATTAAAAAAAAGACAATATAAAAAGATTTTCGTGAGGCTTTTCCTCAACAAGATTCCTCTAAAACACTGTCAGTGGTTTATTTTAGATGTGTGGATCCAGGTTGTTGGGATGAGCAGCATTATCCTAAGACCTGTTCTATGACTTCAGGCCTGAAAGGTGAGGCGCGGTCTGACATGACCCTCAAAAAACCTCCCACAGGTATTGAGTTTAGATCTACTCACCTTGTACTCTTACCAGGCCTGAGCACAGAAAAGTATTTGGGGCAGGGCTTAGGTTGAGAGAAATAATAAGAGAAAAAAAATTAATTAATTAAATGTATTCATTCATAAGGATAAAGTCAAAAAGTGGAGAATGCATTCAAATAGTCAAGGGTGGAGATTTTTGTATTGCTCCAGATGTATTTCACCATATTTCTCTACATTTCAAAATACGCTTGGAAAAATTACATAACATTTCCCTTCTTTCAATAAATTTCGACCTCAGTTTCCACTTTTGGAATATTGAACTATGACTTAAAAATCAGCACTCTCTCAATTATTGGCAAATCCTTGATATTCTGTCTCAGTTTTGAACCTTCTGATCTTTCTTGGAGAATGCAAAAAAAGAAAGAAATCACAAAACCCTCAGCTGTTTTCATTCCCCGTACCTTTTTAGAAGCTTAGATTCATCACTAAGTACAAAAGGTTGGGAGTTTTTCATTCAAATTTCTCTAATTATCTCAATATTTTGACTAATTTCACAGTTTTTATTTCATGCTTGATCTATATCGAATTTTCCCTCAGGCATAAATGAAGTTCCTCTTTATTCTTCCATTTCTTCACTAGAGGGAAACAGCCCTCTGTGGATAGAATATACGGCTATCTGGGGACTCCTAGTGGTCAAATGAAATAATGCAGCTTCATTTAGGACTGTGCTATGTTCTCAGTGAAGAGCACACGTCAATTTCCGATTTCTTTGCTGGAATCAAGTTCAAATCAGATGTTACTCAATTGTGTACAAAGCTGACCAGAAACTGCAGCGTCCTCTCAGCATCATCTAAGCATGCCATGGTCTCTCTTTCCTCACCTTTCTTATCCACCTCTTTACTCTCACTCTGTCTGATGTTTGTCAATGTCATACCTGTCAATGACATGTGTTTACAACAGCGGTCAGGCTATAATGTGTATCTTATCTTGTTTTGTTCAGATCCCAGTGGCTCTCCGGTGTGTGATCAGTGCCTTCCCAGGTACGGCGGCCCACAGTGTGATCAGTGCAGCGCTGGTTTCTACAAATCATCAGGGGTCTGTATTCCGTGCGACTGCAGCGGGAATGCAGATCCTCAGAGTCCTGATCAGCTATGTCACCCCGACACTGGACACTGCCTCCGATGCATCAACAACACCGCAGGGCCCCGGTGCCAGCTCTGTGCCCCAGGCTTCGTAGGGGATGCCCGAGCGCATAACTGCACTCGTCCAAGTAAGGATAAACAGCATTCAACTATTTGATTTAGAATAGGATGTTATGGTTTTCTAAATATAATATGCATTTTCATTTCCTGTATGAGAACCTGAGCATTATCATGAACGGATGCATCCTCATTGCAGAATACAGACTGACCCCAACTGTTGTATTTTCAATACGCACAGCGAGTTGGGGATCATTTTTGGTTCTGAAATGACTCAGTCTGTGTCAACCTGTAGAGAAAAGATTGCCTTAAAAATGATTCTTTGTGGTGCTTTTATTTTGACATTTTACTATCTTGTGTTTACGTTGTTTTAACTTCCTGCATTGGCGAATCTTGGCGATTCAAAAACTTTAAAATCATGTTTTGTCTCTAAATTCTTTCCCTCTCCAGCTCCCCGGATTCGTCCCACACCAGCAGCTCCGACCACAACAGAGCCCACCACATCAAGCACATCCTCTTCCTCCAAGCCCACTACCAGCACCACTGTAACCTCCCCTGCGAGAGGCAGACCCTCCTCCACAAAAAGCAGCAACATGAGCACCACATTAAGCACCGCTGCCACCACCCAGGCCCTGCTGACCAGCCTGAGCAGCCCCACTGACAACACCACTGCCGCCCTGACTGAAGTCTCCTGGACCCAGTTCAACATCATCATCCTGGCTGTCATCATCTTGGTGGTGCTGCTGCTCCTGGGCTTCGTTGGAGGTGTGTATACCTACCGGGAGTACCAGAACCGCAAGCTCAATGCTCCTTTCTGGACCATCGAACTGAAAGAGGACAACATCAGCTTCAGCAGTTACCACGACAGCATCCCTAATGCTGACGTGTCGGGCCTGCTGGAGGACGAGGCCAATGAAGTGGCACCTAATGGCCAGCTGGCACTCACCACGCAGGGAAACTGCTACAAGGCTTAGCACGGCATTCATCCCCGTTTGGACAGCCAGATATACTAATGACATAAAGCTGCTGGAAAGTACCAAATCCAAAGCTCCTCATGTATGACTGCTTTTTGTTACCCTACTGCTCTGCAGCTCTTCACAACACTTTGCAAACTGACAGTCAGATCAAGCTGATGTGATCAAAGACAGATTTCCACTTGAAACGTTTTCCCTTTTTGATATGATTTTGTGTGGAATCAGTGAAATGGGTCCAAAGAGAAAAAAAGAAGTGTTTTGTTTGAGTTGTGCCTGCAGAGGGCGCTGTTGTGCAGATGGGTTTAGATGATTGGCATAGCGTAAGACTGATGCAAACACACACCTGTTTGCTGAAACAATGATCCTGACACTGGTTAGAGGAGTTGCAGGAGCCTAGCATTTCAGATATTTTTAAAATGGACTTCAGACTGTTTAAGTTATGAACCGGATCACTGGGGCAGTGATCTTAAACTGAGACAATGATTGTTATTTAATGAATTTTTATTCTGCTCTTATTTATTGGTTGACGTTTCATTCTCGGGAGAAATGCTGCACATGTATGACGTGTTTATTCATGGTGTTTTATCTTATGTGCTGTCGAATGGTAATTTGAATTGGCTGGTATGTTTTCATGTATAGTTAGTGTGTTTTTGGAGAGAGTCATAGGGGAAGGTGAGGGCTGCTGGCACAAGCATTGTATTGACTTCTTTTGTTAATAGCTTCCTGTTTTTTCTTTTTTTGTTTTTTTTTTGTTGAAGTGTGCCAGCTCACCTGAATGATCTTAGAGGAGTGTTTCTCTAATAGAAACTACAACAAACTCTCACCACTTGGCACTACTGCAGGGTAGTGGTTTATCCTCTGCTCGCTAAAACAACCATAATCGACTTGTTATCTAATCTGCTCTTTGCTGTCTACCTCAGCAAAAGTTGAACAAACCATTTACAATTGTTGGGGTTGGGTTCTGTGACTCAGTCTCAGACGATAAGCAGGACTCCAGTGTTGATACAGCTATTATGAAGTAAAACCTGCCTGCATATTTTTACTGTTATCTCCTACAATAAAGTTTCATCAGCTACAAGAGTGATATGATGTAAAAGTGACGTACTCCAAAGCTTCACACCTGATCCCGGGCATGGATCCATGTTTTCTGTGTTGTTTGGGCTACCATTGGTTGGGTGCGCTTCATTTGAAAACAGTGATTGAGTAGAGCTAATTATGGAACTAACTCCTCAGGTACTGGCTCTTTCCCTAATGTGATCACTGTAAATATGATTATTGTACAGATGAATGTGAATAGTAGCACTATTATTGTACAGCTAGAATACTGTGTACACTGTCACTCAACAAGTTCCCAACCTTTCACTCGTTCCAGGGTGTGATGTTGCAGTCAGCCCATGGCTTTTTGTATTTTATTTTTTTTCTTATTCTCAGTGGACTTTGCCATAAACACAGCTGCAGGACTTCAAGTGCACCACCAACAACACAAACCAAGAATAAAATTATGTACATAATACTTCAAAGTCAGAGCTCAACTCTCAAATAAAATGGGTTTAACTGTTGTCTTTGTGTTGCTCATGTTTCATCTGAATTACTGTCACATTTTAAAGAGCTGAAGAGGTAACTTCTGGTAAATATCTGTTTGCTGATAATGTTTTTGACTTTCCACAAAACTAGTATCATCATTTCTATTTCAGATCTGTGCTCTAATATAAATTTATTTTCTTCTGACCACGAAAAAATCCAAAGATGTCATTTTAACCTCCTGAAACTTACTCTCATAACTAAACATTGGATTGGGCAATAGCTAGTTAGCAAGAAAATGCATCAACAATTTATGAAACAAAAAAACATTTAGTGAAACACAAAAACATGTCATGACATGCAATAGAATTTTTTTTAATACTTGAAAGGATTTTTCAGTTTTTCAGTATTTTTTAATCTTAATTTTTATTTTTTTTCAAATTTCACCTTTTTTTCTTTCTTTTCTTTTATTTTTTTTTGTATTTTATAAAAAAAAATTGGGGTTTCATAAATTATTTTTGCATCTCCTATTTTTTTTTTTCAAATTTGAATTTTTTTTTCTTTTTTTTGTATTTTATAAAAAAAACGGGGTTTCACAAAATATTTTTGCATATCCTCATTTTTTTATTTCAAATTTCATTTTTTTCTCTTATTAGTCTTTTTTTTTCTTCTTTATTTTTTTATACTTTATACAAAAAATCTGGCTTTCATGAAATAATTTTGCATCTCCCAAAATTATTTTCACCCTCAGTGGAACAAATATTTATTATGAATTCTTGTTTTGTTTGCTTTTGGGACTGCCATAACCCAATACCAAGGAGTTGTCTTGCTTTATGTTCCTGACACAGATCATCCACCTGTGGTTGGCCTGTGCGCTTATTAGTCCAGCAGGAGGTGACATTTGTGCACATTACTATGACAGTATTGACATCTTAAATAACATCAGAATAATAAAATACTCAAAACTGAAGCAAACTGTACATAGTTTTGCTAAATGATGTCAAGCCGTCCAGTATCAGTACCGTTGTTATTGTCATCGCAACATGATGGGATGAGGTGGAGTTTACTGTATCTGGCAAAAGTTTACCTAGGCCTGTGTGTTTGCTCTCAAACAACTTTTTAAATTAACCTCATAAATTAAGATACAGATATTTGAAAATTCATCCCCTTGTGTTTTTAGGACAATCTGCTTTCAAAGGGCTCTTTAGATTAATTTAGTTATTGTCACTGCACCCTCTCTCAACCCTCCACCAATACAGATTTTAGCCTGTATGGATTAAATTTAGTGAGTGTCAAGATAATTCTTTGGTGTGTGTTTGACAGACAAAATTTGAAAAATATAAGTGGGAAAAAAAGGTAAACTTCACCACTCAGCAGGTCTCTGGTTAATTTCATAACTTTGTCTCTGAGAACTTGTAACAGCATGGATAAAAGTAAAGCAGCCAGCATTGTCAAACATACCAGAGCACCAAGGCTTTCTTTATCCAACAGTTTTCCATTTAACGGCAAAATTAATGCTCAATAGTTTGCACCTCATCTTTGTACTTTTTCCTTTTTTTCATTTTACATGCACAGTGTTTCCACTTTCACCACTGAGAAGAAATGTGCATAGTTTTTCTTTCACCAGACTTCCTTCTATGACAAAGAATATGTGCAAACTTTTGCCAAGACTTGTACTCACACCAGTTTAATTTCATAATTTCACAACAGACGCTATGGTGGCAACAAGACAGTTTATTTCCGACAAGGGAAGTTCAAGTTACACGGTCAAGGAAGTTGTGGTATCAGGTCTGGTCATGGACTGTTTTATTTATGGTTATCTGGTCCTGCATCTAAGGCACTATCAGTGGTGTTTATTGCATTTGTATCTGTATATCAATAACTTTTTATGATGCAGACATCAATGTTTTTATGAACACCCTCAATTAAAATGTTTTTTGAAACTAATTTTGATGGTTTGCAACCCATGTAAGGCACATGAACCAGCCTGCCTTTCTATCCTGCTTGAGCTGCTGGTGTGGGAACTACCCTTTTCCCACTACACCAGAATTGCTTGGGGGTTAAGCGTGTTGCCCAGGGACCATTCGGTACGTGACAGCAGGGATCAAGCCACCAACCCTCTCACTCTGAGACAACTGACTACACCTGGGCCAAAGCCTCTCTAAAAGAAGGAGCAGTCTCAAAAATTTCCAGACTCTGTTTCATAGGACCACAAAAATGCTTAGCAAGTTTTGACAGTTTGAGGCAGCTACAGTTCAGACCTGGAAACTTTGTCTTACTGAAACTCTTACCTGTTCCCCTTAATAAGGTTTGCATGCTGGGCTTTGCAGACTTCTCTCTGTATCAAGAGTATGGGATGAATGAAGAAGTATCCTTGCATCAGTGGCGGCTGCTGGTCTTTCAAGGAGGGGAAGCTCATTTTTTGTATGTAACAGAACAGAGTCGCCAAACACAACGGCAGTCGTTTTTAACAAAGACAAAAGTCGCTGAGGATCTGTAAAATCTCCGGACCAGTTAAGAACAACGGAATGAATAACTCAGCGTCCGCGAGAAAGTTGGGACCGCCCTCTCGTCATAGAACTCCAGAGACGCTGAGCGTCCGATGGGCAGGACAAAGCCCAGCATTTATCCAATGAGCGTCTAGTTTCACTGCTGGAACAACCCACTTTGAGCTTCCACATTGAAGTCAGCAGACGCTGAGCGTCCGGCTGTGTGAAGCGCTGAGGCGCTGCGAGGATGAATGAGAACAAAGTTGTACACACCTGGGTATGTAGTCTTAGTCATACAGAAAATGGATTTGAGTCACAGTCACTCACTAAGAGGAAGAGACATTGATCTTCATTGTGCTTTTATTTCAGAAAACCATTTTTCCTTTATAGCACACATGGTGTGATTGCTGTTTTTGCTTCTTTTGTCAAACCGCTGCCACCGACTCCAGCATGTCCTGACCAGGTAGTGTTACAGTATCAAAGCAATGTTTTGGACAACAACTACTGAGATCTATAATACTCTTGCAGGTTTGACTTGGTTTCATTTGTTGTAACCAAATGTGCGTTTTATATACAACTTTAGCAACTATAGCTACAAAAAACATGAGCTACACAGAGTTATTGAGCTAACATAAGTTATTTCCCATTGTCAGGTCTGGCCAGTTTAATCTTTTAAAATTTAAGGTCCCTACACACCGGGAATGACGCAAATATACGACGCGAAATTACGAAATATTCGAAGGCGAATTTTGCCGAGCTTGACAATACAAATCAAGCGCGATGCGATTTTATGACTTTCCAGCGAGAAGACTGACACAACACCAGACTGAGTGTTTTTCAGTTCTGATTAGACGCTAGTGTTGAGATGGCTGTCCGTCATGATAGCATGTACTGAGTCGGGGCCAGTACCAGATAAGCACATTTAACTATAATCCATAAACGTAAGGTAACAACCGAGACCTAATGGTGCTGTGACAGCAACACAATTGAGTTTGAGACAGTGAAAATACATATGGTATGTTGTATCTGAACAGGTTAGCTTACGAGCTAAAGTTACTTAGCACAGATGAAAGTTAAAACAAAGATGTTTATCACACAAACCATCGTCATGAGAGATCCGACGCTATGACTCTCCACAAGTTGTCCTTCGGGTCGTTATCTTTGTAATATTTGTGTCTTTTATCAAAACGCACTCTGTTCTCCGACATGTAAACAATTAGCCGGTCGGCCATGTTGGATATACCGGTGAATCTGACGTCGCAACAACATGCAATCTGATTGGTCAGAAGTGGACACACAGTATACGAAATGTTAGAAAATTCGACCATGATACAAAAAAATAAATGCCGCGATACCGCAGGACGGGAAAACATCGCTGATGTGATCACTTGTATTGCTAGGATACGGGTTCGAAAAAAAAATATTGACACCTGAAATAATCGCACGAAAAAAACGCTCCCGGTGTGTAAGGACCTTTATTCAAACACATTTTGCATGATGACAGAACTCCGAACTACAGGTGTAATACAGTTCTATAAAGGTTAGAGGAAAGGTGTTACAACCATACCCGATCTCCCCTACTTAATATTTTTATGCTTGTTTCAATCTTAGCAACATTTTTGAGCTAATAATTCTGATTGTTTAAATGACAATTTGAGAGAGATTGTTTATTCAATCAAATAGAAATTCCCTATTTTTCGGAGATAGAAAAGGAGTAGGTAGAAGCTATTTAGCTTATTTGTACCTATCCTCAATCCTTCCATTTCATTCCTTAAATGACAGTTTTCCCCCAATCTGTATGTTGCACATTTTATGTTGCATTTGATGATTGTGTCTCATCTTTCCTTTGAAGTAATTCATGATAATTTTAACATCCATCACCTTGCCAGCACACTGGAGCATTACCCCTCACACTTATAGGTCAGTGTGTGAAGCTATGACCCTTTCAAATGTTTCAGTGAGAGTGTATTTCATCTATGAAAGCCAAAATGATTTTGAGAAGGTGTGTTGGAGGCAGATGTATGAAGTTTCATGCTGAAGATGAATAGTTTGTTGTCTGTGACAAACTTATTCGCAGGAAGAAATGTTTCAGTGAGAGTGTATTTCATCTATGAAAGCCAAAATGATTTTGAGAAGGTGTGTAGGAGGCAGATGTATGAAGTTTCATGCTGAAGATGAATAGTTTGTTGTCTGTGACAAACTTATTCGCAGGAAGAAAGAGGAAGCTCGTGTTTAAGTCCCCCACAGTGAAACTCGCTTGAATCGAGACTCCCGTCCCTACCAGTATAGCGCTTTTTAACGTGGGCGACGCCACCCTGATAAATGGAGGCAAGCAGCTGATGGAAGCAGGCTGCAGATCCGAGTTACTCCCACCACTGACATGGAGGAGGACTACGAGCACAACGCTTTGATACAACACCTCCGCCAGGAGCAGAGACGACTTCGGCGCCTGTCCCAGCTTATCGCCGTGGCTCTGTTTCTTCTCATTTCTGTGGTTTTGGTTCTGCTCACCACGACTGTGCTCGGAGCGCGAGCTCATTCACCGGAATGCGAGGTAACTGGACTTTACCGGAAAATCCACTCTGTCCTTCCGTAAACACTAGCTGCATGTTGCTGCACTCACTCAGGTGTATGAGGCTATTACTGAAATGGGTCAGAGAAGTTTATATACTTATATTTATTACTTATGACTATGATAAACCGACGTTTATAACATCATGAACACTATTAATTTACTGTTTATTTCCTATTGTAAGGTGAGGCTAGTAGTTTAATTAAAAAAAAAAAAAACTTTATTTAAACAAAGAGATTATTTGAAATACACCTGACATCTTCATATAGGGAAGAGCGGGGTAAGTTGAGCCACCCCCTGTTGCTTGGAAATGGTAAAAGAAACTGATCCTGTGACCAAATATTTAGGAGATGGGCATCAATTCATGGAGTCTATGAAGGTTAGAAGCACATGGGTGAAGAGGTTAGACATTTATTTCCAAAACAAAAATCAATTCTTTACTCTTGAAAGTGAATTTAGTCCGTCATAAGTTTATTAGAATTGTGTTCAGACCAAAAAAGATAATTTTTAGTTTGTTTTATACATCAATTATGGTATCTATGAGCTACAACATGAGGTCAAAACCGAGCATAAAAGTCCACCATTTTAGCTTAGAGGACTAATAAAGTCATAATAGTAGTTCTGGAGAGAAAAGAAGTCTGATGAGAGGACCAGAGTTTCAGTTCAGATTGTTAAAATGTGTTACTTTTGTGAATGTTCTGAATCACTTGAGGGCATTCTTATGTCAAAACAGCTTTTTAGCAGTTATATGCAATAATACTAAAAATGATTATTGTACCAGTTGAATAACGTATAGTAGAGAAAAATACACATGAATGTGAAGAAGTGACTGTTATCTAGGGAGAGAGAAGGTGTGGGAGGGCTGGGGTGGAGAGTCAGGGGATAGTAGGGATACGGCTCAACTTACCCCGCTCCTATGGTCAACTTACCCCATACACGGGGTAAGTTGACCATAGGAGACCACTTTTTTTGGCATGCTGTATTATCCAGACAGTTATGTTTACACCATAGACTGTATCTAGAATGGACAGAGTCTGACTCCTTGCTGGGTGAAGCCACTCAGAGAACAGCACCCTCTGTTGATGGGCTGCAGTATAGGTCACAAATCCTGCCTCCATCAGCAAAGCTTATGGGGCTGTGGACAAACTTTAGAAATTAATTACACAGAACATAAACTTTTCTCCTCCCTGCTTGCAATGTTGACATGTAGTTACAGTAAGACTGGTTTGTGCTCAAGTCCTCTTTTTCTGTACAGCTCTATTTTTAAAAGTTATTAGGGGGTTCATGTTTTCTATGATTGACACCTGATACAGCTTATTGGCGTTCAGGGATTGCGTAGCTCACCCGGGGGATACGCTGTTTGAGCCGAGTGTCATCACAGCGACTCTCCAGCCGAATGCGCACAACGCTACTGCGCAGCACTGGTTTTAGGAAATGAAGAAAAATCCCGGAAATATCGAGAGCTTTTTAGCTCCAAATCTGTATACAGGCGGGAGGCGGAACCAAGTTGTCCATAGTATATACAGTCTATGGTTTACACTCATTATGTTGGTTTGCAGGGATGCACAACATCTTGAAATATATGCAGATACACTAGTAAGAGATAAAACGATGATCGCCTTGATAAAGTGATCCGAAATATGAAAAATGGCTCATCTTACCCCACTCTCCCCTACAAAAACTTTTATGTGCACTAATGATCAAAGCCATCACTGTATTTAATCTTGTTGATATAATAATATATTTTGTTCACTATAGTAGAAAAAGTCACAGCATTACAATTTCCTCCAATATTACTATTTACCTATTACTATTTATGTGTCTGTAAAGGTGTATTTGATAAATATATTAATGAGTCTTGGTTTGTTTCATTCAAGCCAACGGTGCAGCCATACAGACATTCACCAGGTAAATATCTTGTTCAATAATTTAGAGATATTTTTCTAAACAGGCGTGTGAAAGAGATCGCATCAATCTGTTAAACAATTCTGTTGTGTCTCTTCTCAGATGAAACAAATAAGCAACAGCAACATACAGACTTCAGGAATCCAAGTGCCATGCTCACAGGTAACATGATTCATTTATCACAATGATAAAATATTAAGAATTAAAATGTTAGATTGTGATGTGTCAATCATTTTGTGCTTACGTCTGATTGGAAATAAGACAACGTAATACATGTTTAACATATATATTTTTACTATTATTAAAAAATACATGCTTATTTTGAAGTTGATGTCAGAAACATGTCTAAAAGGAGGTGAGACAAAGTTATGGAATATTATAAGAACAACAGCTCAAGCAGCATTTTACACCTGATGTGATTGATTTTAACACACAACTGTAAATAAAAAAAAGAGCTTTCCAGAGAAACAGAGTCTCTCTGATATAAAGATTAAAAAAAGGTTCATCAAGGTGCATAAAGGTTACAAAGATTTTGTGAATTTCATCATCTACAGTCCATAACATCAGTAAAAGATTTAGCAGATACGTCAAAAATTCGGCACAAAGAGCACAAGGCTGAAAACCAATGGTGGATGGCCATGATCCTCAGGCCCTCTATTGGTAGTGTATCACAAACAGGACTGAAATCACTGCATGGGCTCACAATCACTTCCAGTAGCACCACTGTGTGTGATTCAATAATGCAGGGTAAAGTTTCGACACTCAAAGAGAAAACTGTATTCAAACATGATCTAGAAACTGTCTTGTGGTCTGATTAATCAAATCTTGACATTGTTTTTAAGAACAACAGTTGCTGCAGTCTCTGCTCTAAAAAGATGAGGGACTGCCCAACTTGTTATAAGCATAAAGTTCAAAGTGATTGTGTAGGGATGTTTAAGTTTCTGTTCACAAAAAGGACTTTATCTTTAATGCTGCATGGCAGTACCTGCGGTCAAATGGACTCAAAGCTCTGACTGATCTTGTTTCCTCTTGTTTAGACCTTTGCTTTTATTGTTCTTGCTCTCAAATGTACATCACTTTGGATTAAAGTGTCTGCTAAATGACGTTGTAACACTGTGTCTGTATGGTGTATGGGAAGGCACAATTAAAAGTAAACAAAATGTACAGATTTGGGGGCAATGCCATTCTGCTGAAATAGACCCTTTCTATTCCAGCAAGACTATTAATAATTCTCCTTTCCTGCTCTAATTCTCAGCTCCTAGAGAGAGAAACAGTGGTCAGAAATATCTTGAATGGGAGAGTGAGGATGGAAATGCCCACTGCTACGGAGGATTCAACTACTCCAGAGGGAGCCTTGTGGTGCCCAGAAGGGGAATCTACAGAGTCTTTTTTCAGATCACCCACGAGGGCGGAGCATGTGACTCTAAGGAGCTCAAGCTTATCAACACTGTGTTCATGTCGAAGGAGAAATACAAGAGAGATGTGCCTCTACTGTCATCGGTCAATGCAGTGACTTGCAACCCAGAATGGTGGAGTAAGTCTCTCTACACATCTGGCTTGTTTTTATTAGATGTAAACAGCAGACTGGCTGTGAAATCAACTCACTCTGAATTCATTGCCAAGGGAGAAGAACAGGTGTTCTTTGGTGCTGAACTTGTGTTTGAATAATCTGCACAGACTATTAGATTAGAGTCACGTTTTTTTTGGTTGTTTTCCCTTTAGCTCTGAGTAAACTTTAGGGTGCGGTTAAGGCTTTCTTTTACTGTAACCACTCATGAGTTAATGCGGTAAGACCGTCCTACTGAAAAACAGTGTGACTCATATCTGCGTGACTGCAGGTTTGCTTTTTCAAAACTTATTAACTGCATTATTTCCTTGTCCCAGAGATACACTGCAGTCCTCACAAGGTCCTGGGGTGTATTTTTCTTACAGAATCTCTCATGGCTAATACTCCATTGTTTGGTTGTTTGGCTTTCTAAGTCAGTCAAAGTGAGCTTGTAAAAACACCCTAAAGATTTGAAAATGGTGAAGGGCCTCTGCTTTGATTTTCCTGACCAACAGTAACTTAGTTAACCGGAAATATCAAGAATTTCAATGTTTACATGCGCATAGACTGCCATTGAAAGCATTATAATTCAGTTCTTAAGGAGCTCAACTCCATAGAAATCTTGGTATTGGTTTTAGATGTGACGTTTTGTTGCATTAGCAATGGGTTTTGATTTTGTGGATATAGATGTTGCATTTTGGGAGTTGATAAGGTGTCACATTAAACAAATGCCACCACTGTAAGGCCAACAAACTGTTGGTATTCCCCAACCTTCAATAATGTATATTCAGGGCACAAATCCAAAATCAGTTAATGAATCACATTTCTTGGCCTGCGCCATCAGTGAGTCAGAACATGTTGCCTCTGACAACCTAACATTATTGCATTAACAGTGAGTGTTATTAGTGACAGCTGTAAAATCGTGCATATGACTCAGATACTATTGATTTAAACTCTCAACCAGAGTTTTATTTAGCTCTGAAATATCAAACCATTGCTAGAGTCCTTATTTGGCCATCCTTTTCACAGCTTTTACCCTCCCACAAGTTTGTTACTGATTTAACCCTTAGCGTGTTGATACAGTAGCATAAATAGAAGCGTAGATGGACAGGTAGGTCAGCTCATTTTTTAAGGAAATCCGTTGCCACAGTGAACAGAGACAGCATGCATAGAAACACAAATAGAGTTAACACCTGCACTACATGTTCCTGGAGGAAGTCCAGAGAGTACAAGTCTACCCACTCATCCTGTGGCAAGTCTTATGCCATGTGCTCTGAATGTGATGCCCTTAATTACAGAAAAGTTGGACTGCTTGCAATATGTGCAATTTGTTTCTAAAAGAGGCTGTTAGTATGCTTTGGTTACAAGGGAACTGTAGAGGTGAATTCATTGTGAAGTGACGGCAAAAAAGTGAGGAGTAGCAGATAGGCGCTGGCAGTTGAAAGCCTGTTTTGCCAGTTGTTTGTCGATTGTATCTCAGTCTAAGTTTAGATGTAAAGCCCTAATATGTTTTGGTCAATCTTAACTGAGCGCCCATGAACACACTGGTTAACTCGTTACCATAAAGTGGGGCTTGTTCTGAAAGAGAATATTGTGTCTCAAATTTTAATATGATTTTACCAAGGGTCGATCTTTCTTCTGTCAAGAGCAAAAAAAAAAAAAAAAAAAAAAAGACTTTCAGATGTCAAAATTTATGAATGAAAGGGAAATTTGACAGTACTCTATCACTTATACTAAAAAAAATAAACTGAGATGCTTAAGTATATATTTTTTTATTTCAGGAAAATGATCTTTCAAACTCAGATAAACAGTTACTTGAATAAACAGATTAAGGGCTGTCACCCAACCTGTGAATGTTAATATCAAACTTATGAATCACTTTGTTGTTATGTTTGTACCTGATTGCTCTGCGTTGCCATAGACAGCTCCGAATGTTTGAGAAGGGAGGTTTTAAGAGGTGAGAACAGAGCTGAGTTTACTGTTAACCAGCTAACACCCACACTATATTGCCACCACTAAATACTTTGGATTTATTTTAATGTGTTATTGTATACAATGCCATTCACTCTCCAATAAATGTTGAATTTCATAATCAGAAAATACTCTATCAGTATGGGGTTGACAAACAATGCCAGCATTAAAAAGGATAATTTTTAGGTATAAAAGGGAAAATTTGAACAGTCATGCTATTCATATAATGCACCTGTTGTGATACTTCTTAAAGAGATTTTACGGGAAATGTAAAATAGATTAAAGTCTAAAGGTTGTTGTCTGTTGAAAAGTGCTGGTGTGCAGTAAAGGTTTTTATTTAGTTTTATTTTCATGTAAATGTATTTGCTTTTCCTGCTATGGGGCTCACTTTGAGCTGACATCCAAATGTTCTGCTGTTTTGTACACTTTCTTAAATGAGTTTGTTAATTAAAATTGGATTTTTTTTTTGTTTTTGTTTTTCTTTTGTTTCATTTTTTGTTGTTTAGATCATTGCTTACTGCACTGTCTGTACTTGGCATCATAAAAACTGTCTTCAAGCGATGTTGAACGAAATGATCACATGATCTGAGAAGCTTTATATTTGTGTGTGTGTTTCTGTAAGAAAAAGTGAATAAAATCATAATACAAAGCAGTTGACATCCATTTCTCTTTCTTAATCAGCGAAACCTAATGTGCTCACTTGCTACACTTTGCTGGATCAGAGCCTGTATTTTAAATCACTTCTTAGAGCACAACTGTAAAAAGCTGCTTTAACTGACATCATGATGTCTTTAACTTTTCTCTCTTTTTGTAAGACACTTAAAAAAAGGGAAATTAAAGAATGATATTACATTACTAGGATTTGGCTTCTGGGTAATAATCAATCCTGGCTGTTAAAACTGATAAACGCAAAGTCATGGAACGAGCTTCTGGATTTCCAGGGTGTTAAATCTTTAACCCTTTAATGCCTTTTGTATCATATTTGATACATACTTTTATATACTTCTATCAAATCAATATGATCAACAAATGACTAAAAAAAACACCTGAATACAGTCTTATAAATGATAAAAACGTCCTCTTTTAGTTGATTAGTTTCCAAAAACATCTAATGTATCAAACGAGATAAATAAATATATTTATTAAATTTTAAGGACATTTTGTTTTTTTTTTGTTTTCAGTAGTAAGTGAAGTAAACATTTCAGCGCCAAAAAAATGTGAATTTTCTGGCCTTAATTTGTGGTGTCAGGCATTAAAGGGCTATGACACATGTGAGATGAGTAACCTGAATAAATTGCAAGGGTTTTTATTACCATTTTTTAAGCAAGGTCATTTAAACTTTTTGGACTTTCTGCAGAGTTTTGCATTTAAAACTTCTTGGCTTATATTTACTTAAAAACGGTTCATCGATAAAGGCCAGAAAGGTAAAAATGTTTTGTACCTGACAAGTTTCGGCTACCTTGCCTCTGCAGCCTTCATCTGAAGTGTGTCACGTGATGTTGGTGTGACTTCGTCTGTGATGAGTTATATGGGTTTTACCATCCCACCTGAGATGGTGGGATGTCCCCTGGCATGGGCCATGTCCCAGGTGTGGGAAAGCTGGTAGGCTCCTTCATCCTTCATCCTCTTTGATCCACCAATGGATCTTGTCGCTTTCCGATCTGATGACCTTGGCTGCATCCCAATTCATAAGTAGGTTTTCTCTATTGCAGTGGTCTGAAATGGCTGAGTTCAGATTTCCCTGTTTGGCTTTCTTTCTTGTTTCACGGGTGAACATCTGAGATGTTTCCTTTTCACAGTCTTTCTACATTACATAGGAGAGACAGGCTGACAGTTTGGCACAAACGGAAGACCAGATTCAATGTGAAAATAAAACACCTGGGATGCTCACATGTGCAACAAGAAAGGAAGCCACACAGGAAAATCTGAATCAGGCCGACAGTTTGGCACACGAAAAAAGGAAGACCAGAAAGGTGTTCCAATTCATAAGGAGGTTTTCTCTCTTGCAGTGATTTGAAATGGCTGATTCACCAAATCTATCACTAGCTGTGGGCTGCATCCTTTGTAGGGCCTTTTTGATGACTGATTGCTTCACAAAAAGTTGAAGTGGAGGCCATCCTGTGTCAGAGGCTACTTCATGTACAGCCAATAAATTAGTTCTTCATTTCCTTTGTAGATCAAGATATTCTGTGGTTACATTAATCCAAATAAAATGGCAGACTCTGAGGTTACAGAGTAATTTGCGGTTAAATAATAGTATTTGGTTTCAACTCATTCGGGAGTTTTACAGATGTTCAAAAATAAAGACCATGAATCTTACCTTCTTCAAAAATGATGATGGTGGAGAAGTTGCAAGACCTGAGTTGTGTTAGTTTACCTGCTAACTAGTTGTGGAAAGACAACATTAGCTGCATTTACATGGGCACAAATTATCAGAATAAATGCATCATGTAAACATGTCCATCGGAAGATTCTGATCGAATTTGGCTCAATCGGTAGGAAAGTGTATTCCGATTGAGAGGGGTGGTTTATGCATATCATTATGCCGAAACATGTCCATGTAAACACTTATTCCGATCGTGACTCTCTTACCTGACTCGATCTTCACTCTTTAGGCTTTGGCTTATTTATTGAGGCCGCTACAAGAGGTTTCATTATTAACACTCAGGCATAAAACAGTACCGCAGTTGCCGTGTCTGCTCTTCCGGAAACATAACAAGACGTACGCACAGCGCAATGATGTCACATCTGCACGCACAGCGCAACCTTTGACAGAACAGTAAAATAAGTAAGCAAGGGCGCCATCTAGTGACAACATTTAACAAAGGGGGAAACTCCTGAATTGGATGGAGTGAGCCACTGCCACGTTTGTTGGTTTGTTGATAGCACAGGCGTAAATACAACTCTTTTTCTGCAGATGTTTTGGCAAAATTAGACAACTCTGTGCATGTCCAAATGCTTCTAATCTGAATAAAGCTTGGTGCAAGTATACGCACGGCATGAATATTAATTTTGCACCCAGATAATATTAACACACACACACACACATACATATATATATATATATATATATATATATATATAGATATAGATATATATATATAGATTATGTCAAGTCAGTGTCAATTTGTTGCTTTTTTCTTCTTCAATTTGAATCTTTATTTCTTCACTTTTTTATTGTGTAGTCTAAACCTTTCCCAGACAGTCCTTAAAAAAGCTGGTTTCCAGATAATTTAGCAGGGTCTGCGGTCTGATCATGAGGGCATGAGTTTGTTACCCATGATGTTGATTCATATCACAGAAAAGAAGAGAAAAGAAAAGAAAAACTTGATGTGTCACTTCAGTAACCACAGTCTCCTCCTTCAAAGTCATAAGATTTCAGCTGTGGAGGAACAAACACGTACCACTTCCACTTTAATGTTGTCTGGCATCTCTCTCAATGGGAAAGTGAAAGTGTTAGATGGACCCGGATTTTTTTCACGTGCAGAAACTTGATATCCAGGTTCTCGCGAAAAGATAGGAATTTAGTCTGTGACAGAGGACACACACACAAACACGCACGTATGAACTCCAGCGTGGATTAAATGTGCAGTTTATGGTTATGTTGATGAAATAATGGATCAGCACTCTGCCAGATATATAAAATAATTAAACTCTTGGTCACTCTCATTATCAATTCTGGAAAATAGGAGGCAATTTATTTTAACATTAATCATGCTGTTGAGACATCCTGATTGATTAACCTATATTCCAGGTAGTTTCTCACCAATAAACTTTGCATCTGGAAAATATCTGGCTCAGTAGAAAATCATTTACCAGCAGGAGGTTTCTAGCAAAGTTAAATTCCGAAACACTCCATGGCTTTGAAAAAAGCTTATTTGACAGCCCTGAACGCACATTTTAGGAAGTAAAATATCAAAGGATTAATGCAGAAAATTGAGAGTTAAATGATCCTTCAGTTTATGTTGAACTTGTAATGTCCTTGCAGGGAACCCCACTGTGGACGTGCGACTACACCAAACAGTTTGCCAAGAACAAGTTTAGCAGGACATGAGGGAAATTTTCTGACTCATGCTTTGAATTCCTTTTGCTCTGTTACCCATTGAGATACTATCCCCTTGTTATTTATTATTTTGCCTTGACCTGGTAAATTAAATAGGTGATGGAAAGAATTTGAATAATAATTATTTTTCCAGGTGAAGTCTCAAACTGGTTTCCTGTAAAACTCACCTCTGGTGAACTGAAATGGTGATGGAAAGAATTTGGATAATGGATATTTTCTCCAGACTAAAGCTTAAAGTGAAGTCTCCCCCTGACTATAACTGGTGTCCTTTACAAGTCAGCTCTGTACGTGACTCTCAAAACCTCCCTTATACTGAACACTCTAAGCTGTCTGTGCAAACACATGGGAAAATAGTGATTCACTGATATGATACGATTAGCAGAGGATACATCAGGACTGTTATAAAAGTTACTGAATTGCTGTGTTCTGAATAACTAATGCCAATTTCCCTCGAAACTTGTTACTCTTAACTTTTAAAACATAGTTCACATTGAGTTCAGCAACACTTCCTTTTTAATCCTATTTGATTAATCAACTATTAAAGATAATGACAATAAATTTCATATTCACAAGCATGTTCAAATTTTTATTAAGTTACCATTTAAAAAGCAATGTTAGGTCCTTATCAAAAATGTAAATTAGTTCCTATCAGTGTAATGATCTAATGTTGACTGGCTTACAATCAGTTGCCACCTATTTAAAATTGAATTATTTCTAAAAGCTTTGAGGTCTGGAGCTATAACAAGTCTGACATTTTGATTATCATATTAAGTTGAAAAAAACAATATAATTCTGTACAAATACTTTGAATTTAGCAATTAAAGGGATATTCTGGCGTAAAATTAATTTAGGGTTAAACACACTGTAACACTGAGTTAGACACCCCATCGAGAGATGAATGTTGCCAACCGCCAGCTTCTCTAGTCAAACCAACTTTGGTAACGACCGCACAATATGAATACACAGCGGTCTGAGGAGCCGCACACAAACCTCAACCAAAACGCCACTCTATAGCCACAAATAATGCTCAGAACAGCACCGAACTTCCTCAACAGTACATATAGGGTCCCAGCCATAGCACTAGCCACCAAACATCTTATTAACTTTGCCTGATTTCTTTAGTAAAGAGACTCAACACAGCTCACCTACTCTCTTCCAGCAGCCGCTTGTTTGTAGTGAGACCTCAGGCCAGTCCATTACGGCCTACAGTGGGGTGACGCAGCTCAAGGAAGAACATTTATGATCATTTCTTCATGGAAATGCAATCAGACCGAGACGCTAAGGCAGAAGAACTACTGTGTCTGCAGTGCAAAATGGTTAATATGGTGAGTATTACTTTAAGGAAATGATAAAGTAATGATCATAAAAGTAGGTCTTAACATATTTGGTAGCTCCTCCAGGATGGATGGACAGCTCTAAGAAGAACAAAACATCTAAATTCCCTCTGAGAAATTTTGAAAGGGTCATGGGGTCTACTAACAGATTGTGTACATTATGACGAGATTCTTCAGAGATTTCAGATAATTAATACTAGCAGCATTGTGATGTTATATACAGAGAGCACACCCACAACAAACATTATTCTTTCAAGTATCTTATATACAAAAACTCCAATAATTGATCCTTCTTTGGCGCGTCTCTTTGAACAATTTTTCCTCAGAATTCATACACATAGAGAAAAGTAACAGCACACCGATCCCAAACAAAACACACATTTTGATTTATAATTAGTCCTACAACTCTTAAAGCTGTAGGACTAGTAGCAAATCAAAATTTGTCCGGGAGAGGAATAAGAACCAAAACCAGGTGTGGGTATTGTTCCAAAACATGTTCTTCAGAAATCATCTCTGAGTGACATGATGATGCTTATCGCCTCTGATGAAATTGGATTGGGTGAAACCTGCACCTGTTGGCCGGTAGCCGACTGTTAGGAATGCATTTGGCAGAGTGTAGGCTACCTGTTATCTTGGATTTGTAGGGTGTGTTTAAACAATCATTGTGATGAGTCAGTCTGAATTCCTCCTAATGATATTCTTCTCTGTGAGGTCTCTAAGCAACAGTTCTGTAAACAAATCCTGGGTGTCGGGGAAAGAAAACATTTGTTGCTGTTCAAACATGAAAGGGAAACTCATGCTGAAGTTTTTGATAAAACAGGCTATGTTAAATATAGATGTCACAGTTTGAAAGAGATCCAAGAACCATCCAAGTGTAGATTCACCACATTTTCAGTCAACAAAGAGCAGCTGCACATACTGTAGTTCCACTGCTGCTCCAGGTAGAACAGTGCAACATGGATAGCTGTGGCTTCAGCGTCCTCTGTTGATCTGTTTGACAGAGGAATGAGGCTTATTAGTACTTAAATGGCTAGAAGGTTAAAAGGTGCATGTTAAAAGCACTGCTCCTCAAACCATAAATCCATCTTTGTCTGCTTGTTAGTACAACTGCATATGTTGCAACACGTACCAGATCTACATGAAGACATTTCCAAATATGTAACGCTTGATAAAAATCTAGCATATTTCAACAACAAGGCAGTGCGAAGTATTTTAGATTTAAAACAACCACTATTGAGGCTCATTCACTACCATTTGCCACTACGACAAACCAACTGAATTATATTTCTGTTATAGCACAGGAAGTTTCACCCATAATCCTAAATGCATTAGCGCCCGCAGGAATAAGGTGGACACTTTTTCTAACTGTGCTTCAAGCTGTTCATATAGTTACATAGCTTTTAATCTACAGTAAGTAGGGTATATTTCTTTTCAAAATAAAAGCATACTTTTACAATCCAGAACATGACTTGAACTTGCTGCAAGACAGTAAAAGTATCAAAGTGCAAGCATCTCAAAAATTGTTTTGTGAGGCTACGTCATCTTCGGGAAGTTTCTGTCACAGGGCTGGTGACATCAATAAAACACTGAATGTCATGAGAAATGGATTATGACGTAAGTATATCAGCTGCGTTTTTTTAGAAAGAGTTATGCATTAAAAAGTCAGTCCAGTTTTCCATCAGTATACTGATAATGTTGCAGTAAGAGCGGTATCGTGACAGTCATACTTTGAGGATAAGGAATTTTAAAAATGGAGTAGAGTTAAAGGTGCAGAAAATCTAAAGCTTCTTTCCAAAACTTGTACATTTCTATACTTTAGTTTGACAGACTATCAAGTCAGACCATTTCTCTTTCAGTCTTAATCAGCAATTCATGATTTCATCATTACACAGAGACATAACATGAACTACAGCCCATAAAACAGGAAGTGAAAGTGTTGGAAACATTGTATAACTGAACTTGTGAGGCAATATTTTTGCAGCACCGCCAGTAAGTGAATGAAACACTGCCATCGCTCAAAGGTCAAAATTCCTTTCAAGCATGTGACACAAACTTCCTGAAACCACTCTGACAGAGATCGGGGATGTTTAGTGGTGTGAGGCTGCCAATAAATACAACATTTTTAATTACTGACGTATAAAGTTTCCAAGTTTTAACTGGCAAAACAAACAAAAAAAAGGAACATAAACGGTGCCACGAGCCATGAGCCGTGAGCACCTATCACCACAGGGACCAGGTTGCAGTGGAATCACTGGCATCCTGTTTGTCTTATCATTGACTACATGTTTAGGACCCCCCAGGGTGCAGAGCTAAGCAGGTATCAGCAACAGTTCATGTGACAATGAGTAAATCAGTGAGCTGTGGTGGAGGCCAGCTGCAAAGTGGTTTGTGGAAGAATGTCGTGGAAGGTAATTGACTGAGGTGTCAGCTGATATGAGCTGGAGTTAGGATCAGCTGATGTACTGTGGACTGACCTTGACTTTGTGGCGTCCCTGAACAAACGCTATGCTCAGTCCAAATGAAATGTTCCTGAGACATCAAACTTCCCTTTATACGATGAAATAATAACGGCTTGTTCTCAGATTAGCACGCTTAAAAAGTGACGGAAGCTAGCAAAAGTGCTTGGACATTCTGCATCCAAAAACCATAAAACGCAACGAAATGTTTAAAAGTAATACAACATTATATTATTTAAAATAAATAAATAACAAATTAAAATAATCAAAACAGGCAGTGTAGTTGTTGGAGGAGATAAGGGGACCAGGGGGCCCACCCACCCAATCAGAAGGCTTCTCAGTGGATCATATTCATGCACTTGTGCTGCATTCCAGCTGTATTCGGAAATCGGGATTCCCGTCGGAAAAGTCGGAAAATCATCTGGAAAGTCCCCCTGAAGTTGGATTTCCGTTGGACAAAATCGGACAATCCTCGCCAGCCCCAACTTGACAACAACATCATAATTCAAGATGGCAGCGCAGTGCATCGACAGTAAAGAGTAACGGTAAAAGCTCTCGTAATGTATTATTTATTAGCACTTCAGCTGACAATGGCCAACAACAGCTGACATTGTAAACAACAGCTAACGACGGGTAACTGTGAGCGTCCATCTTGGTTTTCCAACTTGTCAACTGGAACGCCATCAACTCGGGTGTAACCTCATTCCCAGCTCCTACATCCAACTTCTGAGGTCACTGGAACATAGCATTAATAATGATGCTTTTGGGTCTTTAGCTGTGTGCTGATCAACATTTAGGTAAGTAGTTTTAATTCCCATTTTTAGTTGACATATGTACTTCAGACTCCTCTATTAATGGTTTGGTAGGCCCATTTAGTTTTCTCCGTGCCTATGCCACAGGTAAAGACCGTAAGAAAAGGAAACCCGCAATAGTAGAAGATAACCTACGTTTCAATGTATGTGGAGAAAATATTCTGAAATATTATACACTCCACCTGATGCAATACACTATTAATCTGAAATCTTAATGTTACTTTGACATAAAATATTCCAAAAATAAAAGTAAACAGTTTGAAGTATTTTCCATTACCTAAAATGACGTTGAACAACAGGTAAAACAGGATCTGAGGCATTGCTGGACTTTTGATTTGAAGTGGGGCAACCTAAGCCGAAAGTTTCTGCTCCTGCAAGGCCACAATCAGATGGGACTGCCCCAGGAGACATTGCTTCATCCCTCTGCTTTGAAAGTACAGGGGAATCCCCACAAAAAAGAAATTTCTAGTGATAAGTTTCATCATTCCACAAAGCAAAACACCATTATTTATTCAGCTCCAGTTTCTGTGTGAGGACTGTCCCACCATTGAGGGGCTCCATAATTCCAATGAAATCACAAATTTTTGGAGGATAGATCAGGGAAAATCCAAAATATTGTTTTGGATGAAATGCTGGGCTGTCCAGTCAGGGTGTGTGACTGTTCAGATGTAAGACATCCCCATATTTACCCTTTTTTTTGTAATCCCAAAGAGCTCAGCTAATAGTCTTGACAGAAGCAACCAACTTAAAGGGATATTCTGGCGTAAAATTAATTTAGGGTCAAACACACCATAACTCTGAGTTAGACACCCCCTCAAGAGATCAATGTTGCCAACAGCTTACTTCTCTAGTTATACCAACTTTAGTAACGACCGCACAATAGCAATACACAGCGGTCCAAGGAGCCACACACAAACATCAACCAAAACACCACTCTATAGCCACAAATGATGCTCAGAATGTAATCATGTAAATGTCATCAACAGTACATATAGGGTCCCAGCCATAGCACTAGCCAACAAACATCTTTTTAACTTTGCCTGATTTCTTTAGCAAAAAGACTAAACGCAATTCACCTGCTCTCTTCCAGCAGCCGCTTGTATGTAGGAAGACTGTGGAAGAGTCTTTCACCAACTGCAGCGGGTGATGCAGCTCACGGAAGAACATTTATGATCATTTCCTCATGGAAATGCGATCAGACCGAGACGCTAAGTCAGAAGAACGACCGCATCTGCAGTGCAAAATGATTAACATGGTGATTATTACTTCAAAGAAATGCTAAAGTAATGTGATCCCTTTAAGATCATAGTAGTGGTGTTACATTCATTCATTTGCTTCCACAAATGAAATAAGATGTGGCTCTCACCACAAATTGGTAAGAGCCACATCTCTGTGACAGTTGTTGCTGGTGCTTATAGAAAACACTGTGGAACTGCATCTGCAGATACTTCTGGCTTTGGTTTCACTTTTCCCCCGTGCTGGTCATAAAATAACACTTAAAAAAAACAGACAAAAAGTCTCTGAATGGAAGTAAATCAAAGTTTTTATTAATTCCCAGACATTTCTTTCACTCGGGTAATACATATTTAACAAAATAATACAAGGTGAGGTACAACAGAATAACAACAAAAAACATACTTGAAGAAAAACTGAAAAGAGCAGGGATCAAAAATAAAACTATCCAGTCACACTGAAACCTGCATCAGTCATGAACTGCAGTCAAGACAACTTTGATTTTGAAGCTTCTGCATTTTCAGACATTTTTCAGATTTTTACAAAAACAGAAGGTTTGAAAAACTGACGGAGTGCATGCATGTACACATACTGGACGTGAGGCTTCACATTAGTTCCTGTGTGCGCCTGTCAGCTCACACAAACATACTTTAGCTACAGATCATTAACACATACATGTCCAGCTGGACAGGCTACAAGCTGTAGCACATGCAGCACAAAGACTGAAGACACTTTAAAGTATTAGCAGACAAAAGAGCAGCAGACAGGAAAATCATCGATTCAAATAACACTGAAGGCCAACTCAAAAATCACTCAAAGACACACATGGTTAGAGGAGTTACAGTCGTGCATGCTGTTCGTGGTGGACATTCAGTCTCTGGACATTTTGTGGTGGAGAGCGTTTTCTTGGAGTGCAGCAGATAGCATCATGACATCAGCAGTTCTTTCCCATCATCTTAAGGCAGTTTTGGATGGGAGTGTGTTTATTTGCTTCACAGGTGTTTGTGTTATTCAAATATAACACCTTTAGTGCAGTGAATGAGGAGTACCAGTGATCAGAATTACACGTAGAAAAAACGAGAAAATAAATACGGAAAAAAAAAAAGAGTAATAACCAAATGAGTGAATAAAATGTAGAAACAAAGACTCTCCTTGCTGTCTGTATGTTGAAAAATATATTCTCATAGTTTGAAGTATGCATTTATTTGGCTCTTGCATGTAATCTTAGTACATATTTTTAATAGTTAGTCTCATCAGTTCATTTCTCCATGATAAAAAAAAGTGACAAAAAAGTGTTTAAATTAGAAATCTAATAAATAAAATCTTACATTGAAATCAAAATAGTGCAAAAGGAACATATCAAATGTTGAAACTGATTCATTGTATTGGTCTATGAAAAATATATATATATTCATTCTGAATCTGATGTTGATGCAGAAACAATTAAACGCTAAAAAAGTTGTGCGCTATCACAACTCTTTAAATGCATCAGGTCGGTAACATGACTGGGAATAAAAAGGGCGCTCAAGAGGGGCAGAGTATCTCAGAAGTAAAGAGAGAGGGTCACCACTCTGTGAGAGACTGCGTGAGGACATATCTCAGAATTGTTAGAATAAACTTCCTCAGCATTGAACTGCAAACAATTTGAGGATGTCATTAAAAGATTCAGAAAGTGCCAGTAACTTCTACTGGATGGCTGTGATCTTCAGGCCCTAAGGCAGCACTGCATTAAAAAGAGACACAACTTTGGCAGTGGAAATTATTGCATGGGCTTAAAATGACATCCAAAAATTATTTTCTGTGAATATAGTTTAGCTCTGCGTCAACAAATGCAAATTGTATCGCTCAGACATATTTTCTATTCTATTATGCAGAATTGCCAGCCACTTGCTTTAAATGGACTTGAGCATTAAAGGCAAACTGAGGAAATGTGGTTTGACTTCTTAAAATTTGACATTTTTTGGGGGAAATTATGGACGATACATACTCTACATACTGTTGATATTGCACAGTTCAAAAGCCAGCATCCAATGTGGTATAGGGATGCACAAGAGCGCGTTGCATGTGTCGTCTACCTTTCAGAGATTGCATCGTTACTGCTTAAAAATATATGCAGGTATCGTAGTGAGACAATCTGCACATACATTTTGTCGTCTTTTACAGAGAGGACAAATGCATGGCTCTAAAGCAGAACAGACTTGGTGCTAAACTGGCCTGGTTTCGGTCCCAACCATGGAAATCGTTTGGTGCATCATGATGCTAAAGTATGACAAAGGAGACTCCAAACGTTCCCAAATGTTTGTGTGTTGTTAAAAAGAAGAAACGGTGGGACGCAATGGTACACAAACTCCTGTTACTGACACTAAATGAAAAACAAGTGCATATTATTATTCATAAAACAATACATATTTTAGTTTCAACATTTAATATATGTATTTTGCTAAGGGTTCAGATGATCTGCAAACCATTTTTTTACAGTGTCTTAACTCTTATGGAATTGGGGTTGTTGTTTCATTGTAGACTTTCACGTCTCTCTCTTTAGATTTCCACATTTATTTCATTAGTCACACCTGCAGCACCAAAGTTCAGCTGGTATGTGAGGCAAAAAATAAAAAATAAAAAAAACCCAAAACAAAAAAAGCAAATTCAATTAAAAAAAGGAAATTCTACAAAAAGAAGATAAAGCAAAACAGCAAACCTGTTGGTATAAATTTTTAACCCTAATGTCAACAAATGTGTAAAATCGTCTCGAAATTACATTCATTTCTGTGAGCAGTTAAGGCAAATCTGCTGTCCAAGAGTTCAGGGTGACAATGCATCTGAGAAAAACAGTATTTGCTGTTTTAAAGTTATTGTTCTTCTCTATGTGTTTGTCATTTTTAATGCTTTGGTCGAAGATAAAAACAACAACAACAAAAACGGAAAAAGGAAATGAAATTCTGCTTGTGTCATACTGGTAAAAAAGGGGAAAGAGGGACATGTTTCAGTGCTAAAACTTGCAAACATTAACAGCTTCCTCTTTTGTTTATGGGGTTAAACAGAGGCAATACCCGTCAGCTGCTGGTAATAACAAGACATCTGTGTCATCACAGCGTCACACCCGGTTTGTCATGACGTGGGCGAAACAGTCTATTTAACCCACATTCCCTTTCACTTCTTTAACGGGATGTGCCTCATCAACATTCATAATTAAACACGCGTCAGATAAATCTCGTTTCACCACTCCTCTGACATGTTTGTATGTTTATGTACCTCTGTCCTACGTCACACAGCGCTTCATAAGTTAGAGACAGATCAGTGCAACTAATGGATTTTCACGGGAGTGTAATGGAGTTCAGCATAAGAAAAAAAAACAATGAAGGAGGGAAGATGTTTTAATTTTCAAAGAAGTGAGAATAAAAATTTAGTTAAACGAAGATAAAATAGACAAAAGCTATTCCGGCCTGGATTGATTTATTCCCAATCAGGCACTTACTGTAGGCCCATCAATGAAACTAGCAACAAGCTGCCATTACTGCCTTTACTTGCATGTAACTTAACTTTTTTTTCAAGTGGCATGTAGAAGAGCCTGTGCAGTTTTCATCTGCTCTATATATCAGTCATGATAAACTTCTACTGTGTTAAATTTGCACAACAGCAAGATTTAAGAGTCCATCTGTATGGGAACAGGCACTCTCCGCAGAAAGTGACTAAGGTATTCTCCAGAAGAGAGCCAAGAATGTGATATTGTTTGTGGTTTTGCCCCTTTCTGATTGACCCGTTGATTGCATTTTGTTGTTCATCAACAAGCGATAATTGAAACAATCTTGAAGGTAATGTTCCACTTGCTGGCAAGCTTATAAAAAAAGCTGCATGTAATCTTTATGGTCCAGTTAAATTTATAGTGAAATAAAATGTTTACGTAATAGATGTATATTAAAATGAAAAAAAAAAATCAATAACACATATTCGCTTCTACAAGTTTGTGTTGTTTAAACACAGCTGTTAGTAAATTAAATGGCATGGTACATTTTATAGCACTTCATCACATCTATGTGGCAAATATAGTCAGATCTTTTCCCTATTGTTGTAACTAGTGTCTGATTTGACCACTCAAGATACAGTTAAGATTATTTGGTTAAGTTACCTTCATCAGCACTCATTCAATGCTTTTACTCCAGCTATACTGACCTTAGACAGACGTCATAGTCAGCATGCAGCACAGATGTTGAGTTAACGCTACAGCAATGGCTGCTTTGCGAGATGGCACAGCACACAAGTGGCTATCTGAATGTATCTGTGCTGAAAGGTGATTTTATTCTCAAATTTTGCCTTTGTCCTGTATGTTCAAATACTCTTTATTATTGCTTTTATTCTATACTTAAACGTTTCTTTTTATCAATATTTTGAGCTGAATCCTTTATTTGTTCCTTTTTCTTTCTTATACCTGCCATTTAAATCTACATTCTCTGTTCTTCACGTTTCAAAAATTAAAAGAAAATCTTCCTTCACCTTTTTTTCTTCTCTTGCCAAACCAAACTTCTTATGACAGTGAAGTTAAAGCTCACGAAACCACAAATATCATGAGTGTGTTTGCAGTGGGGTTCAGTGATAAATTCATGAAAAAAATGTGACCATAGGGGACAAAGAACAAAACTTTATATCAACGAAATATGACTTGGATAGGTATCTCTCTCTCTAAAGACAGTGTGTCGAGACGTTTTGTAGCAAATCTTTTGTGATCCTACCACAGAGAGGCTCACCTGAACCTTCAGATACACCACAATAAATAAGAAATAAATAAGAAATAAACATCATTATCATAAATCACCAAACATATCGTAAAAGGAATGGTAACATTTCCCAAATGGGGAGTCTCCTGTTCTCACTGTAACAATGTCGTCATGTCCCTGCTGTCAGTGTAAATGAACGTCAGTGTGCTCTGAGAAGGTCAGGAATGGGTGTCTATGTGTGTGTGTGTGTGTGTGTGTGTGTGTGTGTGTGTGTGTGTGTGTGTGTGTGTGTGTGTGTGTGTGTGTCAAACTCAACATGTTGCTTACTGTAGGAGTGCTACTGAAGGTCCAAGGTTAATGTGTGAAATAACTGAAGTTAATGAAAAATCCTCATGGCTTTTAGTAGTACCCACTCACACACATGCACATGCACATGCACATGTGTGTGTGTAAATGTGTGTGTCTGTGTTTGTGTGTGTTCTTTAGCTGAGCAGCTCCAGGTATGTGACAGGCACTTTTCCTTTCTGGTTTCCTCTCTCTCCGATCAGCCAGTCAGAATCCATTCCCGGCACGGTGTAAACTGTGATGAGCTGCAACACAGAGGACGCACACTTAACTGAACTGAACTGAGGCGGATCAAAGGTTAACAGAGAGAAAAGAAACCTTGACACAATTACAGACGGTAGCAGCATGGGTGAAACTATTCTGTAAACCAAGAGAAGTTTCTTCAGCTTGATGATGAAATCTCACCTCATCGGCCAAAAGGGAGAGCTCGCTTGAGTCAGCAGCGTCGTAATCATAGAGGACTTTGGCCTTGCGGGTTCCAGTAGCTGGTGCCTGTACTTCCTCAATCTTCAGTGTGTCTGTCTCCACAGGGCTGCTGTTACCGTCTGTCTCAGGGCCAGCGGGAGCCACGGGGTGAGTGGAGTTCAGTGCAAAAGCATTAGGGAGCCTGAGGGGAAGCAGGGAAACATGTACTGATCACAGAGCAAGTCAAAAACCAAAAAGGAAACACTCATAAAGAAACACTCAACTCCACACCAAGCCAAAACAGATGATTTTGCTAACAAAAGTTATTTAATAAAACTGGTCCCATGGAAAACAGCTTTTTATTAAGACCTGTTTCCTGAAATTAGGCCTTTTAGAGGAAAAGAAAAAGTCAGTTTGGAGGTGAAGTAGTTTTTATTCAATATGTAGGTGGTAAACATTGAATGTCATGCATTTTTTTTAGCCTAAATTATGCACAAAAGAAAAGATAAATCACATCAGCACCCACATTGCGATCCATACTTACGTATCCTCACCAGCACTGAGGGCATGAGACAGTAAAAATTAATTTTCATGATTGGAAAAGATGTGTTTAAAAAATAAGAAAGGCGTCCACTGGCATCTGGAGAACTAACTGGCAACATGAATCATGAAGAAACCCAGACCCCACATGTTCTCAAGGTTGTCAAAACTTAAGACTACTGTATGTATAAGTTACGGGTTCCCGGGAGTTTAATTAGGGCCTGAGCCCCAAAGGGTTAGAGGAAGGTTATGTCTCATGTGGGTTGTGCCACCAGTGCATCAGATTGACCTCCAAACCATGAGGCTGTATCAACCTCTTCTTTACAATCTATTTAAAATGTAAACATGCAATTCTGTCATATGAGGACGAATAGCTCTGTTTAGGTGTGTGAATTTTACCATCAGCCCATGTGTTATCTTATCTGTTCTCACCTTCCCAGCTCCTTCTGTAGTTCTTGCATGTGGAAATGACACTGCTTGTAGTAAACTGCTTGGGCCTCGACAAACTCATGCAGGCAGCGCAAATGGTTGACCTGCAGATAGAACAAAAATAAATAAATGATTAAATAAAAGAGTTTTCTTTTCAGCCTGAAGTATTCTTTATCAAATTCCTGGTCTACTACGGTGCAAATATAGCAGAAAACTGACAAGTTTGAGTGATAATCCAGAAACGTTGGTAATTAGTTGGTCCTAAATACACACTGTATAACATGACTAGCTTGTTATTGTTGATGCGTGAAGTAAACAATTTATTTTCAGTGCAAGAAAGCACATTAATTTTGAAACATATGAAACCCTTGTCCAAAATAACAACAACAACTAGCGCCTCGAGGGGCACTGGCAGGTCGGAGCAGTGTCACACCACTCCCCTGTTGCAATGCGCTCCACGGCATCCAGCGACCTTTGTGATGGCTAGAACGGCTAGTTTGGGATTTTTTTAGGTGCTTTGGACATTCCTAATGTGCAGAGTCACCATGAAAAAGAAAAAATGTCAGACTCTGGACTGGTCAGAGCACAGTGCATCTGTTCCAGATGTTTTCTTTTTTTATTTTCGATGTTGTCAACATCAAGTAGACACCCAGTTATTTCTGAACAAACTGAAAACAGATGAGAGAAATTTCTAAATGTAACATCTGATTCGGCTAAACGAAATTTTTTGTCCTCCCTTGTGTGTTTTAGAGAAAATCCAAATGCGAAAAATTAAAGGTCTTAAAGGAGTTGTGCACCAACAATTCCACAAGAGAGTCCCTGAGTATGACAATATGAAGGGTTTGGTACCGGGTAGTTTTTTCCTACATGTACACGCCCAGTAAAATATGTGAATTTCTGCCAGACCCAACCCGCCTATTGAATTTATTGTGTGTTTTGAGCCTGTCTTGGGTGTCATAACGTTGGAAACTGTCCGGGTTCATAACAATAAATAATTCCTAGCGTTTCAACTGCTCGCTGCGTCAGCTCAGGCCCTAATTAAGTTAAAGATGACACAAATACACCAAAACAAACTAAATATTAGAATTATTCAACAACAAAATGCCAAAATTTAAACTGGAGGAAAATTGTTTTCAAATTGAAACCAACAAAAGATGTGGCCAAACATTGTGATAACTGCTTAAGTTTGCATATTTCTGCCCGCAAAGAGTACGTCTATTTTGTTTGCACTCAATGACATTCTCATTCCATCAATCAGTACAAAAAAGGCAAGAGCAAACTTTTAATCCTGGAGTGAAACGTAAAACTACTGTTCAAAGCTCAAAACTGGTAAGTCTGTGTGAAACGTGTTTATGTGAGACACTAACAGGCGTCGTAGAAGGCGCCTGACTGACTTACATGTGTACTACTGATGCCCTCCAAAAGCAACCGCGTAACCTCTGCTTGACGGTCAAACTCTGTTTGGGCCACACGGAGCTCATGCTCAGCCTAAAAAATAAAGAGATAATGTTAGTGACATTATGTCTTTAATACACTCTAAGTCCAGATTTATTTAAACCTACCTTTTCCACTTCCTCAGTCCAGAGCTGAGAGGCCAACAGCAAAAAGAGACAAGAGAAATTCAAGTCAAAGATGACACAATGAGAGAGACTAGGCGACATACGCTGGAACATACTGAGCATGACAAATAATGTATTGATTTATAAATCATATACATAAAAATGGTAGCTGTCTTTATTGATATGATTCACATTTTACACAATGATTTGAATTATTCCTATTTTACCAACTTAAATCACCAATGTTAGTAACCCTTTTATGCCTTTTGTATCATATTTGATACATACTTTTATATAATTCTATCAAATCAATATGATCAACAAATTACTAAAAAACACCTGAATACAGTCCGATAAATGATAAAAATGTCCTCTTGTGGTTTATCAGTTTCCAAAAACATCTCATGTATCAAACGAAATATATATATATATTTTTTTGGTTTTCAGTAGTAAGTGAAATAAACGTTACAGCTCAAAAAAAACTTGAATTTCTGGCCATAATTTGTGGTGTCAGGCATTTAAGGGGTTATAAGTTATTATTTTCAAAGAGAGAAAGATTTACTTTTGCTCTACCCATCACTGCTACTGCTCAATTTCTTTTAAGTGGTGCATTTTGGGATTACCAGATGAGCTAGTAAAAGAATTAACGCCAACTAATATTACTTGGTTATTTATTTATTTATTTTTTTACAGCATTGTCACGCTAATTAATCATTATTAATCTGCTCCAGTGAAACATCCTCCCAGAACATCTGAGGGCTCCACAGATGATTGAGAGTTTTAAAAAGGGTCTTAAAACCTTCTTTTTTAAAAGCATCTTTAATTTGTAATTGTCTCTTGTTTAATTTTTTTTCATTCCTTTTATTGCTTTGATATTTGTTTAGTGTAAAGTGCATTGAAAATAAATTGTATTGTTTCCCTATAACTAAAGTGAGCATTAACATTATTTCCTGTTCACTTCTTAAAATTTCCTCAAACTCCTCTGAAGTCAGCAGACCACACAACAAGGTGACTAACAGATGATTGAAAAGTTTAAAAGACTTTCACAAGTTAAGTCACAACAATTATCACTCCAACACAATATTACAAAGGATGACTCACAGGTCTGGTATTAAACCAGCACTAGATTTTAACCTGGAATGATACATCTCATGAGAAAATGGTGATAAAGTACACACCTACCTTTGTTGATCTCTCTTTCTAAAGTCAGTGTAGGAGAACAGGATTTGTCAGTATTTTTCCGTATACAACTAAAAGAGAAAGTCCTCTTACCGCAGAGGCACTGGCAGAAAGCACGTAGTTGCGGGGTCTTGTCTCCTGAAAATCTGGAGCCATCTACAGTAAAAGAAAGGTGATTGGATTTTTATACTTCAGCTTTTCAATGTATACATACTTAACTTCACACTATGCATCAAAAATAAAGATCAAGCAATCACAAAGCACAGCAGAAATGAATGAAGATTATTCGAACACTTTTTATCTCTGTATTGATGTTTGGAGTATCTGAGTATCATGGTCCACTCTCGTTTTGGTGTTGAGAACAGATGGTCTAAAAAATCTTGAGTTTTTGAAATTCTTCTTTATCATTTATTTTTATCTCAAATATTTTGTTTTCTTGATGTTCAGCTTCAGCTGGCAGCCCAACAAGAGCTGTAATGACTGCAAGATGATCTCAAAGTTCAAAGATCGCCCGATAACCACAACAAACAAACCTTCAAAATGTCTCACAGCTGTGTTTAAAGATTGCTGTAGAACTGTACTGTTTCAAGGTGGGATCCTATTTTAACCAGATGTATTTTCCTTTATAAACCCTAAAGGTTAAAAGTACAAATCAAAATTTATATCTATATATGTGTTGACCTTGCAGAACACAGGAGTTGCTGGTCTACAGCTGCCTCTGTCTTTTCAGGGTTTCTGCAGGTTTCAACAAGTCAAATTTAAGACTTTTTAAAGACTGTAATGAATACGTTTTTAAGACCAATTTTATATCCATACTAAAAAAAACGTACAAAAGACATGAAAGCAAATCCAAACATTTTACATTGGGTGGCTGTCTAACATGAATCTGGTCCTGCTCAAGGTTTCTGCCTGTTAAAAGGAAGTTCTTCCTTGCTACTGTCAACCATGTTAGATGAGATCGGTTAAATCTCTCCCATCTTAAGGTTAAGTCTCAGTAATTGACCAAAATATGAGCGTGGTCTCGACCTGCTATTTTTTGGAAAGCATCTTGGGATAACGACTGTTGTGATTTGGCGCTTTATAAATAAAATTTGATTGATTGATTGATTGAATTTGATATCAATCTTTATTTGTAAGTAACATCAATACGTTTTTAAGACCTTTTAAAATCGAATCTAAGACATTTTATGATATTTTAAGGGAATTTTAGACATTTTTGGACCTTACATTCAAATGATCAGGTTTTAGACGTTTTCAGACTTTTTCAGACCCCACAGATACCCTGCTTTTAGTCAAATGCGAGGCTCTTCTAACCAAAGACTTTAAAGTAGATGATGCAGCTAATTGCTGATTCCATTTCCAAAAAAACAACTATAATCAAAACAAAATGTGTACCTCTTTAATTTTGATAAAGACTCTTGGAATAACAGTCTGATCCTGACCAGCACATTTAAAAAAGATCATGATGTAGCCATAACAGCCTGTTCTGCATAGGCATTTTCCCATAATACTTTAAATTTCAAAACCTTTTGTACCTATTAGTCATTAAGACCCTTAAATACATTTGAAAGAAGCTGTCACCTTCTTAAAAACTGCTTGATTTTCTTTGCAGACTCAAGTTAAGTTTCCTTTCCCTCTAATTAGAAACAGTTGAATACAAATGCTCTGATTCATCCCTCATCTCAAAGGGCAGTCATGATCTCCAGACAGCTGCAGATATGGCCAAAGTTATTTCTATGTCACAACTTCCGTCTCACTTTCACATTGGGTGTGTCTCTTGTCGTAAAAGAAAGGTGCAGAGTGATAACGCAATATAACAGGATATCAGCATTTTCTTAACAACACAGAAACTAATGACTCATCAGCCTAATTCACCTAAATGACTGATCTACCAGAAGTAGGGCAGTCAGAGGTATTTATAGCTGTTCAAAAGCTGCTTTGTTGTTTTTCATGCGCATGCCAACATGCAATCATGTTGCAAAAGTCTGGCTTTTTTCAGTCAGCAGTGTGCGTGTTTTTCTCTGCACTGTAATGGAAACAAAAGTTCTGATTAAAGTCAGACTTTTTTTAAAGATATATTTTTAAGAGTGAAACAAAAAAGCTTGAAAAAAGCAGAATGGTTTTTAGGTGTATTGATTCCTTGACCATGTTTAGATATTAAAAAGTACGTAATTCTATCAATAAGTTATTCATTTTTATTGCAAACATACTTATTGGTATGTACATGTGCAGTACAAGTTTGCACTAAAACTGAATTTTGTGTCAAATTCATAGAAATGAGAACAAAGTCTTTGTATCTAGAGCTGTTAATGATGCACACTTCATGTTATTCCCAAATTGAAAACTTTTGAGGCTTAAAAATGAAAAAAATTCAAGTAAATTTCAGGTCTAGGTTGTTTTTCAGTCCATTGCGTTGTGGTTTTTCCCACTGATTGACCAAAGGTTTTCCTATTACCAATAATTTAGTGGAAAAGGATGATTGAGTCTAAGCAAATGGGACAGGAAAAAACAACCCAACATGTTGCATCATTAAGAATGTTTTAATACTCACTTCACCCTCGCACTGCAAAGGTTATGGATACACAGACAGTTAGTCATGGGTTAGGCTGGTAACACCAATAGCTTTATTACATTAGAAAAGTTATGGCAATGAGAAGAAAAGGGATTGTGATGAATAACCCAAAATGACTCACTGCAGCCTTAGCCTCTGCCTGCTTGGCCTTCTTCAGTCGTGTTTTGCAGGCATCCAGGTCCAGACGAAGGTTTTCCAGAAGGCGGCGTTCTTTCTGAGTACAAACAATGACACAATCAGGAGGAAGTTAGGCTGAGCGGTGACGAACTCCAGCATATGGAGCTGTGCTGGCATGATGCAATCCAAGTCAACCAAATCAGGCTCATTCACAAACAGCCAAGAGTTTCAGACAGAAGAGGAATACAGGGTGACATGAGTATGCAACGGCGCTGACCTCTGGTGGTCATACTAGTCATTTTTAGTGAATTAGCTCGCAATAGGACACAGTGAGAAAAAGAGAAAGGTTGGATTTGTAAATCGTTATATGGGAAGAAGTAGTATACATACATGGCTCTTTGTTGTATAGCTAAAGGTTTCATCCCCTTTCAAATCAGATCGCACTAAAAGACTGAAGAACAGTTACTAACCACATGCAGTTCCATTACTAAACTCCTGACAATACCACCAGACAATACTCTGTACAACAACCTACTTAACTGTGCAATACTATATGTGATGCACAATATCATGTGAAATACAGCAACTTGTACCTCATTTATCCCACTGACTTATTCCCCATGGTATGGTATGGTATGGTATGGTATGGTATGTTTTTTATTGTCATTGCAACTGTGCACAACGAAATTGCATTTACAGATGGGGAAAGTACACACAAAAGGGAGGGAGAGGAGGAGGTAAAAAAGAGAGACTGCTCTCATTAATATGAGTGCAGTGACAAAAAACCCTCAGCAACATGAGCACATTACTGACACCACATACACAGCGATTCGGAGGCATGCTATGGTTGCATACATTCACACTCTGACAGCACCTACTGCATCGCTTGTGCACTTTGTAAATATTTCTTTTATGCTTTTTTATATTTTGTATCCTTATTTTATTGTATTCTTCTTTGTACTTATTGCGTGTTATTTGTACTTCTTTGGGGCGAGCAGTCCTTCTCATCCAGGGCATTTCATTGCACCGCTGACTTTGTTTAACATGCATATGACAAATAAACCAATCTTGATCTTGATCTTGAGATCGTCAGCATCCCAATGAATCAGAACATCGCAATAAAAGTTTATTATTATCCATCAGGTAGTCACGAAAGCGAATGAAGATTGTTTTCTAATCTTACTACACATAAACTGAGTTGTTTGAAGTGTTTGTCTAACTGGAATGTAAAAACATGTCTCCTCAAATATCAGGAGATTTTATCCTGAGTTTAGGAAAATAACTATTCAAAGAATTTCAATGTGATATCTAGTTAAGTATATGCAACCCGAGTCATGCGGAAGACTACTGACTCAACGGTTGTCCAGTATACTATAATCATCATCACCCTGCACAAAGAGAGGAAGCCACAGAAGATCATTGGTAAAAAAGGATGGCAGTTCACAGAGTGCATATGAACAGAAAGACGATTCAAGAACTATGGAGCGCTTGTGTGAGACTGGTGTCAGCATATAATGAGCCACCACAAACAGGACGGTCTAAAACAGTGACATTTCTATAATCAAGCCACTCCTACACTGAAGATGACGTCAGGACTGGGGAGAAAAAGAACCGGTGTCCCCATTTCAGATGGAAGTTAATTTTGCATTTCATTAGAAAATCGAGGTCCTACAGCCTGATGGAAGAGTGGAGAGCTACAAAATCCAAGGCGTTAGATGCCCAGTGTGAAGTTTTTACAGACTATGATATTTGGTCTACTGTGTTTAAAGTCTATGAAGCCATCTATGAGGAGGTTTTTGACCACTCACATCTTTAGCAGCAGAACTTAAAACCTGCCCTCTATAATCTGATGACATCCATTCTGTCAGCATGACTCAGCTTTGTACAAAACACAATTGTTGTAATCATGAGATGTAAATTTCATTAGCTGGAAAACTTGAGACTTTAATTTGACTTGAATGCAAAAACTTCCCCGACACACAAATACACACTTTTTCTACTACCATCGACTGAATCAACTGAACAGTATGAATGTGTTGTTTCAGACTCACTGAAATGGTCCTCCAGTCTCCTTCCAGAAAGTTCCTGAGGGGAGTAAGAAAGCTGATGGCTGACGTCTGTAGGAACTCCCTCTCTGCTGTTCCTAATCTTCTCTCACATTCCCCGACCTCGATCAGCGTGCTCCCTACAAGAAAGGAAATTAGATTAGTCACCACAGAGAGTTTATTATAAATTACATACTCATCTGTTGCATTGTCTTGTCCCCTGATAAAACAGTTACTGCTTTTCAAACATAGATGTAAATTTATACCAATATTGCAAGATAATATATATTTTTTTAAAGTTAACGCATTATAAAAAAATTAGCATTTGTGATTGTGCCATTATATAAATTCCTCCCATGTGGAAAAAAAACAAACAAACTGTTGTTTTAGTTATTCTCCAATAGTAATGAACTGTATGTGTTTCTTAGAAATAGGAGTTTTTACTTTGAGATCAAGAATTTCATAAAAGGTTTCTATCTAGGGTGACCATTCATCCTCTTTTGTCCGGGGGGAGTTTATAAAATCCTTCAAATGTCCAGGGTTTTGTTTGGAAGTTTTGAGTTTGTGTCATGTGGACTTACCAAGTTAGAAGCGCATACTAAACACTTGACCTGACCTGAAAAATTCTCAAAAATTTCTATCACCTCCTTTTTTTGTAAATGTAACTTTTTCCTTAAATTGAATTCATTTTAATCACTAAAGCCAGAACCACTAAAACAAGTATTAGGGATTCCTCAGAGAGTAAAAAGTCTGAACCATGAGTCTTGGGTAGTTTTCTCTCCTTTTTTTTTAAATTCATGGGGCATAATCTTGACAGGCACCTTGAGATTGCTGTTGGACAGAGATGCAGTAAGGCAAGGATGTCGTCACATTGCACTTAAACCTGGCTGAACCCAACTACAGCCTGAGATCACACAATCGAAACTGCAACGCTTTTTTTGTGTTTTATTTATGCAGAATGTAAGAGAATTTAGCATCCCTCTAGCAGAGCTTGTTTTGGACCATGTTGAATACTAACCGTATGGAGTTCCTGGACCAAACTCCTTTGCTGCATCCTGCATATATTGACCCAGCAGCTCTGCGTTGGTGATCCTAGACGGTGCCTTTCTGTCCAGCTTTTCATAGAGAAATTCCTCAATCCTGGCACCTGCAGAGAAAGTCAAGAAGAGAATAAATCTGTGGCAAGGTGCAAACAAGGCATCTGAAACTCCTTCTCAAAAATTAAAAAATATTCTACACTCAAAAATGGATTGCCAGTATCATTTACTTGTCTTTTTTTATAAACTTTTTTTTTTTCAACATTTAACTTTTTGCCAGACACTCTCATCCACCCTTGTTGACAGCTGGTAATCATACTTAAACCAGATTGCTCAGTAGAAGATAACAGGGTGGCTGGTGAACAAACATAACACCAGTTTTTGTGCTTCTTGTTGATAAAGACAGACTTCGATGTCAGACGGTTTGGAACGTTTGACTGCCTCTTTCAACAGTGGCCCTGGTTGGATATGTATAAAAATTCTGCTTGTTCTTTAAATAAAGTAGAAGACATAAGTTTTTAATGCACCTTTACATAGTCATATTTACGACAGAGTATTAGGGCCACATGAAGAAAAAAAAAAGTTGGACTTCAAGATTAAAGTCATCGACTTATGAGAATACACTCATTACAAACGAGAATAAAGTCATAATAAAATAATTAGTTAGTAGAATAAAGTCGTACTAAAATCATTGTGATTCTTATGATAATGTGGTGCTGATGTGCCAAAAGATTAAGTTTCTCCATGTTTGAGAAACCTATTGGAGGTACATGTCATGAAATGCTCCATGGCTCTTATTTCAACAACTGTCATCTTAAACAACAGGTTAGAATATAAGGACTTTATTCTCATAAATAACTACTTTATTACAACTTTATTCTCATTAGTAATGACTTTATTCTTGTAAATTAATGACTTTAATCTTGAAGTCTTACATTTTTTTTCCTAATGTGACCCTGATACTCTGTCCTACATATCTGCCAAAAAAATCTTATTAAAAGATATGTTAAACTTTACCGTGAGATTTAAAAGTTTAAAGAGTCATAACACTCATAAAAAGAAACAAGGTAACAAAACTTGAGCTAAGGCTAGTGCTGAGTGACCTTAAATCAATATCACAACTGACTGAACTTCTTAACACATATATGAATAGTGAACAGTCATATTTCATTGACAAGGTTTGGACTGTAAGTATGATCGACTATAAAAGCAGTATTTTTTTTTTCATCTGATGAAACAGTGAATATCAAAAACTTAAAGTTTGTGTTGATTTGTTGATAAAATATCACATCATTTTTACTCACTATAATTACTTGCCATAGAAATAAAAAAGGATGCTTTTTCAGCAGTCACCTAACACCTGACCTCTCATACTTGCTTACTGGCATTATGAATTACAGGACAGAAATGGTCAGTCCTGTCCCCAGTGTCTTGATTGCTTTTGTGTGTCATAAAGAGACATCACTGTTGATTTCACTTTGTTTCATAACCAGTCCTCAAATGGACGTTATATTGGTGTGAATGTGTTTACTCTCTGCTTCTGCTCACCCTGTGTTTTCTGTAATAGCTGACAAAAAAAAAAAAAAACGTCGTTGCAAACTTCCAGGTCATATCTGTTAGACTGTATTCTCGCGGTTTTAGGACAAACATCTGATAGAATGACCTTTCTGACAGATAGGTCATTCTATCAGATGTTTAGCATAAAGTTAGCATATAGTTATCATGTGTTTTATAACCCTTTAGGGAAAAATTTACAATGAGCCATACTGGCTAACACCGTGAGAAAAGAGGATGACTTCCTCCTCTATGAAAATATGAATCTGTGCATGAACAGCAGATGTGATGTGTAGTTACTAACATGTAATAACATGGGGTCCAAAATTACTCCAAACCTTTCAGCACATACTAAAAGACTAATCAAGTAGATACTCTCACCAGCTTTGTATTAAATCAAAAAACATTACAAACTGAACTGAACCAATACATCTGACTTTTCAACAGAAGAGAGACAGAGAGTTGAATCTTGTCTTTGCTCTGTAATGAGTTGGGGAAAAAAAGATAGCACACACACTTGAGTCAAAAAAATGAAATGAAGTGGAATCAAACCTCTAACAGCCCCAACATTACAGGCTTAACAAAAGTGTGAATTAGAGAGTACAAGCACTCTTTAAATGTCCAGCATGTATTTATCACACATGAGCTGCAAATTATATGAGGACAAAGTCTATTAGGCTTGGGTGGTATTTTTGTTTTTAGTACTAAAATGCCTTCAAATATCATCAGTTAAAGAGAATTCTGGCCCATACTTGTTTATTGTATTTTTGTAATATTTGCCATGGATTTGTGTTCTTCAGTCTAATGCCACATCAAAAGCCTCAACTGTTTCAAAATATTAAATCAGATCCAAGTCAAAAGGACAGGCATGAGAAATAGAGTTTTGGATTTACAGCTGAAAAATAAAGACTAAATACTGGCAAAATGTCAAACATTTAGAAAACAGGAATCAGAGTAGGACGGTTGTTGTTTTAATATCCACCCTCCATCCTCAGCATTTCAACCTTAAAATGTTTCTGCCTTCATTCTTTTTCATTCTTGGTTTTTATACCTTGAACAAAGAGAAAAAAAATGTCTGAAATCTAAAAAGGTTTACCAGGTCATTTGTGACGTGGCTCGTGCTACAGCTGACGTCATCTGCTTTTCAGATACTATTAAAGCAGCAGGTATGGATACAATAGCAGTCCTATCCAACCAAATGTGTACTCATGTCTTTTTGTAGTAATTGTAGTAAAATATCACAGTAATTCTTTTGAACAAAATACCACCAAGTCTAATATTTATTCTAAGTAATACATGACAATGGATGAGTTGAGTGAACACAATTACAACGCTGGATTTGCAGTTAATATGTTTTTCACAAGTGCACATTGCAAGGAGAACGTTGAAGCCAGAAACAAATTAATGTATTAAACAACTTCTTGTTTTGTGTATTTCCATGGGTATTTACTTAGAATGAAAATGCAAAATGTAGATTATTGATATTTTGATTTTCAGCCACTGATGTTACACAACATTTAATAGTATTAATGTCATATGGAATATACAATGTACTTCTTTCTGTACATTCATCTGTTTCGGAACACTTTTAATTCCTCACTTTGCGATTTTTTATTTTTTTTTCTTATCTTAACATCATTTAGGACTCACGTACTTTTAATACCAGGTTTTCTTGTGGTGCCATTTAATGCTTTAAGATTTGTGCTGGTAAAAGCATCATTGTGAGGTTCTGCAAATCTAAAGCAGTCCAATAATAAATAATAATAATAATAATCCAGTTTTCAGATGGCTGGCCAACAATTTATGTGGTACTTGTGAAAAACTTTTTCTGCAAAACAGAAGTCTACAGGCTACAACTTATGTGTGAGAAAAGTTGAGCATGAGTGTGATATAGATAGTCCAAAAACACACAATAAAACACACTTTCACAGATTTGTACATGAAGCAAGAAAGGTGCTATGAGGATGTGAGATCAGCTGGTCAGAGATGATGTGATGAAGATAAACAGTTGGGTAAGTTTTAAAAGCAGGAAGCTACATTTTTAAAAGTAGAGTTGGCTGACACCCTGCTCTGTTTCTGATAAAGCTTTGGTTTCATATGCTTGTTAAATTGTGTAGTTTTACTGTCTAATGAAAAAGAAGGATAACTCCTAATGGGATTTGTTTCTGTCCATATCTTAAGCTTTACTCAAAACCCCAATACAACATTAGAAATGTCACTAGTCACTATCATTTTCTCATTTTAATTATTTAGATGAAATATAAATACAAAGATTTTATTGTTTCTGTTTAAAAGAAGATTTTCCGAACTCTGCTCACACTCACAAATGTTTCGACCCGGCAAACATCAAAAGTAAATATTCTTCGTCTATGTTGTTGAATATGGACAGACTCAAATGTTACTTGGACTCTACAACAATTACATTAATCATATAATGAATATGATGACTAAGAGCAGTAATATAGATGATAAATTGTAAGAAAGGAGTCAAAGAGAATCATGTGCTGGTTTGGTTCTATTAACGTTCATCAACTGCGTCTCTGTGCTGATAGTAAAAGGCATGAAGAGATTCTAGAGAAAAGCACTCATACAAGGAGAGCAAATACTCACCAGTGTGATCAACTGTAGCATGAAGAATCAAAAAGTCACAAGTTAGAGCTCCCTATTTTCCAGAGTCACTCCATGTCACTTTAAATCTAAAAACATAAGGCTAATAAGCTGAATTGTGTAGAAAATAATTTACATCTACTTTCTTGCAAAGGGTTTTAGAGTTTTACACTAAACAAAACAGTAATTCCATTACAAAAAAAAAAAAGTATTTTGTGCTCCAGAAATATTTATAAATGTATTATTGACCACAATTTTTTGTAACAGTGTTGATCTTTGAAAAGATCAGGTCATTTTAAAGTAACACTGTTGACCCCAGCAGTATGCGTTTGTATTTTGGTTCATGTATGTTAACCACAGACTTTTTAAGAAGTGAGCATGATTTCAAACATAGAGCTGAAGCAGAAGTGCCAACAAACCTGCATCACTTCTCAAAGCAAAGAAGAAAACTAGCCTACATTATTGTCATTTACTACCTCAGTCACTTTTTCATGTAGCTGTATAGTCACTGTCCTTCTTCAGTCATTTTTAATATATAACATTGTATAATTAACTGTATTAATAGAGGGTTAAAAAAGGGTAATGCTTTGGTGCATGGCTGTATCTTGATGTGTCATTTCTTTGACCACCTCACAAATGTCTTGTCTGGCGTTCTGATCAGTCTACTATTAACATTTCAGTTCGTATTATTGTACCCATAAATCATGTCAGGCCTTATAAGAGTGCTCTGTTCAATGGCCACTCAGTCACCACTCACTCTTCACTCTTTTTTGACAACAACTGAGCAAAAAGTGTTCAAGGGGGACTCTTTTATTTGGAGTGTGTCACTGTTATAGACTGTATATAGAGTGGGTGTCATATGCCTCCTCGCTGGGTAAAGCCTCCGCAAGAACAGCACCCCCTGGTGACTGGTTGCAGTACCGGCCGTAAACCCCGCCTCCTCTGGCAAAATAAATGCCAGTGGACAACTGCCACTACTATAAGCTCTACAACTTTAATACAGAGTGACTAAGCTGAGAAGAATATTTATTTATTTTTTGTTTATTTGGCTTACTGTTGAGCAGATAAGCTGGCTGGACTGTATTTGAAGTTCCCAACCATTTAGATCACATAAATGTATTCCACCATGGTTCTACATGAACAAAATATGCACCTTTAATACACTTTATATAAATTTTGGTGGGATAGTTTATACTGATGTCATACTTGGGTTGGGCTGCAGCAGGACCTCAGTCTGTCTGTAAATTTTGTCAGTCCACAGTTTGGTACAGTCTGCACGGCTCATCAGGCTCTCAAAGTGGGCATCCAACTCAGTCTTCTCAGCCTGGCCCAGCTTCTCCTCTGTGAACTGAGGCAGAGCACACACACACACACACACACACACACACACACACACACACACACACACACACACACACACACACACACACACACACACACACAAGTTAATAGAGTGAACTATAGAGGCACATCTGTTTCTATCTCACCTTGGATTAAGAGGTTAACACATAATAATCAATTTAAAGCAAGCTTGTTTATGTAAGAGTTTGCACATCAGTTAGTAAACAGTTATATTTGTCAGTTTAAGTGTGCAAGTCTAACCTCAGGCAGCTTCAACATGCAAACAGCAGAGAGGCAAGAAGTTTTGGCAACATCAAAACAGGGTGAGTGTTATTTTCAGGTGGACATAAACTGCTTTTATCGAGATTAGGTGCGGAGCTCAAGCGTTGGCAAAGCATGACCCAGTTTAAAAAGTGGTACAAAAACATGGTTCTCACCAGGTACATTGAGGAAGAAGGGCATTAACTATCAGGTGTTTTCACAAATGATTAATGTACTTATTTATTCTATAAAAAAATAATATTTTTTTATTTTTTGCTTGTATAAGTGATTCTTTTTGTATGATCAAATATATATTGTTGTAAAAATAAAATTAAGTAAAATCATTTTAGTGCTGCTGCTGATGTAGGCCTATGATTCTTACTGCCGATACGTCAAAGCTCCACTACAGTTATGTGCCTCCTGCTGTGCAATGTGCACTGAGCATCCTGAATGTGCTACTTTTTGAGATTAAAATTCATATTTGGCACCCTGAACATCATTCATTAGTCATTCATTGGTATTATTTTTATGATTGCATTGGTATTATTTATATTATTACCAAGGCCACCCCCTTAAATGTGTAAAGACATGTCAGGCACATTAAATTTAAACTGTAGGAGGTGTGTGAATGATCAACAATCAATATTACTGGCAGAAATAGACGGCCCCAAAATCAATTTTTGCTTAGGGCCCCATTGAGGTTTGGGATGCATACCCACTAAGGGCTTTTACAGCAGGTCTCTCAGTTATTTACTCTTAGTTATTTACCTTTATATTCATATTTTTACGCATTTTTAAGGGTCTGTTGCTATACATTATCTTATAACCTCCGCATCGTTCAGTAAAACCTCGTCGTTATCATAATGAAACAGAAGTAAACGTGATGATGTCATGACGTCGTGAAGGGTCTGGTTCACGACCTGCACGTCTTGGTCGTCCGACAGCAGTTTCCGTGTCCCCTCTACCCCTCAAACTTACCCAAACGAGGAAAGTGAAAGCATACAGTGACATTTATTTGGGTCTTCAAACAAAAGCCGTTCATAATAGTTTTAGGGGCGACCGCTCAGCTAGCTTTTCTTCAAAGATAACGTTTCATAAAATGGATACGTTATCCATTTGGCTAACAACAGAGCCAACTGTAGCATCTGGACAGCGCTCTTTAATCACACTGTAGGCCTAAACTATCACCGAGATGTGGCTGAGAATTCATTTTCTGTACCTTCTTGCTGTCCGAGTAAGAGTTATGTAACCATGGAGGTACAATATAGAGCAAAGTCAGCAACTGTACCGTGACAGTGGCGATAGTAACAGCTGGCTGTCAAAATGAAAAGCAGGAATCAGCCGAGAAACTGCACTTAAAAAAAAACACAGTAACACATTTCTCACCTGGACAGCTCGTGTGAAAAACAGTCCGGCACCCGAGGCCAATTTCTTCACGTTAAAATCCATCGTATTTGTTTTACTTATCTACCTGATGTAACAATAATGCAGGAATACGCGACACCAGGGGCTAGATATGATGATGGCATACGCCAAGAATCACGTGACCACCACGGACCGGGCCCTGTCACGTCACCAGTGTAACATAAGTGTGCTACTATATGATGTAAAGACGAGGCTCAGAGTCACTTTACTTATATAAAGTGGTATAAATGCAATCACTTCACGTAAAATTATTTGTGATAATTTGTGTCTTTTATTGGATCTTAACATTAAAACAATACTTATAGTAGTCCAGCAGATATCGCCATTTCACCATCACATTTAATACGATATGGGGTTTACAAGGGTTGTTGTAAAGGGCTGTATAAATAAAGAACATTTACATCAGCACTTACATTTAATTCTGTAGATGTATATTTTTCAATAAGAATTTTTAAGGGATTTTTTCACATTTTGTGCAATAATATGAGGGAAAAGATTTGCTCTCAAATACATTTGGAGTTCCAGAGTGGTGCTCGATTAAGGAAAGTTTCAACAAGTGACAATCACAAGGTGAAGATGCATGTCTACATTCTTCCATTTCAAATAAAGATGGCTTGTCTTTGTGGAGACTGAACAGACATTAAAGTATTTTACAGTCAATTCTTTTTTCTTATTGTTAAAGTTATCAAAAGAAACAAGATTTTGTGTCTGACTTATAGTATGCCTTTTCTCCTTGTGGTTGTGGTTGTTGTTGTTGTTGCGTCGCAGTGGTTCTCTTGAACGCACCCTTACGGCGGTGACGTAATGACGCATTGGCTCTTCGCTTTGGACGGCTGAGAGTGGCTCACATGTGAGTTTTGTTGATAATGAGTGGTTCTATTGTAGTTCTCTCAAAATGAATGAATACAAGTTTGACTTTGGACATTTAATTAATCCACAAACTCTTAATGAAGCGTCTGGAGTATCTTGTTCGTAAACAGTTAACGCTGTTTGAGGCTGCTGTGAGTTTGCTTTAGCCTGTTAGCTAACATTAACTCACAGATAGCCAAAGATTATTTAGCTAGCTCGAGTACTCCAATGAAAGTAGGATTGAAAGTTTTGCTTTAAGCTCAAATGTGCCTCTTTTTTAAAATAATTGTTATAAATCAATCATACATTTTAAAAAAATGACTCAATTTTGCATTCCAGCTCCTCGGCATAATAACGTTATGCAGAGCAGGTGGTCATGGCTTGGAAGTCGAGGACCAGGAACCTACAGGTGTTTGACACGGAGCTGAGTGCTGACACTGTGGAGTGGTGTCCTGTCTCATCACACCATGACATACTGGCATGTGGGACATACCAGCTGCAGAAAGGGGTGAGATTTCACTGTGGCAGCACTCCCCGTTCCTTTTTAGAACCTATCCACAAATTTGACCAAAATTTATCCGTAGTTTAAACAAAATTTCAATTTTATCTTTGGTATGGATAAACTTAGTGACCTGCCATGGGTGTATGTTATTAGCCCGTAGAAATACATTGCATGTCTGTTTGTTTTGTCTGTTTTGCTATTTAAAAATCCATACCTTTTGCACGTTATTTGCGAGTTAGACAAAATAACTAAGATAATCCACTCGAGTAAAGGTGCAAATTCTTCAGTTAATTCTTTTTGTAGTACTTGTACAACCACCAGTATGTTAATCTATTCATGTGAATCCTCTCAAGTAAAAGGAAGTGCCTCACATAAAATTTTGTGAAAGTACTGAATACAGTATACCTAAAGGGATATTCCGGCGTAAAATTAATTTAGTGTCAAACACACCGTAACACAGAGTTGGACACCCCCTTGAGAGATGAATGTTGCTGACCACTTGCTTCTCTAGTTATACCAACTTTAGTAACAACCGCATGATAGCAATACACAGCGGTCTGAGGAGCCATAAACAAACTGCAACCAGAACGCCACTTTATAGCCACAAATAATACTCAGAACAGCACCTAACTTCATCAACAGTCTTCTTTTTAGCTTTGCCTGATTTCTTTAGCAAAGAGACTTAACTCAACTCACCAACTCTCTTCCAGCAGCCTCTTCATTGTACAGAGACCTCGGGCCAGTCCATTATGGACTGCAGTGGAGTGATGCAGCTCAAGGAAGAACATTTATGATCATTTCTTCAAGGAAATGCAATCAGACAGAGATGCTAAGGCAGAAGAACTAACGTGTCTGCAGTGCAAAATGATTAATATGGTGATTATTACTTCAAAGAAATGATAAAGAAATGATCATAAATGTTCTTTCTTGAGCTGCGTCGCCCCGCAGCAGTCTTTTGCAGGGTCTTTTGAGGAACTAGAGGAGAAAGTTTGACAAGACTGAGAGATGAAAATTGTAATTAAAGCCTATAATTTGTCATTGGATGATTAAAGAGGAAGCAATCCAGGTAATGATATGTAGGTAATGTGGACAATGTTGTTTTTTGGTAATGTTTACCATTGCGGTGTGTTATGACTTAAATGGATGCAGCAGTGCAATACATTAATAACAATATTTCTGCTCCCACATGACACATGCCTGTTTCTTTCACTTTCTTATTGTAGACAGGTGAAGCAGATGCCACCACGAGCCGAACAGGTCGCTTGTATTTGTTTGAATTTCGACGAGAGGGAGCAGTGAGTCCTCCTCTCACTGAATTACAGCGGATAGACATGGCTGCAATTTTAGATATGAAATGGTAAGAAACACCTGCAGCTTGACTACTATGCCCATAGATTTCACTGTCTTTGTCCTTTTTATTAACTTAAACTTAAAAATTCTCTCAGGTGTCATGTTCCTCTATCAGGGAAGGCAGTGCTGGGAATGGCAGCTGCCAGTGGAGAGCTACAGCTTTACACACTTTCAAACAGTCAGGTGAGAAATGTGGCATTCGAAGAAATAACACCTGTGATGTTTGTGCATTTAGCTTATGCGACTGTGTGACCAAGGCCAAAGTAACAGAACAATTTAAGTCCTCCAAAGGTGATGAAACTACCCTGAGTACCAAAATATTTCAGCTAATCCTAACTGCCTAAATACAGCTAAGTGGATTGATGCTGCGTTTGGAAAAGCAGATTACCGCTAAAGCATGAGCAGGACCTTTTATCAATTATCAAGATAATCCAGACAAAACTTTGGCACGATAATCTGCACAAACAGCAGGTGTGTCACACTAAAGATTGCTCTCTTGTTTGCTATCCTGGCATTACTAGAAACATGCTGAAAACTCTGCATTTTGCAGCATTTACCAGGGTGTAGGCGCGGTTTTCCTTCCTCCCAAGATTCAGGGTATTAAATACTTGGCTTCTTGTATTCTGGTGCATTTTTTATGCCACAATTTAGAACTAAAAAAAAAAAAGTTAAACTTAAAAAAGGTTGAATATTTGGCGATGTCGTACTGGTTGTTTATCAGTAAAGTGTGTAAGATCCACTGCAGTATGGAGTCTTTGTTTACGCATGAGGATAACCTATTTCATATGAACAACTCCTTGGCAGATTAGGCATGATATCTGAACATCTGTGTATTTTATTTGAATTTTCAGAAAAAAATTTGGTAGGTGTATGTCTCCTCTGTCATAAAATGTATATATACCTTTCATATCTGTGTCAAATAACTACATTATCCTAGATGTAATGTAAAGCTGTGGTTGAGCAGTAAATGTGTATTTACTTCATAGACTGTATATGGAATTGACAACGTGACTCTACCTCTAGTCATTGTACAAATTTGAAAACAGAAAGGTCTCAGTATTTCTTGGAATTTTCTCCATTTACACAGTAGGGTTCAGCAGTATAGTCACTGTGATGACACTCCGCTTAAACAGCAAACCCCCAGATATCCCACGCAACCTTCGTACGCCCATAGATAGTATCAAGTGTCAATCATGGAAAACATGAACCCCTTATAACTTTTAAAAATGGAGCTGCACAGAAAAAAAGAGGACTTGAGCACAAGCCAGTCTAGCAATTACTACATGTCAACATTGCAACCAAGGGAGAGAAAGATTTATACGACTTGTATTTCATTTTTAAAGTTTGTCTACAGCACAATCATTTTGCTAGAGGAGGCGGGGTTTATGACCTGTACTGCAACCAGTCACAAGGGGGTGCTGTTCTCGTGGAGATGATGTCCATTCTATAAACAGTCTACGCTTTACTCTGTTCCATGTGGCATTGCGTACATGATGTTTGGTGTGACTCTAGTTGATGAGGTATTCTGCATTCATGAAAATTTGAATTCAGTAGGAAGGCGGCCGCAGTCTGCACTCTCTCAGCAGTTTGGAGGTGGGAGTGGAACGTCTGGCTCTGTCGTTAGACTGGTCCACTGGCAGGATGGACAGGTGAACCCCCCTCCTTCACACACACACACACACACCAACACAAACACAAACACACACACTACCACCGCCAGATCGATAAAGCTTAGTTGAGTATTGATATTGGCAATCAATAAAAAAATATGTCATAGCAGTTTGTCACTGTCAAAGAACCTTTCCATTCTCGATATGTTGTCAAAGCTCTTTTTGCAAGTAAAACATTAACAATGCTCTATCGGGGTATGTTCGAAGTTTGTTTTTTTGCAAGCATAATCTGGCAACACTGATCACCATGTTAACCTTGATCCGTTTGTGTCAGCAGCAGTGATGTACGAGTGGTGTGCAGCGACTCTGCAGGCTGCGTCAGCGTACTCACACTAGCTGAATGCGGTCTGACGGCTCTGTCACAGTGGAAGGCTCATGACTTTGAGGCCTGGATCTCTGCCTTCTCCTACTGGGACACTCAGCGGGTTTACTCTGGTAAAACACACTTTAAGAGGAAAATCTGACACATACTTAACGCTGCTGGGCTCCATGTGACCAGTTAATTCTCTGTGCTGCTTTTGTGCCTTACAAAGCCCAACTGAAGTAGCTACAGGCAAGAAGTATCAGTATATGATGCAATAACTCTGCATGTTTCATAAAGTAGAATATCTTTCGCCCAGTGTTCATCCTATTTGTCTTTTGATGAAAGCTCTTCTATGTGTTCAGTTTGTAACACAATTCAGGGTCCATGTTGCAAGTCAGACTTAAGTTTTGGTGAGTTTTGCTCATGTGTGGGCGGCAGAGATAGATTTTCTCTCTTGTGAATCTTTCTTCAAAAGGTTTTTCAAGCATAATCTTTTGTGCTTCTTTGATTTTTATTTCATCTTCTGAACAAAGGAGGTGAAAGGAATTAGCAAGTGTGGATCACAAAGCTCGCCAGAAAGATTGAGCTTTTACAAGACATATTAAACTTTTCTTGAGTCACAAAGACAGGAGACACAGCAAGTTTCATCCGACTTCAGCTGCCATCACAGTCATCAGCAGCATCTAACACTAATTAAACACTAATCATTATTACCAGTGTAACATCAGTGCTGCAAGAAAAAACTCTATGTGTCAAACAAAAATACTGAGATTTCTTTTTGGAGGTATTCAGTGAGGCTGTACAATTTTGATCTCTGCGTCTCTCTTCATGCTCATTTCTTCCCTTTGCACCTATTTCTCTGAGTGTGTTTTGGTTGCTCCTCAACAGGTGGTGACGATTGCAAACTTAAAGGCTGGGACCTCAGGGCTGGTCCCTCCTGCCCCACTTTCATCAGTAAAAGGTGAGTGCTGTGGAAGTCCCCCTTGTTTGACTGATTGTTTATGGCAATGCACATCACCATTTCCTGATCTGTTTCTGATCTTTAAAGGCACTCAATGGGTGTATGCAGTATACACAGCAACCCACACCAGGAACACATCCTGGCTACAGGCAGGTAAATACAACTGTCAATATGTTTACTGTTAACTACCGCTGCTTCGTCTACTTGTCTTCATGTCTTCCTCATTCACTCAGTAATGTGATAGTCAATAAGTCATGTGTACAAGGCCTCTATCTGTCGCTCTCACACTCTCTCTCTGCAGTTATGATGAACAGGTTTTGCTGTGGGATGAAAGAAACATGCAGCAGCCTCTCAGTGAGAGCCCCACAGGCGGAGGGGTTTGGAGGCTGAAGTGGCACCCCACCCACGAGCACCTGCTTCTGGCAGCCTGCATGCACAACGACTTCCACATCCTTCACTGCAAGCAGGCTTTAGGTACATGCCGAGATGAATGTTGCCGACCGCTTGCTTCTCTAGTTATACCAACTTTACTAACGACCGCACGATAGCAATACACAGCGGTCTAAGGAGCCATAAACAAATCTCAACCAAAACGCCACTCTATGTCCACAAATAATGCTCAGAACAGCACCTAACTTCATCAACAGTACATATAGGGTCCAAGCCATAGCACTAGCCACCAAACATCTTTTTAACTTTGCCTAATTTCTTTAGCAAAGAGACTTAACACAACTCACCGACTCTCTTCCAGCAGCCGCTTGTTTGTAGCGAGACCTCAGGCCATTCCATTATGGACTGCTGTGGGGTGACACAGCTCAAGGAAGAACATTTATGATCATTTCTGCTGATCATTACTTCAAGGAAATGATAAAGAATCTTATATCTATGGAGTGATTTTGGCTTTTGATTCATTTTGGTTCTCCTGGATCTTTGCACAGCTTCAATGCTGTTGAAAATATTGTCTGTGACCATCATAAAACCAAGCGGTAAAAACCTTTTCCATTGAAGACAGGCTGTTTTGTGTTTGCACTGTTAATGCTACATTTGTTAACAGTTGGGTGCTGAAATAAGCAACAAGGTCCCATTTGCTTACCATGTAGCAGTTTGGGGTTTTAGACTGTTCAATATTGTTGTTTTTTAACATGTAGTGTTTCTCTTCAACCATGTTCATTTTTTCTGTCATTGCTCAGAGGGTAGCGGAGGACCATGTCCGATAGTAGCCTCCTACATCCTCCACAACTCCCTTGCATACGGAGCTGACTGGTCCAGGCTGTCCCTGGAGGAACCGGCTCCCAGCTCGCCTCCGGCTGCAGAACCAAAGAAAAGCTTCACGGAGAGTGGAGGACACTTGAGGATTCAATACGAATCTCCCACTGCTAGCTTTGACACTTCTTTGGAGGATGATGCAGGACGGTACATCCCAGAGGATATTACGCCACCATCCACCACCCCCCCTGTAGGCCCGGTCATCAACCTAAATGAGGACGCCTCGTCGCAGTCCTGTCTTCTTGCAAGCTGTTCGTTTTATGACCACATGCTTCATGTGTGGCGCTGGGACTGGGCTCCAGATGATGCTCAGCAGTGTTGACCAGGTTGGAGAAAATTCAGCGTTGACATTATAGATCGTGTATAATCATAATCACAGTATAACTTGAACGAGCATAGTATGCTGTTTTACTATTCTTGATCTTCACTCTGAACTCCCCACACTTTGGAATGAAATGTCTCAATATGCAATGAAACAAAGACGATATATTTTCATAATGACACTGGTTTTATATGCTTCTATTATAAACCTTGTACTTTGAAACAGTTCAGCTTCAACATTTTTATACCTTCACTCTGTTACAGCATACACCAGCAGAGTGAAGATTCACACTACTTTCATCATGTGTAATTGCAGGTACTGAGAAAGGATGCAGTCTTCACATTTTCCATTTTTTTAAATTCAAGTCCCTTCCAGACTAAAAAGTTACACATCGTAGATTCTGAAGACTATGTTTGACAAGGACAGGACACTTTTGCAGTTCACCTGTTTAATTTTCTGTTACGTTGTTTCTTTGTCTATTATTTAGTCTGGCATTATATTGAGGATTTTCAAGGGACTGTGTTCATCCATTGTGGCTTTTGAGGCCATCCTCTGCTCTACAGTCAAACATCTCTCTCCAAAGAGGAATCGACTCATTGCTGCTATCTATAGTTGTAATATTTTCCTCTGACTAACTGAATAAATATATTATTGCTCCCCTTGCCTGCAGCAGTGATTTCAGGTATTGATGATTATAAAGTAGAACATAAAATGGGCTGTTTGTGTGGATGTACTGTATCGACCCAGATCAGCCTAACCTTATACAACCATGAGGTGACTCCATGGATCAGACTCGTTTGTCTGGCACTTCCACAGATGCTTGATTTGATAGAGATCTGGAGAATTTGCAGACCTAGTCGACATCTTCATCAAACCACTTTGTGATGTCTTCATCACTGCAAAACTGAAATATTCAGAAATACACGAAAGTCAAAGATATTGCAGCCTTTTCCTTTAAACTAACGTGATCATGAATTTTTTGAGTAAGTGCAGTCTTTTGCCATACAGAACAGAGCTAGTCTGTAAACATTGATATATAGAACAATATGCATGTCTTCTTTGAAAATGCATTTTATACTCAAATATGTTTTGATTATTGATGTATACCATGCTGTTGTCTACATGCTTTCACACAAAGACTTTAATTTTTACCATACTTCCAGCTCTTGGTGCCATTAAAAATCAGTAAATTGCGTATTCTGACAACAAAAACTATTTCCTACTTCCTCTTTTTTTATATCCAAAGGGGGAAATGGTATGATTCCAATTCTATACACTGTGCAGGACCCCAAAATATGCAGGAGCTATGGTTTGGGAGTATAAATGAACTGAAACACCAGATCTCAAAGATGGATTTTAAGACAACTTTTATTTTGGCATCAAGCCCCTGAAGATTTATGTTGCAATGAAAAAGTAACAAAAACAACACAAACTAGTATGAAGTGTATATTTCGTATAGATGATTCTCCTGTAAGTGCCCCATCAGTTGGTCTGAAGCTTTCATAATCAGCAGTCAGTGCACTTCTTTGAAAAAAACATAACTGAAGAGCATTTTTAGCGCACATAGTTCTTGGGATACAGCTTGAAGAGCTTCCCCTCCTGTGTTGGCTCACGTCCATATTTCTCCAGCTGATCGCGGCTAAATTTGCCCTCTTTGAAGTCATTCCTGATCTGAGGGGCCACAGCTTCATCAAACACACTTTGCGCTGTAAGTGGAGGCTCTGTTCCTCGTGGGGCGCGATATGATACGTAAGGTTTGAGTTTAAACCCTTCCAAGTTCGGCACCACAAACTCAGGGATCATGGCTGGTATGGGCACAAACTTTCCGCTGGAAAGCCTCCGTCCGGCCATTCTTGTCCCCCTGCTTTTATGATGAGTATTGGATCCACGCTTGCTGGTGAACTCAGACATCCTGTCCGCTCCCCTTACCAGACCCCTGAAAAGAGTCGATAACACCCCCATGGTGTCAGAAGAGCAGTTGCCTCCTCTGCAACAGAGAAACCTGTTGAATGGAAATATTTCAGATTCATTAAAGAATAAAGTTATGCTTTAGTAATGCTACATTCAGGGATTCACCAGCAAACAATCAGCCGTGATCAGACCTGTTAATGAATATTTGACTATCAACTCATGATTTGGCGCTTAAGGACTGCAGTAATTGATAAACATTTAGTGCATAACATTTACTGAAACCCTGTATTCTGTTTTATTCTTATTGTGAAAAGGCATCAAAAGCTGATTTCACCATTTTTTTTTCTGTCTTCCCCAAAGACACAAAAGACGGAAAAGAAACTAAGTTTACTATTTATATATTTTTCTTTCTTTTTTAGGATTTTTTTGTTCATGAATGCCTAATTTCAGTTATTTTGTTGCATTTTAATATGGTCCCCTCATGGCACTTTTTCCCTCCCTTTGGACATTGCACAGTTATAAATAAAAGAAAACTGCTTCAATTTGTCATGCATTTTCCTATTTTGATGAGAAGTACTTTTTCTTGTGTATATTGTTTCAGGTAAAAAAATCACCCAGCGATAGTGACGGTGTTACTAACTTTAGCGACACTGTTCTTAGGGTTAACTAGTTTCACACTGTTTACGAAGCAAAGTCAGTCTAAATGGGCTCAGGATAGCAAAAATCTGCGTTAAATGTCAAACCACGGGCAGAAAACATGCAACCGATGTCTGGTTACAGTAGCCGACATGAACCAAAATACGGACGAGCTAAGCTAGCGAGAGAATAAGAGCAAATCAGTCAACATTGTTAAAAGAGATTAAGTAGTTGGTTGTCTTATTTCTGTACAGTTGATAGAATATTTTAAACCACAGTATTCCTGAGTATTATTAAGAAAATTCGACTCCTCTCACCTTGAACACGCAGCTTTTCCAGTCAAAGTAAGGTCACGTGTCCACCTTTCAAAGTACGTGCTCTATGATTGGTCGATATGCAATATCGTCCACCAATCAAAATCAGGAATACTAACGCTCAACTGTCAATGGGACAAGGCGTCAAGTGAACGGTTTTATCTGAAACACTGCTAAAATACCTTTCAAAATAAATCCATGTAGCTAACTGTGAGGAAAAAGGTGTGTCTTTATGTTTATTGGAACTATAGTAACACTCTATGTTGCTACAAATACGCACAGTTATTGCATTAAAAGCCTTATCCTCTTTTAATTGAATCTATTTTCTACAATAAAAGATGTACATGATTGCATGGGATTTTATTTTGAAATAAATAACAGGAAACTCGAATAAATCCAAACAAAAGCCTGTTTCTACTTCACACTGGCATGAAGCTGGATACTAAAAACTTTCACCGTGAAGAGATACGTGGTGAAAAATATATGGTCACCTCAGACTGAAGGCTTTTCTGCCGGTATGTTGCGTGTTTGTTTGTTTGTATGTGTTGAAGACTCAGTCACGGCAAACTTGTACATTCAGGTTTTGATAGTTTTTTGACCATCTCCTGGCTGTAGAGGACTGCAGGAGAAGAAGAAGCGGACTCAGCGGACAGTCAGTCAGGATTGTTTGTTGATATAGTTCAGACTTGGGTTTGATAACAGTGACTGGGTGTGAGATACACAAGTCACGCACTAGTTAATGGTCAGCTGTAAAAGAGTAAATTTGATTTACTCTTCTCACTTGTCGCCAAAATTCATTTTTAGGTTAGTTAGGATTAGTATCTGATATGAGTAAATATTCAATTTTCACAGTCCAGTATAAACTCATGAAAAAGTTGTTGTTTCTTTTCTTTTTTTGATGTAGTTTCGCACTAAAATTCAAGTAAAAAGTGTAAGAAATGACTGTATGATAGAGACATAACAGTTTATATCCTCTTCTGTCTGTCTGTCTGTACCAGGCCCTCTACCATTGGAGAGAGTGTGTGTGTGTGTTTTGGACTCCATTGGAGTATCTAGCTGTGTATGACTCCAGCAGGAGTTTCTGGTTACAAGCACTTGAGTGATCTTTAACCCAGATTTGCTCTGTGACTGCAGGTCGGTCAATATGGGAGTAAGCAAGGCACTATAATGTTGAAAAGGGTCATCACCTCGGGCTATTTAAATACAGTCATAAATGTTATCTTAAATAAGCATTAAGTATTGGAGAACAGGGTAGACTATAAACGGTTTCAACAGAGGACATTTAGGTTTAACCAAACCAAACACTGCGCCTCTGTAGGGTATCTAATGTGGCCAACATACCACTGACTGTGTTCTGTGTGTTCCTATAATCTGACCCTAACCATGGGTACAGTTAACTGATAAAAGGCAACTTTGCAAAATAAAGAAATATATACAAGCTTACTTTCATTGCTCTTCCACTCTTTAAGAAGCGGCTCAAGGCTCACCTTTTTAACCAGGCTTTTTACTAATTGCCTTTTTATATTTCTCTTATTGCAAATGTTCATTGTAATCAAAGTTCTTATTGTTTATTTATGTCATTTTATTAATTATCTCTGTTCTTAGTCTTTTTCTTAAATCCTGTCACAAGTTTTAACTTCTTTCACCCCCTGTTTAATATAATAAAAAGCTCTAATCTATCTGTTCATTTAATATTACTTTCTTGTTTTAGTCCATCAGGTTTTATTCTTTCTTTTTACCATTTTTGTTTCAATTTTTATCTCCAGTGTTTCCCAGAGATAGCTCTTTCCTCAGGCCATGTCTCTCTAACAATATATCTTAAATTCTCACACTGTGTGCGGATGTGTGTGTGTGTGTGTGTGTGTGTGTGTGAGGGTGGGTGTGTGCCTATGTGTGCGTGTGGGTCCATGGGTGTGTGCGTGGGTGGGAGGGTCGGGTTTTATTGTCGTCAATTGTTGTTTTTAGCCTCCGTGAGGCACTTTGAACTGCATTTTTGTATGAAAAGGGCCGTACAAATAAAGTAGAATTTCAATTTGAAAAGAATATTACTGCATGATTTTGAGATTTTGTAAGCATACATAGATAAAAGATCACTTAATATTGATGAATTTTTATTCACCTGCTTCTAACAGTGTGCAAATATTATCTGCGCTTGTCAAGGTATATATATTTTCTCAGTTGGCATTAGTCTGAAGGGGTGACTAAAAGCAAGCCTGTGCTTCATCTGACTGCACCAAAACAGTGAAATAGCACAGCTATTACACTCAGGTCTCCATGCAGCAATTAACCCTTTAATGCCTTTTGTATCATATTTGATACACACTTTTATATTCTTCTATCAAATCAATATGATCAACAAATTACAAAAAAACACCTGAATACAGTCCGATGAATGATAAAAGTGCCCTCTTGTAGTTTATCAGTTTCCGAAAACATCTAATGTATTGAGAAAACGAGATAAATAAATATATTTGTTAAATTTTTAGGACATTTAGATTTTTTTGATTTTCAGTAGTAAATGAAATTAACATTTCAGCTCTCCCCCCAAAAAATGGAATTTCCTGGCCATAATTTGTGGTTTCAGGCATTAAAGGGCAGCCATGATTACATACTTAAAGAGAAAAGATTGATTGTTTATTTCAATATTTATTTGATTAATTGGAATATATTTTCACTTATGTAATGTGGTTATGGCAAATGCTCATATTACAAAGTTTGGTAAAAATAAAATTGACTTTGTAGCTCTGCAGTGAAAAACTATTACTGAAAATTTATCAAGGTGAAGCATTAGTAACAGAAAGACTTTTTATTCACAGCCAACTCAGACCATCTTCCACATCTTAACAATCTTATTTCACTAATGAGTCAGTGTTACCTTGCAAATTTGATTACAAGTGGTTCTGTTGCCTCATTTCAATCCTGTCATATTATATTTACAGGCATGGATAACAGTGATGAAGAGGGAAGCTGCAGTATATACCCAGTATGTCATTCTACAACCATTATTTCATTTTACTTCATAGTATTTATGACAATTTCCTTGGTACAAGATTATAATTTTACAGTCTTATGCATCAAATATGTAAGATATGAGAAATATCTTGCAATGCTTGGTGGTTTTAGCAAGATTATAGGTATGTGTTACAAAAAAGAGATGTCATGATAAAGTTGTTGTTTCAAGTCTCCTAAACGCATCCTGCTGGGATGTTGAGATGGTTTCATACTCTCAGACTTCTTTCTGTACTCAATGTTCTTTCCAGACCCTGGTTCCACTGGGCAGTGGGATCAAGGACACAATGGAGAGGTTTATGGAAGAAAGGACAGAAGCAAATATGGTGACTATTATTAGTTTGACTGGGGCTTTTTTTACACGTTTCTTTTTTTCCTACTTAAATAGATGTAATAAAAACACTGGGATGAAATTAAGTGAATACATGTTTTGCTAAAACATGACCAAAATGAGAAAAGTTAGAATCTTTGAGAAGGTATAGATTATGCTTGTATTGATCAACTGAATGATATTAATAAATGATCTGTGTGTTTTTTTCTTCCAGTGGACAGCAGTGCTGATTGGAGCTGTGACGGTGATTTCTGTCGTTGGAGTTGTTGTGTTCCTTCTGTACAGGAGATACAAACGGTCAAGTCAGTGTCTCACACACCATCCATCCTGCTCTGTTTCAGACTTAACACTTTTTTAAGCAATTTTTAAAGTGAAACATTTCACAAACACACTCATGTATACCGTAACCCTGGTAGGTCACTTTAGCTCAGAAGATGAAGACACATGTAAATGAAAAAACACGCAAAAATGAAGAACACCGAGAACATGGTGAAAGCAGAATGAAGAAAAAAAATATGAATAAAGACAACAGGTTCAAATATCAACAAAATGCAATAACACTTGATAAATACATGAAGAAGTAGGTGATAAGATGTTCAACTAGGCTTTTACACAAATGTACAGTATGTTATTTAGTTTTGCTTTGGTAACTGCTGCACATTTAGAAATAAATGGACATGTTCTCTTCTATTTCTGTGTTTTTTTCCTTTATTATTGAGATCATATGTCAGTATGTTTCCAAGACAATAGAAACAGTATAAGAGTTTATACACGCATGCATGAAGGAGTTGTGTAAAATGGTCTTATGGAGGATGTTTGCTCTGTGTTTAGAGGAGGAGGCCGGTGTCCCTCACTATCGCTTCAGGAAGAGGGATAAGGTGATGTTTTATGGTCGGAAGATCATGAGAAAGGTCAGTATCATGTGAATGTCCCACTCAGTCTTTTAATCATACAGTGAGGACTTTTGAATCAGTTTGACTTTTTCTTTCTGCTAGAATCTGTTTGGAGATTGTTGTAAGATATTTTAAGAATCCTATAAAGAAAATATGAACGAGTGAATAAAATGCTTTCTATATGCGTTGTTAAGATGCCCCAGAATTACATGTCATGACTTGAACCAAAGTTTGAAAGTTTCTGTTAATATTTATGTATTTATATTACGTTGCTGGATTGCTTGTTGGGCACAAATCCCACCAATAATTTAAGCTTTATGATGAATTTGCCTTGTCAAGTAGTAGTTTTTAAAGTAACTTGAAAAAATGCAAAAATATTATATATTGTGATCTGTCCCTGTTTTCCAGGTCCAGACATTATCATCAGCTCCCCCCTCAAATCCAAACTCTGTGTCACGGCAGAGAGTGAGGAAAAGGACTAAAGTCCTGTCTATAGCCCGCAAGTGAGTTGTTGTGTTTGCTCCTGGTAAGATAAGATGTTTAGTGCTTGAGTCAATTCTTTGCTTTGCGGACAGCTGGCTAATTCATCTCAACTTGAGAAACCACAAAGATAAGCTGGAGTACCATTCTACTCAGGAGCAGCAGATAACAAATATGAGTGTGAGCAGTTGTTCACTTTGACATGGTCTTTAAGATGGATTCTGAAAACAGCTTCAGCCTGTACAATAATAATAATAATAATAATAATAATAATAATTATAATAATAAAATTTATTATTTCAACCTGATTGAGCTCAATAATGCACAATATTGAATTTCTCTTTAGGGATCAATAAAGTTCTTTTTCTAATTCTTTTTTTTCTTTTACCTCTTCTTCCAGCATTAAATCTCATCTGTACAGTTTGCTGAATGTCAAAGACAGTTTAAATTTGAAGTAATCCTCTCTAATAAGAATATTATTTGAATCCTTCACTATTAACCTGAGGTGTCTATCTTGTTTAATAAGTTCTTAGAAGTATCGCATTATAAAACCACACAAAAAGTGAAAAGAATATAATGGTGCAGTAAAAGTTCAGCTTCAAACACTTGTCTTTCAAATAAAATAATAAAAGCTCATCTTCACAAAATGAATACTGTGTGTTGTTGAGGTGATATGTTGTTTGTTTAAGGATCCTACGCATCCGAAGGGAACCTCCCACCCTGCAGCCTAAAGAGCCTCCTCCCTGTCTCCTGGAGGCTGACTTGACTGAGTTCGACGTACAGAACTCCCACCTTCCCTCAGAAGTGTTGTACATGCTGAAAAATGTGAGGTGAGGGATAACAAACCTTTTACTTCTAAGCTCTGAATGAACAGGAGTGATTCTAGTCTTATTTACAGTGTTAAACAGACAAAGGGGAAATGTGTGTTCATTTACTGAACACATTGTTTATCTATAGTAATGATAATATTAATAGTACATTTAGGCACCTTTCTTAACACTCAAGGTCATTTTACAGATAAAAACAGTCCAATGATTGACTGCTAAAATACATTTCTTTCTACATTACATCTATATCAGGTATTCATTTGTTTTACGTCAGTGTTGAACTGATTCAATTTTTACCGTGGGAAAACCTTAAATTGTCACAGCCAATACTGAATAAAGTGGTTATATAACTGCATTAAATGTTCATGTGTGTTCTAAACAGGGTTCTTGGACACTTTGAAAAGCCTCTTTTCCTGGAGCTGTGTCGTCACATGGTGCTGATCCAGCTGCACCAGGGAGAAGCGCTCTTCAGACCGGGCGACACTGATGACAGTATTTATGTAGTCCAGGATGGTCGTCTGGAGCTGTGCATCCACGAGAGTGTAAGGCTAATGACACCGTCTGCACCCACTGAGAAATCACGAGCAGGTTTCTCATTGAGCTGTTTATAAATCTTGAACCTATTTAATGACAGGAGGAATCAAACACTTTTCCGCCTCATGTTGAGTTGTGATTGTTTTTACCCTGCAGGATGGAACGGACGCTGTGGTGAAGGACGTTTTACCAGGAGACAGTGTTCACAGTTTACTCAGCATCTTGGACATCATAACTGTACGTCTTCCAGGACATATGTGACATAACCAAGTTTCAAAATAAAAGACCCAACCTTTTATAAATCCTGATATTTTCGGGTGATTTTGCAAAATTACAATAATTAGCTATAATAGTATAACATTTTTTACCCCTCAAAAACTGTGTAAAAGTGCCGTACTAGCTTTGTTTTTTTGTATCAGGCTTAAACATATTCAATGAATTAGTGTGAACAGTATAGTCATGTTTTGGTTATTTGTTGCAGATTTAGTGATGCACGCAATATTGTCATTTCACACATTTTAAGGCCATCTAAAGTGTTATCTTACAACAATTATATCCCCCAAACCTAATTCTTTTTTCTTCAGAATTCAATAAAGTTCTTCTTTTCTTATCTACATTTATCTTATCTAATCTCATCTCATCTTATCTTATCTAAATGTATTTTATCTTATCCCATCGAATGTAATCTAATCTCATCTCATTTTATCTTACCTTATCTCATCTTATCTAATCTAATTTTATCTAAGTTTATCTTACTTTATTTTACTTTATCTCATCTCATCTCATCTTAGTCCCTCAAAATTGGCCCACTGCACCTGTAACTCTGACTTTTCTGACTTCTCATAAAATCTCTCTCTCCACCTCTCTTCACACACTATGTTTTTTCCCATTTTCAGGGCCATCCAGCGCCTTACAAAACAGTGTCTGCGAGGGCTGCAGCCCCTTCCACCGTGCTGCGTCTTCCAGCTGCAGCTTTCCAGTCTGTTTTTGAGAAATATCCTGAAACCCTGGTCCGTGTCACACAGGTAAAGTGCTAACTTAGAGAGCTACAAGGTATAAAACACACCGTTTTATCAAGTACATAATAACGAGCCAATCTTCTTGACTTGTCTGACTGTTTGGAAATGTTCTTGACAGATAATTATGGTGCGTCTCCAGAGAGTGACTTTCCTTGCCTTACACAACTACCTTGGCCTAACCACTGAGCTCTTCAACCCGGTACAGTTCTTTTGTTCAGCAATATTTTGATCTAGATTATCTTCAGTATTTCTTTTTCTCTTTTAATCCTGTTTCTGATATGCAGCGCTGTGTTTTTGAGAGCATGAGTCGTGTTTTTACAGATGATTAGGCTCACAGCAGGATACCCAATAGATTTAAACTTCAACTCAGCTGGATGGCAGAGGGTCACAACCACATGGCAGGAATTATCGTTTTGTAAATATTTATTCATGTGTGTCTCACAGGAGAGCCAAGCCATCTCATTAGTGTCTGTGGCCCACGTTCTGGGTGAAACTCACCCGCACAGAGGCTTCCGCAGGCAGCCTTCCCACTCTGATGAAGTGGCCTCTGAAAAAGCAGACACAGGTCAGAGACACTAGTTATCTCCCACCATTTCCCTGTGATGTTGGAGTATTGTGTGTAAATGTGTGCATGTGTGTAATAGTTGTAGACCTGGCAGTGTTTGTCTGAGGTTATCTGTAATCTTGTTTCTGTGTGTCTCAGAAAAGTCTGGCCTCTCTGACATGCCCACTTCCAGAAGCAAGAAGTCTCGCTCCTTTTCCACACCACTGGCTGTTACAGGTACACACAGCAAATGTTAGTTTGGACATGAGAATGAAGTGCAAATGTGAAGAATGATACTGAAATTAAAGATTTACCCAATCTAAAAAAAAAAAAAACTCATTTGAATTTCCCTTTTTATTCAAAGTCCAAAGTCTAAGGACAAGATTAAAAACCCCAAACATTCAAGAAAAATCCCTTAGAATTAATGCCAATCCAAGCAAACTGTGGAGGAGGAATGTTAAAGTCAAAATAATGATTTCATATTTACCTGCTTACTTTTCACTGCAAGTAGTATGCAGCCTATTAAATTTATATGCATATACATATATGTGTGTATAACCCTGAAATTAATACACCAAAACTTTTATCAATTTTTCTGAATATCTGTGTTATTTTCTGTTCTATTTTTACTTTTATACTAGATTTTTCTATTGTACTGATAACGTGCACTCCTGTGATGTGTGTCTGCTGGGGCTATCAAAGATTAATTATTTTAAATGGTATTAATCTCTAATTTTCAATAGTTAAATGTGATTATTTGCCTTTTTATTTGCAAGCGGTTGTTGCAGTTTAAGTAGCTTTTAGCCCACATTAGGCCAGAATAAAACAGCTATTAAAAATGTCTGAATGAACAGAAATGAATCAAGTTTGTCATTTTGACTGTAAGATGTGTTATTTAAAAGGAGCTGCACTGCTACACCAGTGTGGTTTAAAACCACAAGAAGACAGCTTCAAAGTGTTTGGCTTGCATGTCAGAAATCTGCCGCACATTTCACTTCAGTGAATAACAAACAGAAACCACCATCATTGTACTTCGACTTGCTCAGAAAAAAGGCACAACTTGTTGCAAGACCACTAAAAAAGAAGATAGATTCTTCCTGAAAATTACCAAAAGTGAACCAGACCCACTCAAATTTAACTTGAAAACTTGACTTTAAGTCAAGTAGCAGAGAAAAATTCAAGATAACTCAGCAGGAGAATCTGTTTTAAGCTCTCGCAGTGGTATTTAGTGGTAATAATGAATTTCTGTTTTTTTCCATGCAGGTGAAATGTCACTTGACCTCAACAGAGTGTATGAGAGGGCTCGAGTAGCCAAAGAGGAGATGGCAATTGGTAGTCCTATGAAGGTGAGGACTTCTATTTCAAAAAGTTCCTGTGTGGCCACCCTTAGTTCATGATTCAAGTTTTTTTTTTGCTGTTCATTTTGCAGACAACAAAAAATATCATCCTTGAAAGATAATTCTGTACAAATCAAATTGTCACCTGTATCTCAACAGTGTTTCACAGCAGATTTTCAGGATAATTTTTGGTCATAAACATGTTATTGTTGCGCAAAATAAGAGTGTAAAATGTGTTTTTATTGTGTTTCTCAAAGACATTCAGTTTATATGATATTTTTCTTTTCTCCTTCATCCTCTCAGTCTATTTTGAAGAAGAGTGTTACAATGCTGCACACTCCGTCGGCTGTTTATCACTACAGTGATGCTGGGGGAGGAAATGTCAACCACAATAAAGTCAATGCCATTTTCCAAGCTGCTAAAAAGGATCTGCTACAGGTCATCCAACTACAGGTAATATAAAAACTATAATTCTGTATAAAAGTCTCTAAAAAGTCGATGATGTCTGTGTTACAGAAATGAAAGAAAATAGTATTTTGATAGTGTAACGATACGGTTACATTCAGTCAAGTGCTTTGTAATCCGTGTTGTTAATTTGGTGTTTTGAATCCATGTTTGGTAAGGCACTTATAAAAGTCGTGGGTGCTGCCGTAACTAACTTACATTATTAAAAACTTACATTCCTTTGTCTCTTAAAAATGTCATTCCTTGTCAACAGAACCCCTGTCTGCTGGAGGGGAGGGTAAATCTGCGGCAGGTCAAAGCTGGCTCTGTTGTGGCTCGTCAAGGAGACCAGGTCAGTTTGTTACGACAAGACAGGAAATAACTCAGCGGTATTGTGACAAAAGAATACTCAGAGGCACTTTTGGTTTTTAGTACCAATGGCAATCTTTTATATATTTGATTTTTTTAATAACTAAAATGATTTACATTGTCTTAATTTCAATATGTCTGGTGCTCAAGACAAAGTCCATCATCTGCTTAAAAAATGTTTCTGAACAGGTGAAACATGAGCGTTATCCAGGCTAACGAAGTTTATTTAAAGAGCCGAAATTATTGAATGTTGTAGAGATTTAACTGACTAAATTCTAAGGCAAGGATATCCTTATATGAATATTTGCTGTTTCTCACAAAGCAAAACTGTCAAATATATTTCTTCTTTACACAACTTTTCAAAGTTTTTATTTCAATATAGTATATAGTAGTGCCTTAGCATGTTACCTCTAACTACAGAACATCCCTTGCAGACATTAATTCATGCTGTTGACCTTTACCTTCATTATTTAACAACTATTTTACACATCAGCTCATCCCTCTTTCACCTCTCTAATTTCCTTTCTGCTGCATCATTTACAGGATGTGAGCGTGGCGTTCGTCATTTCAGGGTTGCTTCATGTCTACCAGCGTATGATCGACCGTGAAGAAGACTCCCTGCTGTTTGTTGCCCACCCGGGGGAGATGGTGGGTCACCTGGCGGTCCTCACAGGAGAGCCCCTGATTTTCAGCGTCCGAGCTCAGAGAGACTGCACCTTCCTCTCAATATCGAAGGCTCACTTCTACGAGTAAGATCACACAACAAAGAGTCATTTCTCTTCCCACCTCTCCATGAGCACACAAATAGGTCTGTGCTTTTTACTTTGCAGGATCATGCGGGAGGATCCCAGAGTGGTGTTGAACGTAGCTCACACCGTGGTGAGGAGGGTGTCGCCGTTTGTCAGGCAGATTGATTTCGCTCTGGACTGGATGGCTGTGGAGGCTGGACGGGCCGTCTACAGGTATCAGATGGGATCCTTTCTGAAACGTTCCAGGCATCAGAAACAGAAACAGTCCATACATGTGCACGCCCCGCGGCTAGATTTGACCATAATTAGTTTACACGAATCAATACCACAAGTCAATACAAGTTCAATAATAAATCAATACAATTGCCACAGAAGCCAAATTGCATCCTGTGCTTTTTTACTCATAAGAATAAAGATAAATCACTATGAACTAAATTAGTGTTTTGTTTATAATCCAATCAACTTAATTGAAAGAGCGCTTTTCAAAATACATTTTTTAAGTTGACTAATGTGCTGCTTTGAGAAATTAAAAGCAGTGATAAAAACTGTAAAATATGTAAATTATGTAAGCAGGTAAGTACGCTGTAAACTCACTAAAAACAAATATACCTCCCAAAGCACATAAAATGCTGGAAAGCCACTAAAACACATCAAAAGTGGGATAAAAAGAATTTGAAAAATCACATTGAATCATAGAGACCACACAACTCATGATGAGTTAAAAGTCAGGGAACAAAAACAGTTGAGAGACAATATTTAAAGATCAGGAAATTTTAGCAGTAGGGCTACAGCTAAGAAGTCAGAGTTACCATAAGGAGCAGCTGATCAGTGGACCTCAACTTCCTCATGATATGTAGGAGATCTTGTTGACAAACGACACTGAGAGCATTACAATTGTTAAAATTAATGCATGTCCTAACATGGTTACAGCAGGGAGCCATGGGTCCAAGCACCACATCATATACTGTATTACACATATCACCATGTTTAGGTGGATAAAAACAGACCTGGCTGTCTGCACACTTTCATGAATCCTATGTGTGATTTTTTTTATTTCCTGTAAATGTTGGATCTTGTCTTGTAGACAAGGGGACAAGTCAGACAGCACCTTCATCGTCCTCAGTGGCAGGTTACGTTCTGTTATTGCAAAGGATGATGGGAAGAAGGAGCTGGCTGGAGAGTATGGCCGTGGGGATCTTATCGGCGTGGTGAGTAAACGAAAAAATGTTGTCCTTAAGTAACAAACTGATTCTAAGTTGACTTGTTGCTGCTGAATCATAGACTGTGTATGAAATGGACGTCTTCTACCTCCTCACTGTGTGAAGCCTCCACGAAAACAGCACCCTCTGGTGACGGGCTGCAGTATAGGTCATAAATCCCGCCTCCTCCAGCAAAATAAATGGAGTTATGGACAAACTTTAGAAATCAATTAATTACACAGAATATTAATCTTTGTTTGAGTAGAGCGTCATCACAGCGACTCTCCCGCTGACTGCTACCGCGCAAATGCCAGTTTCAGAAAAATCCGAGAGCAATTTGACTTCAAATTCAAACACTGACGAGAGGCAGGGCCATGTTGTCCATACTATATACAGTCTATGTCCAGAATTGTATTTCTAGTTGTTACAACTTGCAGCTCAACACCTGCTTTGTGTCGTTGGCCAGGTTGAAGCTCTGACCCACATGAACCGAGCCACCACGGTCCACGCTGTCAGGGACTCTGAGCTGGCAAAACTACCTGAGGGAGCTCTAAACTCCATCAAGAGAAGGTATCCTCAGGTTGTGACCCGGCTGATTCATCTGCTGGGACAGAAGATCCTGGGAAACATGCAGCAGGTCAATGGACCTCTGGCTGGTAATCATGTTCTCTGTTTGTCCAAGAACCATTGATAGTACTGTTAACAGTTTTACGGTGGTGATTGAATTTAACTGAATAAGCACATGCTGCACGCTCATGGGGGAAAAATCAAGCAAATATTTCTTAAATGTGCTGATTGTTCAGCAGGAAAACAGCTGAACAATCAATTTAATCAATGGAGACAATAAAAGGTCTGAAATTGACGACTGATTGTTTCATAGTTGGCGTTCATCAAACAAAACAAATTCCTTTATTTACTTGTGCATTGCCTTTAAAACTGCTCGGCAGTACCTGCGTCTAAATGGACTTGAGGCACTACGTGGCTCTTACTGATGTTGTTTCCTCTAGATCTTGTCTAAATCTTTGTTTGTGTAGTTCTTGTTCTTGAATGTATGTCACTTTAGATAAAAGCATCTGCAAAATGACATCTTAACTTGGTAAAAGACTTAAAAACTGTGAATATCAAATACCAGCAGCACACAAAAATAGAGATTTGTCATAGATCTGCTAATAAACTGTATTTTTACATTCTGGTTAAGACTGTGATGTACTGTAGCCACAAAGCCTTCAGTTCATCTGAAGATCCAAATACCAGCTTAAAGCTCAGCCAATCATCTTCTAGGTTCTTCTTCTTGGCTCCTCCCTTCTTTTACTGTGTCTGGTTTTACCTGTGTCACATGCATTGTCACTAATGAATAATTAGTCCTCTTTGATGAAAGTAGTCCTGACTGAACATCTAATGAGAAAAACTCCCCTTTCAACTGCAGCTCGTGGCTTGGGTCTCCAAACACCCACCAGTAAGTGGGATGCTGGGAATCCAGCCTCCAACCTGTCCACCGTGGCCATCCTGCCTGTGTCTGACGAGGTTCCCCTCACTGCCTTCACTCTGGAGCTTCAGCATGCACTCAGCGGCATTGGTGCGCGCACACACTCTACACACACATGCTACACACATGCAGAGCTGATTCTCCTTGTACAGTTTACATTAGGGTGACCATACATACGTCCTCTTTAACTCGGACATGTCCTCTTTTTGGGGGGGCTGTCCAGGCTGTTTGGGCTTGTCCAGCTTTGTCCAGGGAAGTTTATAAAATCTGTCAAATGTCAGCAGTTTTGTATGAGAGTTTCGGGTTTGTGCTACGTGGACTTACTGAATTAGAAGCGCGTAAAAGACACGACCCGAAAAACTCTTAAAATTAACTTTGTGCAACTCTGTGACTCCGCCCCCACGTAGTCGTGTCCTCTTTTTGGGAAGTCAGAATATGGCCACCCTAGTTTACATGAATAATAATGATTGACAATGAGACAGAAAATCATTTATTTACATTTACCATGCTTATGTGTGTTAATGAATCTCCATGAAGAAACAGAGATTTTAGTATACTGTAGGTGTTCTATTTCTCCTCAACCAAAGTGGGCAGAATCGATCGCAGATGTTTAAATGTTAATGTGACTTGGATAGAAAGACAGAAGTTCTTCTAATAAAATACATACGGTGCTTTTCATTTTATGAGTACTCTGTAAAACTCACATCCAGAAAAGCTTCTAAGTACCTAAACTGGTTTATCAGTTTAACAGGATGATTATGGATTAGCATGGGTAGTAATGGCCTTTAATGTGGAGATGTGCTATAGAAACTACACCCTGATGCACTGTTTGTGTGCACATCATAATTTGCAGTGTCAGGTGTCCTATATTTACATTTCGTTTCATTGCTCTGTTTACCAAAGGCCCTACATTGCTCCTGACCAGTGACACCATCAAACAGCGACTTGGCTCTGCGGCTCTGGACAGGTAACTATTTCATTGTGTGATTATACAGGACAAAATAGAAAAAGGCTGCTTTGGACAGACCATAAATAAGTTGTCCGATATGTGTCCCTGATCATCTTTCAAAGTGTCCATGAGTACCGTCTGTCCAGTTGGCTCGGGCAGCAGGAAGACATCCATCGAATCGTCCTTTACCAGTCCGACTCCACCCTCACACCCTGGACACAGCGCTGTATCCGCCAGGCAGACTGCATCATTATCGTAGGACTGGGTGAGCAGGAGCCGACTGTGGGTGAGGTCAGTGTAAACAGACTCGAAGCTTTTAAGCTACTGGAGGTTTCCTTCAGCAGAAAGCACACAGAAGGTTCAACAGGCGAGCCAGAAGAGCCATTAAATGAATGCCTCTGTTTTTCTATGAATTTTGTGATTTGAAGTATATGTGGAAGTACACATAAGCCTTATGTTTAAATGTCTAAAATCTGTCGGGACAATTTTCAGATTGAAGTCATTAAAGTATTTATGAAGACAACATAAATAAAAGTGAGACTTGATAACAAGAACAAGGAAGATTTACCACATTGAATATCCAAGGAAGGGTTTTAAAATACTAATAAGTAAGTAAGCAAGTTTATTTAAAGCTTTTAGAGTAGGAAGTTATCCAAATATGATATTGTCAAAACTATCCATATGGCTCCTAAGTATACTGTATTACTGTAACTAATTGAAAATCACGTTTTGATTCCTCAGCAGCCAAGCCTAAGTTGTTCATTTTACACTTTCTGCATAATGTTGCAACAGTAACAGCAAAAAACATCCTTTGAAAGAGAGAGGGAGTAAGTGAGAGGGTGAGAGAGAGCAGATGAATGAGGGAGTTCAGAGAAGCATGCCATTGAACACAGAGGGGGAGGGGAAAAAAAGAAAAGTTCTCTTGGACATCTATCTTGTTGTAACCCAGTTTCCTAGGGAAGTGCATGAACAACATTTTAGACCGTGGTCTTCAAAGAAAGCTGCTGTCTGAACAGGAACAGCCCCAACATGTGCTGAGTGTGCACCCTATGCCCTCATTTGTGGGAACTGATTTGTAATCTGTGCACATAGTTTGCAAACCTTGGCTCATTATATTCCTAACCTGGTACCTGGAGGACTCCCTCGCACTTGCAGCAGTCAGTGGGTAGTTGATCCTTCCCCTTTTCCCCTTCAGCTGGAGCGGATGTTGGAGGGCAGTGCAGTTCGTGCTCAGAAGCAGCTGGTCTTGCTGCACAAAGAAGACGGCCCACCCCCCAAAGGGACGGCTGAGTGGCTGAACATGCGGAGCTGGATCTCCAGACACCATCACCTGTCCTGTCCCCGCAGAGTCTTCTCCAGGAGGAGTTTACCTAAACTGGTACTCAACTTCCACACAACACAGCTATTAATCTGGCTTTTTTAATCTGGAGGTTTCAGCCTGGAAAACAGGTTAATTTTTTTAATCTATGTTGTCTGTTGTTTTCAGAGAGAGCTGTATCAGCGTGTGTTTGAAAAATGTCCAGACCGTCACTCTGACTTCTCTCGTCTGGCCAGGATCCTGACAGGAAACAGCATTGCTCTTGTGCTTGGTGGAGGCGGTGCCAGGTAAAACACACTGGGTACACTAGCATAGTTTGACTTTACTCAAAAGAGGAATCATAAACTTAACTAACAATAATAACTTTATTTGTATAGCACTTGTATAGCACAAATCTCTCAATAGCACAGAAAAAGTCAGGAAATTTCAACAAGATGTAGAATTGGATATAGAAGCTTTTGCTATTAAAGGAGGTTTTTTATTGTTTAATTAAGTATGTCTTTTGAGGTAAAATCTACATAACATTATCATTGCAAAGCTTTACATCAACTGTTGAGATTTTTTATTGTCTACAGAATTACTTCCAACTATTTGCAACCATCACCTTTGTAAAGTGATAATGCTTTGTGAGAGCACATAAGATCATTTTTTATTTTATTTTTATTTTACTTCAATAAAAAATAAAAATGTATCATAAAAAGTATTATTTATTATAGTTTGTTTTGTATTATTATTATTATTCCAGCACGGAAATTTTTTTATTTAAAAAAAAAAAAAAAAAATGTAAGAAAAGATAAATTTGAATTTGCAGCAAATTAGTGCAAAGTGGCGGAGCATGACAAGATAAATAAATGTGTAGAAGAGTGTAAACTTCATCTCATTTGGAATTGTTCTAGTCACAGTACAAACAGGAGACATTAGGTAATGTAATTCCTGAGATGTTTGTATTTCAGACACTGATCTTTGATGTTTTCACTCTGATTGATCTGTCTCTTTTCCTCACTGCTCTGGCTTCTCCTGGAGCTCAGATAAGGTAGGGACAGCATTTCTCTCAGCTGTGACTGGAGACTCCTGTGAGACGTGTGTCGGCAGCAGATATGGTGTGCTAGCTGCCACTGTTTAGCTCTTAGCTCCCATTATTTTCAATGTGTGTCTCACCTGTCTGTGCCCAAAAAATATTGTGTATCCACTTGTCATTTGGACCACAAGTATGTGAAAGAATAAAAAAGGACCAACATTAGAAATAATAGAGACTCTGATTATAGAAGAGAACGATAACCCAGTTAACGTGTTATTAAGGTGTAAATTTGATGTCATGCAATATTTGCAATGTTAGTTGATGAAATCTGATACTTTTCCAGGGGTTGCTCACAGGTAGGGATCCTGCGGGCGCTGAATGAGGCAGGAATCCCTATCGACTTGGTGGGCGGCACATCCATCGGTTCCTTTATGGGAGCACTGTATGCAGAGGAGAAGAGCAACAGTCGGATGAGGGTCCGGGCTCGAGAGTGGGCCATGGTATGTAGATATTGTACACACAGTACATAGTATATATATATTCAAGATACATGTTATCTGAAGTGTCCACAGAGCTTCATTTTGGTGGATTTAGGTTGTTCTTTTCCTCACATGTTTCTGAATGTTTACCGTAGCATCATGGGCCTTTAAGTAACACAATTTCAATCCTCTGTATGTGTTACACATAATACAGAATTGACAATAAAGCTGCCTTAAACCTTGAACCTTCTCCTTTCTCAGGATATGACGTCTTTCTTCAAGAAGATCCTCGATCTGACTTACCCTGTGACATCCATGTTTTCTGGAGCTTCCTTCAACTCGGGCATTAGCTCTGTCTTCAGGGGTAAACAGATTGAGGTGAGTTGAGAGGGGTTTTAGATGATTACTACAAGTGTCATGACTTAGAAGTGATATCTCTACATTTATCAAACATTTTCCATGTATTCATACAAAATGACTAAAGACGCTGAGATTTTTGATAAATAATGACCTTGTGAGATTTTCTCTTTCAGTAATGACAGGGGATTTTTTCTTTTACCAGGACCTGTGGCTGCCGTACTTCAACATCACCACAGACATCACAGCTTCCTCCATGAGAGTTCACACTGACGGTCCGTCCAGCTTTTCTGTGTCTATATTTCTATAAATAATAAACAACAATAAACCATATTATTTATATTCTGTACATATTCTGTACATTCATGTACATATCTCTTTCTTTTTTCTTTACTTAACTCTAAGTTTCCTTATCCTTTATTTCTCTTTCTGTGTCTGTATGCTGCTGTAAATTTGGAATTTCCCCCTGTGGGACTATTACAGGAACATCTCATTTTATTTTTACGTTGAAGAAGCTTTTTACTTTACCGTAAAAAAATTAGACATGCAGGACTTTGCATGTCTCATATTGTGCATATTTGCTTTAACAGAAGGCTAAGAAGAATACAGTAAATTTTTTGGTGTCATAGCCATGAAGAAGAAAAAAATTGGCAAAGATGCCTTTCAGTGTTGGATAACCAGACTCAGCAGCACTGCAGTCCTTACCGGGACCTATTTGCTTCACATTTTAAGTTTTGTGAGAAGGTTTTACCCTCTGTGATTTTGCCATATTCTTAGCCATACTTCCAGTTATTTCAGATTATTTCAAAATTGTACATTGTGAGAAGTAACATCATTTGAAAAGAGTATGTTTATTTTATGGAGTCACATCAAGCTAAAGTGCTTGATGACTATTTTGTTCCTAGAAGAATAACTCTGTTAAAATATAACTTCAAACTTTTTAAATCTAGTGCATGTGATTTAATGCTGAAAAAACAGGAATTGTGTTCTACTACCAAGTTCTCCTTCCATTTTGAGCTCTGTTATGTGAAGTAAATCTGGTCCTAAGTCAGCAATCTTCACTTTTATGTCCATCCGTTGTACTCGTCTTCTCCTTTCAGGTTCTTTGTGGCGATATGTACGGGCCAGCATGTCACTCTCTGGCTATCTGCCACCTTTGTGTGATCCCAAAGATGGACACTTGCTCATGGATGGAGGATACATCAATAACCTCCCTGGTGAGAGACCTCTTAGCTTTGAATGTCAAGATCCAAGTCTTTAACTGACTCCATACACACAATCTTATTTGAGTATCATTGCCAGACTCTTATATCCTCACATACCACACCCATGCAAATAACTTTTATCAGATTTCTTACAGGGCCTTTTGGGACCTGAAAAGGCTTATATGAACTTCACAAACCCCACACTGACAGTGCCTAAGCGCCCAAATTTTTTTTTTTTATGTTTAGAGCTGGTGGTTTCACTTTTGAGCTCACCTAAAAACTTTTTTCCAGATTATTATGAGTATTATGAGTATTTTTCTGTAACAGTACAAACTTAACTTCATCAAAAAACATTCAGAGCTCAAAATAAAGACATCCACTTTCCACACTCAAGATTGACCAGGAAATCAACTCAAAAAAATATTAATTTGAATGCTATTTCTGATTTTTGACTTTTACAGAATCGTTTGTAAAAGTGGTCATCTGAGCCATAAAAGCCAGAATGAATGTGTTGTCTCTCATTTTCATTTCCAGCTGACGTGGCTCGCTCCATGGGGGCAAAGGTTGTGATCGCCATTGACGTTGGAAGTCGGGATGAAACCAACCTGACAAACTACGGGGACTCCCTGAATGGCTGGTGGCTCCTATGGAAACGCTTCAATCCTCTGGCAGAGAAAGTGAAGGCAAGCTTTCTGTTGGCCTCTGATGATGATATTGTGAATATTGAGCAAAACTGATGTGAAAACGATGAGAAAATCAGATAATACCATATATGCCAAGTTTACAGAAAATGATGGTGGCTGGTCTAGAATCCTTAAATCTCAGGCAATTTAATAATATTAAGCGTAAACTTATTCTGCTGACCAGGTCCTGAACATGGCGGAGATCCAAACCCGGCTTGCTTATGTCTGCTGTGTGCGGCAGCTGGAACTGGTCAGAGACAGTGAATACTGCGAGTACATCCGGCCGCCCATCGATCACTACGGCACTCTAGAGTTTGGCAAGTTTGACGAGATTGCTGTAAGTTTCCTCTTTATGGAGCTCATCTCTCCTCTGAAGGGGTTGGATGTTCCTTTAATTCTTCTTCACTGTGGCTGCAGGAGCTGGGATACCAGCACGGAAAGACAGTGTTTGATGTGTGGCAGCGCAGCGGCGTGGTGGACAGCATGCTCAAGGACAGACATCAGGAGGAGTTCCACAAGACCAAAACTGGCCACGTGAGTATGAACTACAGACATCACAGGTAGAGTGTACGTTTAAAGCAGTAACTGTTTTTCTTTTTTGTGTGTGTTAGTTTTTCAGTATTTTAAATCTGATTGATATGGATTTAATTTTCATAATGTTTAGAAATATCAAAATAACCATATCTATTTCGTTACTGCACGAGATGCTTCACTGCCACACTGTTACTATGTTAGTGTGATTAGATGATAAGACATAAAATAATCTTAATTATAGGCACAAATCAGAGCTCATAGGGAATGTGAATAAAGTGAAACTGCAATCGATTTAAGTCCTGATTGGTATTATTCACTTTTGGTCTTTCAGGTGGTCACCTGTCCAAATGCCTCCTTCACTGACCTGGCAGAGATAGTGTCCAGAATTGAACCTGTTAAGAATGCTGTGGTGGATGGTGAGTAACCAGTGAAGGTGACAATGCAAATCAATTTATCCCCACACTGTATAATTCTTACATTTGGGGCCTGAAGTCAGTTCTCTGTACGGTTAAGTTTACCCAAGCTTTAAAATGACCCTTTAGTGTTGATCATAACAAAAGTTTAATAACAGTCATAAAAAGAAGATTTTTTTTCTTGCTGTTATAAATTATGCTACACACCATAAAGATTGATATGCTGGACAGATTTCTGTGACTATATGCTAATGAAGAGATGTGAGATGGAGGGGGCTGCACATGGAGAAATGCCCTAAGCTGTTGAGGGTATAGTACCTTACTAAAGGGCACAGGTATCAAAGGAATTAGCACCTCTCCTGCTATTGGCCCAATTTTCATATTTTAGTTTGTACTGGGACTAAAAACAGCAACCCTAAAGGGCTCAGGCAACCTACCAGTGAGCCACTGCTGACTCCTAAAACAAAGCTTTCTCTGCAGTGCTTTAAATTTTGAAATTACTTAAATGATAAGATGGTTGAGTTATAAAATATGATTAAAACATATCAAAAGTAATCTAGAAAAATCAAGAAGTAACCAAATCATAGGGGTCATGAATGTCTATGAAGAGATTTCATCCTCATATTCATATGAGCTAGCATTGACAGACGATATTTGAAAGTATTAGGTATTTCACAGTAGGGCTGAGCAACAAACCGAAAATTTACCCATACCGAAATTTACAACAATAACCAACGTCATTTTGCCCATGTCAATATACTATGTGTCAAAAAAATAGATAAAAGAAAGTTGGTTTTGGATGTGTGTAGGTAGGCTATGGTCTCATGTCTCTTTAAGATGTTGTCATATGTCTGAAACATGACTCCATCTCATCCAGTCAAAAACAAAGAGGGAGACAGGTGAGTAGATGGAGGACGGTTCAAAAGTTCTAGCAGCTCAAGTTAATGTGGGAGGGGGTGAGCAGCTTGTTGAGTGGTTATCGTCCATTTATCGTTATCAAGATGAACTGTTCAATATATCCTGATATTGATTTGAGGTCATATCACCCAGCCCTATTTCACTGTGTCTTCTAAAAAAAAGGCATAATTCATCCTATGTCTTTAAAAAAAGCTACACGACCAACAGTTGTAATTGGACAACTATTAAAAAATTTAAAATAATTTAAATAATTAATCACAATATTGACAATAATAAGTACAAAAAGCAAAACTCATGTTGTCTCTTCTTTTGTCCCTGCAGAGGAACTTTCTGATGAGTACCAGACAGACTACGATGAAGAGGCCGTAGAAAGCGCTCTGTCTGATTTTGAGGCGTTCAACGCTGGCAGTGAATACACCGAGGGAGAGGAGACAGCAGATACAGCAGAAACAGTATGTATTTAAACACAACAAATGCTTATATGAACCAACACCACTATATACAATGACGCATCTGGTTAAAGTAATCAGATCGTACTGATGACTTTCCATTTCTCTGGGTTTGTATAGGATGAAGAAATTCAAGTCAGACCTCGCCGTAGGCCTTATAACTCATCGGAAAGCTCTCAGCAATGACAGCCATGATCTGTCAGGGCTACTGACTGTGTCCACGGTGCACATTTCAATGAAGTTCAGCTGGTGATGCTGAACAATAAATGCATTACGAACATTCAGTCAAGAAGGACGCTCAGTGTTTGCCTTAAAGACCTACAACTGTGAATGAAGTCAGTGATTTGTAGGTTTAAACTTTGTAGAGGTGTGAAGAGCTCCATTGTGTCTTATGGTTTCCTGCCTTTTTCAGTATGTTTTAGTGGTTTGGACAATTCAGCAACACTATAACCTTTTGATAGTTGTGTTTTCCAAACAGGGAAAATCTATGAATTCACTCTGGCAAACATGAGGAATCATTGTATAGAATAACAAGAATACAGCAGAAGGTGCTGTATTGCTCGTTTAACATGAGTAGAAATTGTTGTCTTAGCTGAGCAATGGAAAAACAGGGAAATGTGTGAAATTTGATTCTTGCTCAAGAGTAGCACACAACATAAAAATGCAGAACAACCCTTTAAAATAATCTTTTATTCTATGCAGGGCCATTTTATGACACAGGTCTATGCTTAGCGGCCTCCTACCATCATAAACCGAGATACACACGGAATTTCTGCACATTTTATTATTATTATGTAAGATAGCATAATATACAGAATACCACTACTCAAAAAAGATAAAGGGAACTATTTAATTTGATTTAATTGTTTTTATTACTTTAAAAAAGACATGACTGAAATAACACTGTGCATGACTGTGATTGTAAGGGACTTTCCCTTTGTGGGACTCATAAAGGAGTATCTTATCTTATCTTTCAAGAAAATTGTCCACCATTTTTCTAAACACTAAACTGACTGGTCTCCTACCTACATTTTCAAACAGAATTTAGCTGTTTGGTCCTTTTGTCTTTAATGTGATTTACTTGTGCCCTAAATGAAGTACATCTAAAGTATTACTGACCCTCAAATGGGAGTTTTATGACCTACCTAAGAACAAACTCGTTCCACGTCCTCCGTGGTTCAAGCTGTTTGAATTTGTTGAACAACAAAGATAATGAGGTCATTCATAACAGTGTATTGTTAATTTCACATACGTCAAAGTGCCTGCTATTCAGTATTTGTAATAACCAACTCAATACTACAAGATATAATGCATCTAATTAAAAAAATAACCTTGACTTTTTTATTTTACTTACGCTAAGAAACCTCAACTAACAGTTAATCAGTGTTTTACTGACCATGACTGGACTTCCTTCAAAATTTTGCTGTTGTGCCATTAAATCTGAGTTTACCACAGACTCATCCTTCACCTTTCAAATTTCACTTTTATACTGTTCAATAGAGTTCTAACATTTCACATCCTCACCTAGTGCCAAATTTTTTTTTCATCACAAAAACTCACCTGAAGTTTTCTGAAGAACTGTGAGGATCTAGACCTATAGGGCTACCTGAAAATGGTAATACACTAAAACCAGAACCTGCATTTTGATGCAATCCGATGCCTTTTTTAGCTGCTTTTTGTTCTGTTTTGTGGTTACAGAGCTCCTGTGGTATTGTTTTGTAGTGTTGTATTGTTTTAATGTCTGAAAGGGAGAAAGTGTTATAATTTTAAGTGTTTTGATTTTCATACGTTGTTTTTGAATGTTGAGTGATTCTGATGTAAACAATTTTGTGATATTGGGAAAAGCCACTATGTGTGAAAATGTTCTTCGAGATGCTGCATTTGAAAGTGAAACCCTTGTCTGTTTTCTGACCTATTACGTATTAAATAGTTTAATAATATAGAGTAATTATAAATATTTCATTCTGAATTTAAGTGAACCAACGGTTATATGCACTATTTCATGGAAATGTTTAGTATTTTTTCTATAAGTTGTACTGAAGGGAAAGCCACACTTGTGGAAATCTGAATGGAAAAAAAAAATTGCTTTAGTTTAATTTTAGGCGGATTGTCAAATGGAGATAAAACTGTTTGTTGCAATGTTGAAATAAACTTCTCTCATTCTGTGAGTCTGGGTGTCAAGGGTCAAACGTATAAATGTGCCATGTGGAATCTCATGTTTTTCATGTTGTATTTGCAGTTGTTATAAATAGCTAACATTATTTGCCCAAGTGTGAGTTTTACATTTTGTCTCTGATATGTCATATTAATCTTGAACCATACAATAGACTGTGTCAAACAAGTGCCACTTCAATATTACAAAAAATTACAGGAAAAAATAATGAGTGGGTTTTGTAAAACATGATTCAGATCATTGAAAAATGGATGTTTATTTAGAACAAGTTGTTCAAATCAAAATAAAACCTCCATCTCAAACATACACTAAAAAGAAGTGTATGAGGAAGATTATAAATCTTCAAGTTTCAGTGATAAGCTGCTGGATATAAGGTTAGACAAGGATGATCAATCAAAGAAGGCTTTTAATTAATCTACAGCAATGACAAAAGAATGTCAAGAATCAATAAATCAATCAAAAAACAATCTGAGGTTTGTGATTGAGCTGAGGTATTAAAATTAACAATATTGATGCAACAAATATTCCTCATAATGTTTATATTTCACTGACAAAACAAGAAGTTGTAAATGACCAAACAAGGAATATAATCCATGGAGGTCAAGTCTAATACAAGCGTAAGGAAGAACTTGAAATAAGTCATGTACTGCAGTGATAAGAGGCAAGACTGAGGGCTGTTGGGCTAAACTTTTGATTTTCTCTCAAGACTGCAGCCTCAGCTAGAAAAAGACTCCTGGATCCAAATGAACTGACCAGCGAGCTGTCTAAGCGTCCTACAGTGATGGAAAAAGAGGATTTTGTAGTACTGTAAGTTCTAAGTAAATGTTTTCTTATAGTCCTGTCTTGTATCTACTATTTTTTTCCAAATTAGTCCTGTTAGCAGCCTTCTGAAGACAGCTGATTATTGTCTTCTGGACAACACTTTCAATTCAGCACTGAACTAAAACACAAGATATACAGTATTCCCTCTGTTTGAACAGTAATTTACTCTAATCAATCCGACCACACAATACATGTTCTATTCTTTTCATAATGTTAAAGCTGTGTGCCTTAATTCTCAAACTAAAATAGAAAAATACAAGAGACGGTACTTTGGCAGGTTTGTGACTGGTTGAAAAATATTTGTTGGAACTCCTTCTACTCTGTCATCTGCTGCTCTTTTACTTCCAGCTACTGATTGTCACGCTTGACTGGGTGTGGTTTCTATGCTCAACAAATGTTGAGTGTTCAGTCAGCAGTGGAGCCCTTCAGTGGTTTTTGTGCGGAACACTAATCTGTGGCAGTGTTCCCACTTTAATATATATTTATGTTCTGAATGAATCTTACTTTTTAGAATAAAGCCTCCAAACAAAGCTTTTATGAGAATTGAGTTTTATTATTTTTGTTAAAGAAAAAACGTTTTCACATACTCCTGTTTAATAGCCATGTTCCCTTGTAGACAATGTATACTTTTGGTGCAGAATGGGCTTTGTTTTACTCAAAGACTCTGTGGCTTACTTATTTATTTTTACACACTGTATGTATGCATGATAACTTTACAAAAAATGTATCAGCTTTAATTATATCGAGTTAAAATAAGCATAGAAGTGTGAAGATAACAATCAGCTCGGTGTCTTTCATGCTGCAGCACTGATCCACCTGTCAGTCTCATGATCTGTTATCCTCACTTGTGAACAACACTCTGAAATGATTTAACTCCCTCAGTCAGTCCAAGAAAAGTTCACCACTGCAACCTTGTGATACCTTGTGGTGACATTTTACAGATTTTCAGAATATTATCCTTTCAAATTGATGTGTCATTGAGACACTGTATTTCCAGGATGTAGTCTCTGTCAGCTTCTGAAGACACTTTCAGAGAGCTTTGTTTCAATACAGGTGTCGTCCACATGCATCTTGTTTTTGCTGCTGTTATTTCAGTAAACTACCCTCCCACCGCGCTTTCTAACTTTGGCTTTCCGTGTTGCTAAACTTCATAAAGAGGAAGTGAGAAGGAGGTGCTGTAAGCCTCATGAAGTGATGCACACTCTGCAGAACTATCAGAAGAGGAAGTGCAAGCTACAGCAAAGTTCACTGAGCAGAAGACTCAAAAAACAAGACAGGACGGTCGACTAACACTGCTGAAAAGGTAAGGGCTAGACTGAATTTTACATCCCTGGAGTTTCTGCTTAGATTTTCAACTTTTACACGATTTTCAAAAATGTTTTTTCTGCTTTGTTTTTTGTCACACAGAGGAACTTCCATTGTGTATTTAGAAAAGTATTGTAAAATGTGGGAAACAAACACATAGTATTTTTTTGTTGATAAAATAAATCCAAAATTGTTGATCATACAAGTTAAACTCACAGCTATGTAAAAGCTACCCTATGTTGAAATACCAAGTACGTCAGCTGCAGTTTATTGTAATTTATGTCTAAAAAACAAAAACAAAAAAATTAAATGTATTATAACAATGTTTTTTTTTTTTTAATTCAATATTTTAACAGCTAAAAACAGTCAGTATCAACAGATTCACAACTGACAGATACAGTCAATGTTTCAAAAATGTAAGGTCTCATGATAGCTATGAGGGAAACATCATTTAAAGTATTTCTTTTCAATTTTCTACACCTTATTTTGAGATAAATTTCTAAAGAAGTAAGTTAAACCCCAGCAATGCCATTATCTGTTGAAACTATAATGTGTTTTCATCATGTCTAATTAGTTTGAAATTCACCGAAATGCACCCTTTACTGGTAAAGAGCAAAGAAACAGGAAGTGAGATGTGTCAGTCTTTCCTCTTTGCAGTGTGATCATGAGAGCTATAGAAGTGTGAAGTCCCCTCCAAACTCACGCACACACACATGCACACATGCACACACACATTCACTCTCTTATAACACGTTCTTTTTCTTTTGAACCTTTTGAACTACAGCCAAATCTACCCTCACCCTCATCTTGACCCAAGGATAACCTGGTCTTACCTTAAATCAAGTCTTATAGAAAAATTAATTTGACGACTTCTTTTCTATCTCTGAAAGTTAGGTGATACCTTTATTTATACCAGGTGATAGAAATTTTAACAAGTCTAACTGTTACTCTTCACAGGTTAAGATAATCATATTTATATTTCTGATCTGGGTGTTAAAAGACAGTGATAATTTACAAACAGGTATGACTTCTTACAGCACTTTGCACTCATTTTAGATAAATTTGAGTACGTGTTCACATATTTCATATCTATTTCAAAATTGTACCTCAATAAAAATACCTACTGCACGTAATTCATTAACTAGAATTTACTTTTTTAAGATCTAAAATTTAATGTAAACATGTTTCTAGAAAATAGATACAAATATGTTTGTCATCATTTAATAAATTTTATACGTCTTGCAGTTGTTGAAATGCAGTTACAACAGATGCAAATCTTATAATTGCAGTTTCATTAGTTATTGTGGTTACTCTTTACAGCAAGGGTACAAATCTAATATTTAACTGATGTTTGAGTCATGTGTGAGTCATGATCATTAAATGCAATGATGTAAAGTGAATGAGCATTTCCTGTTCGTTCTTCGTGTTACCTCATGATGATGTGACTTTAACATTACACAATTAGTTCTCTGTTAATTCACAGTTTCTTCAGACATGAGATATTATGGACCAAATTAGCTGGACACCCAAGTTTGTTTGTATAGTGAGCATGTGTTTTCTTATCCCCTCTGTTTAAACATAACAATTGTTTCCACTGTTCATGTTTCAACTCATAAATTTACAATATAAATGAAAAAAGAATGTTTTTAATTTCTCAATATTAGTGACATAAGTATAATAGTTGTAACTGTATCATTAATATCTCTATTGTGCTATTGATAATGATAATAAACTAATTCATGTAGCACTTTTGAATATGAAAAACAGCTTTATGTGCCTTACAATACGAAACTGATTGCAATTTTAAGAAAAAAAGAAACACAACAAACAATTATTGACAAAATTCACTAAAAATAATGATGCAGTTAGAGCCACAACACAACTAAAAATAACTAATAATTTATACATCAAAATGTTAGTTGATGACACATTCTTTATTTACTCACATAAATAACCATGACGTATGGCCTAAACTCCAGTTCAAGGGGTGTTGAATAAATGTACTGAATGTAATACAAGATCTACAATGGATATCTACAACAACAATACATTGATTGTTCAGCTGAAAATATCAATAAATAAATTTGCTACTCATCAACATTAGATCATGGGTTTGTTGAATCAGAACCATTGTGTTAAAACTGTGCACTTGGACTCTATATATTTTTTTTATGTTGATAATTTAAAAATTACCTCCCAGTTCAGCTGCATGTTAACAACAACTATTTTTATTTGTAAGGAATGAAATTCTCATTTAAAGTCTGAATGTTTAACAATGCAGAAGTAATTACACACATTTTATTAAACTTTTCAAACCTGTGAAATGGATGGCCTGACATTTTTTTAAACCAATCAAAATAAATTGTTAGTATCCACAATACATGATACTGCCATAGCTGAGGTGAAGTACGGTGGCTCTGAAGGTCAATTTTGCTCAAAGATTTCATGATTTCATTTTACAAAAACCTATAAACATTTTATAAAATACAAAAAAAATAAATAAATAAAGATTTCCCAAAAATAAAGTATGCCCTGGACATAAAAACGTTTCATAGAACTCAAAAATATGTCATGAAAAGAAAAAAATATCTTTTTAGAAATTTTATAGACAGTATAGATTTATCAGTGTTATTTACATTGTGAAATACTTTTGCTTTGTGAAATGTCTGGGGGTTTTATTGAATATATTTGTAGTTTGTGAATGTATTTGAGGAAATGGTTTTGGCATTCAGTGGATTTATCTATTTATTTTGCATCATGACATGCTCTTCATGTTGACTTTTAGGGACACCATACAAAAAAGATTACTACAACTTAAGTCTGATTATTGTGGACAAACACCGCAGCAGTGAGCTGATTATGAGTGACAGTTCTCATTTGGGTTAATTTTTTCACTTAATCAGAGTTAGGTGATATGATTATCATATTTGACCTGCTCTCTTTTTCAGATTTGAACAGAGGAGTTGAAGATGGCTCAGCGCTGCCTTAAGTGTTTAAAGTACACCATGTGTCTTGCCAACTTCCTTTGTTTTGTGAGTTTTATATCTCTTGAATCCAAATTTTTATGCAGCATTCAGTACATTATACACTCAGGTTTTTTGTTATAACCTTAGCACTGGAATCTCATGATAGATGAGGTGCAGGTTGCCTGTTTTTGACTGTAGTTTTCCCTATCAGCTATGTGGTGTGGCCGTGCTGTGCTTTGGTGTGTACATGATGGTGACCATCAAGACGCCACTCACCCCGACCTTGGCCAAATTCAACTTAGCCAACATGCTCCTGATAAGCGGCATCGTCATCACGTGTGTGTCCTTCCTGGGATTCCTGGGTGCCCTGAAGGAGAACCGCTGTCTGCTCTTGACGGTATGATACACATACGTGCTGTGTTTGAATTTGTAATTAATCAAGAGTGTCTATTAACAACCCAGAATGGAAGCACAGACAAACAGTGGCTCAATCAGGTGAAAAAGAAAACGATTAACTGATTCTCTATCTTATATTTTAAAGTGTCATTTAAGTGTCATCCATATTTCAATATTGGGACATTAAAGGAAAAAATAAAAAGATAAAGTTCAATTTAAAAAAACAAGAAGGTAAGAAATGGGGCAAGAATGGGGAAGTAAGTGTTTACTTAGTCAAATCACAAAGTATGTTTTCACTCCTTTTTAAGGGGTTTATTTTTCCAAAAGTCAGAGTCTTGGCTTATGTACTTTTATGTGTAAGGTACCTACTTACCAAGATAACAAAGTTCCAGTATCCCAAAACAACCCTAACCCTCATTTAAAACTTTGTATTTTGCCAGTACTATCGGTGGCCATACTAACCCATGAAAATTATTTCACGCAAGTGTTTCTTTAGTACCTTAAACTTTGGTATAGACTTATGACTTGACTGTTTTTGTCTCAAGGTTGGGGTCAAAGTATGAGGTGTAGCTAAAAGGTGTACCAAATACTAATGGTCAATACATGAGGACTCAGAGTTGCAAAACCAGACCCAACTATGAAACAAGGTCTATGATCCAATAAATGTGGTTTCCTTTGACGCGTGTCCAAGTCTATTCAGCTGTAATTTATGTGACATTTTCCACATTAACAGTTTTTCCTGATCCTGTTCTTGATGATGCTGGTAGAGCTGGCTGCCGCATGCTTGCTCCTTTTGTATGAAAATAAGGTAAGGTCACACTTCAACACCTCAAACTTCCTGTTCTGTTACTACGGACACAGATATACAACAGCCATAATCAATCAATTCACCCTTTTTTCAGATTGGCGAGTGGGTGAAGCAGGACCTTACTGCGGGCTTGGACAGGGTGAAGAATGGTCCAAGAAATTCAACAGACATGAGTGAATGGGATCTACTTCAGACACAAGTAGGTTTAACCTGCTAGCTAGCCACCCCACACACATAGCTATTGATTGTTTAACTTTTTTGTTGTTGTTGTTGTTAAAGCTTAAATGCTGTGGAGTCTTAAATGTGACAGACTGGGGAGACAGAGTGCCAAAATCCTGCTGCGCGGACAAATGTGACACCCCAAGGCCTTCCTACCACAAGGTAGACACACTAAACCTTAAGAAAAGTTTGGAGTAGGGCCTGTTTGACATGGTTCATAGGTCTAACATTAGAAGAATAATTTAAGGCTGAATCTGGACGTTGGGAGCATGTGATTTTCTTTTTTCTTTTTTTTGCAGGGCTGTGTGGAGGTGATGCAGAATTTCTTTGAGGAAAATTTCCTTTTCACTGGGATTTCTGTCATCGTGCTCTGTGTTATTGAGGTATGCTGATTACATTTACTGTGACTGTCCCCTTATTAAATTAAAGTGGTAAACTCCAATGTTAAACCCTGTTTAAAAAATTCAACAATAAAATAATAATTGAATATAGAAAATATCTTTTTTTTTTAATTTGCGAGAACAAAATGAATACATTTAAGAGAATTAAGAAGACTTGAAAAAAAGGTGTAAAATTATGATAAAAAGTGAATGAATGAATGAATGAATGAATGGTTTTATTTTTGGTCACAAATAACAACAAATGAGAAACAAACAGAATTATAAACTTGACCAAAAAAGGATTAGGCGGAAGCACAATGCTTATAGTTGCCTATCCTTTACAATCCTTATAACATCATTTTAATATTTAAGACAGTTGATAATGTTGAAATAAGATAAAAAAAAAAGAAAGACACTTTAATATTAAAAAGAAAACATTAAAATAATATGTTGCACTACGAAAGGAAAAAAAAAAAGTCATAAAGAATGAAAGAAAATGTCTTACTCAAAGCTGTATGTACTCCTGAATTATTTTGCTTTTTAATGCTTTTTTAAATATTACCTGAGAGTTACACAATTTTAGCCTGTGGTTTGCCTGCATGATATCTTTGGGAGGAATATTAGAAGAGTATCAACCTGCCTAAACTAAAACGGAAAATTTGGTGCATCTTGTTAACTCCTTGAATAAAAGCTACATATTTATATTTATATACATACTAAAATCCCAGCATTTTAGCCCTTCAGCACTACATTGACATAACTATCAGGTTCCTGAATCTACTTCAGCAACTGCTGTTCATCCTCAGGTGTTCAGTCTGGCTTTACACAACAATCCATGGTCTCCATTTAGTGCGAGATGTTGTGTTAACCTGGACAGAACAACTCCAACCTGTAGTTAACTCTGGCTCATACAATTAAAATACAACTTAATAAAATGTCAATTTAAAGCTCCTGTGAGGAACTTTAGGTTTTTGTCACTTTCGGCGCCCCCTGTGACCACAGTAGTCTTTGCTTACCCTATTTTCTATATGCTCAAGTGGTGTCATTTCACACACACACACATACAAAAAAAACAAAAAACAAACCTTATCATTCAGAATTTCTAAAGTCTCAAGACTGGGGGATTGCTTTGGGCAGAAACGTCCTGCCCAGACTCCATCAGCAGTGATCGAATTTAATTTAATTCCTCTATGAACAAATAGATCCAGCCTGCATAATGATGTTGTGAAACATTAGACACAGTATTTTCAAGTAAATCAAAAGTAGATGACTTTTGAAAGAGAAACCAGTGACAACATCCTCTTTGCAGACATGTCTGAAGGGCCAGTTTCACTAATTTCTTATCTAATTGTTGTTTCAAAAGGCTATATCATAGTCAGACAGCAGCTAATTGGTCCTGAGATCAGGTCAGCATTAATCTACTGCCCCCTCAGAAAATAAAAATAAAAATAAAAAAAGGAAAAATAAAACAGCTTATACGTCTTACCTATTCTGTTTGTCTTCAAATGTTTTCAACCATATCACTTTTAAATATTGTCTCTTGCATACTAGGACAGATAAAGTATGTTTTGTCATTTTTACATTCCTACCTGCAAAAACTTTTCTCTTCTTTGACAAACTCCACACTATAATTTGTCTCATTTTACATTCGTTTTTTAATCTTGTTCACTGACAGGTCCTGGGAATGTGTTTTGCCATGACGCTCTTCTGCCACATCAGCAGATCTGGACTGGGCTATAAATTATAGAAAATACTCATTGGGTTAATGTCTGTCAGCTAAATGACATTGTAATTGTAATTTCTCCTCTGGCCTTTGTGTCCTGGCATTGTTGTATAGCTCTATCATGTAGAGAACCTTGTGTGTGAATAAGAGACGGAAGGCTGATTTAACATCAGTAAATGAGTATTTTCTGTAAATGGATGTATTAGAGAACGTTTTGTATTATCCTGTGATAAAATAATATTAACATTAGAAATGTATCAGACTGTCGTATTTAGCTTTTTCTTGTTATGAGCGATGAAGTTGTGTTTAATGCTATTCCACTGAAGCTGTGAGAAATTTACAGAAGCCCCAAGCTGACATGTATCCATATATTATATTTTCTAATTTTTAAAAGCATTTTCTACTTTCTTATTCTCTTAATGCATCGGGTCAGCTACAGATGCACAACTTCCCCAAAATACTTTTTAAAGTCCTTAAAATAAACCCTCTGAGTGTTTATGATGTCAACACTGTGTCCTCCATTTTGACTTGATGTTGTAGTCAAATGATGGGTGTTTCCTGTCTATAGCGTGCCGCTCACTGGTTTTTGGTGGGGCTATAACTCAAACCAATTCCTCTTTTGGCCATCTGTTTCGATCCTGCAACGAAACTGTCTGACAGTCATGTTTTTTTTATAACCATTAGTGCTCAATCGGTGAAGTGGTTAACCATATCTATGAATAAAATCTTCAAATGTTGAGTATTGCTTCTGTTCGTGCAGGCCCTAGAGTCAAGTTTAGCCCGCAGTACATCAGCCGAATAGGTATTCTTTTGAGACTGCTTGAGTCTTGCTGTTCTTTCTCAGAATCTCCATTTTATGCCGCATTTCATTTTACTTGTGCCGTATGAGTAAAAACAGATATCAGTTTTAAATTAATGTATTTTTTAACTTTAAAGGTTTTCTGAGCTACTTTAATCTAAATCTTGATTGGAAATGTTTGTATGGTCTTGTCCCTTCTCTGTTAAACGAATGTAGACGCTCGTGCACGCTGGCACTGGCCTCTACACAGCAATTGTTGCATGGCAGTGCATGATAGTTTTGTATTGTTCGCGAACGATTCGTTCAAAAGAACCGAATCCTTTAACAACCGAATCACTTCCCCAAGTGATTCGTTCGTTTCTCACTTCAATTGAGCTGTCAGCAGTGCAGATGCTATAGCACGCAGCATTGCAAGGCGAGCAGTCGGCGAATGAGGGATCACATGCACCAACGCCTGAATCACTTAGTAAAGGAATCATGCACTGAACTACACTCTCTGAAATCATTTTTGTAGGACAACACTAACTTTTAAATTTTTTTTACTGCTAAATTGCCACCACAACAACTTAGGACAACATGTAACAAGTAGTGCATTAAACCCGCAGTATCCTATCATGGCAGCGGTTTGCGAGGAAACGGTGCATGTTCAGTGTGAAAAGTTCAGTAAAGGAATCACTCACTGAGCCCAATTTCGGAGCAGACCTGATAAATAGCATTCCATAGGACAGTACACTTGAAACATCATGACTTACAAACAAGTTAATTTTTACTAACCTGTTTGCCAAAGCAACACAGCCAAACACTCTTTTCTCCCGGTCCCAGAAGCTATGAATTGAACTGAATCCTGAACTGTTCAGCTGTGTATCAATTCAGGTTTGAGTCTCAAGCTTCTCCCGCCGAGCACTGAATGATTCAGTGATTCGCTGAACGAATCTTTTGAACGAATCTTTTTAGTGAACTGATTCCAGTGATTCAGTACATCTTGAAGAAGTGCCATGCGCAAAACCTCATCCTGTTCTCACACCTAAAACATGGGCATCCACTTCAGTAGACTTTTTTTTACTTTTTGTATGGATTTGCGTTTATAACGGTCTGCATTTGTAACTGCATGTCCATGTTAGGTAAGGCAGTATGTAACAAAGGTCTTTGCATGTGTACAGAGGACTTGGGTGTGCATGAACTCACCACCTCAGGCTCTTTGGTCCATAAACACATCTGATGGTCTCAGGACAGATATCTACCACCAAATCTGACAGTTTAACATTTTTAGAAAATCTGCTGAGAAGAAAACAAGTCCGCAAATAACACATATGAATTTATTTATTTAAAGAATAAATCCTGCATCAATATTTTAAGACAAAAAGAAACTAAAAAAATACTAAGATTTCCTTTACACTTTAAAATAATTTTGTTCTTTTTGAAACCATCACACAAAAAATAGAAACAAGTACAATTTTTTTGTAATTAAAAAAAATGTAACTGTACACAGCAGAATATACCATTTATTGCAAACTGAACACCCCCTGACACCTTAGAAACTATAAACACAAGTATTGCAAGTCACCTAGAGATATGAAAGACAAAAAAAAGAAAGACTACACTGATACAGTTCTCTTCTCTTCTGAACCAAACAGTCATGTTAAAGTCCCATTTTCCTCTTCTGGTGCAGGCAGCACATTGTCCTGTATGGTGACTTTCAGGTCTATTTTAACAGGGATTTTCAGTAACTGTGGCACTTGTTTCCTCCTCTGTTAATCACCATAGAAACACAGTCCTTTTTTTTTTTTAAAAGAGACAATACGCTAACACAAAACTGAGCCAAACTGATTCAGTGTCCTCCAGAGTCCTCCACTGCAGCGAGTGGTGATGCACTTATTACACTGATTCACAGGAAAGCTGGTGCAACATTATTATAACACACTCCTGATCTTGCACTGTGGAAATTCAGAGGAGACACTCTGTCCTTTGCTATTGCTGGAAGTTACAAAAAGCAGCTCGTTTAGAAAACATGGTCTCGTTTCTTACAAATCACATGAAACACTCGAGTTTACAAAGTGCCCACCGTATAATTAATCCTTTTTACAGTATTCTGAAGTGTTTTCATTGATAAATGCAATTGTAGTGGAACCCAATAAACAGTTGTCTGATATCTGGTGGGGGGTATACCACAAAGTGAACTCGACATACATAGACTTTCTTTGACTGAGCTGACTAGACGACAAGGAGCTGCCTCAGCTAAACTGATAAAATAAAAATGAATTCAACGTTCCTGCACTCCTGCTGCTGTGACTACGGTAGGATTTTTTTTGTTGTTGTTGCAGAAAATAAGTTACTTTTTAAATACATAGTCATGTAATAGTCATTATCTTTTACAATACACAATTCTAGCAGTACTGGTGGAAACTACAATTACTCTGAATACCTCCACTTTGTAAAAAACTGCAAAAAAAAAGAAGAAAAAAAGAAAGACAGACAGAATAGATGTCTGATTCGGTGTGGCTATTCATTCAGATAATCTGTAATAACTATTGATAGACAAGTCAATCATTTTGTTTCCGTTGTGTCAAACAGACAATGTAAAGTAATGACAGAACTTCACATCTGACCATAACTGGATCCTGATCAATTTAGGTTCAGTTGGTTTTCGTGGTGATTTAGCTCTGGGTTTAGGCTCAACAGACCTAGATCTCCCTTTGTGGTACACCCCTCTGGTTTGTGCTCAGGATGTTTACAGGAAAAGATGTGAAAAATGCCCCAACAGGAGACAGTCTCAGACTGACAGTCGTTCAAAAGAGCGGACAGTACCATGCCTTTAGGAACATTCTTGTTATAGAGCCGTGATGTGAATGTTGCACAGAGCGTTCACTCTGTAAACATTATATCTATCTCTTAAGAGCTGCAGTTGCAGAACAGAATATCTGCAGACTTCAATAAATAAAAGCGACAAAGAAAAAAAATCTCCATCCTACCACCCCCCACTTGTCACCGACACCCCTTACCACGATCCGCCAATCTCACTGGAATGAGTAAGAACAGTGCAAGGGTACCCAGCCCCTATTTTTTACAACATAAATTATCAAGATTTAAAACATCTGATCTGCGACAATCTCTGACGACTGATGCAGACAGTAAGATCTGTTATGCTTTGTGCATATCACAAACAATATACAGAGAAGCAAGGCCAGTTAACAGACCACCAACCACCACCTGAACACCCCCCTCCCGCTCCCCCAGCTGCTGATAGTCCAAGCGCTAGAGAGTGACATTAAAAATATGAACATTATGAACTAGGAATCAGTTAAAGTACTTCCAATGTCACACGAGTGGAATCTGTATTGACAAAAACAGAAAATGATAGTACCCTGTTGCTTTTTAATTCCTGAAAATAAAGTTTCACAATTATTAGAGTGATTTGGAAATGTAATAAAAACAAAAACAGTTCAGGTGTTTGACTAACACCCTGAACAGGCTGAGACAATATGAGCGGCTGTTTGGCCTTTAGTCTAACTACTAAGTCTAAAAAGTTTTTTTGGTGTCCCCTTATTGCTCTTCTTTGTAGGACTGGAAAGAATCCCAGAGCAACAAAATAAATCTTCTTAATTTTCATGTTTGATATTTTCAGGAGGAGGCCTGACTCTGTTTTAGTGGTAGGTACTTTAACAGGTTTGCCAAGTTTGTAGTATTTGGTTCTTAATCAAAACAGTTTTAAGACTCAACAGAGAATATCGAAGTAAAAAAAGTTCCTTTCTATCCATCAGACAGCTGTGTCCATAGATTTCTTCATGTGGATTTTCAGATCTTTTTTTCCCAGACCATGCTGGGTAAGATGTTCAAAACTAGGTTAGATTATCTGGTGCATGCTGACCAGTTCACTGACTTTTCTCGTTGGACACGTTTCACCTTGCTTCAAGTACCAGTAGACACTGTTTACCTTTCAGCAGATCTTTGTTACTGGTTTCACAGAAAAGACATTATTTCTGAAGATACAACATTTGACGTTGAGAGCTGCATCTCCGGGGGCTTCGCAGGAGAAGAGGGTTAAGTGTGGGGGGGTTGGTGGTCTGTCAGGACAGGGAGCCTGTAGCCTCTCTGAGGCACTGGAATGCTGTGGTTGTGGACAGGGTGAGGGCCTCTCTGGGCTTAGAGAGGCATCAGCCTGGTGGTGTGGAACAGGAGAGGGTTCAGGTCTTCAGCATGGACGGCCCGATGGAGCGACGGCTCGGAGCGACTCCGCTCGATTTTTGGCAGCAGATCTTGAACCTGCTCGATGGCTACCAGGATCTAATGAGAGAACAGAGGAAAGCAGGTAAACTGTCAGCATTTCAATGAACAGCAGATTTACAAGTGATGAAGATTCAGTCAAGACATGGTTATCGTTGAGAAACACTACCTTTTTATTAGACGACTACAAACATTTGTAATGAACATACTGACACAATCACAAACATGTTATGAAATCTCTAGCATAACCCAAAGCATCTGTCTTTTTTATGGATTAATAAAGAACAAATCACCGACAGAAATTGAGGAAACCTTTTCAAAGATACAAGTGTCAAGGCTGCAGTCCTGTTCTTGGTGTGTTTTGTGTTTTGACTCGTTTTGGGGGGTAAAAAGTGTTCATGCAGTAGGTAGAGAAGTAACCTTAAAAACTTACACAATGTGGAAAATATCAAAGAAATCTGAATACTTTTTAAAATTGGATCTATATTAGATTTTGATGAAGTTTTGTGTTACCAGTAGAGCTCGAGCTAAGTATCCCCCCAGACTGTTTCAAATGTGTTAACTCTAAACTACTTACCTGTGGAAACAGCGGCCTCTCATCACGTTTGAACTTTAGACAGTCAACGATGAGCCTTTTCATCGACTTGGGTGAGGTACTATACAGCTTACTGAGGTCTGGAGACAAGTAACCACGTCCAACCATGAAGATTATCTGAAACAGGAAAGAAAGGTGGAAAGTGTTAATGAGTAAGTTAGAGCTTTACAGATTGGGAAAAGCCGTTACATGCCACAAGGGTTGGATATAGATTTAATTGAAGCTGGACTCAGTGACCATTCTTGATATTTAGTAGAAGAGCTCTACTTCTTTTTTTATATATAAACACTTTTCTCAGGTGATCTTGGGGGCAAAGACGCCAGGCCTTTTCAGTAGAGTTGGAAAAACTGACCAGCTTTCTATTTTTCATGAGGAATATTTTGTAAACACACACGCAAACACTGGGCACCTGCATACTGTTTACTGCTTTCTTACGCACAATGAGTTGTATTTTAACACAAGGCAGCACTGTAATATACTAGTATTACAAAAATGGGTACACCTATATGACTAACCTGGTCTCTGTTGTTGATATTGGAGTAAGGCAGGGTCCCTGACATCAGCTCAAAAAGCACAACTCCATAGCCGTACACGTCAGACTGGAACGTGTAGGGGTTGGTGTCTTGCATTCGGATCACCTCTGGTGCCTTTGAGAACGGAAATGTTAAAAACAACAAAACATTTGTTAAGCGGTGTATTGAAATGTTCTTGTCGCAGTGCAATCCCAGGTTAAGACAAAAACTATGGAAACATTGCCAAGCTTGTCGCCTCATTTCTTCAACGACAAAAGAAATATTGAGAAGAGTTGGAACTCAAGTTGCAAATGCTGGAATAAAATTTCTATCAATAAAGGATAAATAATGCAGCAGGAGTAATTAAAAACAAATTTTACATTCAGATTTGATGTACCAACCACTTCTTCGGAAAGCAGAAGTGCTGCAGGACAACTTCTGTAACCTAGCAACAGTACGGTTTGCTAAGAGGCCCTCCGAAGTTGAGGTTGTGGGTCCAGCTAGTTCAAAACCTGCAATTACTTGATGCAGGCCTTAAATCTCCTGAGTCATTTTGTGTACAAAGTGTGATAAACAGCCTTACATTTCCTTCGTATTCATTTTATATCATTTCAATTAATAAATCACGCTCATTTAAGTTACATCTCTTTTTCAATGGACAAATCAGGCAAGGAGAGACTTACCATCCACAGAATGGATCCACTGGGTTGTTCTACCTGCTGAGAGCCGCTCCACCGAGACTTGACTGTGGCCAAACCGAAGTCCCCGATCTTAACAGTCCAGCCCTCGTGTAGAAAGATATCTAGCAGCAGAGCTCAGGACATATTTACAGAGGACTGGTGTACAAAGTCATCACAACAAACACTACAAGGAAATGAGATATGTTTGAAGAGAAATACAGTATTTTACACACCAAGTCAACACTCAATTGTTTAGATGTGAAAAATGTCATGGCTGCAATTTCTCAAATTTGGCGACTTCCTATAAATGCAACATGATCTGCAGGACTTAATGTGAGAGCTTGATTTCAAAACCAACATGCCAAAGAGCACAGAAAACACTGAACATGTTTCTGTACCTGCATGTTGATCGTTTCATAAATATCAGCCTATTAAAAGACTCAAGTGGTTAAGCTTTAGCTCACCACAGAACACTGACTGTGACACAAAAGTCATTGTGGTTGTAAGTCATGTGAAAGCATTTCAACAAAAGGTACAACAAAACAAACAAAGGATACTGTTCGATTTCAGATCTCGGTGTATTATGTTCTTTGCATGGAGATAACTGAAAAAGACAGAAACAACGGAGGTTATTAGACAGTGCCAGTATAAACTTATAAATAGTTTTATGGTGTTCACAGAAAACATTTTGCAAGACTTCCACCTGAACTGTTCTGTTAGAGCATCCAGAAACAGGGCCACTACTTCTTTCATAACTTGTGACACTTGACCACAGACAGCCCAGAGTGCCAGCCCTGGATCTCACCATAGTCACCATGATGGATACTTACAGCTGTCGTCTGTGGTCTGAACTGGAAATGACTTTTAAAGTGAGTTGGTTATTAATATCTATACGTTTCTGCAAACTAATCACAGAATTTCCACTGTATATCTATAAAAAAGAAAATACTCTTTGGACTAATCAAGTGTCACGTACTGCAATGTTTTACTTTTTATTTTAGGGCTTTTTTGTGCCTTTATGAGAGAACTGGACGGAGGATAAAAAGGAACTGGGGATTTTTGTTTTCAGTCTCTGGAACATTTTGATGTTTGCCATAATCACAGTTAATCGTTCATCATAACCTAAGCCCTGGTAAAAAATAATAATAATAATAATGAAATAAAAATGTTATGAGGCTTTTATTTTTTCTTTGCTGTGAGATTGTTATGTTTAAGGGAACAAAAGAGGGATACCAAGAATTAAATTCATGAATTGAGAATCCCAGATTCTTTGATTTGAAGAGAAAAAGCCTTTAAAACTTTTGGATTTGTTCTTTGTTTTACATGTCATTTTTAAACACACTAAATCAGACACACATTTGGTTTCAAGTTAAACATTAAAAAACAATAACTTAACAGTTTTTAAAAGTGTTTTTTGCTAAAGGTATTTGTTAAAACGAGGTCCAAACTGTGCATTTTGATCAAAGGTTCTACCTCCGGAATAGCCATGCTCTTTATTTCTACTGTGGCATTCAGGGTTTAACTGTTCAAAAACAGACTAGTTTATTACATGTTGATGTTATCGTAAGTAAAATAATTTTTCAACACCCATTTCTATCAAGTGCAAAAAAGCCGTTGTGTTGGAATTACTCAGGAAAAATGCACACTTGACATGTAGTGATTTGTGAGGGGGTTTCAGATGTAGAAAACAAAGTTAAATTAAGCCTCGAGTCTTACTCCATGCCCTGTGCCGTCTGTCTGGCCACATCGATGCGACGCATAGTGTCAAACTTGGTTTCCGTGACGTGCAGATGGCGGTACAGGCTGCTGCCTTCACACCACTGCGTGATGATGGCAAAGTTGGGCTTAGTCATGTAGCCCATGAACAGCAGGATGTTGACGTGGCGGGTCTTTCTGCGGAGAAAATAGACGGCCGTTATAGTCGAGATATCACATTTGCTCTTTCAAGATCAGGAATGAAAAATCTGAGCAATACAGGGATTAGAAATGAGTCTTTTGACTGAAATCTTTTTCTACTCTAATAAATTGTCAGTTAATCCCTGTACAATTGTTAGATTGGATGCCTTAGAGCAAAAAATATGTTTTTTTTCCCCTTTCATTTTTCGTATGACAGAAGAACCTTAATGTCTGGCAAATGGAGAGGCAGTGGTCAGCGGTATCCAAAGAGATAACATTATCATTCACTGATTGTAATAGATACATGAGAAATATTTTCATGGTGGAAAAGACGTCGAGTTTGACTTTTTTTCTCTCCCAGTTATAGACTCATGGGGTTGTGAAAAAAAGTCATTTCTTACCGTAGGACCTGCATTTCATTTTTGAAGGCCTGTAACTGCTCAGGCGTCGGCTCTGTGACTTTAAGGATCTTGATTGCCACATCTCCATGCCACTTGCCCTTAAAGACGGTCCCGAAAGAGCCGGCCCCTATCCTCTTCTGAATGCTGACCTCTCTTGAGTGGACCTCCCAGTAGTAACTTGAGTCTCTGTAGCCCCCTCGGTGCTGAAACACAACGTTAATGTTTTAAGCTACAAAAAAAACCACAACAAACGGAGTATTCAAGAATTTGTTTTGCTGCCTGTTTATCAGTTTAGGAGTCAAACGCCTCGTACCACTTTCTTTTTATCATCTGATGAGGAGGGCTTGCGCTCCTTGTGCTCTGATGGTGACTTGGGGGGTCTCCTCCCTGGAGAGCCCAGAGACGATGGTGGGCTGGTGGAAGGTTTCGGTGAGGGCTCAGGGCCTGCAGCAACACAGAGGCAGGACAAAGGATAACTTGAAAAAACTTAACAGATGACAATACTACGAGAAATATTTTGAATGAATACCAAATCTGAAACTGAAATTTATTAAAACTTTAAATAAACTCACCCATTGTGTTGTTGAATTTTAGTGCTTCCTGTAAAAAACAAAACAAAACACACAGACCCTTCATGTACGTTTGGGTAAAAGTGGGTTGTTCATGGTTTTTTCATGACTATGGCCCGATCCCAAACTGCCCCCTAAACACTCGCCCTATACACTCCCCCTCCGTCTGCACGTCCCAGCGAAAGCTCCGCCATATTGAAGGCCGTCCCAAACCACAGAGTGAGAAGGGCGAGTGGACCGTTCAGCCCTTTAATACTGAGTCTGCACCGATGCAGACTCATAACAGGATTTGCAGGTAGTGTGCCGGCAAAAATGGAGTAGAAGGAAATAATAAACAAATATAAGTTCCGTATGTGTCCACCTTTGTCTTCCTGACAAAAGAAATCACAAAATATGTGGTTTGGGAAGATCAAGCAGAAGTTGGAAATCTTACTCTGTGCTGGGGTTTGATTTGATTGTGCAGGCACGTCAAATTTTAAAGGGGTTCAAAGATGTGTGGAATCACTAACAATCAGAAGTATAATTTAGTTCCTGTCACTGTGATGGTTAATGGATTTATGATTTCACTGGGAGGATGAAGAAATGAGGCAGCTGGTGCGGCTCAGAACTGTACATGATGTCTGTTTACTAAGAAAAGAAACGCTGCCTTGCACAGGACGCGTCTTTGTGTTACTATGGCGATGAATCTTTCTGTTGTTTCTCGGTGGAGTGACGAGGGCGTTCCATACCGGCCTGCCTTGTTTATACCCGCCCACTTAATTTGAGGCGCACTCCACAGCTGCGAGTGTGACTTGATTACGAGTGACGCTCGGTAGTGAAGGCCGAGTGTGTAGGGGTCGGTTTGGGATTGGGCCTAAGACAGACATATCCAAACTCTGCATACATGAGAACAAAAAGGAAATAATACAACACGTTTAAACTTGTGGATGTAACTAACGAAGGATCAAAGTTACTATCTCAGTAGTGAAAAGCTGAACATGATCATGAACAGTAGATAAACTGAACAATCAAAACACGGTCACTGAGGCAACACTGACCTCTATGATGCTGACACCGGCGGGGCCCACTGTGCTAACCATATGAACATTGGGAGTGGAGGTGGAGCGATGCCTTTGTAAAGACTGTCCGTCTCCAGCCGGCATGGGGAAGCGGAAGGCTGAGGTCGGGGACAGGAGGTCCATCCTAAGAAAAATGCATGAATGAAGTTGTGTGACATTGAGAGTTGTAGTTTCATATCACTGATAACATACAGTCCCTTTAAAATATAGATTTCTCTTCACTATGGTAGATTACCCAGAAGGCTCAGGGGTTAAGGCTAGGTTGCTCTGTGATGGGGAATTATCTGGCAGTAGTATCCGTGGGTACTCATCTGTGCAAGCAGTGGAATCACACCTTAAAAAACAACAAAGAAGAATGGGGATGGAATGAGGGCAAAGGGAAATGAGTTTTAAGACAGAGGGAAGCTAAAGTTATGTACAAGAAGACTAACAGAATAATTGGTATCCTCCATTATCATTAAAAAAAGAGTAAGAAGGTTAGTTGATTTATTCACTGTCTTCTCAGACCACTTCTTCTCGGCTTCTCACCGTTTGCTCACTGTATCCATGTCCACACACACAGTAGGGACCTTACTGCTGCAGTGCTGGTGAAATTTGTAGCCGCATGTCTGACACCGAAATCCATTAAAAAGAAACTTGTGGCAAAAATCACAGTAGGCAAGTTTGAAGAAGGTTTTCCGTACCTACGCAGACAGAGAGATGACAAAATACTCACTTCTACACTTGCACTTTTTAATTCTCATCCGGGGTTTTCATTGTTGCTACTTACAAAGTTGTGCATGGTGAGGGGGATATCATCTAGGACCTCGACTAAAAGCTCCTCTCCAACCAGAGGGGTAATGTCCGTGTCCCAGTCTGTCAGTCTTTTACGCCTGGAGAAGCAGGAAGAAGAGAAAAGGAACATTTTAATGAAGGAATACTTAACATATTAAAGTTTAAAAAGAAACCTACATTTCAAAACTTTTGGTTTCTTTTAAATTATTTTAAGGTATCCTGAAATTACAATGATATGTAACTAAGGACTTTTCATGAGGAAAATATGCTTTACTGTTAAGCTAGATCTTTTCATTGTGCACATTATACCAAGGTAGGTGGTGGGTAAATGCCACAGTACCCATAGCAGCTAGTGTTAGCATGTCCTTACTGTTTGTAGTGTTATGGCTGAATGCTGGCTGGCTTTAGGGCCACTGAATTAGCACATAAGTACACAGAACACGATTACCTACTAGCGTCTGAAGTAGAGAGGAAACACTGGCTTGATAATCGCTTGCAAACTTGAAAAAGTCAGAGAACCATGAATGCAAACTTAACGGGGACTGTAATTATAAATCACTACAAAAAACTTGAAAGACCCAGTAGTCAGATTTGATCAATCATAAATGGACTTATTTGAATTTGTCTCGTCATTCAGCATCCATGTTTGCTTTCTATACACTTTGACATAAGGTGGAAAATGGGAAATGACATACAGTCTTTGACCCTCCTGATTGTGATACCTACAACAGTCACATCCATGATATGTGATGTTGGTCAGGTCACGCTGTTAACACCTTCTTGTTAACCATCTTTAATCAACTGCAAAAAATCTGTCTGATATTACTTAAATGCAGCCCATTAATTCAAAATATACCTGACAGGACACTGGGTCTGTGTGTTGTAACTCTAACTGATAGAGAATTCAAAAATTAAATAAGCTATTAAGTTCATAATTCATCGAGGAACAGTTTATTTGAATGGAAGGTAAAAAGCAAAAGCGTTTCATTTGAACATTATTCATTTCATGTTTCATTATTGGTTAGAGGAGTAAAAGCATTATTTCAGAGCCAAAGCTTTAAGTTGATTAAAGGGACTTCATTACCCAGAATGCACCTTGATGTAAACAGGAAGTTTAACAGGAATTTCAGCAGAAAAATCTGTTACGTTATGTACTGAATGAGGTAATATGTGGGGTTTTCATTCAGTAAAAGACATTTCTATTTTTAAATCCGAAGTCAAGTGTCTTCATTTCTAAATGTAGATTAGAAAGATTCTACACTGTGTCACATGACTCTAAAAGGTAAATGATGCTGTTGTAACAGATACCCTGGAAAACCCTCAATAAGTGTGAAGGATTTTAAGGGTTTTCTTAATGTCCTCTTGTTCCAGTGCTGTATGTTTGTGGACCATTGACAGACCCACAGTGTTCACTTTCAGCTTCAAGACATGTTGTAAAAATGACATGCAGAAGAAGAGAGTGAATTTTCTTCGTTTATGACTCCTATGGGATTGGTGGCCCAGATCAAATCTAATTTTAACAAAATGGTAAAAGTTATTCTTACCCTTCCAAAAGGCGGAACACAGCGCAGCACTCCTGGCTTAGGCCTCTTACTTTAAGGGCTTTATCTAAACTCTCGTGCACAGTCTGTCCTTGGCGAACATTCACCTGAAAATAGAAACTGTGGTCAAACAAGTGTTTCCTTGAATTGACAGTCAGTGGCCTGGTGCATACCTCTAACAACAAAGCATACTGTAGGTACTGATAAGTACAAGTGACAGCTGACATTGAGTTTTGTTGACACTGCTGATTATCCGTGTTGTGACAGAACTTTGGTCCAGAGCAGAGATCATTTTCACAAAATAAGTCTCATTTTTACTTACCATAACAAAGCTCCAACCTTCTACATCCAGGTTTTTGTTTGATGATTAATATAAGAAAAACTTCATAGGAATTTTTCAAAGAACTTGATCTCATGTGGGTTTGATTGATTAAATTTAACTAGTTCAATTCTTCATTTTCAGTAGGAATAACCTGGAGTAACTCTTCCTCTAATGCGCTGGAAGAGGAGACTGTACAGGCTGATTATTTCCACAAAAAAAGCAATACAATATAGTTTCTGTAAAGCCTGTTATGTAACGCAGTACACTGCTAGTGGTGAATTAATTTGATGAGCAAATTGTTTACACTGCGACATTTTAAACTTATGCAACATCTCTTTTAATATAAGGGGCAAAAAGACAGTGTCGTGATATCTGGGGATGGTTTTCTGCACCAAGCCTGTTCATCCCTTTAAAAATGTTCATGATTTTACACTCATGATCTGTTGCCTTGTGAAGCATTTTCTGAATTTTGAATCAAGTCCTCATACTTTCAGGAACTTATATGATATTAAAAGTGCTTTAGATAACTAATAATGTTTTACCTTTATCTCCTTATTGGTGATAAATTGGCTCACAAATCATTAGGAATTAACTGTCATGTTTATCTCAGCAGAACTAGGATGAAAAACTCTAAAATATAAGCAGACATCTGTCTGTACAAGTCATCAAGTCTGTTCTTCTATCAGCTGGTCAGGGTAGGAGGAGATGGTGTGCCTGTACAATAAAGTTTGCAAAAATTTTGCTTGGTGCACAAAACAAAAAAGACTAGTTCTGCGCTTGATTCCCACCAGCACCAAAGAATAAGCAAAACTAGATTTTTAATGGTTGAGGATTATCTCAGAACCATAATATCTAATTGTTTGTGGTGTCAAACTTGTACAACACTGATTTGCTGAGAAGAACACCTAAACCAGGCAGAAACAGAGATTTTTTAGGAAGCTTTTTCATTTTTAAATGGGCAAACATTTAAAACTGTTCTTTAAATTTATTTTTGAAGCTGTAGTGGGAGTTGGTTGTCTTCTGGGTTGCATTATATTAACAGGTGTTCCCTTTATTTTGCCTCCCTCATGCTTGTTAATGGATTGGACACTCCAGTACACCATGGCCACCTACTGTGTCTATAAAAATAAATATAAAGACCAGTTATCACCTTTATGATCATGTCAACAAAAACTGTAAATCCAAAAGTTTCCTGAAAGTAGAATTTGAGGGAGAGCTGTTGTATTGAGTTGGATTAGATTGCCCATGTGTTCTGATGTTATAGCGGGTTGGTGCACTCTCCATGTAGATCATCTATGGCATGTAAAATTTTCCACTCTAGAGCTAATAAACATATAACAATGATACAGTGATGATGAAGCAAAGGTTTAAAACTCTTGGTTGTTGACGGTTCTAGTGACAATAACAAGTATTACAGTAAAATCCATTCAATTTTTTACTTAAAGACACAGAACGTGGTTGTGTATGCAGGTCTTCCTGAGGTTTACTGTTATTCTGTATTGTGAAAATCATAATAAATAACATGCAGCTTCAGAGTGAAAGACATTAGTAATACAGTGATATATCCAACGTATAACCGAGCAAAGTGCTAAAAAGACAAGACAATGAAACAACATGTTGATTCCCAATGAGACTAATAAGTTAAACCGAGGATGGTTGCAGGCACCATCTGTGAAAACTCACACCAACTGTTGATGAGCTTACTGACTGATATGCTGAGAAAGATGTCAAGTTTTGTGTGAGTAATCGTGCTCACAGCCAAGAGAGATGAAGTTCTTTCACAGAGGCTGTTATACTCCGTTACCACACATGGACATAGTTAAAGCATGCTGATACTTGTACAAGCTCTTAGATGAATGTAATTGAATAACAAAAACATTAGACAAGAGCGGCTGTGCCATTGATGGAGAGAAGCAGAGAGCTAAATATCTTACCACTGTCCTCTGTTTGTTTGGGAGGTAGACTCGGATCGTGCCCCCACCTCGGGGTACATCCTCCGGACTAGTCTCTCCTGAGGAGGAGTAGGAGGAGGAGGTGGAGGACATGATGGGAGGCAGGATGAGCAAGGGGATGCAGCAATTAGACACCACGACCTTCGGAGAGCTTCATGCACAGTGAGATCCACAAGAGTTGGTCCTTTACTTAGAACCTGCAAAAACACAAACACACTTATGTTTGGACACCAGATAACAAAAGTGACTGTTGGAACACACGGCCTTCTGTATACTTTCCTCAATTACACTAATACATATAGAGTCGATGCAAAGACACACATAGATGCAAACATAGATATAAACATAAAGCTGGGTTTTTCAACAGAAGTGTGTGCCTTGTTGATGCAATGTCTTGCAAATACCTACAGCACTCAGATTCTGTTACACCAGAAGTGGTTAATCTAAACTCTGTATAAATAGATCAAGCATTCAATTTTGTTAAAAATATTGTCCTAATAATTAAGTATTGGTATAGTGTAGGGCCCGATTTATCGACAAGCCGATTAAGTCGGCCAATTTTAGCCCGTTTGAGACTAATCGGTAATCGGCAGAAACTCGCCGATTTTCGCCGATATTTTCTGAAATAAATTGCCGAGAATAAGATCCGGTTACACTTCAAAAATGTTCTACTATTTGAAAAGTTTCCTGACTTATCCTGTAGATGGCGCAGCGACATCATGACAATCTTCATCCACTAACTACCTCACAGCACAGCAGAGTGACGGATCTGAAGCAGGCAGCTCAGGGACGCACGGAGGAGAGTGGTCTGCCTCAACGGTACATAAACCAGTTTGTGAAATACACAATAAGTCAACAAGTTTCAGTTCAACCCACTTCACGATGTTCCCCGCTGTGCTGGTCTCGGTCACTGCAAGTTAACGGTGAAGCACTATGTAATATGCGAGCTAAAGTTAGAGTTAGCCACCTGCTATTAGCCTTGCTACACTGTTAGCCGTGGCAGTAACGGTAGAATTAAACAACAGTACACATTATGTGGACGAGCTACTTCTCTAAATGAGGTAGCTGCATGTCTCCAGATGAGACCGGACCGGAAATGAGTAACGCGAGTTAAGACACAGAGGCACCGATCAGCAGCGGCGGCGGGGGGTTAGTTGAAAACGCTTTTCTGGTCCTAGTCTGATGAGTTGTTCTTCCTGTCGGTGTGAAGAGCAGTAGCCTACAGTATATCTACAGTACATTTTTATAACTTAACAAAAATTTAAAAAATCGGCCGATTAATCGGTAATCAGATTTAACCCCCCAAGAATCGGTATCGGCATCAGCCCCAAAAAATCCATATTGGTCAGGCCCTAGTATAGTGACACTGCTGTATAGTAACAAAACATTTAACTCAACAGTGGCTGGTCTCACGTTGGTCCTGTATTATACAGTCTATGGTCTTAAGTAGCAGAACTGGAGATCCAGGTACAGTCGCTTGGGGATAAAAATTACAGTTTAAGTTGTTTTTAAACACTGCACATAAACAAAATGATCTTTTGGTTACACTTTTACAAGCTATTCACAGCAAATGGTTGCTGTGCATTATGAGAACACAGCTTTACACAGTAATTGTACATAGGTCTGTTATATATTCTACAAAAGGGGCCATGATGAAAAAGAGATCACTGCAGATTTAGGATATGTTCTTGAGGACAAAGTTCTAGAGTAACAGAGGAAACAAAAAACACAAAATGACAGTGAGCAGTGAAGTGGAGTGGGTAAGGGGGTGATGCAGCTCTCTTCTCAACACTGTCTGCCCTTATTTGTATGGAGAGACGGTGACGCCAAAAGCTACAAAAAAAATGCTGACAGCTGAGCACGGACAGCAACATGTCTCGCATAACAAGACTCACCATTCTGCTGAATAGCAAATACCGGCAAGTCTTGAAAGGTTAATTTTGCTCACAAAAGCAAAAAGAAACTGATTCACTGAAGAAGAAAACAAGTAATTAAAACACTTGTAAGCCATTCAAGGCGTTAAAAAGGAGAACAGCATATACAAGGACTTCAAATTGCATCCGTTTTTGTCTCCCAAATCCAACCATATCCAACATAAAAAAGGTTTTTACGGCTCTGTAGCCCTGAGAGCTCCTTTTAATGCTTCACCATACAGGTTCATTTCATTCTTAGACTGACTAATTTTAGTTTTCCTCCCACTCTAATTACATGTATGAATATCAGACTCACTTAGTACAATGCGGAGATACAGGATATCAAGCCATAGATGTGTGGTGAGGTTAGGGCTGGGCGATATGGCCTCAAATCAATATCATGATATATTGAGCAGTTCACCTCGATAACTACTCCACAAGCTGCTCACCCTCTCCCACTTTAACTTTGTCTACTTCAGCCGCTACAACTTTTGAACCGTCCTCCATCTCTTCACCTGTCTTTCCCTCTGGATGGGTCACGTCTCTGACATAGGACAGCGTCTTAAAGGGACATGAGACCATAGCCCACCTACACACATCCAAAAACAACTTTTATCTTTTTATTTTTTTGACACCCAATATATTGATATGGGCAAAATGACATCAGTTATAGTTGTAAATTTCGATATTGGTAAATTTTCGCTTTCTCGCCCAGCCCTAGGTGAGGTGTTTTTTTTCCATGAAAGTAAAAAAACGTAAAAAAAATAAACAATTAGCTTGTTAGTAATATATAACCATTTTTTCCTAAAATCAAACAAACTTACTTTTACCACACTTGGTTTAGCTCTAGGCAAATCTGACACAAGGTTTTTACTTTATGAAAAGGATTTGATGCGCAGTGACTTTGTTCAATGATGTAAAACGAAGAAAAAGTATGCTAAATTTATAAGTGAGTGCATATTAGCTAAAAACACAAAGTCTCTATCATCTATTTTCAAACCCTCATGTTTTACTAATCGTCAATAAATAATCACTAATAAATCTGAGGTTAATAAAGGCTTCATCTGAATGCATCAGCATGGTTTGCCATGATACCAAGGTCTACTTTTAAGGTAACATGTAGATGCAGAGCGAGAAACTACTGGCGGTAAACTTTAATGAGTTACTAATTTACTGCTATAAAATAAGACTTAACTGTGTGTTTATTGCAATTGTTCATATTGCAATGAAAGGTCATTAGCTTTTTATTGTGCAGCCCTATAAAAGATAAGTATCTGGGAGCCAGCTTTAAGTAACACAGGTTTTAGAGAGATAATTTACTAATTATCTCGCAATTTTCAGAATCAGAATCAGAAATACTTTAATAATCCCCAGGGGGAAATTGCTTTTTGTCACAGTAACTCCAGTGCAAATGAAGTAGACAGAGGAGGTAAATAATAGATAAAATAAGTAAAAATAAAGAGATGAATATAAGTAAAAATAAAGAGATAATATGCAAGTATGTACACTATATACAAAACAAAATAGTAAAAATAGTATGCATATAAACAGTAGAGTCCAGGTAAAGACTACTGACTGAGGGTGTCAGAGTCACTGAGGGAGGAGTTAAAAAAGGATTTTTTTGGGGTAGATTCAATAAGTAATAGTGAACGTAACTTAAGTCACTTAATTATTAATTATATATTTGTTTTTGTGACATCTAATCATATAATCATGCATATTACTCTGATAGTATTTGATACCAGGAGTTGCAGGACAGTATACCATGCGTTTTAAGAGTCTGTGGTGACACTCATGTGGGATCTATTCCGCAAAACACCTCTATGTGAAGTATGTACTGTAACCCTGGCACAATACTTCTGTGCAGCAGCTATAAGAACCATACTTCACACAACATATTTTATCTCAAAGGCACAAACAAACTATGCAACGACGTGTGCAGCTTGGTTTACAATCAAATAAATTCACTTCCAACAACGCAAAAAAACCTGCACAGGACCGAACCTGAAAACATCGTAAGAATCTAACACTGACAGAAAAAGTTACACTCTTGCTTTCTACTCACACGATTGTAGAGCAATGGTAGTTGACGTTAGCCAGTTAGCTTAGCATTGGGATTTGCCTGCCATGTAATATGACATTTCGAGTTTTGGGAGGCCATGTTTCTCTCGGGGCGCCAGTTACAAGACTTCCACTTCAACTACTTTTAAATGTAAAAAGATGGAGTTTAAAGTTAAATTATCTGCGCTTCACAATTAGAGATGTGTTCCTTTCAGAGCTTTTGTTAATATCGCTTCAGTCGGTTGGAATCTCTGCGAGCTAGCGGGGCTTGCTAAGTGCTCACTGGAGTGGGAGAGGAGATTATGTAGCTAACTCAGAGGCTAGCTCACTTCACTTTGTAGAGCTTTAACGCTAACAAACGCCTAGCCGGGTGTTCTATCGAATTCTGCGCCCTAGCTAGAAGTGAGCCTAAACACTGTAAGCGTATTTGCCATGGAGTAATATTCCATCAAGATGCGCCTTTAAAGTGTGAAATTCAATATGCATTTGTCAAGTATCAAGACATCATTATTGACGATGAAAACACGATAAGCAGCGATGTCAGATAAAGTGATACTGTCTTAGAACCACAATTTGATGACACTGGTGAAAAACACTTCGGCAGAGAACTTAATGTTTTTATGACCGATTATAAAAACATTTTTTTTTTGACAAGAACATCTGCGCCTGTTGGTAACCACAATCTTAACCAAAAGAAAGCTCTTTTTCCGACTTCACGCTACCGTAGCAGTTTTTAACACCGCAGCACAACTCGACAGAACACCGGCTAACGTTAGCCAACTTGGGGAGGTGGGGGGGTTACCACCGCGTCAGCTTGTTGGCTACTTCTGGTGCCTTCTAAACACACAATTCAGACACTCATTTTACTCACAAGCACAAAACTCCAAGATACAGCTGTCGGTGTATATCTGGCACATCAACATCAAACCTGCTTTTCATGAAAATGCTGCCATATAATTTACATACAAGTTAAACTCTTACCTGTAGCAGCCATCTTGAATTCTCTCAATCTGAAGTAGGATCTGTCAAGAACTTCAGGGAAAGCGGAAAACCTCGGAAATGTCTCGTCTTGATTGGTCAGCTCTGCTAGCGGCGCTTTCATTGGCTGACACGGCTTACATACTACAAGTGGGAGGCGTGACAGTATTTTGTCATGTAAATGCACCACTATACAGTCCAAAGTCGCTGCAAGGATTTACCTTTACTTATTACACTACTACTTCAAAGTCTATCACAAGTTCGTATTCGTAAAAGAATTTCTTCACCATTCAATCAATCAATCAACCAATCACTTCACCATTGAACATACAGGTCAATGGAAACACTTTATTACAAAAATACAATAATATAAAGTACACTGTTGGAGTATTTAGTAGAACAGACTTATATAATCAAAAAAATTTTTAAGAGTTCAAGCACCTGAGAATGAAAGTGGTTGTGTTTGTTAAAAATTAAAATTCGCCCTCTATATTTACACAGGAACGAGGCCCTTATATTAAGGCCGCCATGTAACACCGTGTTTCTGCAGTAATAATAATAATAACTTTATTTATACGGCACTTTTAAAAAAAGAAGTTTACAAAGTGCTTTGACAAACAGTTGCAAAGCACATGAAAATAAAAACAAATAAAAACAAAAGCTCAGTTAAAAACAAGGCCTCCGAATCGAAGGCATATTTCATTAGTCTTAAGAAACCCAGACAATACAAGAACCCTACAACATAAAATGAGACCACGAGGACCAAAATAAAAACATAAAATATGTAAGAAAAAGAAATGTGATAAAAAGGGGGGGTAGAAAGCAGGAAAAAAGATAGTAAATATAAACAACATATTAATAATGATAATAAAATCATAATAATGGTAATATTAATGATAAAATGGAATAACAAAAATGAGCAGAAAAAAACAATACAATCAATAAAAGGCCTAAAAGGTTAAATAAGAAAAGATTATTAGTAAAACAAAGGCTAAAAGGACAGTAAGTCAAAATAAGATAGAGGTAAAAGAGATAAAAGACGGCATCACAAAAAAGCATGTCTGTAAAAGTGAGTTTTTAAATTTGACTTAAAAGAAGCACGGCAGCACAGAATGGATTAACTTGCAACAAACATTTTTGTTTAAAGCGAGATGCTGTGTGTATACCAGCTAAAAGAAGAACAGAGAAGGGTGGTTGTTGTTTTGCACAAAATATTTTTTATTGATAGATGTTTAATAAAAAAGTTTGACAACTGGAGAAAAAAATTACGTTTTTTAAGCTTTATTAGTTTACTATTGCACACTGAGGAATCGTCGTTTCTTGGCTGTGTGTGTGTATGCGTGGTGACGCCACTCCACATCTGCTGTGCTCTCATTCTCCAAGGTGCCGAGTTTGATCATATACACTAAAGACAAAAAAAAAAAAAACATACATGTTAACATTTCACATTAACAGTTTACCAAACTGTACATCAAACTGTGCATCATATGCCAATACTGAATTTCCTACTATTTTTAAAACAAGAGGAGAACTAATGGACCTATTCAGCTCCTGTTACCACCTGTTATGTTGGACCTTTTAGTCCATCATTCAAAACCAATGCTGCTTTGTTGCAGTTTGCATGAACAGGCAAAAGCCTTTTTATGGTAAGGTATGAATATTTCTTTAAGATTTTAGAATGACACTTTAGGATCACATCCTAAACTAACAAGTCCTGGGCCTAAACAACAGGGGAGATATCAGTAATACCTGCTTTTTCTCCTTAAGATGTTGCTAGACCTAGAGCACTGTGCCTTCATTTTACTTTGAGGGATGTTTTATATCAAGTAACCAGACTAAGCCCAAGTCACTCAGATGAGATAACACAGTGCCCACACCAGTGTTAGGATATTTTCAGGCCAAGTGCCTTCCATTTCCATGACACGGGTTTAGAGCTAAGCTTGTCTACTGGGCCAGGGGTCTGACTCCAGTCCATCTTTCACAACCAAATGGGACAAAATCTCTTTTTATGGGTTGATACTTACATTTCATTTCAAACCTGGGTCCTACTTCTGTCAGCTCAACGTTTTTGTGGTCTGTTTTTTTGTAGGTATGATGTCTGTGTAATTAAAAACACACACCATATAAGTTTCAGCGGCATTTGCACAAAATACCAACTTCTGTATGGCTTATACACCGAGATAGTCTTTTAACACTTACCTAAAAGAGATGAAGTCATCTTGGTTGGCGAATGTGATTACACGTCTACTGTCCTCCTTCGGCACTGGAAAGAGATACTTGAGGATATTGGACACCTGCACAAGCAGAATTAATTAGTTGTAGCACAAACGAGTGTTGAAAGAGAATATGAGTGTCACATGTACAGTGCACAGTACAGCACTCACCCTCTTGCCGAGCCGTGAGCTGAAGTTGTGGAAAATCAGGTGGGGGTAGGCCTCAGACATTGTGCCTATGTCTGGAACATCGTGCCTCATTACCACGTTGTAAAGTGTGAAATAAGCCGTGGGTCCAAATGGCAGATGGCACACCACCAGTCCGTCTGTGAAAAGTGGAAAGAAAAAAAAAAACATCAGATACTTCATGTACACTGGTGTACAGACCCTGATTTGTGGTGGATACTTGGTTTGCTCTCCAGAAAAACCATAACTTAAAATAAAAAACATACAGTTGTAATGCGTTAATACATTTATCGACAGAAGTAGAAAAAAATCTATCTGTACAGCAGGTTTCATTATAAGAGAAGAAAAACTTTATTGATCCCAAAGAGAAATTCAATATGGACATCACTGTTTAGAATTGATGTATCTTATTTACCCTTTCCCAGGGCATAGTTCTGATGGCTCCCATTATGGGTATGAACTCACTTAAGAAACTTCTTGCTCGAATCTTAAGTGAGCACATAAAAGTCAGAAGTTAAAAAATGTCATAAAACACTGAAGTAAGAAGACGTACCTGGTTGTCCTCTTGTTTCATGCACAATGACAAGATCTGTGACATTGTTGGCTTTGCAAGCTCGAACAAGGGCAGCAATTTCATGGTTTCCTCTGTTCATGCGCTGCGCTCCAGGGAACATCAGCTTTACCTCCTGGAATAAGAACCATATGTGGCACCTTACTGTTTGTTCTCCCAGTTTTGGGTCAATTCTTACCGTTTAGGTCCTCAGAATAAAATGATAGTTTAAAAAAATGGATTAAGTCATTCTCTTTTCTCTGGCACTAAATGTGAATTAAGACCATAAGGGCTTCAGTGACCACACCTTGGCAAACATTTTGAGTCTGGAGCTGGGGTCCCTGGATGTGGTGACCATCAATTTAGGATCTTCAACTCCAGCCCATTTGTACTCATCATCCATGTGTGAGCTGACACCTGAAGTACAACAGAGATGATTTGGAACAATCAAATGAAAGCTAACAATTTGTATGTATCAGACAGCATGGTATTGGTGACAAAGGGAGAACACAAAGAGCCAAGTAAATAAAACTAGCCTTCTGCCCCTTCGTCGTCATACTCCAGCAGTTTCTGGAGCTGCAGAGCTTCTTTGCGTACTTCTGTTGGAAGAACACGATTTTCTGCAAAGAGAAAAAAAGGTTTTGTTTGGAAAGAGTTTGAGGTCAGAATCTTTATACTGCATACTAATCACAATATGGAGTACAGATTGAATAATGTGACCTAATGACCACGCTTTCCTACCATCAAGTGCACCCTGCAGCTTTTGTTTCTTCTCCTCGATCGTTCGAAGTCTGTCCTCCTGTGCCTTCCTGTACAGGTACTCTCGCCTCAGTCTCACCTCTCGACGTAGCTAGAACAGTTCATCAGAGAGGTTTCAAAACATTTTATATGTAATGCGATTTTCAACAAAGTGCAAATTATTTCTTTTTATAAATGAATTTTGTTTTACAAAACAGCAGTTCAACAGATCAGTAACAGGAAAGAATGTGAGATACTCGCGACAAAAATAGACAACAAACAAAACAAGAACAAAAAGATGGTGGCCCCTGCACCTCTAAGTGGTGCCAGTATCAGGGTGCAAGTAATTGTGGATGTGGGTGACTTTGACAAGAACCAAAGTGTGCTAGGATACAGTATCTCAAAATACTCCAACACTCAACATGTGTGGGCAGTGAAGGCTGGCCAGCATGGTTCGATAGACAGAAGAGCTCCTGGAAACCAAAGTGCTGAAAAAGTTATGCTGTTCTTGGTTGAAAGGTATCATAACAAACAGTGCGTCACAGTTTCCTGTGTACTGTATATGGTGGTATAGCCACAGAGTGGTTAGAGGTGACCATGCTTTTCCATGTTTACTGCTAAAAGTGCCAACAGTTGGTATGTGAGCATCAGAACAGACTGAATATACCAGCTCCCAAGCCAAGAAAACATCTGAGGGATGTGCTGGACAACCAAGTCTGGTCTATAAAGGCCCAACTTCGCATCTCTTACTTTTTATGTCTTCCTTTACTCCCTCTCCAATGTAGCATGCTAGTCACAGATTATGACTTTATGAAAAATATATACATCTAAACGTAAAGACAGCACCATGTCATTAAGAAGTTGAAATAAGGACAATGAAACACTGAAAAAGTTGTGTAGTATTACAAAAACAGCTGGAGGAAAATCTCAAGTAATGAGGTGAATTTGCGACAGGTTTGTAACACGACTATATTTTGGTGTCCCCTGCAGATCAGGTGGTGAGTTATCTCTTTGCAGATTTTGTTCTTGCTTGGGAAGTGCTGTCTGCTAAAGATTCACAAAAAATGTAACAGATTTTTTTTTTAAACATAGTTTTATTGCTTATTTTATGCAGAGGATTTTAAGACCTCTCTGGAGTCGTTTTCCTATCTCTCCCTGAGTTAAATGATATGCAGTTGTGACCTTACACCTATTTTTCCACAACAGACCCGCTGCTCAATTGATGCATCTGATTTACACTTTCCCAGGGCATGGTTCTTATGGCTCCCATTGTGGGTATGAACTCACTGAGAAACTTCTTGCTCGAATCTTAAGTGAGCAAATTGTGTCACAAAAGACTGAAGTAATAGGACATACCTGGTCGTCCTTGTGTCTCACACACCATGACAAGATCTGTGACATTGTTGGCTTTGCAAACTCGAACACCTCTAAGTGTTGGCTGTCTTAGTTTGGTTCTGCTCAAGGAGTCTGGTTTCCCTCAAAAGGGATGTTTTTACAAATATTCTGCAAAGTGCTCTGCTCATGGTGGTTTAAAATAAGAATTGGTCTTATATAACTTAGTTAAATCTTAACTGATCTTTTTGTTTGGTCTTTGTCAAATTTGATAAATTAAATAGGATACTCTGGACCTGCTCTTTATGCAAAGCGTCTTGAGATCACATTTGATATGAATTGGCTTTATCCAATGTAAAGACTGAGTAATAGGTATACTGATTAATGACTGATGAATTAATTGACAACTTTAAGGATCATCTGCAAACATCTACATGCCAGATACCAAGGCACACCATATGTTTAATCTCATCCAAAGTCCAGAGATTTTTCAGGTTGGAGCTGTTTTGGCCCTGACATGATGATAGAGACAGTTTATTATTGCCCACATTTATGTTTTGAAGTGAGCAACTTTGTCCACCTCGTGTCAGCTCTATCCTTATTTATCCTTACCAACTTTAACACTTGAACGTACTTATAATAAGAAAACTGTGATATTTGCACACAGCCAGATGAAGCACATGTGAGATATCAGTAAAGTTACATCAAATGGCCCCAAAATATCGACTGAAAATCGATATTCAGAGTCCAACAGGGTAAATATAATTCAAATAACTGCAAGACCTGTTTGTAAAAGCTGTAGTCATAGATTTACTTACCATTGTTGTTCTTAGGATTGTCGCTGGCTAGCAAGAAAGCTACAAACACATGGAACTACAGGAACATGCGCACCAGAGAGTGTTTCATTGGCTGACAGAGAAGCCAATGAGAGCGCTCGATACTGGCGAAGAACCCTTTCACAATAAGAGCTCAAAATATAGAACATGAGTTCCCTTTACTCAGACTGCATTTTGTTCTTTATTTCCCCATCCTATTTGGGACTTAATGAGAGGTGTCCTTAATATGAAACGTCCTCTCAGAAAATCTAGGAAATTAAAGGTTGACAGTTTTGGTGAACTGTTGACCCTGTTTGGCCCTCAGGTTAGACCTAAATCCAGATTATGGCCCTTGCTGTGGTTGAGTTTGACACCCCTGCCCCAGAGTAACAAGAATTAAACATTATCTCAACTGTTATGCAAAATAAGGTTAAAATAGTAGTTTTTTTTTTTTTTTTTTAATGAATGGATTTGTATAAATGACAAAAGAAGACTGCCAAAAGATAAGCTAAATAAAAGAAATAAAAATAGCCTACCTCTGCTTTGTATTTTTTGTCTGACAGAACATGTTGATGACTGTGTAATTAACCAGGGCTGTTCAAAAACAAATAAATAGATAAAAAACATTATAATAATTATTTACTGGATTCTCCCTTTTGCCGTAGGTGCAGTCAGTCATTCTGTAAGGTTGTGTATCAGTTAGCCAGGTTGGGTCGTAGTCTGTCAGTCAGGTAGATATGTTATCAATTAGTAGGTAAAGGTAGTGCATTACACATTTTTTCCTTAGGGGCCCTATACTCGTGAGATCAATTCTGAGATCTTTGGCATCCCCCTGAGGGCTTGGACCTTAGGCTGAAAGAAAAATGGAGTAAGGTAATAGTCAGTCACTGCATCAGGTGTTGTGTCACTCAGTAAAGATCAGTGTAATTGCTTCTGTGCCCACCAGGTGGCAGAACAAGTGTCCAAAATTGAAGCCAGAGGATCTGAGTTGAGCAGAATTGATTAATACAGCACAGGGAAGTCAACATGTCATGATCTCACATGAGAAGCTAATAAAGCAGGCAATAAGACTTAAATGCAGAGGCAGAATACTTACAGTACTTACCCACTTTGATATGTAATTATAACAAAGCTCAAAAAGACAATAAATGTAAACTTGGCAAGCTGAGTGTGATTGAATAACTATCTGCTAAAAACCACATATGTGTGGGCTGATATTTCCTGCCAGCATCTTGAAAAATAGCAGTTTCTCTTCCTTCATAATAAACCTCACTCAATCTTTTCTTCTCACAGTGCTTGGATTATGCGTCGTCTAATTTTGACACTGCTTATGGCTGTAGGTGAGTACACAGTGATACAGAACTTTGATAATTTTTATTCAGCCTTTTTTTCTTTAAGTCAGTTTAATAAAGAAAAAAAAACTATCACAAGTTTTAGTGAGGTACAACTTGTTATGGACTTAAAATTGTTTAGCTAAGTTCCGATATTAAAGCCATCTCATTTATCCTGAAAGAGAAAACTTATATTTTGTAGCACTTCTTCATGCGTTAAAATCTGCAGTTATGAATGTCAGCTATAATATGAAGGTTAATCAAGTTTTTGTTTTTTTATATTTGCATTTTAGTGTACACACATTTAGAAAATAAGGGAAATATATCCTCAAAATAGGGATAAATACACATTTCTCGGAGTGGGCTGGTTGATTTTATGATGCATTTGATCATATTTATCATGACTGTGCCCAGGTGTCTGTAAGGCGCTGTACTGGCAGAAGCTGACATGTCCCTTTGAGGTTAACCATGTGGGCCTGAGGAGGGTTTGGTGCAGGCAGACCTCGGCTAACTGTTGCACTGGCTTCACATTCAGCAACAGGACCCACTCTGTGGTTAAAGGAAAACTAAAGGTGATGCAGGACTTGGACTCCTTCACCGTGGCATTGCTGGAGCCCAGCCATGGAGAGGGAATGTACTGGTGTGGTGTGCTGGTCAAAAATGGCACTATCATCAAGCTAGCTGAAAGCTACTTTTACAGCAGTGAGTAAAGGATAACACTTATATGATTGACTATTCCTTTGGCTAATTTGCCAACATTTACCTAAATCCAGCAACAATCATTCTAAACACAAACACGACTGACAGAGCAAGCATTGCATTTATCATTTTGTCCCATGAGTGAGATGAGAGCAGTTTAGAGACAGTATGGTTTAAGGTAGACAGAGAGATTCATTCCTTAAATCAGTGAACAAGAGAGATTTTTTTTCTCAATAGAAATCCATAGCCTCAGTGAAAAGTAGCAGATGTATTAGTGCCAACAACTTGTGTTCTTTTGCTCTTACATATACCATACATTTTTCCTGCATCAAGTGTATAAATAAAAATATAAGTATTGTGCACAATTTAACAATGAAGCACAAATGATTTCTTTTCTATTCTATTTTTGCCGTCCCATTGAAGCCCCTGGTTTGTACACGTGGAGTCTCACTCGGTGGATCCTGTTGCCTCTGCTGCCTTTGGTGACCATAATCATTAACATTTACTCCAGAGGTTAGTCAGTCTACTTCACTGCAAACAAATACATTTATTCAACTAACAGTCTGGTAATTATCACACATACAAGACTTACAAGCAATAATGCTTTTATTTAATCTTGTCAGCGAATGTAGTCCTATTCTTTTCTTACCAGTTTGCAACAATAGAAAAGCTCTTCTTTGCTGTGTGTGTAAAAAAAGAAAGAAAAAATAAATATAGATAAATAAATTAAAAAATAAAATAAAAATTATAATGATAAAAACTTTGGGTGATTCAGGAATGATGTTATCATGGAGTTTGGCCCCCAAGAGTCACACCGACTCTGTAGGTTACAGCCCTCTCAGCACTGTCTGCAGTGTGCTTGCCAGGTTGCTGAGCATGCAGCGGTGTGCTAAAGAGCAGATGAAGTAATAAAATATTTAAAATGACCTTGATTACAGTTTTTTTTTTTCCAGGACAAAAAATCACTTTGTTATTGCCTCTGTAAACTTCAGCTTTTAAACGTATTGTTATTATTATTATTATTATTATTATTATTATTATTATTATCAAGAAAAACCTTCCCCTGAGATGATAAATCTCAAATGCAGATTGAAACATACATAAACAGCTGGTGTAAAAAGGAGTCTAATTCAGCCCTCTTTATTTTTTACAGTGATTTCCAAACACATCCTCATGGTAATACTTTTTTTTTTTTTTTTTTGAGATTCAGAACAAAATTACTTTCGTTTGAATCATTCCAGAGCATGGCGTAACATCTTTCTCTCTATTTTTTCCTCTTGCTGTGTTTAGAAAAAAGCAGAATCTTATGATGATGTTGGTGTGATCAGACCTCCGGCTGATCCACAGGATCAGGAGTCTCCCTACGAACTGGAGTAAGGAAGCGAACACGGAATGGTCAAACACTTCAATGTATTCCGGTGTCCCAAAAAGCAAAGACCAGGGAACTTATGTCTGGTGTACCACAAGGGTCAATATTAGGACTGATTCTTTTTATATTGTACATCAATAATATTTTTAAAGTGTCAAAAATCATGAAATTTGTACTTTTTGCTGATGATACCCTTATTTGTTCTGGAGAGAATTTACAGCAGCGTTTGGATCAACTCACACAAGAAATGAATAAACTCAAAAATTGATTTGACATACACAAATTTTCACTTTATTTGGATAAAACAAAATTATGTTATTAAGAAATATCAAAGTTAAAGTTATAATAAATAAGGTAATCATTAGTAGAGTATAAGAAAACCCTTTTTTAAGGTTGATAGTAGATGACAAAATCTGGTGGAAACCTCATATGAGTCATAGATGCGCCAAGTTAGCAAAAAGTGTGGGTGTTATGGGGAAACTTAGACAGTGGATCAATCATCAGTCTGTTATAATATTGCATTATTCATTTGTATTACCAAACTTGAGCTACTGTGTTTGGGATAATAGTTATAGAACCAACATGACCCCATTGTGCATGTTTCAGAAAAGAGCCAGAAGACTAGTCTACAATACAAAGAATAATGATCATAATAATTTACCGTTTTTAAAAGCATCTGTATTAAAGTTTCAGGAACAAGTCAAATTCAAAACAGCACAAATCACCTACAGAGCAAAAAATCATCTCTTACCAGGTAAAATCCCAAACCTGTTTCGAGAGAGGGAGGGTAGTGAAAGCTATAAGTTGAGACATACTCTTGATCTACAACAACAAAGTGAGGAACCGCTCTGAAAATTATGTACATTTCTGGTAATATTATGCAATGGTTTAGATAAGGATGTTAAAGCCAGTAAAACTTCTACCAGTACAAACAGAAGTTCGGAAAATAAGTGTAACAAGGAAAAGGAGAAATAGGAAGTCACTTTGAAGTGATGTGAAGGGGTAAGAGGATTTCAGAGAGCGATGCGTGTGGCTTTGTTTTTGTTGTATTGGTGTTTTATTTGGGAACTCTGCTTCCTCCATCCCCATTTCAGACCGTGGTTGTTGGTTTTTTGAGCGTTTCGTTTGTTGTCATGATGTTTTGTCAGGTTGTCAGTTGGTATAATTTGGTCTTGAAATATATAAATTCAATTCAATTCAGGCTGTTTTGTAGGAGCAGGCCTTTCCTCTTGGTTAAATAAGAAAAGTTACATGTTGGTTACAGTTAAAATCAATATAGTATTCAGTGGACTGCAGGATACTGATGTAGCGGTTGTATGGTTTGGCCACTTTTGGAGCTAAATAATTTTAACTACATGTCCTTTCTTGAATTCATTCTTCATGTGCCCTTAGACACTGAAAGGAAAATGTTTAGAATTGAGAGTCAGACATTTGATGTAAAAATCAGAGGGGAGAGGGTGATGGGTTTTTAAATGGTGAAATTCTGCAAGATGAGACACAAGAACTCTTCTTTATGAAGAAATAAGTTTGCATTTATTGGACAGACCAAACAGAGGCAAACTCACACATAGTGTAAAGATGGAACATGACATGGGGTGAAAAATAAATGAAGGGCTTCATTCCAAAATATCACACATCTTATTGGAAAACATTGCATTCCCATCCTACTGCCATTACTTTATGTTTCTGTATTGACCTTTCTATTTCTCTTTGAGGATTTCTTTGACTTTTTCAACCTGGCCTGTGTATAAATTTTGGAACAAAGCGCTTCAAATATATAGATCTATTTATATACTTTATACATTCTTCTCTTGCTGTACATTTAAGTCTCATGCTTTGCTTGAAACTGTGCTTTTAGCATTTATCCTCGGTCACACGACAAATGAAAAAAGAGCATACAGTATTCAGGATCAATGCTGCATAGTTTCAACTTTGGAAAATAAAACATGATTTCTTTGTAAACCAACAGAGTGTCACCGTCTATGTGTGTGTGATATGGAAACTGTATGAAATCTGTAGTCAAAACGTGTCTAAAAATACACAATCTCTCTAGAGATGCAAGAATGCTTCGCTCATTTGAAACATTTTGGTTATTTATGGAAGATACTGCACATCATCTCTGTCTATTATGAGCAGGCAATCTGAGGCATTGGACAAGAAATGAAAGTTTAGCAGTTAATCACCACAATCGTATCACCTTAAAAGCAGTGGAAGTAAACCACTATACGATGGATTACGGGAAGAGTTTTGGGAAACAGATTCAGCTCAACTCTCACAAAATCTCGACATTTTTCAACAAAACAAAAACAGCAGCAATAAATAACAAAAGGATAAAACAATAAGGAAATCCTTGAAATGTTACCTATAGCGAAATATTCACAGAATTTCAGAATAACTCCTCTTTTGGATGGTGTTTTGTTGTCAAATGAGAAACAAACAAACGACAAACCATTGCACTGATTCACTGCAGTCTTAAAGGATGGTATATTCTGTTTCATCAATAGAAAGACAAACAACATTCTGGGCCCGACCAAGCTTTCTGATTCTTTACAGTAAGAACACTTAAAAATGGTTCATGAAGACAGCGGCACATCATTCCCTTGTAGTAACCTTCCTTAAGGCAATTGCAGAAGTGATGAAGATAAACTGTGTGTAGCTCACAAGCAGAGAAAAGTGGCCTTAGAATGAGTGTTAACAGGACAGGAGAGTCATTTCTATCCTTAGTTAAGGTCTTTAAATGAAAAAACTGGTGTGACTTGCTAGCTGCAGCTTAAGGGGGGTGACCAAGGCCAAAAATGAGTTCATGTTAATTTTGGACTGAGACGACATCCACACATTAGCTCATGCTCTGAGAATAACAAACACATTGTAGTCTGGGTTGGTTTTCCTTTCATCTGTCCTCCCTGAAAAAAGAAAAGGTTGCTCCCTAAGAGTGAATGATCTTTATGATTGTTAGTTGAGTAAATGCAAAGTTGACTTTTTGTATGTCAAATTCCTTTGCTCCTATTCCAAACTGCATCATTGTGCATTATTCAAAGATTTCTTGCACTAAAGCCCCCCTCTACTCCCATTAACCGTGCTGATTATTTTAACATATACATGACTGAATATAGATGCATCATCTTGGTTTTTCTCAAATTCTCTTCATGAGCTGAAAAATCCAGATCTGGCTTATTTATGGTAAAATGTTTTCTTTCACTCATCAGTCACAAGGATTTTGATGGAGCCAATTTCTCAATGGAATTCTGATATTTGAAATCCAATTCACTTTATTCTATGATTTAACTTTGCTGCACTTTGGTTGAACTTTAATGTTTTTTTAAAATGTGCTATATAAATAAAGTGGATATGACTGGATTGAATATGTAAAAACTATGAATAAAGAAGTTTTCCAGTCTTGTTTATACCTCAACAGATATAATGCCACATGATATGAAACAGCAGTTTGGTAGCTGCCAGCTCAGTTGCAGCTAACTTATCCACATTCTGATAAACGTGTGACTTCAGCTGAAGCATGTGGACGAACATTGGAGCCAGGTGCTTTAAAAAAAAACAGCAGCCATTACTTCAGAATCTACCCAAGGCTTTGTTTTGCTGGTTTACACTGATAGTAAAGACTTGTCAAATATTAGGATTAGGAAAGGTCAGATAAATGCTGCTGAAATGTAAAAGGACAGAAAATCTAAAGTAAAATGTTTTTGCCATCTTAATGTGGATAGACTCAAATATTTATTTTTTGTGTGTCAAAGGTTGAATTCTTAAACCAGTTAACCAGAAATTCTTCTTCTTCCTCCTTTTCTAACCAGACACAAGACTCAATCTGCCGTTGACCACCAAAACCGACAAATAGGACAGAAGGAAAAACAGAATACTATGGAGTCTCTAAGCAGTCAGTCATTACTTTTAGCATGCTCTCCGTCAATATATCCACCAAACACATATTCAGACAAAAAAGGTAACCCTATTTACAGTCGCTAATTTGGAGTGGATCACTTACAGAGTGTATCAAAACAAAGAAAATATTAAGAAAACAAGTCAGTGAAGTCAAAGTACAAAGAGCCAATTGGTGGCGATGCCAATCATCTGATTTCATGTCAGGTTTCACTACAGTACTCGTGGGTCTCCCTGCTGTTTCTCATTGGTTGGAATGGAAGTGATAGCAGAAGTGCAGATGGGAAATCAATCAGAGGAAACATACAGGAACCACAGTCCTTGGTTATGTGACCTCAGGGTCATCAGAAGCCTTGCGTATGTGTATGGCTTGAAGATACTTTATGCTCATACTAGTCAAGGAACCGGGAAGGTTTTTTTTTCACAACCCCATGTCTCGCTGCTGTTCTGCGGCTCGTTCAACCTCATAAAACAGTCACTTTTTATAGTTCTTCATAATCACCATCATCTCTTTTGACCGAGCCTGCTCCTCCGCCCAGAAAGTCTTCCAGCTCGTCCACATCTGTTTTCTTGGGCCGGGACTTCTTTTTCTTTTTCTCTTTCTCATCCACTGATGCAGTGTCATCTTTTTCTTTTTTCTTGTGTTTGTGTTTCTTTTTGCTCTTTTCGTCCTCCTGAGAACAAAAACCAGATTAATTACATTGTAACTACAGTATTTAAGACACTTGTGTGTATTCTTCTACTTTACCTCTTTGCTCTTCTTTTTCTTTTTCTTCTTGTCTTTAGAGGGGTGTTTACTTTCTTTATCTGAAAGAGGAGAACAGAGATATAAAAAAAAACATAATAAATCCTCAGATATAAACAGGGTTTTATTTGCTCTTAATGGAGACGGCACCAGGCCTTTATATGAGGAAGGCTTGTATTAGAGGCAGACTTTGATATCCAAGTATAACCGTTCTTAGATATCAAACCGTGGCTGTGAAACATGCAAAATGCATCATCTAGAGCACTAAGACTGCTTTTCTTTTCTTTTTTTTTTCTCGCTTCAGGAAGTAATCTGGTTATAAACTGGGATTAAGTACATCTGTCATGAATTTACTCCACTGAGGGCAGCGACAGTGAAGATGCTAACAGTTAATCTCAGTCACAGTCAATTGTAAGACTGAAGCAAATTGCATGGAAACAGCCTGTGATGCAGTTCACTCCCGTTCTGAATGTGTGTCTGATCAAATCTTAGTTCATACTTCACAAAAAAAAAAGTTTTTAATTCTCTGTTTCAAATTCATGGTGTTGATTTGAAATTGAAACCTAAGTTAAAATGGTCCAATAAACGGTAATAAAAATTAAAATAATTTCTTATTACAGGAAATATCTGTGATCATTTCAATCACCTTGATTAACAAATCCAATAAGTGATTCATTAATACCCAGACACTGACTTCAGTGTCGTCGCACATTTAACCTCTGAAAGTAAAACTTGCAAACAGGCGAGTAAACCTCTTCCTGCCAGCTGTTATCTTATGAGGTGAAACTATGATAAATAAGCCACAGATAAGAGATGTTTCGCTGTTGTCAGTGTTGCAGCAGAGACTAGAGCAGGAAGACTAAATTCTGTTTCTATCAGATATTTGATAAGTGGCGTTGGTCAGTACATGAAACCATCACTCCTCTCCTCTGACACAGACAAAAGGTTAACATAAGTTAGAGCACCTTTGACGCACGATCCTCCAACATTTTCAAAATAACATCAGAACATTTGAGCAGGGACATTTTCAGAATGTTTAAAATGCATCTCATCACGGGGGAGATAATCTCTGTAAGAAAGCTTGACTAGCTCAATACATTTGTGAGGGTAGGGTAGCATTGAGCAAGGAAGTGATGGCAACTATTTCTGTGTAATTACATCACAGGAAACACAACACAGACAACTGAGGCGAGCAGTTGAGAGTATCAAGCCGAGTAAGTCATTATGAACATACCATCAATTTACGCTCTTGGTCAGAGAGAATGTTCCTGACTTTTATCTGATTTTATAACACCTTCACCCACCCTGATGTTTTATTGAAATTTTACTAAGGGGCAGGAAAAAGTCTGAGCAAAATATTATTAATTTATATTAATGCACAAAATCTACCCTGGATGAAATTATAGAATTTTCTGCAGTATTGTACATGGGCTCTACAGCCACAAAGATGTCTGCTCAAATGATTTCCTAACTCGGCAAGAAGCAGAAATCATGTGGTGTCACCTACAAGAACAATAGCAAGGGTGATTTGCAGATACTAGTGGAACTGCTGCTAAAAATCAACTTGAGGATGAGGTCTCGTTCACCCTTAGAATGGTTAATTCTGACGAAGTGTTGTACATGTACCAAAATGATGGACGACCAGTTTAGGTCAATACTGTTTGATTTAATTTAATGTTTACCACAGGGTTCCTACGCCGTTGAAATTTCCATATTTTTCCATACCCTAATTTTTTGAATTATTTTTGGAAATACCTACTTTTCTACTTTAGAAAACAGTATTTGAGAACTTTGGTAATATTCTGGAAACATAAATATTTTTACATACTTCATTTTTCATTCTCCATACTTTTTAAGACCTGGAAATTAATCAAATTTATTTCCATACTTTTCATATTTGTGTAGGAACCCTGTTACCAGGAAAGTGAACCATCATTATACTGTGGAATTGGGGCAAATAATTTTATCTTACTCAATACTTTTTAAATCACCACTCTGTCTACAGTTTAAAAAATACTTTTTCCAATTGCGGCTTATAGTGTTTTGATGTGATAGAGTGATTAATATACAATCACCACTAACTAGTGTGATATGCTTATGGTATGTCTAAACTGTTTCTGTGATGTTGAAGTATTCATTGATTTAATTAATTTCATTTTCAGTGTAAAATATCCAAAAACACCTCAAGTGTAGACAGGATTTTTCTGTAAACTCAGACAAAAAAACAGTTTTTAAAAATGTCTGTATACGTGTGGACAGAGCGTCAGAGTTAGAGAGACACTGATGTTTGAGGACTTGCCTTCCTGGTCCTCACTACTGTCTTTGGCTGGAGGAGCCTCCTCCTGGAAGCCAAGGCCAAACAGGTCAGTATCATCCTTGTGTTTAAAGGAGATCACAGTGGGCTTCAGAGGTTCTGGCACCTTGGATAACTGCAGGTCGTCATCAGAGAGGTCGGACAGAAGCTCGTCTCTGATGGGAAATGATTCCTACAAAAAAAATGTAGAAGCAAAAAATGAAATCATGCAAGAGTTTCCAAAAATATGAAATTAATGTCAAGTTTCCAGGTTGGTGGGAAGTTCAAAGAAGTGCAATCTAAATATCTCAAGTGGACGGAAGAACTATGACTGAAGTTTGCCTGATTTGCGTCACATTTTCAGTGTGACTCAAATACTGACTTCAATAAACTTGATAAAAAACAGCTCAGTAAAATGATAAAACCTGCTGTATCCTGAGTTAACCTCAGACAGTATTGTTGTGGAGGTGATGAATCTTCTTCACCTTTGCTATTTTTGGTGTATCTGATGCTTCAGACTCAAAGTCGGGGTCGTCCATGACAAATGAGAGCATCTGCTGTGCTACAGGAGCCTCAGGGTCTGTATCAGAGTCCTCAGCTTTCGGAGTGCTGCCCTTTTTCTTGCCTTGGTGTCGGATGGGCTGCTCTGCTGCAGGAGTCAGGGTGAGGGAAATGGGCGCTGCAGTCTGACCTCGGGGTTCTGGAGGTTTTGATGCCACCTTTGGCTTTGTGACGAGGATCTCAGGCCTGAAAAATACCAAACTCATGTTAACTTATATTTATCTTTTGTCTTAACAGTTTTCTTTTCATGTCTGTGTGCTCTTTTAGTGAAGTCACTTTTTGCCGCAGCAGCGGAGGCGAACATTCAAGGTTTTTAATCATCAAATCTAAGAAGCCACAGGAAGTCAGCTGCGATCATGGTTAAACTCACCCTTACAGTGTGACTGTGTATATCATCCTGTTACACCGTGGAGCTTAATCTGTCTGATCTTTCTGACTCACACCTCAGCCTGTTTATTTGCACTAAAATACACATTACATAGCTTTAAAGTAGCTCGTCATATATCCGTTTTTGCTTCAGATCAGAAAGTAGATAGGTCTTCTGTCAGTGTCCTTAGAGCTCCTGTGAGGAACTTTCAAATTCTGTTAGTTTTGCGCCCCTTGTCAATGGAGCAGTCTTTGCTTATCTTACTCTCTGAATATTCAAGTAGCTCCTTTTGAAAAAAAAAAATCTGATCCTGCTAAATTTTGACAGTCAAATGTATCATCATAAATATTCTATGTAGGAAATACTGACAGCCATCTTTTTCCTAAAAGAAGACTTACGCTTTCAGATCAGGTTCACTGTCCAGGTCCTGGTCCTGTGTGATGGTAGGGGCTTTTGTTACTCCCTCCTCCTCATCACTAGTCAGGGTAATATCTTTACTGGGGGGCAGGGATTTCGGCTGGGGAAGGCTGGGCTCATTGTCATCAGGATCGAGTTCATCCTGGAAACCAGACACCATGGGGTTTCCTTTGCCTTCACCATCGCTAAAGAGAAAGAAAGTAAACAAAAACAGATCTTTGACCTTTTCTCTTTGACAGGACACATTACTTTGAAAAGAGCAATTAATGATCATGTCTTTTAAACTGCAGTTACTGTAAATTGGTTTGTTAAGTAGCACACATGCTCACCTGCCAAAAATGCATGTATGCTATTACAGTTAAAGCCAAAAAAAGAAGCCCTGTTGTATTATTTTCTAAAACCAACAGTTTCATTTCTTTAAGAATCACCAGTCAACTCGATACATTTTGAAGTTTCTGTACACTGCATAACATTGATATTTCACTTCATTTTTCATCTAACCTCAAAAAAAACAACACTTGGCTGTTCAAAGACGGTAATGTCTTTTGATGTCTGTGTGAACTTTTTAACACATTACTTTTTAATTTTATTGAAGTCAGCTTTTCACAATCATTCAAAGAGGTGGGAAGGGGGCCATCTGCTGGAAAGCCGCTGTCACAGCCCTGGTCAAAAGATACTTGAGAAAAAACCTCATCAACAGGATCTATTTTTTGAGTTCTTGTGGTTTATACCCAAACTTCTTTAAAAGTCTATAAAAATGTGCAAAACATCTTGATATTTTGAGTCAACACATTGTTTCACGAGGAGGATAGAATGAATTAAGTCTTGTTCCTCTCCACAATAAGTTTCTTTTTAGGTTCATGAAAAGAGGACGTTTTAACCACATCTCAGAGGATATCCAAGCTCATAACAAATTATAAGTCGACGCTCACCTGTCACTGTCCATGGCTGAAGCAGGCGCAGGCTGAGGCACCTTGTTCTTGGAGGGCAGGCTGTCCTCCAAAAAGCTCCTATCCAGTCCTTCATCTGGCACAAAATCATCCACGCTCTGAACCTTAGAAGGACAGACCTGTGCGGGCGGGTCCTCTGAGGAAAACATAGAGGAAGATTTATGTGAGTAACTACTGAACAATTTAAACCTATTAAAAAATCTACACTGTAGCTCCCATCACAGCACTGCCATGTGTTGCCGTCCTAATTACCAAAAAGTCAGACGAGACTGTTCGATCACATGACATTCACACACCAGCCGGTCAGTTGATCATTTGAAAAGCTCTGCATTGCTGGACTGCTAAATCATGAATCTTGTGACTACTTACTGTCGACTGAAGTTTCTGTTTTGTACTACAGTATTCAACAGCTGAAACAACAACAAATAATAGGATAGTATGTGTGGCTTTGAATGTATGACAACAGAATCTGAAATCTGAAATCTGACGTCAAATGTTGATTCATTAATTTAAACCTTTTAAAGGGATATTCTGGCATAAAATTAAGTTAGGGTCAAACACACCGTAACACCAAATTAGACACCCAGTCGAGAGATCAGTGTTGGTTCTCTAGTTATACCAACTTTAGAAACGAACGCAGATAGCAATACAGAGAGCCACGCGCTAAACCAAAACTCCACTCTATAGCCACAAATAATGCTCAGAACAGCACCTAACTTTAAATAGGGTGCCAGCCATAGCACTAGCCGCCAAACATCTTTTTAACTTTGCTTGATTTCTTTAGCAAAGAGACTAAACACGACTCACCTACTCTCTTCCAGCAGCCGCTTGTTCGTATGGAGACCTCGGGCAAGTTCAAACTAACTGCAGCAGGGTGATGCAGCTCAAAGAAGAACATTTATGATCATTTCTTTATCATTTCCTTGCAGTAATAATCATGATATTAATCATTTTGAACTGCAGTCGCAGTAGTTCTTCTGCAGAGTGGCTTTTTGGTTGAGCGTGTGGCTCCTGAGACTGCTGTGTATTGCTATCGTGCGGTCGTTACTAAAGTTGGTATAACTAGAGAAGCAAGCAGTCGGCAACATTCATCTCTCGACGGGGTGTCTAACTTGGTGTTTTGGTGTTTTTGGCCCTAACTTAGTTTTACACCGGAATATCCCTTTAATTTGCATTTGGCATGTATCCACATTATTTTAAACAGACTAAACAACATCTTTGAAATATTTCAACATTGCAGAATTTCTAGAACTATACATGTAGCCTTTGTGTAGTTTATAGGTAGTTCTGTTTCACATAACTGGCACTACTAATTTTGTTTGTGGTTTTACGGTTTCAGGATATTCAATATTCAAATGCTAAACTTTTTTGTTGTTTGTTTTTTCTTTTTGCAAATACTCATATTGAATTTGATGCCTGCAACATATTCTATAAAAAAGCCTGGGATAGAAGCTTGTTTATCACTGTGCTATATCACCTTTCTTTTGAGCAACACCCAACATGCATTTGGGAAATGAGGACACTAACTGTTGAAGCTTTGGAGGTGGAATTATTTCCCCATTCTTGTTGTAATAAATAAATGAAGGAGTGTTGGTACAGAAGAGTCAAACCTAGTCCAGAAGCAGAAGCCTCAGCAGCGGGTGATGAGCCGAACCAGCGGGACATGAAGCCGCGTTTCTGGGGGGCTGCTGCTCCAGATGCTGCTGCGGACTGAAGGTGTTGAGGCGACTGGGTTGGAGGCTTTGACTCAACAACAGGCGAAGCTACTCCGCTAACCCCTGCTGAAGGAGTTGGAGGGGAAGACGCCGTCACAGATGGTGACTGTGGGATAACCTGGGGGGGAATGGGAGGCTGCGGAGTGCTGGGGCTGGAGCTGCCTGTAGAGGCCCCACTAGGAGGGACAATGGGAGACTGGGAGCCTGAGGATGGACTCTGGCCGTTGGCTGGACCAGGGGAGCCGTAGCCCTTACTGCGAGACTCCAAGTTCTCCAAGAATCTGCAGAAATCACAGCATGACTGATTAATATCATTTCATTTCATTTTCCCCCAAGCTCAAGACTGAACAGAACTCAGGGTTGCTGCACATACAATATCTTACAATCAAAGACTTAGAATATGCTCCTAAGACCCCCTCCAACAATTAATTCACTGCCTTTTTCATCTTAAAGCCACATTTCTTTAAATTCACATGCTCTCATTTCTCTCTCTTTTCAGTTGTGTTTACTGTCTGTTAATGTGTACATAATAAAGTACCATAAATGCTGCATTTTTTCTAAGAAACAAGTAGTTCCACCAACAAGAATACAAAAACTTTACATTACGATGTGAAGTAGTCAGATATGTTTCAAATGTGTCTCATCTTAAATTTACCAACTCTTGGAAGCAAGAGTAAGAATTTTAAGACTTAAACCTTTAAAATCCATATCAAGACTTTCCATGTGAATGCTGTAAATGAGGCCTGATGCCTAATTTTTAAATTGCTTTTAATTCTCATCATTGATGAGATTTTATCATATTTTCTAAATGTTTTTGATCCGACTGATTAATTCACAAATTAACATCCTTACCAGTCATACAACTACAGCAGTGGTGTTTAGCTATATAAACCCAAGGATGATCTCAACAGTGTCCAACAACAACAACAGTCTATGTAGTTAGCAGGAGTGCAGTAGTGTGGCCAATATAGAAGAGTTTGGTTAGGTTAAATCACTGGTCTCAATGAGTCTATGTATTTTAGATCTAAAGAAGCATGGAGGTGTCTTGAGTAAAAGACAAACAACGTCGCTGTGGTCACAGAACTTCTCTGAGTTCAACGCTTGAAAAAAACTTGAGGAAATTGTAAGTTTTTTTTTCTTACTTTCCTCGCAGCTGACAGCAGAGACTTAAGTGAGCATGTACTCTTCCTACATCCAACTCTATCCCCTCTTTTCATGTTGGAACTGTTGTGCCTTACAGATTTCCTTTGCACTACAGAGTCCCTGAAAGGACAAGCTTTCAAGTGTGAGGTTTTGACCAGATAGTACCGAGTGCACACAGCACACAGTCTAGCGTTCAACAAAATCCATTGTAAAACGAAACTTCTGCTCATGTCCCTCCTCTGGGATCTGGACAACAGTACACAGGCAGACAGAAAAAGAAGGAACACGGTACATGTCATAGTTTTGATCCTCAGTCTCCTGTTGGACACACAGCTCCTCCAACGTTGCATCCATGTCTAGTTGGTTGGTTTCCAGCTGCCTCAGAAGTGTCTCTCTCTGAACATACACACCAACATACAAGCACAAACTTGACATGAATGATTAAACGAGGGCTCAGATTAAGCCTCGGCAGTCACACTGTTAGAAAGCATGATTAGAGAGAATGTCGCTCTGGCTTAACAATAAAGCATGTGACTTCAAGCTTACCGGATCCTTAAATCAGCGATAGTTGGAAAAACTAGAACAGTTTGAGTATTTGTGATCATTCAGATGTAGAAACTAACCTGTAGCTGCAGGAAGGGGATGTTGAAAAACCTGTGTAGATACTTCAAGCCGAAGCCGTTTTTCATTGAGGACTCAGCATAGTGGATGTAAGAGGATCCCATCGGCCTGTGAAACACAAGTAAAAGCGGTTGACTTTCATGACTGCTTCCTGTATGGAGTATATGTATAGATTTACTTTTTCATCCTCTTCATCACATCAGAGTGAGAACTAATTATACTTGAATTCAAATTCAAAAACCCAACAGCCAATCAGATTTCACAAGAGGCAGCGATGGCTCTGGTTTCATTTGACCCTTAAACTGATCTCTACCTGTTGAGTCCAGCGATAAGGTCTCTGATATCATCAGGAAGGATCACACGATGCTCGCCCATGTCCCGGTGGTTTCCCAACACACACACTGGCACATGGGTGGGTACTTTAGGTAGTTCTCTTAAGATGTAGTTAAACGTCCTGCAAGCACAAAATAACAGCACAGGATGTAGATGTACAGAGACGATTGCCTGATTGATTAACTGATCCAAAATTTCCTGTTTCATTTGACTTTTTAAAATAGAAGTAATCCTTTTACGTGTACATTTTTATAATATAGATTCCAAAGGTGCGTGTACTCTGGACAAAGCTAAGAAAATTAAGATAAAAAGAACTTTAATTATCCCCGAGGGGAAACTTGATACTGTAAACTCTTATTGTAATCGTAAACTATCAAGTCAGAACACATTCTGCTGGACAAGCTATCGGGTGTTAGAAAGGATAAACAATGACTTTTTCCTAATGGAGCTCACACGTTTCAATATGTAGAAGCGCATTAAAAAAAAACATTGTATAATTTTTTTAACGCGCTTTAATGAGTCAGAGTCAGAGAAAAGGATGTCCTGCGCCAACTGGCAAGAGGCAAGTGTGTGATGTTTTAATGCACAGCTTTGGTTGAACTACATGCCTGAGTTGAGCTTCTACTACCTGTAAAGTAGGGGTGGGAGAAAAAAATCGATACAGCAAAGTATCGCGATATTTTGTCTGGTGATGTATCGTATCGTCTCATTTACTAAGTATCCATTTTTTTCAAATAAATTGCTAATATGAAGTCAAATCTATGATAATGGAAAAATAAAATCAACTGGTTGTCCAATGAGGTTGGCAGAGAGGACATCATAGAGCAGGAGAAAGTTAGTAAAACAAACATGTAAGGTTTGCAAGATGTGCTACATGAAAATAAAATACAACATAAATAAGACAAACATACTGTAAAGCAATGCTATTCTTTCTGGAATGGACCTATATTAGTAAAGTACTATCATGGTCTTGTTACACAGTCCAAACAGTAGGTATAAATCCAAAAATCTTCAATGTAGTCCCCAGACCTAGACAGACACAACCAGAGTTATCGCAATTATCTACCTTTTTTTTTTTTTTACTTTTACTTTTACCTCAGAAATACCAGCGCTGGTGTCTCATTTCTGTCTAAACCAGGGGTCGGCAACCTTAAACACTCAAAGAGCCACTTGGACCAGTTTCCCACAGAAAAGAAAACACAGGGAGCCACAAAACCTCTTTGACATCTAAAATGAAGATAACATTGCATACATCTTTTTTTTTTACCTTTATACAAAGTATATAAAAAACTGTAGCGAGTTGCATTTATGAAATAAATGAACTATTTCGGCGAGTGTCTGTCTTCTTCTGTAGTTAGACCGCAAGATATCAAAATCTACCCGGATACAGCAATGCTGCTTTTTGATTGGCTGTTCAGTAGATATACTTTATTTGATTGGCTTGTGCGTGGCACGCAGCTTCTGAACTCTCGGAGGAACTCAGTTGATTTCCCCCAGTTCCATAGTTGAAGAAGTGCAACTTGGTGGACATCACCGTGTTCATTTAAATGCGTGAGAAATACAATGTGTGGTGTGTGAGCGTGTGAACGAGTGGGAATGCGTGTGTCATACACTGAATGCGTGAGACTTGAGAGCCCTGTGCTCACGCATCATCGATGTACTCCCGAGCCATGCAAAACGGTCTTTGCAAATGTTGCACTGAACGCCTTCCTTTTCAATCTTGGTAAAGTTTTCCCACACCACTGATGTTTTAGGTCGGGATTTGGGTTGGGTTGTGTCCATGTTTTTCTCAGCCGCTGCCTCGGCCATGGCTGTTTCTTTTCTGTGCGTCCTGCTGATGTTTACACGCCGGTGTCCATGGACATATATAAAGACCCGACGAATCGATTACAGAATTTGTTGGCAACGGATTTTTTCGTCACGACGAATCTACTTAATCGATTCGTTGTTGCAGCCTTAATAGTTTATTTAATGTTACAAGAGCATTATAATCTTTGAATTTAGAATTACAAAAAAATAATAATAAAATAAAATAAAATGCAATTAAGTATTTATTATTTATTTTCCAAATCCATTGGGAGCCGCAGCATAGGGAAGAAAGAGCCGCATGCGGCTCCAGAGCCGCGGGTTGCCGACCCCTGGTCTAAACCATCGCTACATTATTTACAAAAACAGATGTTCACTGGAAACAGACAAATGTTACTTGTACAGTTTGACATTACGGTGAACATATTGGGACTAACACATGAAAGTGATAATTATATCTTGACTACAAGTAACAAATTTGTACATCTGCAACAAGACACATTAGCCAATGCTAAAATACCAACAGCTTCCTCAAGACATGCAAGTATTACTGTTTTTAAACATCTAACACCCGTACAATGAGCCTTTGAAGGTTTTGCCTTTAAAGCTGAACAGAATCCTGCAGTGGAAACTCCATCGCCACATGCAGACGGACTGAAACCTTATCTGTCCATGCATATTGTAGCATGAGAGTTCACTGATGAGACAGGGTGAAGACAACGACCAGGACACACACAAACCCTTACCACTGCTTGGTTATATCAAACATCATGATGACCCCGTTACAGTTCTTGTACACATCCAGGAACTCTGCGTCCAGGGCCACTTCATCGGACTACAACACACACAAACACTTAGATTAATTAAGAGAATCTGTTACACAAAAATAACACTTTAAAGTTTTACTCTTGAAATCCTGTAAGACTTATTGAGCAAATTCCATCACTGACCCACATACTATAAGTCAGCTTTTTTTTTCCCTGAACACATGACATTCATGTGATAATCACCTCTTGAGTCTCATTCTCCAGTTTCAAATTGTCTCCGCGGCGTTTGCCTTTGCCTGAGAGAACAAGAAAGAGATGTGTTGAATTAAGACGAGCTGGAATTACTTCACGCCCACGGCTTAGTATGTTGGTTTACATTAGTCTAAAACAATCAAAAGCAAGCACAGCAGCACCGCAGCTTTTCTTACTGAAAAGCATATTGCAGGGTTGTTTTAACATACACAGCCCATGTAAATACACATAGCTGGCATTTAGTCATGGCTCACGTGGTTCATACACTCTGAAATCCAACGACACAGCAAACCTGGGAGTAGCCAAACCTTGAGATTATTGACATTTCACATAGAGAGAAGAGCTAAGCGGGGGCAAACCTACAGCACAAGAGCAAGTTCAGTCTCTACACACTATTGTGGAGCTCACCTACACCTTCAGGAAGAGGATATTTTTGGCCTGATATGAGTGCAAGAGAGGTAAAAAAAAAAAAAAAAAAAAGACAACATCAACAAACACAGACAAACACCCATTCATCTGTTTGATGTTCTGACAAACTGTGGCAGAGTGACTGCAGTAAATAGACAAAGGCGTAACTTCTAAGAGCGAGGTAAGGCCCCAGTGGAAAGTCTGGCAGGTGTGTCAACACTCACCTTTGTCTACCACGTCCCACACCTCTACTTTGACCACATCATCAGTAGCTTTGAAAAAAAAGAAAGAGCATTCATATTATTCATGTTCTTAAGCAGGCGTGTAAAATAAATCATATGTACAACCTTTTAAAGCTGGGGTATGCTTTAAAACTCTCCTTTTCCCTTTACAGCTCTCATTACATTCAAACAAACACCAAGATATCTGTTGTAGTCACATGCCTGTCATCATGTACCAGTAGTCTGGCATTGTGATTGAAAAAGTTGAGAATGGTATTATGCGCAATTCCAATGTGTCAATTCTAACTATCTAACTGATCAGGGGTCATTAAAGATAGAAAACAAACAAAAATGGTACTTAAGTACAACAAAGTGAAGAAAGGTTTGAAGAGAATTATAAAGAACATCACACTTCTGCCTGCTGGTCACGTCTTAGTCTTAGTTAGACTTCATCATGCCTGACTGAAAACACTGAACCTTCTGTGGCAACATTTATATTGTTATTTCTAATATAAAGAATAAATGCAGATATCTATCAGGGATGTGAGTGGCAAAGGGCGAAAAAGAAAATATGTAGACTATCCTAAGTCTAAGATCCTGAGATCCTTCTCTATCATAAATGATTGGCTTTACCAGGTGAGATGAACTACAGCCCCCAGCACAGGATACATATGGAGACAAAACTTTATGTCCTGCATTTGATTTTTGCACATAAATGTTTTTTTTTTACCTACTTCTCTTTTTGCTTTTTTTTTTTACATGCACCCCTTTATTTGTGCACGTGTCAAAAATTAGAATCAAAGAGAACAGTTATCAAAATTCAGTAATAACATAAACTACAAGTTTATAAAGCGTATGCGTAGCTTTAAGAAACACAGATACATTTTGGCAGCAAAATGAGGAGTTAAAAAATAAGTTTTAGAGCGACACAGACAGTGCGTCAATTCACCATGGTAACCTTTTGTCACCAACCTACATACAAAGAAAGAGGATAGAGACACTGTGCCGCTGCCAACTCTGTGCACTAAGGTCAATAAGTGTCTAAATGACAATTCTGTGACTGTGTAGCAACATATCACCATGTTAAATTAGAAAATGATATCTGATGTGCTGATCCCGGTGATTTAAAAGCAAGCAGCCTCCTTTGTGATTGAAATATAAAAAAAAACACAGGGCCAATCAAAATGTCCTCTTCTTTCTGCCACTGAAACACATCAGAGTAATTATCTGTTGGCTAACGAATGTTGGAGTATGTTTGCAGCACCGTAAATCAACGCTATCAGTTAAAACAGGTTACTGCAATCCTTGTAAAATCACCATATCGAACTAACATCCTTGAAGACTAATGAAAATTATTGGGTCAACTTTCAAACTGGATACTGTAAAAATATATCCACATGCAAAAATATGCAACAAATTTTCTCAGTATCTATCAGATTGTAGTGCATAATCAATGATTAACTTTGGAACACAACTATTACTTAATATGCGCCATATGGGAGTATGGCATGGCTGTCAATGTATTGACGCAGGTGAATCGTGGTAATTAAACTCAATGCATTGATGCAGTAAATGAATCTTTACAGCCCTACTGAATATTCATGTAACTTTTGGTTGAATTACTGTTTTCTTTTTACCCCAGCTTTAAAGACCTCAAAACAGTATCTAGGCACTAAAAACACAATCAGTAGTAGTGGAAGGAAAAGAGCTCCTATTGGAAGGACTGACACAAATAGAGGACTTCTCAGCTAAAACTAAACCTACACACTTTTTTTCCTTTACCTTGATATGGAGCCACTGAAATATATCATGAAGAACAGGAGATGTCAAACATTCAAGAAAATAAACAAACAAACAAACAGAAGCAGCAGTGATAAGGTGAAAGCTGTTCATATGCAGAGAGGAGATGGGTTACTCACTTTTGTAGTTCCAATGGATACTTGTGGCTTGGATCTCCTGAGTGGGAAGGTATTCCTCTACAAACTTCTTGCCCTGCAGTCGATGCCATAAAGTACTCTTTCCAGTGTTTCGGTCTCCCCGGATGACTATTTTCACTGTAAAGGAAAAGATACTCAAAATTACAACCCATCCAAAATACAGCTTTGTGTCTGCAGAGCCATGTCTTTCTGATTGGCTGGTACTTACTGTTATACTGAACCCCTTTGGCAAAGCGTCTCTGTAGACTTTGGTTCATTGACTGCATGCCGGCCGGAATGTTCTTGTCCCTGAGCTGCCCCGGCTCAGATCCCACCAGCTTCTTTAGTGCTGAAAACATCTTGACTTTACTTTACAAGCTTTACGGTAAAACTTGGTCGTGTACAGTGGTCTCTCACAACTGAAAGAGAAGTGTAACAGTGTTCCTAACTGCTGAGTTAAGGGTCCATGCTTTGACACAAATCCAAAGCCAAAGCAGTGAATACTGAGCGGTGCTTCTTTCAGATCCAACTTGGTGTTCTTGCTCGCTGGTCAGAGGTGGAAGTATCTACCATGTTGTTTTGAGCATCATCTGCAAAGAAGAATGAATAAGGACGTCAGGTTTGGGAATCTATTTTGAAATCTTTAATTCTCAAACATTTACATGGTGTCAGTAAAGAAAGAGGTGATAGAACACTTTGGCAAACGTGTTTCTGCCCAAACATTTTTGGAATAAAATTTTAATCAAGCATATGTATTCTCCATTAAACAAACAAAAGAAAAAAGTTGCAACATCCACATTAGACATTTTGTCTGCAGTATTTTTAATTAAATATCAGGTTTAAATTATTTGAAAACCGTCAAATTCTGATTTTAATCAACAGTATCTAGGGCTGGGCGACATGGGAAAAGTTTATTTAATATTGATCTCATTAGGAAAAAAGGTCAATTGGATTGTGTCAGATAGGGCTGGGCGATAAAACAATAACGATATATATTGAAAATTAATTTCCCTCAATATCAACATAAAACATGGTCAATATGCTTTTTCGATAGTTGCCATTCTGCCATGTTTTGGAAGACAATACAAATAGGCAATGAAAAGGGGAGTTGCTCCAGGTCCGCTTCGCACTGAACCAAGCATGTGCTGAAGTAGCAAACAACTGTGTTGTAGCAGGCTGCAGCTACACAGAATCATCGCATTTTAACGTTTAACTTGACTCTTTACAAGTTGTCCTTCAGGTGATATCTTTGTAATGTTTGGTGTCTTTTATCATAAAGCACTCTGTTCTCTGACACGTAAACAATCAGCCGGCCGGCCATGTTGGATATACCATTGAATCTGACGTCGCCACAACACGCAATCTGATTGGTCAGAAGTGGACACACAGTATGAGAAACTCCGAAAAAATAAATGCTGCAATATCGCAGGACTGGAAAATGTTGCTGATGTGAACGCTTGTATTGACAGGATACAGATTCGAAAAAAAATATCCGAAATAATCGCATGAAAAAAATGGTCCCAGTGTGTAAGGACCTTAACAGGGAACATTTAAGATTGACAAGTGCTTTTTTTATATTGTGATATCGATATCGACTGTGATAAACTTTTTCCCATATCGTCCAGCCCTAGAGTTAGATGAAGCATAGACTAGCTGAAAGCTACCTTCAGATTAATCAGTGCAGATTTAGAAAAATCTGATCAAAATAAGACCCTTGATATTAATAGGTATTTATTTTGTTTGTAACACGCTATTTCTATGTGTAACAATGTAGCAGCACATCACACTACACTACATCTTTTTCTCCTATTCCGCAAACCTATTGTAAATACAAGTCCCTAACCAAATGCGAAATACTACAGCTGAATTGGTTTGTTTGGTTGTACTATACTGTCTATTTATGGTACTGCTTTCATTTTCTGCTTACACCACTGCCTAGTGGCTCTTGGATCGCCTCCCGGCATCAAAAAGGAGGTTTGATTTGTAATATGACTGAAGTGAAGTGTGAAATTAAGGTTTGCAGAAGTAAATCCATGTCTGTGTTAAATCTCAAAGGGAATAGCAAGGAGCAGTTGATCATCCACAATCATCGGGGTTTGTCTCCATTTGACAACACCAGAGAAACGTATGAATCCGTCCATTACAGCAGAAACTAGCTCTAATTCATAGTAATGACACAATCATTCATTTACTTTTACACACAATCTTCCTTTCTACGTTATGCTGCTAGCGTTAGCTGGCCAAGCTGTTAGCTAGGCTAAGACAGATTTTGACAGCAGTTTTGACGGCAAGTGTAACATCACATCACCTGCTTTCAGTTTTCAGGTGATCACAGACTTCTGACAGAAATGGATCAACCTGGTTTGTTATCCATCCTGACTGAAAGGTAACGTTATCCTCTCAGTCTGACTAAGCTAGCCGATATTAGCCTCGCTTAGCTCTCCGTTCGTTCATTGACATTTTTCGGCGAAACAAATGGGTGTTTGTATTTGATATAGTTTCTGCTACAAATACTCACGGTTATTTATTATGACAACAAAATGCACCCCCGACATCTTTATCTCGAAACATCTGTCAGACCTCCATCCCGACACAGATGAAGCAGCAGCGACATTCCTTTACAAAGACAGCAACCACCGAGACCCTGTTCCAAGCTAACGCGAAACTATACAACTTCCGGTAATATTTTCAAAATAAAGCTAAATAAACTTGACGACCTAATATTGTATCCTTTCATTAAAATATCCAGTAACTACGGTGGCCGAGAACTGCCACTGCTGCAAATAAAAAAAGAATGCAACAAATAAATCAATAAATAAAAGTCAAAACAGAAATTACCAGTGAAACTAAAAAAGAAACCAAAGCCCGCTGCAAATAAAAAAGAAATGGTGCAGATAAAAAAAGCCAGATGCAAAAAAAATAAATAAATAAAAAAAAAAAAAAAAAAAAAAAAATATATATATATATATATATATATATATATATATATATATATATATATATATATAGATTTAAAACGTGCCTATGGTGAAATGTGGGGCCAAAAAAATGGCCATGATAGGCACTTACAGATTGCACTGGTGCAACCAAGGCATGTGCAGAAACAAACAAGGCGCCATGAGCCTTCACTCTGACTGAACTGTCCAGTTTTACCCTCTAGAGCCATCCACAAGATTATCCCACATTATTCTGAATTTGTGCTAATAATAATAATAATAATAATAATAATACATTTATTGATAAAGCACTTTTGAAAACAAGAGCTTACAACGTGCTTAAACATGCAGGAAGACAAAGACGATACAAACAACATAACAACAACAACAAGAGAACACTTGGGGGGAAATGACATGGCAATAAAGAAATGAAATAAAATAAAATAAAAATTGGTGGAAGACATATAAGCTTTGATGAGTGTCACATAAGAAGGTCTGTTGGAAAAACCAGACCTGCCATCATAATCATGTCTAAAATTGTTTGTCATATCTAATTGGGTAATTGCTTTGGGGTAATACTCTTAATTTGTTCTAGTGTACATATTCTCATTCATGTATACAAATTTGTTACTAAAGGGTATAAACAATACATAATACATTTATTTACATAAATGTATCACGTATACATAAATGTATACATGATACATTTATGTATACATTTATGTATACGTGATACATTTATATACATAAATGTATTATGTATACATTACATTTATGTATATAAACCATGTGCAATTTTATCTTTTTAATTTTTTTGGTCCCCTTACTATTGGTCACTTAGTTTTTGGTCCATGTACGTTGTTTATATTATGTGTATGTTGTCAGTGCATTGTTTTACTGTCTTGGTCATGTTGTTTGTACTTTTAACATTATTGCTTTTATGTTTAACATCAACCTGCTAATGGGACTGGGGATGGAAATTAGCCATCTGGCTATAATCCCACATATTTACATGTAAATGTTCATCAACATGTACTGTTCCCATTTTTAAAAATAAAGAAATAGAAATAGAAAAATGAACTGAGAGGACATTAAACAAAGACATTGTAAGAGCCCATGATACCCAGCCAACACAGGAACCCAACCACAAAAACCTGAGACCAAGGAGACTATTACAAAACATGAATATGAAGCGTAAAAGGTTTTGAAGAAGACAAAATAAAGTCTATAAAAATGAGTTTTATGACGTGATTTAAAAGCAGTGTTATAAAGGAAATACAGGACTTGACTTTTACTTTGGCACTTAAAATGACTTCACTTCCCAGATTAAACTAGCTCAGGAAATTTACTTTTCGTTGCTGTGGTGGTCCAATCCAGTGAACCCTGCTTCCTCATTGATACCTGCCTATATGTTCTTCTCGGCGGCTTGCGGCACCTAGCGGTAGACGTAGTAACTTACACCTGGACGCAGCATCCTCAGCTGTCACTTTATCACTTGAACACGCCTGATGATATTGGCCTGTGCATGTGAACATTCAACAGTGTCATGCCTTCTTAACACAAGCAGTAATGCAAATATAAAAAAAATGGTGTATCATTTACGAGTTGCTGGTGGCGATTAGTTCCAACATAACATTCAGCTTTATTTGCAGTCTTGAACACACCCCGCTGAGCACCCCGATATTGTTCAAGGGGAATAATGGCTGCACAGGAGCCGTCTCCACCATCTTCCCTGGAAGGCAACAAACCGGGCTTCCCAAAGAAAATTCTCGCCAACAACCTCGAAGACAAACATTTGTGCAATTCGTGTCAGAAAGTCCTGAGAAGGCCTCTGCAAGCTCAATGTGGGCATCGCTTCTGCTCGTTCTGTTTCAACAAAATAGTGAGGTGAGTGTCATGGTTGCTAGCATGCTAAGCTAGATGTGTACAGCCTGTTAGAGCAACCCGAGCTTATCACAAGACCCCCTTTAAATATCTTTCACTTTTACACTTCATTTCTTGGTGTCACTGGTATTGCTTACATGATAAAAAGAATAAAGTTGCGGAATTATAAGGGGCTCACTTAGTAATTCGGGCTACACACATTTCATCAGTGACCTCTCAATATGAATGAATTCATAACTTGCATGATGGTTTGACCAAGTGTCCTCCTGTTTAAACCCTCTTATAACCTCCTCTGTGGCTCAGCGGAGTCAGTGATAGAACAAAACATGGTGAAGCAGCGTTTCGGGTTTTTATCATCAACGTAAACTCATCATCTGACGACAACTAGATTTTACAGTTAGAAATAATAAAAATGCTTTTCTAAGAAACGAAAAACGAACTGAAACTGCATCATGTTTACAAATCTTGATAGAATAAAATCCAATCAGGTAGAAAATGTCTCAATCCTCCATCATTGTCAAGTTATTTCAAACCATACAAGCACAATGACACTTTTCCTTTTTGTTATCCTTTGGGGAAGCTGTGATTCTTTATCCTATCTCATTAAATAGTTTATTTCAATCGGTATTGTTTCATATAAATACATTTTTTTCAGAACTATCTTCTTATCAGTTATCCCAGAAAGTTTTATAGGTTTTATTTCCAAACCAATATGATGTGTTGTTTATTGTTGTTATTGGTGGCTGTCTTGCATAAGTCTGGTCCCACCCAAGATCTCTGTCTGTTAAAAGGAAGTTTTTCCTTGCCACTGTTACTCACAGTAGATGAGATGAGCCAAATCCCATTTTAGGTTGGGTCCTGATAATTTATTGAACAATAAGCGTGGTCTAGACCTGCTCTTTTTCTTTGGAAAGTGTCTTGGGATGACAACTGTTGTGAATTGGCACTATATAAATAAAATTTGATTGATTGATTGATTGATTATTATTTTTTACTTTTTTACTTCTTCTTCTTCTTCTTCTTCTTCTTCTTCTTCTTCTTCTTCTTATTATTATTATTATTATTATTATTATTATTATTATTATTATTATTAGTAGTAGTAGTAGTAGTAGTAGTAGAAGAAGTAGTAGACACTGATTTTGTTTTTTTCATTGTGTTCATTTGCAGTAGAAATTGGTACTTGTGAATCTGGTTTGATACAAAATGTGACCAGTTTGGAAAAGTATGGGATTGTTTTGAATAAGTTATGTTAGCTTAGTCCACATTCTTCTGTGATTTTTATATTTAACAAATTTCCAGTGTCACCAACTTCGAAAAAAAAAAAAAAAAAGATCGAATAACTCCCCTTTACACTTGAGGTTTGTTCCTGGTGTCTGTATACTCTGCATAGGTGAAACTTGTTGAGATTTAGGAAAATGGTGGGTTGGGTTGTGGAAATCAGTAGTGTAAAAGCAGTATTGTTTTCCCAAGGTCCCTTTTAATGAGATAATTTGTTCATAAATATGCAGCAATATTGTCACTGGTCTCTGACCAGCTGCATATAAACAAATTTTCAGAGTACTCAGGCTGCAGCTACTAAAACAGACGTTTTATTTTTGTTAAGTTAAAACATTTCTGCAGTCATCTGGTTGCAGTTTAGATGCTGGACAAACAATTATCAGACTTCAGAAAATGACTAAACTGAGAAATTGTATAAAATCTACTCTAAAAAGGTTGTCAGGATTTTTTTAAATGCATTTATCAGTAAACTGAACTGTGACTTGTGTTGGTATTACACATGAAGAAGACCTGTTGAGAGCCAAAACTGAGCAGGTTCAAACATGTGTACAGTATATGAGGCATGATAGATGGCACAGTATTTATTTAAACATTGCAGATATTTGTCTTTCCCTTTTTCCAGTTCTGGGCCACAGAAATGCAGTGCTTGTATTAAAGAAGACTTGTTTGAGGAGCCCACCTCTATTCTCAAGCAAGGTGGTGTAAGTACATATTTTACCCACATGTTATATTTTCAAGAGGACCACGTGATTACAATCAAAACAGCATATGTGCGTAGTAAAGCCCCAAGGTTTGTTGACTTACTGAAGAGGCTGTGACTCAGCATAGGTTTCAGCCAGGTTTGGTATTTTTGAGATGCAGGTGTTGAGCGCAAAGTTCTTTTAGGAGTCCAACAAGTCTTTGAGTAATTCTGAAAGTCTGCACCATAATATCATTCAATAGCATATCAATATCAAAGAGCCAACACAACCTTAAAATTTGTGGCTGCATTATAACTCTAAAGAAGTGAGGTCAAGCATTCTGCATGAGTTTGTAACTGTATCCCTCAGACTGTAACTGAAGACAGAGTGTTGTTGCTAAAAACGACTTCTTTTTCTCCATGCAGGCTTTCCCTGACAATGCAGCAAGGAGGGAGGTGGAGGCTTTGGCAGCGGTCTGTCCAAATGAAGGATGCACATGGACGGGAACTATCAAAGAATTTGAGGTGCAAATGAATGAAAGGCAGACTGAGGAGTGAATACACACCCAGTCAAATGTTAGATACGTTTTAAAAGTGGCAGGTGTGTTAGTTTGCTCTATCAGCCAGTAACTGTTGAGTGATGTGTGCGTATGTGCATCTGCCCTTATAAAATCCTTTTCACAGATTCACGTTCTCTCATAAGTAATGTCTCAGCAATTTATGACATTTTAAGGGGCATTTATTTTCACAATATTGATATTAGAGCTTTTCAAAAAGCTTTTTTCAATTGCTGCAACTACTGAAAGTCATGCACAGTATCATCATTATAACAATTTACATGTAATATCAGCTTCACAAAAAAAATGTTTTCTACAGCATGCTTAGAGACATTTTTGTATGTCTGGATTGTTGTTCTTGCTGTTGGATCGGAGGCACTGATCATTTTGAACACCAAAGTCAAAACACAAACAAGTTACCTTATTGAGTCAGTATTAACCAACAACTTCCTTCCTTTTGAGGTTAAATTACCATTGTGTCAGTGGAGTGTTGTGGCTCTATAGAGAGAAGAACAGGCTGTTACTTGTTAAGATAGGAGCACTGAACTCAACATGATAATTCAATTCAATTATATTCTATTATACTGGATATTAGATATACTATATATGTTATATAATATATAAATCATAGTAGATACACAGATATTCCATGAAAATTATGATAATAAAAATAACAATCTAAAGATTAAATATCCCTTAGGTAGGTGCAATCAACAGCAAAGCAGATCACCATGTTGATTTGAAGCAGACACTCCCAGTTAAGTTATATAACTGCTGTGTTATTGTTTGTTATGTTTTCTTTCATCATCCCCCATACTTGGTTATCATACAGAACAATGCCCCCATTTGTCAACAGAGCTGTCAATCAGGATGTCATATCTGCTTTTTTAAATTTTTTAAAAAATGATCACTTGTGCATAAATCAGTGTATCTAGGAAGAACTATAATGACAGTAATAATGTTTGAGACAAATTTATTTATTTGGTGTATTTTGATTTAATAGTTGAGCATCTGTCCCTTGTATTAACATTACAGAGGCAGGGTTTAAGACCTATACTGCAGCCAGTCACAAGGAGGAGCTCTAAATCCTCTTACTTCAGGTCAAAAAGATCCTCATGATGTCCATTTTATACACAGTCCATGTTCATCATCACTGCTTCTTAGAACTACCTCTTGATTAAAGCAATATGAGTTGTTTTGGCTCCACTGTCAACAGATTTACAGGCTGTTTCTATGTAGTTTTTTCAGACAAAGCTACTGTTTAAGAAGTGCTGGCTACAATATTCTGTTGAACGAAAATGACGAGTTCTCCAAGTGTGCACTTTAAATGATATGCTCAGGTCCTTTAGATCTATATTTTGTGCACATGTATCAAGTTTTTTAGGGTTTTAAAAATTATTTGATCATAAATCAACAGAGGGTCAAAGCCTCTTTTCCTGCCTGGTAAACAGGATATCTGGGAAATCAGCCAGGAACATAATGTCTCACAATGTCTTAGAGTCAACATAACATTAACAGATCTGGGAATACTCTGTCCGACTTTCCTGGCAAACAGCACCTGACCTTACAAATATCCATGCTTAGTATAAACCATCTATAAATCAATTTTTTCCCTCCTAAGCTCACGGACACTTTGATGTCTGTGGTTTAGGAGTGTCTTGATATTGGGAATTTGGCTGTTGTAAGACGTCTGTATGTCGTGGCTCTTAATGCACTTCCACCTGCCTCACTTCACTCCTCATAAAGCTTGTCCAAATTCTTAAATCAGGTTTTTTTGACTCTTCTCTCAAGGCTGCTATTATCTGTATATTGCTGTTGTTTGTATGCACTATTCTACCACACCTTTCCCTTCCAGCTAACTTCCCATTAATATGGTTCAATACAGCCGCCTGACTATCTGTGGATCACTGTCTTAATGGAGGGTGTCCATGATTGTCTTCTGTACAACCATCAGCAATCTTACCCGTAACTGTGTTGGCATGACTAAGAGATAAAAGCTATTTGTTCAGTTTGAATAGTGATTTACTCAGATTTAAAATCGATTGTTCTAATTTTTTGAGAAAGGCCGTTCTGTATTCTTCAGCTGATCATTCAAAAGCCAAACACTGCCTGTTGACAACCTGAACTACCTTTCCCAAGTTAAAAAGTACAAGACTTGAGACAAATATTAAGAAGAGTTTAAAAGTGTATTGTTGTCATCCTGCCCTCAGACCAACCATGAGGGCAACTGTGACTTCATGATCATCCTGTGTCCCTCCTGTAAAGAGCTGATGAGAGCTAACGAACAGGAGCGCCATAACGAGAGAGAGTGTCCAGAGAGGACGCTCAACTGCAAATACTGCAAAGAACCATTCCTGTTAAAGAACATCAAGGTCAGGTGACTCTCCATCGTGATAATCCATCAATGCTAAGTGCTGTGCCAATATAAACCTTAATTTTGTGGTTTGATTGAAATGTTGTTGTATAACCGTACCATTACCTTTAACGAAGGACTGCAGCAGAGCCTGTGTTACTGATATAGAGAACTTAAAGGGATAAGAGACTACATGATGGGATATGGGACACACATTATATGATAGATATCTCTGTAACCTTACCGTCACACTCTGGTTCTTAGATCTTAACTGATGTCCATCCTGGTGAAGGTTTTTAAGGTTTGCTCACTGGTCTGCCCTGATAAGTTTGAAAAGGTTCAATATTTAGGATTTCAAAATCTAGATGATCAGGTCAGTCCTTTCCTGCTGGACCCCCATTATTTAATATGACAGATAGAAAACAAGAGTAGACCTTGTGGCCCATGATGCCAAACTTAACTTGCTATAGAGACACTAATTTTTGTTGAAAGAAAATTCTGTGTTTAATTTTTTTCATATAATGAATACACTGGGCATTAGGCCTGGACGATACAGAAAAAAAGCATATCGATAAAAAATAAATCATATTGATCGATATCGATAATTATCGATATGATTATTATAATTATTTAACATATATTTTAATTGCAGCCCTGGATGTTTTTATGCTATTGCTTAATGACCTACTTTTAATAAAGAACACACAAGCACTGAATTCAAATTCAAACCTTTATTCAACCACCTTTTTTTTTTTTTACAACTGAAAGTTTTTTAAAAAAGAAAAAAAAAGAAATCAACTTAAGTGGCCTGAGTGACATCAGTAAATACTGACAAACAAAGACTAAAGTGACCAGAAAATCTGATAAATAAATATTTAAATAGTCTTTTGATGAAAATAAACAAAACAAACAAATATATAAATAAACAGAATAGCTTTAGGTGGGAATAGCATACTACCAGGTTTAACTGTGTGGGAAACTGCCCACAGCCTGGTGTCTGAACACTAAAATATTTCTCCCGGGGTCGGGAGATTTATTTTTTTTAAATTATCATGTGATTGACTTAATACACAAACTAAGCACGAGAAGCAGGACTTATCCACGCCGGTGTTGTGTCGTAGAATGCACCCCTGCCGAATGCACCCCCTGCTAGTAGCCATGATCCAAATACTCGCGTCTTTGTAAAATATGAGCTCATTTTCTTCCACTTTAAGAAGCTAATGAGTGGACGGGATACAGGGGTGCATTCTACGGTACAACACCGGAACGTATTTCCTCCGCACCCTTCTCACCTTTTCAACCCCTGACCCATTTTCATGCCTGAAGCGCTGTGTTTGAGAAATACTTGCGGCCGGGCACTTCATATCGCGGGTCGAGAGTGGCTAGAAGCTGGTCGAAGCCAGGCTTTTCAACGGTAGTTATTGGCAGTATGTCCCTCGCTATGAAGCATCTTACTGCATGGGTGATGTCCTTATGCCGCTCGAACGCTTTGTCGTATTTTGGCAAGAAACGAAGTCCAGTTTGGTCTGCTTCACATGCTTTGTGCTGGTGCTGGCAGCGGTTCCAGAGGATTCCTCCTCCGACGACGTGGAGCCGCGGCGCGGCCGACACAGCTCGTACTCCTGCGGCTGCGATCGGTTTAGATGGTAAAACAAGTTGGTTGTGTTACCAGACTTGGTTTTTACTAATTCTCTGCAAATTTTGCAAACGACCGCGGTTCGCTTTTTGTCAGACTTCTAAAAACCAAAACATTGCCATGCTGGTGAACTACTGAAACCTTTTTTCGGGACAATGTCCTCCGCTTCTCCTTGCTGTATCATTTTTTCTAATACACGTGCTGTCTGTTGTGGTTTGAGAGGGGCTGGGCTTGGTGCCGTAGCGTACCTGGGTCTGCGTTTGTGATTGGTTGGGAGGAAGTAATGACTGTAGTAAAAGCTACATGATAGGCTATGATGAAAAAGAAAGGGAAACTGTGTTTTTCTATCGAACTTTTTATCGACCCGTTTTTTTTCTATCCTACCACACGTCTATCGATCGATATATATTGTTATCGAATTATCGTCCAGCACTACTGGGCATACGATATTCCAATGGCTTCTTTGAAATCTTCTGACTGATGCTGACTTGCCAGAAGTTAAACAAATTGCTGATAATCTTGTTGCAAACTTTCAATACTTCCAATATCTGGAACCAAAGTTACTGCTAATTTGTTTGTTAATAACTTAAAGTCCCACTCCGATAACTTTTTTTTAACTACTTAAAGTGTTCTCAGTGGTCGGTAAATTTCGATTATAAAGTTTTTAGCCAAAATCACGTTACCTGTGTCATTTTTAAGGGCTTTTCTTGTGCAGATCTCCAGTAGCTCATTAGTAATTCACCTCTGAGTCGTGGGCGGAGACAGCGCTGCTCTGCACCCTCCCCTTCACGCTAGCTAGTAGCCTAATGTTGCCAATGCAGCAGGTAATATAGCAGTTATTCAACTATCGGACACTAATGTCTTTAGGAACATGATGAAAGCTAACATCGTAATTAGCTTTCTTATGAGCATTGCAACCCGCTATCGTACACACTTGTTCTGCAATCTTCCGCTCTACTTCTCAAAGTCTGGCCTGTAGAGCGGAGTGAAGGGGGCGGAGCTTGAAATTGTGACATAGAAATTCTCACTGTGTCTCATCCTGCCTTTTGGGTTTGCCAGAGATTCACAGCGATTTGAACGCAGACATACTCAGAAATACAATTTTGCACTTAGTTTCCTCATGATATGTCCTCTAGCATCAGAAAAAAATGTCATATGAACATGTAAATAACAGGAAAAACATGATTTTCATCAGAGTGGTTCTTTAATGTGTAGCACAAATGAAGGAAAGGTTGACAGTGTGACGTTTCTGTTGACGTGGACTAACTTAGTTTGATTTCTTTTAGGCTCATGATGAAATCTGTCCGAAGTACCCGATGATCTGTGAAGGTTGTGCAAAGAAAAAGATTCCCAGAGAAAAGGTATTTCATAAATTTATTTTAAAATAATTTCTCTCATAATTCTGTTAGACTGATCTCATTTGCCATTCAGCTAAGGAAATTCTGCAACATATACTAAACATCATTAGCTTTTTTCATTTTTTTTTTTTGTTTTGCAGTATGTGGACCATATTAAGTTCTGCAGTAAATTTAAAGCACCATGCAGATTTCATGTTGTTGGCTGCGATACGTCTGTAAGTAGACATCTTTGTCATAATTTGCTGTATGTGTAACAGTGGCTAATGAAACAACTGCTGGATCATGGGCTTACTCTGCAATTGACCAAAATTCACCAGTTAGTGGATGGAAAACCAGGTGGATGTATCAGTCTGATAATGTAACTTAAATGGAGAAATGAATGCAATTTCCTCTGGTATGTTAACCAATATGATGTAAAAAAAAAAATCAAATATGTTTTTATAAGAGACCACTTCTGTTGAATTTCCCTGGTTTACCAAGAAGTCACATTATTCAGCAGTTCTTACAGTATCAGTTGCTTCATGCCTGTAAATAACTGTTGAGTATGAAGCCTGTGTGTGTATATATGCCTGCCTGCAAACAGTACTCATCTAAAGCTGCATTGCACATTGGATGCTGAGGCTTTATCTTGCTTGCACTGCTTTCTTCTGCTCTATGCTCTGGTTTAAATATATTTGGTTTATTATCTGAATCAACATTATCACTTTATCAGTAGCATCTTCTGCACTCATAATTTGGGATGTCATGTTTGCTACTTCCAGCCAGCACAGTTCCTGTAGTGTCACATAAACTCTAAAGTAGTTTATGGGATACCTATTACAATGAATGAATGAGCTGTATACCTTGCTCTGTGAGTGAAGGCATCAGGCTTGACTTTAGCCCTGTTAAAAAAAAAAAAGTAGCAAATTAAAACAAATATAAATTTACTTAATAATATTTATTAACAAATGACAAATTGCACATTAGCACACAGCAAGAAGAAGTGAGACTTCCACATTAACATTTAGTGCAAAAAGATAGACAGACATAGAATAAAGAGTGAACAGAATCGCTGTGTTGCTGTTTATGATATTGATTAAAGGAAGATTGATTAAAAAGAAAAAGAACGGAACGCTGGATCGGCGTCATTCATCAGATATCCAATTCTGTTAATTTGTCAATATCAGAGCTGATATCTGATCCAAATATCCGATTGGTGCATCCCTAAACATAATATAATAAAATATCTGAATGAAGTTCATGTGACCAAACTCCCATAATGCCTCTGTACTACTCCACATAAGCCAGCAAATCTGCAGTTTATCCTATGATTTAGTTCGGAGTCAAACAGGAAGAGGAATTGTGTTAACGCTTAATTTTAAAGAGTTTTCTCAGCTTGTAGTTTGAGAACTTTTGAGAGATGAGAGATGAGATGAGAGATGAAACTACTACTTAAACTACTTCTCAGACTTAAAATATAAGACCATACTGGAGCAGCTAAGAGGTCCTGCCATCATGTCTGAATAAGTTTTAGATCTATATTTTGTCTCAGCTATTCAGGGGCAACATTTCTGACTTTCTTTTCTGTGTAGCTTTCGGCTTCATGTCGTTGATGTTATACGTAAATACAAATGTTCAGGGTAGCAGTTTCCTTCATGGCAGGTTGTATTTTCTTTCATAGTTGCAGACCTCTCTATTGCAGTGTCATTTTGCCAGTACTATCCTTTGTATCTGTCATTCGAAAACTGAAGCTCCTGATTAGTTTATTGTGATGCTAAGTCTTGTCTGTGTCTAAGTGGATATGCACAAGATAAATTTTTACCCTTTTTTGAGATTTTAAGCTGGACCGAGCTCAACATCACAATAAAATAGTTTAGAGACATCTATTACACTATTTTCAGAAGTTTTTTTAGCTTTATTTAAAAATCAGAATTTCACAAACCTTTAAGGGTAAAATGCTTTTGATAGGATTTAAGCAACATCAACCTCCTAATATTGCAAACAACTTAAATTTTTGTTGTCTATGACATTATTTTTCTTTTGTCATTAATATTTCATGGATATGATTTATTTGATTTGTTCTAAATGGGTACCTGCTTCCTGTTCTTTGTTGCCAAGGTGGAAAAAGAGAAGATCCATGACCATGAACGGCAGTGTTCCTATGAACACCTTAACCTGCTCCTGCATTTCATCATGGGCATCAAGGTGAGCCTGGAGAGCCTGCAGCCCCAGAGCCTGGAGATGGCCAGCCACAAGCTGCAGGAGCTCCACCAGTCCCTCAGAGACCTGGAGCTGAAGATGAACCAGCTGGGTGGGGGTAATGCAGCTCCCGTGCAGGGTGCGTGTGCCCCAACCCTGGCCACGTCCTTCACCCCACTGCCCAGCGCCATGGGTGCCGCTCTGGAGCTGCAGCTTCAGAGCGAGAAGACGAAAGTAGCCGAGTTGAGCCGCTGCTGCCAGGAGCTGGAGCTGAAAGTCAGTACGTTTGAGAACATTGTCTGTGTCCTCAATAGAGAGATGGAGCGTTCCTGCACCACCATGGAGGCTTACAACCGCCAGCACCGACTAGACCAGGACAAGATTGAGATCCTCAACAACAAGGTGACAAAACTCCTCTCTACCATGTTTTTGTCATGAGTGATCATGTTAAATTTTCTCCCAATATCTTGGGAAAGTTAAATGCAGACAGTAACTGGAAGGGGAATCAGTTTAGAGTCTGTTTCGATAGTTTTAATCAAGACTTAGATATTTAGTGCCAGAGATACAATCACTGTATTACAGAGGGGGATGATATATTGTATTAATATTTTGTTCTTCTTTAATGCCAATGCCATAAATGTTATTGAATTACACCACATGTTCATCTTCAAATGTGCATAGATATGCTTGGTGTATGGCCACATGACAACAATGTGCATAAAAAAGTTTATGAATCAGGCAACAGCCAGCACAGAATTATTATTGACACCAGGTGTCGTTTTACAAGGGTCCTCTCTGAGTTTTGCTGGCCTGCTAATGTCCAGGAGGTCATGTGAAGTAGGATCTGGGAGGGCTAGATCTGATAAAAGATGTGGACGAGTTCACCAGATCCTTTAGAAATATGCCAAACTGTCCTTCCTCAGTTCTCCTGGGAAAGATTAAGAAAAGTATATAAAGTATAAGTTAACTGTGTACTGCCATGTGTTTCTGTGCCGCAGGTTCGTCAGCTCGAGAGGACGGTGAGTCTGAGGGACCTGTCCATCGTGGAGATGGACGGTAAAATGAGGGAAATGTCTGCGGCCACATATGACGGCATCTTTGTCTGGAAGATCTCTGATTTCACCAAGAAGAGACAAGACGCTGTAGCTGGTAGAGCACCTGCGATGTTCTCTCCTGGTAATCATCTCTTATAATGATCAACATCAGAGCTATAATCTGAAATGTAAATAAGCTTATCCACCTTATCAAGGGAACAGAAAAGAAAATCAACTCTGTTGTTGTGTTGTGTTTTCTAGCCTTTTATACCAGTAAATACGGCTATAAGATGTGCCTGCGGATCTACCTGAACGGTGACGGTACAGGCCGAGGAACCCACCTGTCTCTGTTCTTTGTGGTGATGAGGGGACACAGTGACGCACTCCTCAAGTGGCCTTTCAACCAGAAGGTCAGTTTATACAAAATGCTATGAAACAACAGGAATTATTGTGAGCAAAAAAGAATTTATGTGCACACTTAATATCCGAATCATATATATACAATTGATTCGGTTTCTTTTTGGGGATGATATTCTAGATTTTATTCTAATTGAAGGCTGTACTGTGGTAAAGTGGTTAGTACTGTTACACCACAACATTCCCAGGCAAAGGCATTTCTGTGTGGATTCAGGCACTGTTATCATTACAGGGTATCCAGGGTCTTAAAATGTCTAAAATCCAATAATTTGAATTAAAGGCCTTAAAATGTCTAAAATTCCCGTAAAATTTCTTAAATATATTTTTTGAAGTTCTTGAAAATTTATTAATTTTTCTTCTCACTCTCAATAACCGGGCATAGCAACAGCAGCGCGGTTAAATCTACTCGGCACCCTCGCTGTCAACATCAGGTGTTGAATAAGGGACCATCAATAAATTACCTGTTGATGTTCTCAAAAAAGGCTGTTTTCCTTCAATAGCTTCCATGTCACGTGACCAATTGACATTGTTGATTTCAAATAATAGTGCTTAAGTCGACTAATAAAACACACATTATTTAATCAATTTTTATTGTGCCCCTAAAGTTCTTTGTGTGCTCCTTACTTGAGCTTGGGAGCACATGTGCTCCTTCTGAAAAAAGTTAGTGTCAAGCCCTGCAGTATGGATGTAAAATGGGTCTTAAATTTTATTCATCACGGTCTTAAAAAAAAAGTCTTAAATTTGACTTGTTGAAATCTGCAGGGACCCTGTATTGAGACTTTTTTGTGTTTATCATTGATGCATTGTGTTTTTAAATGATAAAAATCCACAAACAAAAAGCATTTCCTATCTGTAGTTTGGTATCGAAATTTAAATGGGTTGTTGCCCTGATATTTTATCATTTGACATCATGTAGACTGGAACCTTACAAGTTGGTGAGTTTTTCCAGTTTTTCCTGAGCAGTACAGCTCTTCTCCTCCCATCTGTACCCAGGTCACGCTAATGCTGCTCGACCAGAACAACAGAGAGCACATCATCGATGCCTTCCGGCCGGACATCTCCTCCTCGTCTTTCCAGAGGCCGGTCAGTGATATGAACATTGCCAGTGGATGTCCGCTCTTCTGTCCGCTCTCAAAGCTGGACTCTAAAAACTCCTACATACGAGATGACACCATCTTCATCAAGGCCATTGTAGACCTCACCGGGCTCTAGTTAAGTAACAAAGGCATAAATCCAACCATGCATTTGGTTGCTCAGCAGCTTGATTCACAAGGCTTTGTTTCATCCAGAAATTGGCATTTCTTTTTAAGGTCTGGTTGTACTTTTGGTTTAGGTACAAAATGTTGGCAGCAATATACAAGATCAGATAAGGCAACAAACTTTTGCAGTTGTTATCAAGACTTGATCACCTACCAAAGAGACTAGAGGAGTGAAAGCAGTGTATGTGCCAGTATCTGGGTGGTGACAGATGTTAATTTTCACCATGTAGAAGATCCTCATACAGCAGAGGTTTTCCGAGGTAGGACATAATTCTTGTAAAATACTTCTAGTAGACAGCCTGATTAGTGTTGTCATTAATCTCCAGTGTTTGTCCTGTGGTATTTGGTGCCACAGTTGAGGATTATCATGTTCAGTTTTACACTAGATTAAAGAGCAGTCAGATTGAAATTGATTCAGATCATCTTAATCCATCTGTGGACCACTGCGTTAAAGCCTTCAGTCTTGGTTATTTGGATCTTTCTCTTGAGTCAGTCAGTAAGTACCCATGTTTGAATGAGGTTGTGAGTTTGCAATGGGATGCTTCTTTGTTGAAACAGATTATTGCAATGGTGAGGATTTGTCAATTTCAGGCAGCGACCCTGAAAATTCATCTCTGCTTTACAGTCTGTTTTTCTCAAAATTAGGATATAATTAGTAAAGAGAACATCATGCTTTAATGTGGAAGACTTGAAACTAATAATTGGATAAAAATTACATCAAGAGATAATAAATCAGCTCAGAAGAAGCGTCATTTTCTGGTAGACTTTCCTTTAAAACAACAGAGACACTCCTTACTCGTCTTTGAAGAGAATACACTTGACTGCACTGCACTTACTTCATTTCTGAAAGCAAGAGGTGAATTCCATCTTTAACAGTCTATCTTGTACAAAATATTAATTTGAGGTTAGGATGTTTTATCTGGTTAAAAGGATATGAGGTTCATTGGCATTTAAGTACATGAACCTTGAATGTACACTGTATTTTGCTGCTTTGAGAAATAACCTGGACCTTCATTTACAGCTAACATGTCCAGCATATATCGAGTCCCTGAAATAATCAAGTCAAAGGCTAATCTGTGTTTTCTGGTAACTTGAGATGGAACTTGCAAACACATTGCTAGCAAGCTTTTACTCGTATCACTTCACATAAACATCACACAAACTCATAGACACATGAGCATGTTCTACATTTTAGTAAGCGAGATGTTTTACTCTATTCACTTGCTGTTCATTAGTTTTTTTGTATCCTACTGCCATATTTAACACAGCTGTGCTGTCACTGATTCCAAGACTGCCTTAAAGGCTTTCTCAAAGGAAGTTCTTTCATCCCAGAACAACAGGATGCCACTGTACATGCCCTTTGTTGAAGTGAACACTGAACCATTGTTTTAACACTATAGCGGGATTATAGACACTTTTAGGATAACACTTTTTTGTTATAAAGAATTTAAAATAAAGTAATACACACATGTGATAAAAGTCATAAATAACTAGAAAAAAAGTTTATTTCCAAAATTAAACAAATGAAAGTAAAGTTGATGAATTTACAAAAATAATTTTACAACATTAGTCATCAAATCTGAACAGTCACTTAAGGATAAAGTCATAATTTTATCAGTATAAAGTGAATTGATAAGAAAAAAAACTGATAATTCATCAGAATAAAGTTAACTATGTAGAAAAAGGGTAAATATAAAAGAATGAAGTCAATAAACTCAGAAAAATTTGAAACCTTTTAAGAGAAAAAGTAATACATTTGTGGAAATAAAGTTATAGATTTATGTGAAAAAGTTTTTGTCAAAAGTTGTAAATTATGAGAACAAATGAGTGAATCTATCAGGATAAAGATGTTAATTCACAAGATTTAAGAAATTTATTAGAACAAACTCACGATCTTACAAGTTAAAGCTTCGATTTTATGAGAAAAAGGTTGTTAGTAGAGGTTACAGCTAATTCATATGTGGCTAAAATACTTACAATTTTACTTTTTTTCATGGAAAGTTATGACTTGGATCGTACAGATTTATGTCTACAGTCTCACAGTTTTATGACGTTGTTCCCTTTGATATCTGACTGAAGTCTCAAAGACTGTATTGTACGTTTACAACTTTATTCTTGTAAATTTACAAATTCATTCCCATACATTTGCAGCTGTGATCATTTAAATGTAGAACCTCTTCTCATTTACGGTTTTAAACTATTTTTTTCTCTTTAATTTCGGACCTCATCTGCTCTAGCACATCTAAGACCATGACCTTGCTCTAAATCCAACCAAGTGTTGTCCTTTATAACTTGGCGGCATTTGGTTTCACATTGGACAGTGGTCACCTGGATGAAAAGCTTGAATTTGACACATCAGCTTTAACATAGAGCAGAAGGTTACTCTTCATGTTGATAAATTTCTTGGAAGCTTTTTTTTTTTCAATCAAAACAGCTGTTTTCAGAAAATTCTAGATAACAGCAGTAAACCAAAACATTCAATCTGAGGAAATCTGAAAGAGCTGGCTTGAGCTCGGGAAAGCTACAGAACCATGTTAGCTTTATCCGTAGGTATCATTGTGTGTGACTCCTTTCATATACTGCTAGTTGTAATTTTGCCAGTTTAGAAACACATAAATAGTATTAGTGCAGCTAAGAATCAAGCAGTGTTAAAATATAAAGTGCTTTTGATGCATACACTATTTTTGTTATCTGATTCTCACCTAGGTTTTGTATTGTATTTTTATAACCTTTAAGTTTAATAATTCAAATACCAATACATTTCCTGATACTTTCTTTGAATTAAACTTTAAAAAAATGAGCCTTCAACCAGTGCCATCGTAGCTTGTGTAGATTTCAACAGTCTAGAAACACAACACTAGGTTAGGTAGGTCAAGGTGCTCGTGCTCACTGTGTTTGGACTGCTCGCCATTCAGTCAACTCATGACTTTTTCACACTTTGTTCTTCAGAGTTCCAATAACAGTGTGACACACATGTAGCCTTCAGAGTATCACTAAGCTTTGCACAAAGTTTGTAGTGCAGTCGGACTTTAAAACTTGTTTACTGTTTTTGAACATCTATGCCTCTAACTATCAAGTCCTGTGTTTGATGGTAGTCATTTGTGGTGGTGAACATTGCTTGAATTCCATGAATTCTGAGTGCAGTATTTCAGTTGTGAATGGTGTGTGTGTGAGTGTGTGCAGGTTGTGTGTGTGTGAGTTGGAATTGTTCCATTTCTGTAATGTTAGATAAGGTGTTAGTTTGCATGTTGGATCTGTGGAAGATGCACTGTAGTGTGAAACAGCTTGTGAGCTGTCGGTCCTAGAAAAAGATGGTAATCAAGCTGATTTCCCCAAATGGAAATATGACATATTTTATATTTTGAAAAATAAAAACAGTAATATTTGCATCTAAATTCTGAAAGATCCATAAATACTTTTTCATATTGAAGGTAAAATATATAAATGTTGCCTGCATCAGTTTTATCAAAATATTCTGTTTGTGCGACAAACTGTGATTTTAAAATTAGGCATCTGTAACGGATATTGAAACTGACAAATATGGATAGAGAATATATTTGTAAAATAATACCAACAACAAATATGTCTACCCCAGTGTCTTCACAAATAACTCATCTTTATTTCTACCTACCTTTCTACCTCTATTTAAAAACTTATTATTAAGGATCAAAACAAGCAATCTTTAGAGATTATGGATCTAAAATGGGGGGCCTGAGTTGATTTATAGTGAAATTAAAGTTTGGTTCCCATCTGGGGGAGCTCCAAACTGTCTTTTTCTTCTTTGCGTGTAGAGGTCTTTCCAGGGTAACCAAAAACAAGTGTTTCCCCCAGAGGCTGATGTCTCACATCTGTGTTATCAATGTGTTGAGCTTCTACTTGATTGCTCATACAGGTGCATCTCAAAAAATTAGAATATTATCAGAAAGTTGATTTATTTCATTAATTCAATTAAAAGTAAAACTCATATTATATAGATTCATCACACACAGACCTTTTCAGTTTGATGATTTTAACTCGCAGCTAATAAAAACCAAAATTCAGTATTTTGAACTGAACTATTGAAATTACCTTTTGATGCTATTCTTACTCTAATTTATAAAGATGCACCTGTATTTGGTTCTACTGTCACTTTTTGGACAAGCCAACACAATTGTTACCGAAGTACCTGTTAATCAAATCTTTGCACAAAGCCCAACATTAAACCTACCTAATGTAACATCGAACGTAAAAAACTATGTTTGTTTGAGATTAGTCTTTTATGAGATTGACGAACAAACCTGCTCTTAAAAACTTGACTGAGGGGAGAACAGGTACCATGGTGACACACATATGCAGATTTATAAATGACTTTAAGCTGATATAGGATTGATTTTTAAGTATAACTTTTGAATACAAATGAGTTTCATAAAAGAGTTACATAAAATGAAACAACAAAAATCAGATTTTTGGAGAGATGTGTGCTGTGATGTCAATGCACGGCCTAAAAATGATCATTTTTACTAAACCTCAACCTCTTAAGTACCTGAAACTAAACCACTATTTATTTATTTTTAATGTGAGAAGGTCTTAGTTATAGTATACCCAAGTTATACTTTCGTTTAAGTACATTTGCCTGTGAAGTATTCAGCAGTACTTAATAATAGTGGTCACAAGCTCACCAACATGAAAACGGCTTGTCCATCCAGATTAAAAACCACTTTTTTTCATCCTTGTTAAGAGAGAATACATCCCAAGAATATGTGTGAAAAAACTCCCTCTGTAGTAGTTTAACATTGATGTTAATCCTGCCACGTTACTAAAAGCAGAAAATATCCAGGCTTTTGAATTCTTTGTGAAGACACTGAGTGATATTTCCACATGGGTGCAGCCTGTAGGTGTGCGTAGACAGACGCGTGATAGCTGGAACTGAGAAAGAAGAGAGCTGATGTATTAAAAGAGGAAATGTTGATGTTATAATATTTTCCTATTTTTGGCTTTCCTTACAGCTTTGAACTGACCTACTTTTTACAAAAAAAAAAAAATGAAGTGCCTGTACCTATTTTATGTTCCATGAGCCCACTGAGTCGTGGATGTGCTTTAATGTGAGTTTCAACCCACTGAAATGTGAAACATTCGATTTTAACATTGTGTATTTAGTTGTATGTATCCGTCATTATTTGTCCTCTATGGAGCCCCCTTTATAAACTCTTGATGTGTTGAAATCGAAGTGACTAAGAATGTTCCCCTTTGAATACAAATTAGTGAATGCCTCAGCTTTATTTACTTGATGTATGAATAAAATGAGGTTGGAATAAGCACCAACACTCAGCCAAACACACCTCGCATGTTTGTAAACCTCTCAGACAATCTGAAGCTTCTCTGTGCATGAGAGGTTTCAGTGTTTAAAAAAAATGCATATATAAAACAAAGGTTTATATTGTAAACCAGCATTTATTTTTTATGATTTTATGATCAATATAATGCATATAGATGAGTGATATGATTTTGGTACATATTTTGATGCGGGGCTTGACTTTGATGAGGTGTGTGCTGCTGTGATGAACATATCTCAATAATATATAGATTGTATTTATCGAAGACATAAGCTATATGGTAAAGTTGAGACCGTTTACAAGCAGGTCTTGGGTTGTTTGGCTGATGTGAAAAGGGGCAGTCTAACCTCATTTCCTGAAGTTGGCTCTTCTACTCTGTTATAACAAAAACATATCCGTTTTTTCCTCTTTTTGTATTATATAACTGATCATCTGATTTGTCCACATTGTGTAGATTACATTTTGCATGTGTGACTGCAGCCTCAAATAAAACAGCTGCTACATTTACTTGGATGGCTATGTTGCTGATTCATGCTCAGTGCAGCAGCACTGCGTGTATGTTTTTATCTTTGCTCTTTAATGTTCCGTGTGTTTTACCTGATGTGTGCTGGGTCTTCAGTATAGTCATAGCTGGTGAACATAACAAAGGGCTTCACATTCCATCCCGTTCGCTAAATGTCAAATAAAAGTATACACACATTTGTCTGTTTTCTGCTCGCTGTAGCTCCATCTGTTGAATGGATCTGACAGAAACTCCTCAGACTCCAGCTGAGGAAACGATATCACATTCGAGCCAGTTGATGTTTTGCTGTATCAGCGATGTAGACTTGTAGGAAATGCCACACTGCCTCACTGTTATTGCAACAGAATAAACAATATGTCAACTTGATGTATGTATTTGAAATAACACTTCAGAACAGTCAAACTGAAGCAGCTCGGTTGATGTTGACTTACATATCTATCTCTCTATCTGTGTACAGATTTCTCTAAAGCCTGTGTTGAGATTAAGATGAAAAGCTTTCATCGGTAGCAATGACATCAAACTGCAGTCTACTTGTTCTCTCTTTCTCTGCTACATTGTGTGGATAGTGACTTGTGTGTTAGTAAACTCTTTGTACGACAGGAAATTTGTTTCATATTTGTATTAAGTTTTGTTTTATTAAAGGTTTTAAAATGCCCTCTATGCAAAGATGTGAATGGTCTCTCATTTCTTTTAAAAATGGAAATCGTTTTTGAAGTGGAAAAACTTGACTTCAGCACATTTTGAGTAACATGGTTTGACCACATGGGGGAGCCCAGTGCAAATACATGCAGATGAAGAAGCAACAGTTTTCTCTCTTCACTGAACATTTATAGAAGCTTAACGTCCTGCAGAGTCAGGCTCAGGTAAGGTCAAGGTACTTAGAGAAAAAACAGGATTTCATTGAAACTGGTTACACTGACTTAACTTGTTTAATAGCACAATAATAAAAAGAAAGACATTGGACACCAAGGGTACCTGTGCACTCGTATCAAGGATGAGCACTGAGTGAAGATCCTTTCATCCTTATCCTCATTCTTATGCCTTACTGATAAGTCACATATTGACAATAATGGTACCTTTACTACTTGGCCGCTAATAACCTCCACAGCCTACATGGGCAGCAAGAGCCAGGGCATTACTGGAGCTATCCAACCTTACAAGTAGTACTATCTGATCAGATGGTAGAAAAGGCAATTTTACTTTGAACAAAAATTCAAAACATTAGAAACATCAGCAACAACAAAGGCAAAGAGCTGACCAGCATCCTACTTTGTGAAGCCAAGGCCCATTTATGCCCCCTTTAAAGGGATATTCAGGCGTAAAATTGAGTTAGGGTCAAGCACACCTTAACACCATGTTAGACACCCCGCTGAGAGATGGATGTTGCCGACCGCTTGCTTCTCTAGTTATACCAACTTTAGTAACGACTGCACAATAGCAATACACAGCGGTGTCTCGATCATTACTTTATCATTTCCTTGAAGTAATCATCACCATATTAATCATTTTGTACTGCAGACGTGGTAGTTCTTCTGCCTTAGCGTCTCAGTCTGATTGCATTTCCAGAAAGAAATGATCATAAATGCTCTTCCTTGAGCTGCACCACGCCGCTGCAATCAGTTTGGACTCGCCTGAGGTCTCTGTACAAACAAGCAGCTGCTGGAAGAGAGTGGGTGAGTTGTGTTTAGTCTCTTTGCTAAAGAAACTGGGCAAAGCTAAAAAGATGTTTAGTGGCTGGGACCCTATATGTAGGCTACTGTTGATGAAGTTAGGTGCTGTTCTGAGCATTATTTGTGGCTATAGAGTGGTGGTTTTGGTTGAGGTTTGTTTATGGCTCCTCAGACTGCTGTGTATTGCTATCGGTAATAGCAAAATTAATGCTAAATTAATTTTACGCCGGAAAATCCTTTTAAGTACCAGAATAGATATGTGCATTTCAAACAGTGCGATTGTCACTTCCATCTTGGACCTTAACCAATGCATCAGCTAGAGGGCGCCACTCAGAGTCAAAAGTTATCCCCAAAAAAGTTTATAACAAACATGTTGACATAGGAGGAGATATTGATAGTGTATCTATTAAGAAAGTGGCACCAGTCCCCTAATTCTCAGAATTATTGCAAACTTTGATTCTGTCGGCAAGCTTGCAAAAAACATGACTGCATTTTACAGACAGTAGGGTCAATCTTAACTGTTGTGGCATTTAGTAAGGATTGCATGACTATACCAGCTCACCTTACTGTATACTATAAACCAGTGGTTCTCAACTGGTCTCAGTATGGGACCCACATTTCATAGAATTCAAACCAACCAATTTTAATTATTTATTTTTATTTAAAAAAAAAAAAAAAACAGCCTTTAAAGACTTAAATCTTTAACACAAATGCGCCTGAGCACATATATCAAATAAATATCAAAATACACGCAAAAAAGGCTATTTTTCAAAATAAAAGACATGTCAAATATCAGATGCGCATTAAACACTTACTTTTTTGACCAGCTGTTTGCGACCCATCCAGAACGTGTCCACAACCGACTTTTGGGTCGGGACCTACCAGTTGAGAACCACTGCTATAAACTATACAATATTTTATATCTTACATGATTAGGCAATGTGAGATGTTAGGTCATCCTGAAAGCAGCAGTTTTTAGTCAGCCTTCAGACTAACATCCTCCACACATCTGGTAAAGATCTCCCTATCTCCCACTCCTGGATTCTGTCTTGCCTTTGTAACTGAAGATCAAGCTGCAGATCATTCTCTGTGGCAGTGAGCAAAAACGAGGATGACATCGATTGATATATCATATGTTCTGTTTCTTTCTCATAGAAATAAAAGAACTTAAACTGAAATAACAAATAAAGAAGATAAAAGAAGGCTGGTTTAGGGTCATGCAATTTGTTCCACACAAGAGGCTATAAATCTGTAATATGACACATAAAAATGGATTTCCCTGTAAAATTTAATGCCAGAATCTTTCTCTTTATGACACTGTATAGAGAGAAATTACAGCTTAAGTAGTTTAGCAAGTGGTCTTTACAAAGAGCCCTTTTTTTGGGTTCCTTTCAGGCAGGTTGGGGACAGTATTGCATGCAATGCTTCAAAGACAGGGTCAGGTCAAGTAGGCAGCACCACTGAGACAGAGGAAATGACCACTGACAGGCACTAAGGGAAACAGTGAATTCATCTTGAGAACGAGGAAATATTACCTGCCATGTTTATGAATGGGCCTATGGTTGTCCAAACAGGATGATCTTTGTGCTTTGTGTCCTCCGATTCTACCTGGTTAATTCGTTGTGAAGGGAGAGATAATTGGGAAAAGGCCCTGTCAGAGTGCAGCTCTCATTAGAGGGCAAAGATTTAAAGTGTGGAAAAAGCTGAGGATTAAATTCATATAGTTCTTTTTCTGCATCACAGTGCTGTGGTTTGCTTGGCAGCAGTTGGCAGTTCAGAAATGGCACAGAAGTCAGTGTTAGACGGAGCGTTGTAGTACAGAGCCTAATCCCCTAAAACACACTCACCTCACTTTTCTCAGATGTATGTGTCAGCTTTTGTAACTTTCCAAGACTGTCCATTTAACACACATTCTGTCTAAGTCTGGTCTAAAGTCAACTGCCTTCCCGGTGTTTGCACGAGTTATGGTCTTTATTAGGGGTGTACTGTTCATTAATTGCATCAAATCAGTTTTTAAAGATCACCTGTAATGATGTCTTGATGCCCAACCAATATTCTCATATAGCGTATCTTGAGTCATAATCATATTGCAAAGCCAATAGGTTGATTGTAACAAGTCAAAAAAAACTGTGCAGTTTACTCAGCACAACAAAATGTTGGTTATGTAGCTGCATTTCCATACTGGTATATACAGTATATAATTATCCAATAAAACAAAAACAGACAAAAACCTTCTATCACTTTGTTAATCGATAAATCAATGTGAGGGGATGTAGCTCAGTGGTAGAGCGCATGCTTCGCATGTATGAGGCCCCGGGTTCAATCCCCGGCATCTCCAATTTACTGAGTCTAGGGAGCGTTCCAACTTTGTGGAAAATTTCCTGTCTCAAAGACTTCAAGCCATAGTGAGCCCATCTTTCTGACCTTCCCATATATGATATACCACCATCGACTGTAAATGTAAAGATAGATCTAAATCTGTCATTGGGTTGCCACCACAGTATTGGAATATGACTATCCCCAAAAAAAGAATATAACACGTACAGGTTATTTGGCACAACAAAATATTGGTTATGTTGATGCATTTTGACTTTTTAGATCATTTTTCTGTTCAGTGATATTCACAAAGATTCACAAACAAACCGGCTCAGAGGTAGTCCGGGTTGACAAGGTCTGTGTCAAATGTTGAGGAACCATGAGAAATGGGCCACTGGAACAACACAGAGAAGGCAATGGACATGAGATGAAAAGTTCTGATGGAATGCTACTACTCAGGTAATCCTAGCCAGCAAGGTTACATGAACAGGCTAAGAGATATATGGTTGCTTCAATACCCACAATCAATGTTAACACCAAAACAACTTGTAACTCAGTGTTCCATCATCCACAAACGTGGAAGACCATGAGTTGACTTGATGACTTGACTGCAGCTGCTATCACAACTAGAGATTGAGGAGATACAACACATTAATGCTTCAGCAGGGGGAAGCCAGGACACCACAGGTCTGTAGGTTGGGCCTCCTGTGGCTTGAAGTCTCAGGGACAGGAAGCACACAGGAAATTTTCCACCTACATGGATCATTCTCCAGACTCAGAAAGATGGAGATGCCGGGGATTGAACCCGGGGCCTCATACATGCGAAGCATGCGCTCTACCACTGAGCTACATCCCCACATATTAAACAAATAACAAAGAAACATGATCAATAACTCTCCCTCTATCAGTATCTCCATCTATTCTCTCTTTTAACCCAACAAAGCAGCAGATGACAGTCTTACATGAGTCTGAAGTTTTTCTTGCCACTGTGACTTTCTAAAGAGCTACACTCGTGGTTGAAGATGGGATGAGAGTAGTTCTGACCTCACAGGATTGGGGCTCACTGTCATCTTTACATTGAGTCTTTGAAAAATAGAGTCTAAAGTCTTCGTGCCTTGGACCTACATTTTTGGATCTAGCTTTGACCATGACTTGACTTGATGGCTTGACTTGGGGGCAGCTGCTATCACGACTAGAGATTGAGGAGATACAACACGTTCATGCTACAGCAAGGGGGAGCCAGGTCGCCAGGTTAGATGGGGGAGTTAACGTTGACTGTTTCATCTAATAAAACCAAAACCTTATATAACTTTGTTAACCAATAATTTAATGTGAGGGGATGTAGCTCAGTGGTAGAGCGCATGCTTCGCATGTATGAGGCCCCGGGTTCAATCCCCGGCATCTCCATCTTTCTGAGTCTAAGGAGTGTTCCAACTATGTGAAAAAACTTCCTGTCTCAAAGACTTCGAACTACAGGGAGTCCGACTTTCAAACCATATAATATGATATACCAGCATTGACAGGAGAGGTAAAGATAGTTGTAAATCTGTCATTGGATGGCTACCTCAGTGTTGCACAATTATTGTTCCTGTTATATTGCTCCAAAAAATGAAAATAATAAGCTCTTTTTTTTCCCAACTGGTGTTTTGGATTATGTGCATACTGCTAAAATATCAGCACTTAATTGTGTGATGTGTGCTAAAACAGAAACCTGAAAATGATGTACCCTGTCTTAACAGACAAGAAAAACAAAGGATTTGGGTTCACCAGAGGACAGAGGTTGTGAAAGACAATCTTGTTGAAGATCTTCATCAGATGAGAAGTAAAGGGGGCTACAGGTCTGAAGGTTGGGTCCCCTGTTGCTTGATGTCTCAGGGACAGGAAGCACACAGGAAATTTTCCAACTACTCTGGACATTCTCCAGACTCAGAAAGATGGAGATGCCGGGGATTGAACCCGGGGCCTCATACATGCGAAGCATGCGCTCTACCACTGAGCTACATCCCCACAGATTAAGCAAATCAATAACTAAGAATCATGATCAACAACTCTCCCTCTATCAGTATCACCATCTATTCTTGCTTTTAACCCAACATAGCAGCAGATGACTGTCTTACATGAGTCTGAAGTTTTTCTTGCCACTGTGACTTTCTAAAGAGCTACACTCGTGGTTGAAGATGGGATGAGAGTGGTTCTGACCTCACAGGATTGGGGCTCACTGTCATCTTTACATTGAGTCTTTGAAAAATAGAGTCTAAAGTCTTCGTGCCTTGGACCTACATTTTTGGATCTAGCTTTGACCATGACTTGACTTGATGGCTTGACTTGGGGGCAGCTGCTATCACGACTAGAGATTGAGGAGAAACAAAAAGTTCATGCTACGGCAAGGGGGGGCCAGGTCGCCAGGTCAGATGGGGGAGTCAACGTTGACTGTTTTATCTAATAAAACCAAAACCTTCTATTACTTTGTTAATCAATGTTTTAATGTGAGGGGATGTAGCTCAGTGGTAGAGCGCATGCTTCGCATGTATGAGGCCCCGGGTTCAATCCCCGGCATCTCCAACTTTCTGAGTGTAGGGAGTGTTCCAACTATGTGAAAGAACTTCCTTTCTCAAAGACTTCAAACTACAGGGAGTCTGACTTTCAGACCTATGCCATATAATATGATATACCAGCATTGGCAGTAAAGGTAAAGATAGTTGTAAATCTGTCATTGGGTGGCTACCTCAGTGTTGCACAATGATTGTTCGTCTTATATTGCTCCAAAAAAGGAACATAACAAGCTCTTTTTTTTCCAACTGGTGTTTTGGATTATGTGCATACTACTAAAATATCAGCACTTCATTGTGTGATGTGTGCTGAAACAGAAAACTGAAAACGATGTACCCTGTCTTAACAGACAAGAAAAACAAAGGATTTGGGTTCACCAGTGGACAGAGGTTGTGAAAGACAATCTTGTTGAAGATCTTCATCAGATGAGAAGTGAGGGGCTACAGGTCTGAAGGTTGGGCCCCCTGTTGCTTGATGTCTTAGGAACAGGAAGCACACAGGAAATTTTCCACCAACTTGGGACATTCTCCAGACTCAGAAAGATGGAGATGCCGGGGATTGAACCCGGGGCCTCATACATGCGAAGCATGCGCTCTACCACTGAGCTACATCCCCACATATTGAACAGATCAATAACTAAGAATCATGATCAACAACTCTCCCTCTATCAGTATCTCCATCTATTCTCTCTTTTAACCCAACATAGCAGCAGATGACTGTTTTACATGAGTCTGAAGTTTTTCTTGCCACTGTGACTTTCTAAAGAGCTACACTCGTGGTTGAAGATGGGATGAGAGTGGTTCTGATCTCACAGGGTGGGGCTCACTGTCATCTTTACATTGGGTCTTTGAAAAATAGAGTCTAAAGTCTTTGTGCCTTGGACCTACATTTTTGGATCTAGCTTTGACCATGACTTGACTTGATGTTGTGCCATTTAATAACGAAGATAATACAGATAATTGTCCTCTGACTGTAGTTATGTCTGAGTGTGGTATTTTGTCACCCAGCATTTTCAGTATTCACCAACCATGACCAGAGTAATCACACAGTGCATGAGATTAGAGTCTTAATAATGAATTCTGCAGTCAGTGAGCTGAGCCAAGACATGAGGTCTAATATGAGGATTAGCACATGGGATCATGAAGAGGGATAATTTTCACTATCTACCCAAAGCAATGTGGGACATGCTTAGCTTTAAATCTCTTTGCCGATGTGAGGGAAGAGTGAGCACTTCCTATCAATTAATCTGTGTCATTGTGTGAAATCACTCAAGGGCAAATTATAAAATCATACAATGAAAAGAGTCCCCAGAAGAATTATCTAGAACCTTTGTTTTCTGACTGTCGGTGAAAAGATGTAAATGAAACGCTCCCTTGCTCACCCCTCCCCTTGGTGGATAGACGGTGACCTTTAAGGACAAGAGGTCACTGTGAGACATCATTTGATGCTCCATTTATTAAGATTTTAATGCTTTCAATACTCTCCTTTTGCAGATGACAATCACTACTCTTCTGTGTGGTTTGTCCATTCTGTACTACTGTAGAAACAAAGCAGACAAAGTAATCTGTCACACTTTACTTTTTACTTTTTAGTGTAGCTCATAATGTAACAAATCACTTCCGCAACTTTAAGAGAGCCTTTTTTTATAAAGGTAATCTATTGATATGAAACTTCTGCTAGCTTGACTAGCTTAACTTGTGCATGAGTGAAAAAGTAGAAGGAACAGCAAATAGTTCGTGGAAATGTTCTAGCAATATTTCAGAGGAACAAATCAACTTTACTGTGAATTGTAAAGCTGTGCCTGGAGGAGAGGAACTTGTCGTCTGTGAAAAACTCATATGCAGATTCAAGGAGAAAATGCCGGTGGTGCTGCGGCTCTAAAACTGCAATAGCTGTTTTTTAGTTCAGCTTATAGGGTGAAAGGGAAAAAGACAACATAACAATGCTGCTTGCTGCAGAGGACTGTGCTTCTCCGGCTGATCTTGCAACATAAAAGCTACTTCTATCTGTACATTTATAAGGTTATGAGTGCAAGTAATGCTCCCCATCACTATCCACTCCCATCAAGTCTCTTTGTAAGCACCTTTAAATCAGTTTCATGTTAAAGAAGGGTTCAGTAACACTAGAATAGCTGAACCTCTATGTGTCTGTAAAACTGTTCCTACTGTCAAATACAATGAAATGCAAGTCCTGCATAATCTACAAACCAGGATTACCAAATTTTGCAATTGACTAATAAACTATGGATAATTCTTCAATTGATTTCTACTCTTTGAGTAGATTTCTGTGTATAAACAGTTCATTATTATAAAAGGCATCAAAAGAAAAGTCAAACTTAAGTAATGTGTTCTGTCTTGGACAGGACTTATTTTTCTACATGTGGTCCCCACATCCTGAAAAAACTGCTTTTGTGGTGAGCATATACTTTTATTTTGGTTTGGATCCCGTTCCCAGTATGGGTTGTGTGCGTTTCACTTCACCTGTTCCAGAGACTGCGCCCTTCCCCCACCTGCAACGCTAAGGCTGAATAAGCTCACCTGTCTCCACTCTGCAATCAAGCCGGCTTTAAGACTGCTGCCGACACAAGCTTCAGCACCAGAGTATTATCGCCGCCATATCTCTAGAGATCCTTGTGAACCTTTTCAGGTTTTTTTGTTTTTTACTCTAGACTGCTCCTTATTTTGCCTTCCCTCCTCCCTCTCTCCAGCTCACAACCCAGTACATTCTCCTGGACTTGTTCTCTCTGGACTTGGCCTCAGGATTCCCTCCTAACTGCACTCATCCATTCAAAGAAATCTATGAAACCTTCCTCTGTCTGATTTGCATTTTGGGTACCAACTCTAAACAATGGTCATAGCTTAGCCACCTTGATCATTATGTTGAAGGGTTAGGAGAAACACCATTTTATGAAAGTTTATTTTCTTAAAGTAAAAAAAATGGAGGAGCAAATGCTCTGTTCCTACGTTACTTAGAAAAGTTAGTTGGGACTCTTTTTTTAATATATACTGTATATATTTACGATTATTTTTTATAGTGGGATCTGCCTTTGTACTGTGTCTGGGGCAGCTTTGTATCATGTTGCTCAGTAGAGGGCAGGATTGTCTCAGTTTACCTTTGACTACCAATTCAAACGTGACTGACAACATACCCTTTTGTTGTTCCGTGTTCTTGTATTTCATGTACCACATATTCTCTTTCTCTGTGCTATTCCAATCATTTTCAGTTTTTTATTTTGCTTCAACAACCTTTCTTTCTGTATACCTCTGAGTACAGTTTTAAGGGGATAATAGAAAAAGAGAGTGGCATGTGTCGGAAATAGTCAGTATTGATAGAAACACAGCTTGTCCTTTTTTTTACATCTCTCCATCCTCCCTGCTGTCACTCTATCATTATGGACACTATAACCCAGTGTCATCAGGTACTGTGGGTTGCAGCTTCATCCTTTTTTTCCCTCTCTGATATCGTTTGAAGCACTTTCACTGCTCCTCTGGGTCTATATTTTCCAAATCAAAGTTAGGTTTCTCTTTCTGAGCCCAGCATTCATGACGAGGCCTTCAAGGACGTCTCTTGTGTTTCCTCTGTTAGATACACTAGCAGCCATTCTCCGTCTCAAAGGCAAACAGTGGGTGGCCACTGAGGAATCTCCCCGCTGTGCTAATCTACACTGCAGGACAGTTGTTACTCCATCATAAATGCAGGAGGGGAAAATGTAGCAGCAAGTTTTCAGGGAAAGGCAAAAACTTTAGGATTATTTGTTTTATAATATTTTTTATCAACATTTTCTTGTCTACATTTTGTGTTTCAGCACTTAAAGAGTAACTGGTGGTACATTTGAGAAGGTCATACCTAAATGAACCTATGCAGGGACTGATCCTTATATTTAAAAAACACTGCAGGGGGAGAAAGACAAAGCAAAAGCATCACTACATGCCATTAGCCACGCCTGCTCGGTAAACCAGCCCCTTTAAAAGTGTCCAAGTGTAGTTTCTCCCCTGGGATGTTTGAATGCTATTAACTGTTTCCTCAAGTCCCGTGAGATGGACCAGGATTTACTGCAAAGCTGCGGGCTTCACTCTTCATGCCTCCATAAACACACGTAGCCCTTTTGCTGCCACATGCTGGCTTCTGGTGTATGGTGCGTTTGGGGCAAGGCAGCTTCAATGTCCAGTCATGGATCGGAGAATCAGAGTTCTCAGTGTTTTGTCCTTGTCTTGTTTCAGTCGGTTACTTTACACAACTACAAACAAACATGACCAGAAGAAGTGGATTCTTCCTTCTTAGTTCCATAACAAATACCTGCTTTGACATGAGCCACATCTTTCCCACAGTTGTTGGTGAAAACTTTCAGCTGAATGTGCTTCTATCAAACGCCTTTAGTTCTTCATTGAAGACATATCTGATTAGCAAGTTTAACCTTCAATACTTTGATGAATTGAGATGCGTAACAAGGAGTCTGTAGGTTTTTCGTCAGATGTTGTAACAACTTTAACATCTTACACAAACAGCCAACAGTTGCCAGACTACAGGGTTGTTCTTTGAACCGATACAGTGACTCCTCACCATGCAGAGAGACCACTGTGAGCGGCATTTGCTTTTCTTCACGGTAGGAAAATGAAGCTATGGCGTGATGACATAAAGACAACCCCACTGATGGTATGTGCTTTGGCCTGCTTTACAGTATTGCGGTGTGAAAACAAATGATCTGCAGGAAAAAGTAAAAGTCTTAAAGTAAAAGAACTTAATGACCTTTTAGCCTGTAAGATGCATTTGTAGTTGTTAGGAAATAATTTTTAGCAATATTTGGAATCTGTCTCATGTGAAAATTTTTGTGCAAATTTGGAGTGTTTTCCAAAAAGAAACCACTTAATACACGGTTTGAAGTTACTGCAAAGTGAGAGTAATGAGATATGGGGCGACAGTAGCTCAGGAGGAAGAGTGGTCGTCCAATAACAAGAAGGTTGGTGGTTCGATTCCTCCCCTATCCCTAGTCTGTCCATTGTGTCCTTGGGTAAGACACTTTACCCATCTTGCTTTCAGTGCATGTCCTCCACTGGTGTATGGTTGTGAGTGTTGTGTGGTGGTGGTGGTCAGAGAGGCTGTAGGTGCAAACTGGCAGCCATATCTCCGTGACTATTAAGGTAGTTTACCACCACCAGGGTGTGACTGTGTGAGTGAATGAATGATCTATTCAATGTGAAGTGCTTTGAGAGTCTAATAAAAGCACTATAAAAATCTAATGCATTATTATTACATTTAGATGATCATATCTGTTTCTTTTTTATATCAAGGTTCATAAGTACAATATGGACAAAAACAAGGGGAAAAACACATATAACTGTTTCCCCAATCAATTCAATGTAGGAACTAAACACACTTAAGTGCTATTTTCTATCATAGCTTACTTTCCACTCTCGAAATCTACTTTTCTTGAGGAGAAAATCAAGAGGTTTTGTTCTCAAGTTCCTCTCCAGAACAGCTTTATGTTAGCAATGATAAACAGACTTACCATGAAATACATTCCTGCAAATTTGATCTGCTGGGAGAGATGATATTACGTCTTTGAAAAGTTGAAGTTTTTTGGAAAGAAGTATTTTTTTAATCTTTGAGGCTGTATATATTGAGTTTTACTATCTCATTCCCTCTGGTGTCTGTCCTGGCAGAGATATACTGGACTTTTCTCAGGTCTTATGATTGTCTTAGATCATGTTGCAGCACACGATCACTTACTGCTATTGCTTTTAGGGGCCCCCAAGAAGACATGCTGCACTCAGTGTTCTATTTGTTTTAGGGCTAGCAGCTGTTTTACTACTCAATGGAAATAGTGAATGGCGTTCAGGAGATGCCGCTGGGCTCTCAGGGCTCTACCTGCTGTGTTGTTCATCATTATGCTTAAGAGTTACCTGCTGAGCAGCAGGGCTGTTTCTAAACACTCCCCCATCAGCCCTTACTTTGAACTGAACCTTGATATTTCTGTTAACTCAAACAAGCTGTTCTTATTCACTGTTCGCACTTAAAAACGACAAAGCCAGGCACTCTATCTTAGCTGTTTTGGGTGTCTTACCTGAGGTGCAAGGAGGTGATGTAGTGGGAAGATTGATTTGGTGTGCTTGGTATGACAGTCAGAGGTGACAAGTCGATCGATCAATACAATATTGTTGCTCAGGAGACTTTCATGATCTCTGCTTTTCAATCAATCAATCTTAAAGTATTACTTTAACAATCCGTAATGTGTTTTCAAGACCTGAAAAGTAGTCCCCCCCCATGTGAGCCAATAGCTGCGTTTACATGGGCACAGATAATCGGAGTAAATGCCAGATCGGAATAGAAATGTGTCATGTAAACATGTCCATCGGAAGATTTTGATCCAATTTGGCTCAATCGGAAAGAAATTGTATTCCGATCGAGAGCGGTGGTTTATGCCGACCGTCTTTCGGAAACGCGTCCATACACTTATTCCGATCGTGACTCTCGTACCTGACTCGATCTTCACTCTTTAGCCTTTGGCTTATTTATTGAGGCCAGTACAGGAGGTTCATTATTAACACTGGCATAAAACACAACCGCAGGTGCTGTGTCTATTCCTCCGGAAACATAACAAGATGTACATTCAGCGCAATGATGTCACATCTGCACGCACAGTGCAACCTTTGACAGAACAGTAAAATAAGTACACAAAGGCGCCATCTAGTGACAGCATTTAACAGACGGAAAACTCCTGAATTGGATGGAGTGAGCCACTGCCACGTTTGTTGGTTTGTTGACAGCACAGGTGTAAATACAACTCTTCTTCTGCGGTTGCTTAAGTGAAATCAGACAACTCTGCATGTCCAAATGCTTATAATCTGAATAAAACTTAGTTCATGTATACGCACGCATATAAACATTGCTAACGATGCGATTGCCTGCTGACATCAGTCTGATTAGCTGCACCTGTATGCTCAGCTAATATATTGGTAGCTAAAACTCTGAGTATTATTGAATTCTGTTTGAAACAAAGTCCATTTTGCTTTTGATCTTCCCACTGGGAGCTACTGAAAGCAAAACGTGCCATTCAAAATCACAGTGGTGGTGGTGGTGGGTTATTTGTTCCATTACAGCATGAGCAAGAGCAGGGAGACACAACCATGACCTAACTGCAGTGTGGTGAAAAGGAAACCAAACAGCATGAGATGAGAAAAGATTAATGCAGTTATTTCAGACGTTTATTACATTTGGAAATTCTTTCACAGAATCAGTCAATAGAGATGAAGGATTTATAAAATGTTAAAGATATCACACATAGTGAGGAAAGGGTTATTACCAAACTGAGTCAAAAGATTGTTGTGTTCACGTCCCTTCAGCTCTCACCAAAGCAACATCAGGAAATTAACTCTTTGGCGCAGGGTCAACATGGCGAAGTTAACTTCCACTGACAGATGATGACGGCACAGGGGGATTTACAAACCAAAGAGCAAATCATCCTCACCTTACACTGTCTGTCAGAGAGGATCTGTTTATCAATAGGGACTTTGTACTGTCTGTGGAGGGACGTCAGTTAAATGAACAGTAGCTGATCTGTCATGTTCAGATTTCACTCAACAACACTTTTTAACCCATGATTAACATGAGGCCCATGGCTGGAAAACTCCCGCAGTGTTGGAAAAAAATCATGGACTCCCACAAAACCCAGAGGAGCCCCTTTCATGTGGTGTTTTAACTTTGTAACCCACATTCTGGCAGCCTTAGTTCACTTCCAGGCTCCATCTTATGGTTTGGCTTTCCATTGCCAAAGTGGTGAATACACACAATGTTCTTTATTAGTCCTTGCAATTACACACACACGCGGGCTTTGAAACAGATGCATTCTCTCTGTGGCCTGTGGGAATGGAACAAAGTGGAGCTGACGGGAGGTCGAACGCCTTCCGCACCTTGAAAATCTGCTTAGCTCAACCGTCTGTTCCTGGTGCCATGGCAACAACGTTAAAAATGTTGAGAAAGCTCCCATGGTCCCCTTGGAGTTTTTCCATAAATATTTTGCAGACAGCAGACAGGTTACTCTAAAGCATCTGGATGCAGGCTGTCAGATACGAGCATGTTCCTGTATTTAGGTTTCCTCATACATCCATCCTGAGATTCATCAAATCTCCTTCATGTCCGCTCAAAGCAGTCCTGTCATCTTGTGCTGCTCAGCATGGCTTAACAGGGTACTACCACAACCTTGATTCCCCAAAACAGAATAATTATTGCATGCCATTTAAGATAAATAATTTCAGATGTCAATGTCCACAGTTTCTCACTATCAGTATGCTTATCTCAAGATGGAAGCATGTGAACCAGATGATGGAGTGTGTGAGGAAGATCATGTTCGGATCACTTTTAAGGCCATGACAGATTTGGTGATTCCCCAGAGAACGCAGCTATCAAATGGCACCTCGGGCCATATTACAGCACAAATGCATGAGTGAAAACCACTAGTGGTGCTGGGCCTTTTCACAAGTTGTTGTTTTCCCAGACTGGACACGTTGATAAGGAGCAGATGAGTTCCAGTGATGGAAGTTTGTTACGGGCAGATATAGGCATCCGCTCTCTGAGGAGTTGGGATGATAAAGCACCTGTCTGAAGATGCAAGTAGGGAGCAATTTTTCATTTATAACAAGGAAGTTTCTTCTGAATGTTGCAGCTGATTACTTACAACTTACAGTGTTTGGTTAGAAATGCACAATATTACACACTGTTATATCTAAAGGGGCTCTGTAATCATTAGCACTATAAAAGTGGTAAAATGTTGACCTAAGTTGTTTGCTGTTTTTTATGATGAATAAGTATAATATGCTCATATTTATTCTTGTAAGCAGGTGCGGTCTGGAAACTCTCACATTATAGGCCACTTCCTGCTGGTTTAAAGAGGGGGTATGATGCATTGTTTTCTTCCTTTTTGATACCTTTTTAATAGCTTTTTCAGATAAAAAAGGGCCTTTTGTTCCTCACACTGGTGTATTAAAAAACAATTACTTTTTTTCTGAAATGCTTCATTTTAGCTGCTGTTTCTTAAAGGACCTTCCCTACGAAGGATGATGTATTTTCATCAAAACTAGAACAAACAACTGCATCTACAATGTAAATTGGTTGGGAGTGTTCGCTATAATCCCGACAAGATTTTCTGCTGCTCTACACTACATCACGCACAGCGTTGCTCTGATTGGTTGTAAGTCCGTCCAATCAGTTTAAGAGACAATTCTGCGTGGTCGATAAGCATGAACCCTGGAAAAAGGAAGTTAATTGAATCGACCCAGACCCGCTCACTGAGGTGCTTTGGTCTGGTGACACTGTTTACTTTGAGAGCACAGAACCCGAGGCTCATCATCAGTGGTAACCAGTCACCTGTAGAGACAAGGAGATGAGAAGCAGGAAAACGCCACAGAAGTTAGCGAAGAATGTTAAAATATATGGAGCTGCAGCGTAAAAGAGACTTCATCCATATAATGAGACATGACACAAAAAGAGGTGCAATATTTTTTTCCCTTGCAATTTTCTCAATGAGATTAATGCATAGCATTTTGGAGAGCATTATCATTACTTTCAAAAGGAAAGTGTGTAGAAAATGTTCAATATCCATCTGTCAGACTCTGGATAGAGACATTCCCTTGCTCACCCCTCCTGTCAGTGGTGTAACAGTAACTGGCATTCTCAGACATGAGGCTTCTGTGGTGCTTAGTAGGTATGATCCTCCATTTTTGTTATCGCCCATACAAAATGTCATTCTTTTGGTGCACAATAACCACTCTCTTCTTTCCTTGCTCAGTGTAGGTTAACAAAAACAAAACAATTTCTTTATTTAGGCAACCATGTGTCATTTAAAACATGAATGTTTTATCTATCTAAAAGTCTGTTCTGAATGTGTCTTATAACTAAATGCAGCAGCTTTAGAACTGAATAAAAATCTATATTATTTGATGTGGAACCCCATGGATTGATGCACATTATCCACATGTTTTGCAACTGTGAGAGCAGTAATCAGGATGTATATCCTTTGTAGACTTATAACCAAAACTTAGTTTAAAAAACTAATAACTTTTTGAATGATTACAGTTTGGTAATTTTGGAAAAATATCATAGTTCTGGTTTGAATCAATGATAAAGTTTGTCCCAAAGTCATCAAATTTCATTCTGAGTTACATAAGAACATGATAATTTGTCTTACTAGTGAATCTATAATGATGTTTATCATGCTGTGTGTCATTGTTGGTGTAGGCTGGATGGATTTTTGTTCTCTTATCAATCATCACCCAATCTTAAGGATATAAAAATATGTAACTCTTGTCTCTGCTAATCAATCTTCAGTCGCTGAGAAAACCTGTGACACTGAAATAGTTTAAAAATCTAGACCCAGTCTGAACACAGTGAGAAGTTTACTTATATAGCTCTCAGTTGTAAATATAACATGCAAAAGCATCATTCTTCATCATTCTTAATCATTCTCAGGACCTCAAGACAGTTAAAATCCAGTAATTATCACTGGCACGTGTATGCAGTTTTGACTTGTGATCAAAAACCAAAGAATAAGAAACAGCTGCACAATTTAATCCACTTTCATTTAATTTACAGTTACAGATCTTCTTGATAAATCTGTACAACTGAAAGTTTCCTTTTTTTTTAAATAACCCTCTCCACACTCTTACGTGCTGAAATGTGATTATGGCCTTTCCCCTATACTAAGTGCTTGATTGAATTTGACAGTGGAGTTCAGCCAAGTTCTTCTTGTACAAATAAAAGTTTCAGTTGAGCTTTGCAACTGAAAAAAAGAAAAATGAATAGGGTTTTTGTAAAGGCAGAGAATGCTAGTGCCAGAAAGCAAATCAACCCCTGCTCCAGAGGAAGTGATTCTAAAGTTAAGATTGAAAAAAAAAAGGACAAAGTGTCGATCATAAATGGATTTATGTTCTTCACTCTTAAAAACCCCAAAGCCCCATGTTTATTTTGGCAGGCTGATTGCAGTGTGATTTTTAGGTCAATGTCAACACTGTAGATTATTTAAGAAAATTGGAAATTAAAAAGAAAAACATGAAATGTAGAGCTGAAAACATCAATCACCACCACAGTGCAAGAGATTTTTGGTGCATTTACCTGTAAAATGACAACAAACTTTCTATTCTATTCTATTCTATTCAGACTGATGCAGGAGATCAAATTTTGGGGGCAGCATAAATGTACTAAATAAGCTTTTTCTGAGTTAAACTTAACTTTCAACCTATGCATAATTCAAACTCTTGGTCACTCTCCATTAATAAAGCTACCATCTTTAGAAACCAAAATCTTATTTAACTTTTTGTAAAAGGCTGTCTACATGTTGAATTCATCGACTGTTTATAGAATGGACAGCGTCTGTCTCCTTGCTGAGTGAAGCCACTGTGAGAACAGCACCCTCTGGTGATGGGCTGCAGTATAGGTCTTAAAGCCCGCCTTCTCCAGCAATTCCTATGGAGCAGAGGACAAACTTTAGAATTTAATTACCCAGAATATTACTTTCTTATTGCAAGACAGGTGTGCTCAAGTCCTCCATTTTTAAAAGTTATTAGGGATTCATGTTTTCTATGATTGACACTTGATACAGCCTATGGGCGTACGAAGATTGCGTAGCTCACCCAGGGGATACGCTGTTTGAGCCGAGCGTCATCACAGCAACTCTCAGCGACTCTCCCACTGAATGCATACAATGCTATTA